GTGTGGACGGTCACGGTCACGATCTGAATCATGTTGCACGGAGTTGTAAATTTGTCTGATTGACAGCATTTGGGGGCCCTCGTATAATGTACATTATTTATTGGCTGGTTATCGTATCGAATATCATGCGTTTCCAAATTGCCCTTCCTACTCGGGTTTTGGTAGCATAAGCACGTATTCGCGGGAGCTTAGTCCAAACTGGAGAACGTCCTTGTCGCGGAGTTCCACGTATCGACCGCCGGGAATTTTGTCGCCGTTGACGCTCGAGCCGTTCGCGCTTTCGAGGTCGATCAGGTAGGGCTTGACGCGTCCGATGCGGTCGCCAAACTCGTTCCTCTTTTCGACGTAGCGGAATTGCAGCGCCGCGTGCTGCTTCGAGCAGCTGGGGTGGTCTAGGGGAAAGTCCACGACCAGTCGCTCGCGCCCGATAAGCCAGCAGCTGCGCTCGTAGATTTCCACCACCTCGAGAAGATCCTGGCCCTTGAACACGTACAGACGCCACGGTTCTTTGGCCGGCGGCTTGCGCGCCTCCGGCGGCTCGTGGTACTTGAGCACGACCGACCCTCCATTGACGGTGACCGTGTTGCTCTCCGCTGCGAGGCGGCCCGTGTTCCCGAAGTTCGGTTTCTCTTTTTCCGGTGGCGGCGCGGTCTCGTCGCCCTGGCGCGCTACTTCGGACGACGTGTACGCATCCTGCTGGGAGGGAAGAGGGCCGCGGGAGCGGGCGAGCTCGCGCGACGACGGACTCCGAGAGCGTCTTCTGCGCGGGGATCGCGAGCGGGACTTGGTCCGGTGTCTGCGGCTGGAGCGCTCCTTGTCATCGTCGTAGGAATCGCGGTCGCGGTGCCGCCGTTGTCGACGTTCGTCTGGAGACCGGTGCCTGCGTCGTCTCCGCTCGTCGTCAGACGCATCCGTACGCTCTCTGCGCTCCCGGGGTCGGTCTTCGTAGTCCCGTCGGTGGCTCTTCCGACTGGACGGACTGCGAGATGAGCGTCTCCGGGAGCTGTCGCGTCGAGAGCTGCGATGCTCGTCGCGATGGCGGCGCCGTCGGCTGTGTTCGGCGTCTGGGGAGCCAGACGGAGACCGGGGTCGCCGTCGGTCGCGGGATCTATCTGGGGATTGGGGCATGGTGCGAGGGTAGAAGTTGATTGAAGGGCAGAACTTGAGGTCGACGGAGAGCTCAAAAGCTATGCGGGGCACGTGACGACATCCGAAGTTCGGAATGACCGCCGCTCCGCTCCTCCTCCTCTCCCCACCACTCCTTCAGCATACACAACGACAACAACATTTGCATGATTTACACTCACCGACGTGGAGGGTAGCCCAGCATCCTCCACTAAAGCCATGCGGCCATGCTCAAGAACTCCAAAATCCTCTGCTGTGGTGGACTGCAGCTGCTGAATGCATCCGTATATCCATCGCCACTGTCGCACGCCCACATCTACAGACACTATGCTACAGCCCAGGGGTTCCCCGGGAACGACCTTTCCTGGCCATCGTCTTCATCCTTCACACCGTACGACGTGTTCAAACAAGATCGTGGGGCACCGTACTCGAAGACGCGGTTCTACGAACTCGTGAAAATCTACCACCCAGACCGACCGTGCAACGACCACCCGCTGTGCAGAGACCTCTCGCCCGAGGTGCGACTCCAGCGGTACCACGTTATAGTCGCCGCGCATGAGATCCTCTCCGATCCGACGAAGCGAGCGGCGTACGATCTCTCCGGCGCAGGATGGAGCCACCACGCTCCTGCACATCCGACGCCGTCCTGGGCGCGAAGCGGCTCGAGCGACTACGGCCCGATCCATACGAATGCCACCTGGGAAGACTGGGAACGATGGCGTAATCGGCATCAGGGCAAGCAGCAACACATGGTGGACAACCGCACCTTTACGACGTTTGTCATTCTCCTCATGCTCATGGGCGGCGCGGTCCAGGCGTCGTGGATTGGCCAGCTCACCACCGGCTACGAAGACCGACTGCGGGAGATCAACGAGCAGTCGGCTCGCTTTTTGACTGGACGGCGTGAAAACACCGTCAAGCAGATGGCGTCGTCGGAGGCCAAGGTGCAGCACTTTCTGATCCGGAGAGACCCTTCTGGGTTTGGACTGAAGGAGGAGGAGCAGCCGGTCTATGAGAAGATTCTTCATTCGCCCAAATCTGGAGCGAAGGAGACTGAAGCTGCGAAGGGTTCGGACGGTGCATCCGGTCACGTCGAGTCCGTAGATAAAAGTGGTTGATTGCACTACGTAAAGGATAGTTCTCATTGCCCGATTGTACATAGCATGATCTTCACCTTGACAGAATATACAGTAGCATCTATGAAAAGTACATACGGATCCCGCCGTTGCGGTGCTCGACCCACGGCAGATCCACATTTCTGCCGAGGCTTGCGGAGATCATCTCGCAACTTGTGACTGCATAACTGATACTCATAAACACTCTCCGCACCCTCCATACAGCCTCTAACATCGACATCCACGTCCTGCTCCAGCCATGTCCGGGCTCGGCAGCCCCGTCGCCATGCTGAAGGCGATGCTCGCCCGAGTGCCGCTCATTCTTAAGACCGCCCTGTTGCACGGCATGCATCTATCGCCCGTTTCGGGGAAGCAGGACCTGCGCACCGAACTGACCGTGGCCATCATCCGCTCGTTCATCACCATGACCCTGCCCGTGTCGAAGCAGCAAAAGGGCAGCATGCGCGACCCCGGCATCAAGGGGCCCATGTGGGTGTCCAAGGTGACGCTCCCTCAGCCCGAGGACGACGTCCAGGAGGCCGTCATCAAGGCCATCGAGGACCTCAAAGTCGGCGACGAGACGTACAATATCCCCGGCGTCGGCCCCGTCGAGGCCGAATGGACAGGCCACCGTAACGGCGTGGGCAAGAACGCGCCGCAGCCTGACGTCTCCGAGGAAGAGAAGTACGCCCGGTTGCGAAAAGAGACTCCCTCGGATGCTGTCATTCTCTACTTCCACGGCGGCGCATACTTGTACTGCTACCTCCCCTCCCCTCTTCTCTTCATATACGAACGCATCTAACGCCCCGCAGTCTGATGGACCCCTGCACCCACCGCCAACAGGTCGCCCACCTGTCCAAACGCACCGGCATGCCCGTACTCTCCGTGCGCTACCGACTCGCGCCACAGCACCCTTTCCCCGCCGCGCTGGTTGACGCCCTCGTCGCCTACCTGTCTCTGCTCGCCCCGCCGGCCGGCGCCCTCCACGCCGCCGTGCCCGCAAACAAGATCGTGCTGGCCGGCGACTCAGCCGGCGGCAACCTCAGCCTCGTCCTCCTGCAGACGCTGCTAACCCTCCAGCGCATCGCACCCACCGTCCGCTTCCACGGCCGCGACGTCCCCATCGCGCTCCCCGCCGGCGTGGCCACCAGCTCGCCCTGGTGCGACATCACTCGGTCGATGCCCTCGGTCGTCGACAACGCCGTGTACGACTACCTCGCCCCGCCGACGCAGCGGTACGAGTCCGGCGCGAAGTTCCGCGCGCCCAACCTCCCGGACGACGCGGTCTGGCCGCGCGACCCGCCCCGCGTCGACTTCTACGCCCACGCCTCCGCCTGCATCCACCCGCTCGTGTCGCCGCTCGCCGGCCGCAGGGAGATCTGGAAGGACGCCCCGCCGGTGTTCATGACGGTCGGCGAGGAGGGCCTCGCGGATGAGGGGCTCGTGCTGGCGCGCAAGATGCACCAGGCCGGCGTGCCTGTCGTCGTGGAGCAGTTCGAGGGCATGCCGCATTGTTTTGGGCTGATCATGATCGGGACCCCGGCTGGTCGTCGGTTTTGGGACGGCTGGGCGCGCTTCTGTCGTGAGGCGGTTGCGGGGCAGGTCACGGCGTCGGGGGCTCTGACGTATCTTGGCTTCAAGCTGCGGTCGACCCGGGACGTTCCCTTGGATGAGGCGGTTTCGTTGACGGATGAGGAGGTGGATCGCCGGTTGCGCGAGAGCGCGCAATGGAGACTCGAGGGGGAGTTGCATCTTCAGCAGCAATTTGCAAAAGCCAAGCTTTGATTTTGTTATTACAGCGACGACGATGAGATATCCTGCAATGAGCGTTGTTGGGCTTGCCTTGTTAGGTTATATATCTTTCTATACTGTACATCTGTTAGACTCTGTTTTCTCATACCCACTACTACATGGCATAGCTACACACTATATTTAAGGTACATGCTACCATAGAATCATACTAGGTACCTAGTAGTATTCCAACACTCTATGTACGAACCTTCAACCTTTGTTCAATTGCCGATCGATAAGATTAGATAAGATGATCTGTGGCTTCACCAAGGCAAACCTGACTGCAGGTATATCCATTGTGAATTGTGATATGAAATCGATGTAGTATCCGCTAATCCTCATCCTAGAACCGTCCCGTAAACACCAATTGAGCGCTGGCACAGCCCACGCCAGACAAGACAGTCCTGAACTCCAGTGCAATGCTGAAAAGAAAGAAACGATAGAGTGCGTCGAATATTGAAGAAAAGACAAAATCGAGTCCTGCCTAGATAAACTCATCATCGTCCATGGAGTCCTCATCCTGCTTCTCCAGGTCCAGCGCTGGAACAGCTTCGCGATATTTCACTTCCTGTTCCGGCCAAGTGCTGGCCGCACGGTAGGATGACCCTTGGGGCGTAGGCGCAACCCCAGGAACGCCGCTCAGTCGATTGCCGTGGACCCATATCTCGCCCGAAAGGTTCAGAGCTCGGGGGGATTCATCGACGTAACCGTCCCAAAAACCAAGAAGCTGTGCGATGAGTCGGAAGAATGCCATGGAAATAGCCCAGACGGGCGTCAAGACCCCTTGGAGATGCGACCAGCGCCACAGCATCGTTGGGATGACAAAGGGAAATCGAGGAGCATCTGGAAGGAGGCAATTGCCTTCGCAGACATCGGCGATCAACGGGTGACAATAGAAGTCACACATTGTCGATTCGGACCAGAACCAGATAAATAGAACAATGGCGCACCAGCCTAGACGAGTGGGACGAATCCTACCGGAGACCCTGTTTCGCGTCCATAGCTTTGGGATGGGGACAATCGTATAGATGCCACCGCCATTGTGAGCTCGACACGTCTCGCAATTGTCACACGTCTTGTCGAATTTCGAACTTTTGGCGTCCGGCGAGGGCATGGACTTTACTTGATCACCCAGGTCTTCAATCCCTGCCTTCACCTCCTTCATGCTCTTGGCAAATGACTTGAGAGTCTGGTTCATAGAGTCGAAGTCGTCACTGTCCTGATGTGGTGAGTTTCCACCTTCCAGCTTTTCCTTCTTTGATGATTTTCCACGCTCCAGCTTTTCCAAGATCCGCTTCTCATATGCGGCGTTATCCTCTTCCTCGGTCTTCACCTCCGTGACCTGTTCATTCAAGATCTCCTGGAGTGATTCAAGCGTGTCATCGCCAACGTCCAAAGAGTTCTTGTCCGCTTTGAAGTCTTCCATGACGGTCTCCAGAGCGCTTTTGGGATGATCCGGTTTGGCCAACGGTGGCCTTTCTCGCGGCTTTCGGGTCTTCTCAGATTGAGTTTCTGTCTTTTTTGGTTCGGGTTGTTGTTCGATCTTTGTCCTGCTTCCTTGCGCTTGGCCTTCTGCAGACGGCGGAAGCGCCTTCTCTGCTTCTCTCACCTCTTCCTGTTGGGGTTGTTTCTTCTCCATCTCATTGGCCCTTTGGGTCTCGGTCTCAGACGGTTGGGGTTCTGCGACACGTTCCTCGCTCCGCGCTCGAGAGGTATCTTGTACGCTCCTTTTAGCTGGCGACGCCGCAATCGGATTTGAAGAATAACTGGGCCGAGCGGTAGGTCGTTCGGTCATGGGAGTGTCAATCCAGGCACCCGTCACCACAGGGGTTTTATCATAGATTCGGGTTCCCGGGATCTTCTGTGGCTCGGGAGTCCTCAGCTCACTGGGATTTTGACTGGGACTCTCGGTTCGGGAGAGCTTCCGGAGAAGGTCATGGGAGTCTCTTTTCGTTGGGCTCCGTTTGTTAAATGTAGAACTCTTGTAGACCATGACTGGTGGGGTATTAAGCCCGACGTCTCCTGTCTTCTCCTTCGATTCCGACAACGATCTGTTACGGGCATCGGACAACGGGAACCTGTTGTAGGTGCTTGCCAGACGTTCGCCCAGGGTGTTTGGAGTTCGGGAAGTAAGACGTTCCGGAGAGTTCTTTTGTACTTCAAGGCCGGACTTGGGTTCCGGGGGAGAGGGCTTCGCCCCATCGATGAAAGTATCCGGCTCTGGTTCATTGCGCCGCGTCATAGATTTCAACCAGTCTCGACGATGCGTTCCTCTGGTCCCCCAGTTTCGCGGGAGATTCAACGAGAGTTTCTGATCGTCGTCGTATTCCTCGACCTCGACCGCATTCTGCAATGCCTCTCGCTCCTCTTCCTCACGACGTTGCAGATTCTCCGACGTCAACGCGGGGGTGGTCCCAGTCCTATTCAGCACGGGGGACCGACTGGAAGTGGCACGCTTTAAGCGCAGTTCATCCCTTACGCGATCGACTGGTCTGCGGCGGAGCGAGTCGTCGGTAACGTCGTTTAGAAGCTCAGCATCAGAAGGGTAGAAAAGGCCGGCGTCATCCCTGAACGCTGACCCTGACCATGAGCTCCGACCACGGCTCTCATTAAGTCCTAGCGTCGCGCGAAGGTCGTCATCCAGCTCATCCTGGTCCACGAGACTACCTGCGTCGTCGATCTGTCGATACGCCTCCATCAGCTCGTTTGGCGGGTTGGATTCCGGAGACGCGGGGTTAAAAGATTGCTGTCGTCTTCCCCCTCCTCGACTGGGGGAACCCAGGCTGTATGCGAGGTGATCGGACTCCGCCATGGTCGGATAGCGGGACACGGCCTCGAATGCCCCTCGGAGGGTACCTGTCTGGCTAAAGGTGCGTCGTCGTCGCGCGCTATAGTTCTGTGATGGGCTGGGGATCTTGGACGCGTCGAAGCGATCGGCGGGGCGAGAATCGTAGTAACCTCGACGGAAGGGAGAGTGGTGGGGGGAGGGTTGATGCGATTGTTGTTGTGGTTGCTGGTGGTTGCGACGCGAGAGCGTCGCTCGGTCGGACCTGCGCTCGGGGGTCGACATGGTGACAAGCGGAAAGTGCCCTCGGTCAACGCGATTCTCCGGGCGCCATTCACTTTTCGCAACAACAGAAGGGGGCAACGCTTCTGTTTCAGCATTCACCGTCGCGGAGTGTCGCGAGGACCAGCAATTGCCATCGTCCGCAACGCGGCCGAGTTCGTCGCCCCGATCGGGTTAGCGGCGCGGAGGAAGAATGCGGAATTAAGCCCAAAAAAAGCATCATACAACACATCACTCATCTCCCTCTCTTCTCTTCTCTTCTCTTTCTTCCCCTCCAGTTCTTCTCGCTCCTCTTCAGTCTCGTCCTCAGCTGACAGTACACACCCTATCTTCCCTCGAATCAGCTCCTCGACACCGTCGTCACTTGCTTGCAAACACAACTGCCGTCTTGAATGCCCTGACATGTGACCTGGTCAGGCGTATTGATCGTCCGTTATCGTGTCCATCTGCGCATGACAGATCCAAGCGATACACTCTTGAGCCGACGTTCAGACGATTAAGAAGTATATATATATTAGACTCGACCGGCTCGCGGACCCCCCCCTGACACAATCACTACACTGTCCATGCGGTGAGACGACCTCGAAATAGACCAACAGGCGACACATCCCTACGCAACATGGCCAAGTCCGCCAGACGTGGAGGCGGCAAGGGCAAAGCGCCCGTCACATCGTCCGGTTCTTCCTCCGGAGCGTCGACCCCCAGCTCTCAGGCTGGGCCGATCCCGCCGTTTACCGGCGCGCCGTCTGCGCTGCAGCCCTTCCTGGAGCTTCTCTCCCCCAATGAAGTCTACCTCGTCCACCTGGACACCTCGTCGCGCGACCTCAAGCGACAAACCTACGTAGCACCGGCGGCAATCAACGTCGTCATCGCCGTGTTGCTCGCACTGCGACTCTACATGGTCCGAAACGTCTACCCGGCCCTGTTGGCGACGCTGGTCGGGCTGACCAGCTCGATGACGGTGGACGCATCGCTGATGTCGTGGAGTGAGATGGCGAAAGTCATCCTGCGCCGCACCGGCACCATCATGCTCGACTACTTCCTCGTGACCGTGTTCCTCCCATGGCCCATCCGCTTCTTCAAGGGCCCGACCAAATGGCGCCGCAAGATCGGCTTCCGCGACACCGAGATCATCGTGCGACGCAGCCAGCCGAGCCTGAGCCAGGGCCTGGTGCGCAACCGTTGGATCCGCGATGACGAAGAAACGCGGGATAAGATCGTCGCCGCTGTCACCCCCGACCGCATCAAGAAGACCGGGTATCTCCTCGTCGACGCGGACTGGGACCTTGACTACGACGCTATGATCAACGCACATGCGCTGGTCGACGCCCGCAAGGACGACGGCATCCCTCTGGACACCTTCCGGACGGCTGTGCTCGTCAACACCGACGCCGATGGCTGGCTGATCTGGTACGTTGGCGACGAGGATTCGGCGGAGGGCCGCGTGCGGACCGCCCAACGCGACCAGATCCTGGCTTTCCGCGATAAACTGGCGGCCATGGGGAAGGAGGACCTGTTTTTCCGGTGGGTGGAGTTGATTCAATATGAGAGCACCCGGCCGGGCGGGTTCACGCCGGAACGCCAGCAGTCTGCCATGGTGCAAGCGAAGCAGCTTTTTGAGGATGCCGGTGTGGATTTTGGGCGCTTTTGGCAGGAAGTGGGTGGGATGGAAGGCTTTGCAGATGAGCTTGATTAGGCAGTTTGGGAGGAAGTGCGTTATGGACATTTGGTGGGCGTTGTCTTGTATTTTACGCGGGCTCATGGGTATATGTCAGGTTAGCGTTTCCTTATATGGTGAATCCATTCCTATAGAGCATGAGGGTTTACAGGTCGGTCCCTAGGCCAACGCCAGGTTGATACGCCACCTGGCAGCCGCTCTCAGAAGATAATTGATAAAGATTCGAAAGAAAATGACCCGAGGTGTTATTACTGGAAAGAAAAGGGCGCACTGATCAATCATTCAGTGATTGGAGATTGGGACAGAATCTCTATGAAAGCTTCAAGTTGATATACTTAGAAACAGGTCAGTCCACGCATAGAACCACCATGTTGGCAATGCCCAGAACTATTCAACGCAGTGGTGGCCCTGGCCGATTCCTTCCTAGATTTAAGCAACTTCCTGCTCCTGGCTGTCCATGAAAGGTATGTACTGCTGCGGGCAAGTGATCCCGGACGGTGGAACTCTGCCTTGGAGGTATGCCTGGACATGTCCAAAGTAACAGTCTGACGCCCCCTGGTCGACGACTGTATGCTGCATTCAGAGGAACATCCCACCAGTAAGCCGAGACTCTTGTTGAGGTGGTTATGTGATTGGGAATTGATAACAACTTACCCCAACGGCTTCTTGCAATAGTAGGACGGATCCGGCAAACCGAGAAGACATCTTCTGTGCGCTGTGAGAGAGGCCAAGTCAATGAGCCGATACCAGACAGCGGGGCCATTGGACGAAACGTACGATGTTAAGGGCGTTATTGGGTCGATGGTGTTACTCGTAAACAGGATCGGGAAGGACGTAGGACGGTCTAGTCCACTGATTGGGCCTGCGTAGAAAGGAGTTGTTAGATCTGCTCAGAAAGAGAGAGAGAGAGAAAGAGAGATGCGTACCTTGAACAACCATACTATCAGGTAACTGCGGTCGAAATGATCTACACAAGATATTGTCTTGGTAGATAGGGTAGATATCACCGATGTACTTGCTCCTAGAAATCATGTACTCGACATAAGACTTAAACTCTTCAAGAGTAGTAAGGTTGTTGCTCCGATACGAATCGGCGCACTGAATGGCGAGACGGGCATCGGATATAGCATTAAGACTGTCAAACATGCCGGCAAGAGCAGACACGTCCCCACGCTCGAGTTGGTGTAGGATGTCGTCCATGACTGGGAATCTCACCAGTGGGGCGTAGATAGCGTCGAGGAAAAGAGCCTTCAGGTCTGAATAGGTGACCATGGTCGGTAGGTCTCGACCTTTAACTCCGCTGACCGGGACGGGCTGATGCTGAAGCTGATGGATAATGGCGTCCATTCTGGCGGTGATGTTAGCGGGCGAGGGTCCCCAGAAGGAACATTTCTTAGGACCTGCGGAATGGCACAAGCTAGAGAATTGGTCCATCGCGGCGTCCATTTGATCCGCGGTTTCGCTCCAGTCATTGTTGTAATACTGCTCTGCGTTCAAAACACCATCCAGTATCATTCGCCCGACGCGGTCAGGAAACATGGATGCAAAAGTGCTGCCGATGACAGTGCCGTAACTGATGCTATAACACCACAATTTGGCGTCTGATGGTGGCTGACCGGCCGCCTCGGCCTCGGCTTCGATGAAGGTGAGCAGATCATGGGCTACCGCTGGGGTGGTGACATAATAACCATGAGGCGACTCGTTGTCGACCGCATTGTTGCACCACTCTCCGTAGATCGAGCTTGAATAGTACTGTTCGGCAAGCGATGTTGACGAGACGTTGGTAGCTCCAGTCCGGTGCAGTCGACTGAAGGCCAATCTTGCCTCTGAAATCCCTGAGAAGCAGTCGAGACTGGGGCCACTGTTGTTCACCCCGCGAGGGTCGAAGGAGATGAAGTTGTACTGCTCTCCGAGCATTTGCCCTACGAGAGTCCGGTATGTGAAGAGGAGCTCGATACCAGAACCACCCGGACCGCCTGACAAAGTCTCAGCCCGGTCACATGGCTTTCAGATAATACATATATATATATGTTGGATGACATTGATCTTACCGGGGTTGAGTACAATGCTTGGGGACGTGGCGGTGGCATTCTTCCCAGCCAGCTTGATGAAGGCGATTGACGTCGTGCCCAGAGTTCTGTTGGAATAGTCCAAGGGCACTTCAAGCCTCGAGCATGAAAAGTCATCGTAACATGGTGTCCATGTGAGGTTGGCTGACGGCTCAATCTAGATGGCTCGTCAGACGCTCGAAGGCTTTGGATGGGAGAATGTGCTATTGGCGAAAGGCAAGACTCACACTGTCAAAACCATAGACCATGCCTGGGTCATGCCAGCCGTTGGCTTTGCATCCCAGGCTCATGAACAGAATGAGTGCAAGTTGTTTCATTGCTATCTTTCTGAAGGATCCTGACTGAGGGTGTGCTTAGCAGTAACAATGGGGACATCAACCAACTATTTATGATACCAGCTGGATATATTAGTGCCCAATCAACTTGCCCATCTCCTGAGGCAGCTGCATTCTTTCGATCGACTCCCAATACCTGGCCTACTAGATGTATAGATACTAGATATTTTTAGGTAAAGCACAGAGTACCTACTATAGGTAGTTATCCCCAACTGTACGAACTAACCAATCAGGGCCTTGAATATTAAGGCCCACTGCGCCCACCTGTACGAACAAGCCAATCAACATGTACAGTGTACACCTACTACGGTTAGTCTGTGTACTTTAGTAACCTTAGGTCATCTCTATCTCTACTCCTACTCCAGAAGATAGACCTCATCATCCTCCGCTATTTCATATGACAAATAATGGGAGGATGAGCCAACATCAAAGTCATGGACGAGTCCAAGAGCGAGAATACCAAGTCAGCCCGTCAAGCTTGGAGAAGAAGGCCTCGCCGCTTCGCCCCAAAGTCAAGACTAGGCTGCAAGACTTGCAAGTGAGTCTGGATTCATACCCTCATAGCGAATGACCCTCAACCTTGGTGTACCTCTCAGGACAAGGCGGATTAAATGCGATCTATCCCGGCCCTCGTGTTTGAAATGCCAGTCTACAGGTCGCACCTGTGACGGCTATGGTGAGATGGCCCTCAGCGGCGACAGTTACCTCCATGCGGGTCATCGCCATGGCCTCATGTGGCAGAGCCTAGGGCCCTTGATGATCTTACCAGCGACGGAGTCACCCCAGACCGAGGCAATGTGTTTTTTCCAGTACATTTCGGTCAGGCATCTGACTGAATATCACCCCTGCGGGTCATGGCGTAAGACGCTGATGTTCTTCGCCCAAACAGTGCCATCAGTCCGGCATGCCGCCATCGCGCTGGCCCTGATCCACCGCAACTACTTCGATCGCCATTCTAGCGGCCATGTGCATCAATCGCACTCTTTGACAGACTGGCCTCCAAGCGCGGCTCCCTTGCTTCACTACAACCAGGCCATTCACCTTCTTCTGAACCAGCAAGCTGGCGACAGTCCCGAAACAACAGTCGTCACGCTTCTGGTCTGCTATCTATTCACCTGCTTTGATAACCTCGCGGGCAACTACGTACAAGCAGTGAAGCATCTGCGCGCAGGCGTGGAGCTCTCCCGCAACATCGACCATTCCGCGCCCTCAGGCGTTCACCCACCCATCTCCCAGGTCACCCGCCAGATCCGCCGTCTCGACATGCAGGCCGGGACGTTTCTGATCGACTGGATTCCCCTCGACATCCAGGAGACATGTCCGTCTCCGCTTCGACCCTCCGACAGTCCCTTCCGGTCTCTCGACCACGCCGCCGACCAGCTCCAGACGCTCGTCGCGCGGGTAATGCGACTGCGCCATACGGACCAGCAACTGTCCCCGACGGAGCGAACCACATCGTTGTCGCCTCCGTCACGGAAGGATATCGTCCTCGACCAGCTGGAAACGTGGTCCGCTCTCTTCGACAACATCCTGCAACAAGACAGCGCCTGGGCCACCACAGCGTCCGGCCCTGACCCGCTCGTCTCCCTTCTGCGTCTACAGCACACGCTCGCATGCATGCTACTCCGCACCTGCGGACCGGGCCGGGAACTGGACTATGACGGCTTCCTGCCGCAGTTCCAGCAATGCGTGGCGTGGGCGGCCGACGTCGCGGCCGCGCGTGAGCGGTACGCGGGGTCGTTGAAGCCGACGTTCACGCCGGAGACCGGGATCGTCCCCGTGCTTTATATCATCGGGGTCAAGTGCCGGCATCCCGTGGTGCGGCGCCAGGTCTTGGGCATTCTGCGACGGCAGCCGATCCGGGAGGCGGTTTGGGATAGCTTCTGTGCGGCCAGGGTCGTGGAGCGGGTCATCGAGATTGAAGAGGCCGGGCAATTGGTACCCAGCATGGAACAGATTTCGGTGTGGCAGAGGATCGAGACGGTATCGTGGGAACAGTCGGCGGCCAGGTTGGACATTACATATACGTTCTGCGCGCGGGAGGGAGTGTATGTCGAGTCTCTTAGCATTTAACAAGCAGTGAGTCTCATCATGTCAATCTTACCCATAGTAGATAAGAGGCCGTCAGACGGGACCAAGCAGCATGCTACTGACCAGTGTGGATCTTGTATTAGGCGTTCTACAGTTCTCTACATACTGAAATGGGATCCCCCATTCCAACATATACGGAGTAGATACTGGGACTGAGTTTGGCTACCAAATAGAATGCCCAGCGTAACCACTATTTTATACTACAGTAAACATAGCGATCTGGCGCCTCAGACTGACAATAAACACCTTTCCATACGCTGCGTAGACCAATGCAAGATAGCACGCTCAAGGACAACAAACAGGAAGATAACGGAAGACAAAAGACTGATATAGCCAAAGGATGTTCCTTTGCTGGGTATCTATCATTCGGACATGACTGAGATTTCATGACATGCTAAATCGGATGTCTCAAACATCCGCCGGAGTCCACAGGGACGTAAAACTTCGATTGGAAATAAAACGGCGGCATCAAAATGCAAGCCAGATGCCACGATCATCCTCCACCTTCGAGGCGATAATCCACTGACCACAGCTTCTCCCATGGACGGTATCTGGTAGTAGACCGTTGGTTGGTGATCGAGGCAGACGGCGACGATGCGGCTTCGGAAGCTTCAGCCCGCAAGGATGAGGGTGACTTGATCCCCTCTTCTCGCAGTCGTTGCTGCCCGCCGAATGAGGACTCATGTGTGGTTACCAAGCCCTAGGATGGTCCGTCAGACACAAATCGAATGCAAGGGAGGCCAGGTCCGCAGAATCACGGGCCTTGGAGTAGGTCGCGGCGCACCTCGTCGAAAACAGGGGCTGTCTCCCGGGGGAGGGAGCCCGCAGTAGTAGCATTAGCATTAGCATCTGCCTCGGCGGGCCGAGCGAGATCGGTGGTCGAGTCGTTGGCGCGTTGTAATGACGTGGAGGGACCTCTCTTGGACGTTGAGCTATTCCGTCGGCTGTCCAAGCTCTTGGTGAGGGTTTTGGCGACGTTCCCTCCAGCTGTGCTGCGCTTCAGGCGAATGCTCCCGCGAGCATCAACATGTGCAGGTGCGACGGTGCTCTTCCCTAGACCCGGTGTGGCAGGAGCACCGGGCTTCTCTTCAGTGGCATCTAGGAGATACCAGCGTAGGCCGTCAGACAACTCGAATGGATTTTCGTCGTCAAAGGAGGTGACATCGCTAGCCTCACCAATCGATCGCCGGTCAGGGTTTGCGCTATTCATCGATTTGGACAGGTCGACGACACGTTCCTCGATTTTCGTAATGCGAGCCAGCAGCCAATCCCGGGCCTGAAGCTTATGAGCATCTTGCTCGCGGAGGAAATAGTGAGGCGCCCCGACGTTGAACGCGGCCCAGGACCGAATGGCTTGGTTGCGTGTCGGAAGAAACAATGCGAGATCGCCTTCTTTGAAAGATCGATATGCAATCTTGTCGTGCGCTTCACCCTGTACCCGATGGTATTTATCTCTGTACCCGCGAGCTTCCTTCTGCCATTTGCGCGCGAGAAGTTCAATATCTTTCACCCGTTTCACCACGGCATCTCCAAAGATATCAACATCGAATTGGCGCAGTGATTCCATGAAGGCCATAAACTGGGCGTCTTCTTCCTCGGGGCTGTCGGCACCCATCCAATTGAGCAAAGCTGGATCAGGTTTCACAGACACCACACCAGACTGGCTAAGACTATCACCGGTGGCAGAGAGAGCGTTGACCTTGGACGATCTCTGGACGACAATTTCGCCATCCTGACGGATAATAGTGAAACCTAGTTGCTCCAACATGCGCTCCAATTTCTCTACCTGTCCAAAAAGCTTTCTCGACAGTTCCTGTGTCCGATCTCCATATTGACCGACACGGGCTGCGGTATGCTGTTCGGATGCATTCACTTCTTCAAGCTTCTTCTTCCAGTCCCTGGCCTCTTCTTCGGTCCGGCGAGCTTGAGATTCAACCTCCGCCAGCTTCTCGGCTAGAGCAGCGCACTTCTTTTCCTCCTCGAGGACTCGCTCGCGGAGAGCATCAGAGCCAGTCTCGCCCGCAGCGAACTTGGACTCCAAGTTACTCAACGTTGAGCGTTCGTCCTCCAACTCGGCCGTAATCACAGCCAGTTTGGCTTCTCCCTGCGACAACTGCTCCTTTGCTGAAGATAATTGAGATTCACGGTCTTCCAAGGTCTTTCTCAACTCCTCTGCTTCGGTCTCGATATTGCTGAGACGCTCTTCCAGAGTCTGTATCTCGGCAGTGGCCTTAGCCGCATTGTCTTCGGCCGTTTTAGCGTGGATCGACAAGCCTTCGGCAAGAACTTCCAGAGCCTTTATGATGCTGGGTGTCTCGGCAGGGACAGTGCCTCCGGGTGACAGATGCATAAAGGCAGCCTGCAATGCATGATAGCTCTCCTGGTCTTTCACCCTCCTTTCCGTTTCCTTCTTCTGAAGCTCATCAAGGCGCAAACGCAGGTTCTGTTCCTCTTCCTTCTGGCTCTGCATCTGTTCAACCAAGTTACTCGCCTTTCGGATCTGCTCCTCGGTATGTACGTGCGCGTCTTGGAGCTCGATCTCGAGCTGGTGTATCCGTTCGTCGGCATCCTGCTTTTCGTGATCCCGCGCATCAATAGCTCGATCGAGTTCCTCCTCAAGCTCTTCGACTCGAATCTTGAATCGTTTCATTTCCCCTTCGAGGTATCTTCTCTCGTCGTCAAACTCGCGCTGTCGAGCCTCAAGGTTTCCAATCAAATCCTGTTTGGTCGATTGCGCTTCTTGGATCTTATCCGTGTTGGATTGTCGTTCAGCATGGGCCTCTTTCTGCAATTTCTGTACGGTTTCTCTCTCTGCGACCAACTCAGCCTCAAGGTGAACGATACGCTGAACAAGCGCCTTCTCCTCGGGAGACTGATTTGAGGACATTCTTCTCGAGGAGACCGAAGAACGTCTCGATGGTTGGTCAGGATGCGGCGATGCCGGCGAGCTAGGGAAGTCGAGTGAAAAATTCCCGCTGCTTGGTCGGCTCAGATGGCTCTGCCGATGCAGCAAGTCTTCGAGTTTCCGGATTCGACTTTCTGAGCCTTTCAGTCGATCCTCTAATTTGGACTTCTCGTCTCTCAAGCTTCGAACCATGTCGTCGCCACGGAGGAGAAGCGAGCTTCGACTTAGGTCGTAGAGACTGCCTTGTTTGAAGGCTTTCGCCCTGCGGCGTTGCAGTCGTGTAGGGGCGTCCAAGTCTTTGAAGAGCTGTGTGAGTTCCTGGACTATGGTGGCCATTCCGCCCTTCGTCTTCAACTCCTCGATGTAAAGCTCGGCCTCTTTCCGATTGACCACAGGCCACTCGTACTCTTGGCCGCGCAGATTGACTTCGATTCCCGGGGTCGTCGTATCGGAGATCGAGATGAATTCACCCATATTCTTCATCCATTTCTTCCTCCTGCGCTGTTCTTCGTCCTGGAAAACAGACATTTCTTCCGCGAGGGTTAACGAATCTGTCTTCATCTTGTCGCTGAACTCGCGGCGTCGAATGCTCTCGATAAGGACGGATCCATACACCAAAGGCATATGGAAGACGATGTAGAGGGTGTCAAAAGCCTCACTGTGAAAGCTGAAATTGTTGATTTGAGACTGCACATCGGCGAGACGTGACTCTAACGCGGAGATCTGACGCATATGGCTAAATGCAGCCTTCACAGCTGCATTATATCGTCGGACGGCTTCCTCCAGGCCAGCCTGGATCTCAGCGCTAATGTCCAACAACGACGGCAGGAGGTCCTTGGTATGACTGAGAGCGAGCCGAGAGACATTTGCCAACGTCTTTGGGTTATTCGATAGCGACTGCACATGTTCGTAGTCGGACTGGATCTTTTTCGCAATGGTTTCGACCTCTTGGAGGAGGCTCTCCACCCCATCAACTCCAGAAGGGACGGCTTCATCAACTAAACGCTGAGTGTCTGTAGCAATATCGCTCACAGATTTCTCGACGTCTTCCAGTCGGTGTACGAAGCGCGAGTGAACAGCAGCCGCCTCTGATCCGGCTTTCTGCACTTCTTCCGCATCCACATAGTCGCGTAGGCTTCCGATCGATCCATCTTTATCTTTTTTCGGTGTCGATGGACGGCCGAGAAAGAAGAAGTCCTTCCGAGCAGGAATAGTTTCCAGGGTCGCCAGCGCACGTCGCCACCCATCGAGGGCGACTTGTTGCTCCTTCATCAGGTCATTCGCCCACGCCTGTGCCTCCTGAAACCGGTGTTCCAAGGTTCCGACGTGAGTCTTGAGGTTCTCCAGGGCAACGCCTGCGGCACGGTTGACAATATCGGTGCGCTCGTTGTGGTCACGGATGCTCTGATCGATCGACTCGCAGCGATGCGTGAGATTCGAGGCCCATGTCTTGCGGGCATTGTACAGGTTACGCCAAGCTTGTAGGTCATTTTGATCGGCGAGGGTGTCTGGAGGACTTTCGAAGTCCAGCGGTTGTGGTGGGGGGAGTGTCGGAAGTTCGAGGTTGTCTTGCTCGCTGACATAGACCCGATCGTAAACAAAGACTTCATTCTAATGCAAGTATACCATGTCAGATTGCGCGTTGGCGGGAATATAAGAGACAGAAGCCAGGCTGTGTTACCTCGGCGGCAAGAGTCTGGATCTTGACATTCTTCCCACGGGCAGTCATTAAGATCTGCCGGGATGGCGGTATGGAGGTACTACGGTGGATCCATGTCCGGATGGCGTCCAACCTAGTGATGCGACATGATGAGATTAGCTACATTCTCAGACGAGGCGCAAAGTAGCGATAAGAGATGGGTGATATGAGAATGATGGTCCGGGCACAGGGAGTGGAGGTGAGTGATGGGAAAGCGATAACATACGACGGGAAAGACGCCGAATCGGTCAGGAAATGCTCACCGGAGTGAGCGATGTAAATATGCAACGACATCCCCTCCTCACCAGCCGTGCGAACAGCGGCTTCAGACAGTGATGGGAGGAAGAGTGGGAGGGGAGATGATAGAGAGAGAGAGATAACTACCTCGTCGTTGGAGTTGAGAGAGAGCTTCCCCCCGGCCTAGGCCCAATTGGGCGATGACATACGCCTGGGTCCAGCCCGAAACACTCCACCGCCTTTGCGCTGCTATTGGAGCACCGCCATCACACGATGCTTCTCCAGGCCTGCCACGAGGTCATTCTGGATGGCATCTGCAAAAGCTCGTCCTCTACCTCACCTGGACTCGGGTGAGGTTGCCCTGGTGGATTTCGCTGCGGATGACCCTCGCGACAATGTGACCTTCTCCGATAAGGAGGCGTTGATCCTTCAACTCTACCATCAGATCCAGGAACAGGAGTTGGAGAAGGCGCTTCTTCAGCAAGGTATGTACTACGATTTCCCTTTTTCGTTGGGTTATCACGGTCGGGGGTATTAACAGCTTCAGATACGGAATGGCTTTCTGGCGACGATGCTGCCGAACAACTGGCTGTCGCCGAACAAGAACTTCTCGAGGCGAGGGCTACGTATACGGCCAGGAAAAAGGCAATGAGGACCGTTTTGATGACCGAACCTACCTTGAAAGCCGTCCATCTGAAGGCGACAACTCCGGTGGAACAGTAGGTACCCCTTTGCCACCCAGTCGTGGCGATCCATTCGCCTACGCCTGTTCCACCATGCTAATGATCGGTAGAGCGCTTCTAGGTCTGGTCAACCGGCGAGACGTCCTATCGTTGGCCCATGAGAACCTGAACGCTGCGCAGAACTCGACTCTGCGGAAATTATCCGACGTGGAGGTGGAAAATCTACAGTTACACCGGAAGAACAAAGATCTAGTTCAAGAGCTCTTGAGCCTCACCAAGAATGACGAATCATGGCGGGAAAAGCTTGAAGACGCGGATCTCAGAGCCCAATTGGATCAAGTGCGAACTGACTACAAGAAGAGCAAGGCCAAATGGGATACGATGAAAAGCGTTGCCAGCGCCATCGTTGTAGGAAGTGGCGTGAATTGGGCCGAGGATGAGGATCTACTATCTCTGGTGTTGGATGAGTCGGATGATTGACGCGTTCGGAAGTTGATTACGGGAGGATGTCTCGTTCGAAGGACAGGGCGTTAAACGGTATACCCTTTTGTTGTTAGTTTAGAAGAGAGAAATACAACTTTTCTTTTTTTTTTTCCCCCATCAGAAAGACCTCAAGAATACATATAAAGTACTCGGGACGTCCTATGGAGTAGACGTAATCAAAATGATAGTGATCCATCTTGAAGCCGAGGGTGGCCCACGTGACATCATCATCGAATGGGAGAAGAATTGGGGGTGGTAATGATCATAGTGGTAAGAATGGATGGATGGATGTGCAAGCCGGAAAACGACGAGACATGGACAGAGTGGGTAGGACCTGACACAGGCCAATCATGACCATAAAGAAGGATTCATTACACCATCCACCACACCAAAAAGGTGAAGGAGCATGGGATGAACGCGTCTGTGGAGGGCAGCCCGAGAGGGAGGGAAGAATCAGCCCAGAGAAAGCCGGCGTTTCCACTTGGACCCAAGCAGTGCAGAGGACTCCATGACCCCCTCAGTCGGATTATTAACGCTTCGCCGGAGTAGGTGCGGCTTACAATACCAGGGCGACAGTGGTAATTTCCTGCCTATTGATACCGATCCAGTATTTTGCCGGTGGTAGGTGTTGTTTGCGTTGGAATGCAGTGGCATTTAGGTAAGATTTGGCTGCCGCTGTTTGTGATGCATACAACCCCGTCGGCAAGTGGTTTCCAATAGTCTCCCAGCCGAACCTAGTCCGAAAAGCAATAATAAGTCGAAGAGAATACCTAGCAGTGCGTGATTACTTATTATTCTGATGGTCTCCTGGTTTAAAATATGATGGGAGAAACAGTGACAATTCTTATGGACGTCGGGGAAGTCAAGAATGTGTCTGGGAGAATGTCGGCATATCTATAGACCGTGCGCATAGTAGAGAGACCTCGCTGAGCACGCCAAATCCTTCGGCGATAAACACGGTATTGTATTCAGTCATGGGCGAGAAGCACAGTAGGGTAGGTACCTTTATCTACCAGCAGGGATCGGATTGGGAGTTTTTATTAGCAGTACATAGGTACTAGGTATCACTAGAACAATATTCGGCTTCTGGTAATCGACATGGCTGAGAGATAGCAGCTGATCAGGTAGGGACTAAACTCTATCGAGAGCCGGAGGATCCAGGGTGTTTCTATTCTTCTTGTTTGTTTATGTCGTCGGCTTTTCTCTGTGGGGATTTATTTTATGACGCGCATCAAACGCGAAGCCTGCGGAATTTTGGTGCACATTGCTGCAGTAAACGAAGCATGATTATTGTCTTGATGATCAATGGGTGTGTAAGCAGATCTTCAATAATAAAGGGATAGGAAAGGAAATATTTGCGAAGTGTAGAATTAATAAATAAATAAATTGATTGGAAATGTCCTTTGTTGCCCGGTATCAATTCCAAAGGCGTGCGCATTGTGTCGTCCGTACTCCGCGCGTGTGTACAGCCCAGCTGAAGGAGTAATAGGAAGATCCACGCGGAGCAGAGGTTCCAACCAGTGTGTATCACAACGTAAGAAGAGTTCCTGTCACTAGGAGGTCACCGGCTCGGCAATATTATGAATGATCAAATCCCATAGCCGAGTGTGAATTGCAGGACGACATACGGAGTACATAGGGGCGTTCGGTTGGAGGTATGATGTATCAAAGGACTCTGAGCGAGCTGCAGGCCCGCCAACTCAGCCCATCCACAATACCTCCAAGATGTCTGCTCCAAATTGAAGGAGTCGGCGCCGTTCGCATGAAGTACCTTTTATGGGTCTCTCACGTACGACTGCGGTACTAGGTACTGAAGGAGGTACCACCATCCAGTGGCAGTGGCAGCAGTACGGGATCAGCTTGGTATCGATGTGTGCAGTGAGGTAATTTACCCACCTGGTCCGCAGTCCATGGCGCGCAATGGACAAGAGTATCGGACTGGTATGGTACCAAGTGATACAGACTGGTATTGTGGACTTTGCTCATGCAATCGTTGCGAGGCTTTCGCGTCCATAATAGACAAATGGGATGTTCTCAAGGAAGAGAATCAACTCGCGTACAGTCATCAATAATGCTATAAAAAATTCACTTCTTCACGACCATCTTTTCCCCCCTTCAAAGGGTCTTCTGAGTGGTAAGTTGCTCAGAAAAGACCTGGGCCGTAGGTGGTGGGTGATGGCAGGGGCGGACAGCAATGACGATACCTGACGGGTATGGTACGATACGGCTCATTCCCTTGCTGTGTTGCCCACTTCCCCCCTTTGCAAGAGTGGTCGGTGGTAGGAGGAAAGAGGTGGTGGTGAGGGTGGTGGTGGCCCGCCTCTCCCGTCTCCCTCTCTCTCCTACTACTACTACTCTCCCCTCTCCCACTCTCTCTCACTCTTCTCTCCTCACTCTCTCCCTACTACCTCTCTCTCCCATACAATCTTCTCTTCCCCATACAAAAAAGTACTGCATATCCGCCTCGGTGAGTGCCCTCATAAACATCCCCCTCTTGAGCATTGGTTCTTCACCACCCACACAATTATTTCCTTTTTTTAAATTTTGTTTCTTTCCTTTGCCATCGTCTTCTCGCTCCTCTGTTTCCTTGGATTTTTCATCATGAGCGCGCCATCTTACCGTCGCGCGCACCTGCGCTGGTCAACTATATACTTCGACCAACAATAACTTGATCCAAACAAAATGGCCTTTTCTTGTGGTCAGCATTGCCAGCTTTTGTTTCCAGTTTTTTGGTCTTTTTCCGGAGGTCAATTGTCCGGCAGTTGAGCTCCTGCGCGCGCTTGCGCCCGTGTCAGCCGGTGTTGCGCTCGCGACTCTGCGTCGGGCGCGCGCAACACGCTTTCTGCCTACCACCTTGCACCCCCTGCGCGCACTGTCGCACACCTCTTCTTCTTGTTCTATTCCTGTTTTTCTGGTCGTTGCTCATAGGCGACCCTCATCCTTTCTTCAAAATTCCCATTCTTCCTCTACTCGATCACCGCGCATGGTCACAGTGCTCTAACCAGTCTACTACTGCAGGAACCCACCATCAAAATGCCTAAGGAAAAGACCACCCGCAAGACTAAGCCCACCACCCGCAGAAAGAAGGGTATGTCGTCTGTCTCTATCCTCGTGTCTCTTGACTGACCCCACTCGCAGACCCCAACGCGCCCAAGCGTGGTCTCTCTGCTTACATGTTCTTCGCCAACGAGAACCGTGACAAGGTTCGCGAGGAGAACCCCGGCATCACCTTCGGTAAGGCCCATTCGACTGGTGTCATACGGTCGATGCTAATCGCTTTGCAGGCCAGGTGGGTAAGATGCTCGGAGAGAAGTGGAAGGCCCTGTCCGAAGACGACCGTCGCCCGTACGAGGAGAAGGCTGCAGCCGACAAGAAGCGATACGAGGATGAGAAAGCCAGCTACAACGTGAGTTCCCGTCCCTAGCGCATTCCATCACGGAAGCTAACTCCTATCAGGCCGCTGGCGATGAGGACGAAGAGTCGTCTTAAGCTCGCTCTGTGACGCGGTCATGCCCGGCCGATTGGCGTTTGTGTTGTGATTTTCCCACTGTTTGACTTGTATCTGTTCTGAAATAATTCCTTTTCTCCTCATCTGGCTTCGGGTATGGGATGACGGTGGTTTCTCGTTACTTTTCTGTTCATGAAGGATCTTCCATGGGAAATGTTTACTGTACGGACTCGTGGGGTTGGGACAAATTTCAAACTTGAACGGGGAGTCCCGGCGTGCTTTGAGCCGAACGGCGACTGACCTTGTTTGAGAGTAATCTGAAGTATGAAGTGAGCTGCAGAAAGTAATGATATAGTATTTATTGAGCTAGCGCTGGTGTAGATGAATGTAGGGAATGCAACTGAGCTGTTGGCGAGCATATCCATCAGCAGCAGCATCATGATGAGGAATCTGCGGGTGGCCCAAGCTCCTTCCGGACGCGGGGCGCATCCGGTTTTGTTTACTCCGAGACGTGTTTGGACGCGTCGTGCTCCGATAGCTCCGACCTCGGCTGATGCCTGAGGCTGCCAGCTGGGAAGTATGTAGTAAAATATCAATCTATTTTGAAACCACAGATATAATCATACAATAACGACAATCCAACAGAGATCATCTAGCCCACCTGCAACACCTCCCCCTTCTTGATGGCATCCATGATCTCCTTCCCCAAGGGGTCCTTTTTCTCGAAACTGTGTGCCTTCCGCTCAGCACTGCTCCAGGTAGTGAGATCGAGAGAGTCCCCCCCAATCCGTCCCTTCTGGCGTGGCGAATGGCTTTTTGCATGTTTGCCAGAATACTTCTGCAGAGTGCCCGACCACAGCCATGGATCCCGAACATTGACCTGCGGCGGCAGTTGGACCTCCTCGGCCTTGGCCAGCTCCTTGTCTGTCAGGGGGAGCTGAATGCCATGTTTGGCCGCGTAGGCGCGAACGTATCCCGCAAACCTGGTCGCCAGGTGGTCGTCTTCGCCCATGAAACCGTCTTTCTCCCACCCGGTCGACAGCTGGATGTACTGCGCCATGACGGCCGGCAGGCTCTGGACCTTGGGGTTGGGCTTGAGCAAGCTAGCGTTGTCCAGGGTGACCAGCATGTTGAGGAACATGCGGCAGATCAGGCTATGTGTGTCGTAGACGCATTGGGCGTCGTCGATCCTAGACGGTCAGCACCCACACCCACCACCAAGACGGAAGGTAGTAAAGCAAATGCAACCTACATCGTCATCGGAGTCATCGACGACCCCATACACAATTGCACCATGGCCTCGCACACGGCCCACTGGTCGCGCCAGCTGGGCTTCATCTCGTCGTAGTCCAGGAGCAGGTTCTGCACGACCTCGAGCACCCCGTAGCCGGCGTGGTCGTTGAACGTGTACATGTCGAACAGCTCCGGCTCGCGCAGATTGCACATGATGCGCGCGCCCACGTACTTCTGCCACCCGGCCTTGGAGATGACCCAGCGGTGGCCGGGGTGTTCGTCCGCGGGTTTGCGGCACAGACAGGTCTTGCCGTTGTCGCAGCGGACTTTTTTCCCCGCGTCGGCGGGGCGGTCTTGCTCATTGCTGTCTTCATCTTCGTCGTCTTCCTCGTCATCTTCCTCGTCGTCGTCCTGGTGGTCGTCGATGATCGACCGACACAGACAGATGTAGCTGTATGCGTGTGCTGGGTCCTTTTCGACGAGCTCCTTGTAGACGGCGGCGACATTGGCCGAGGCGGAAACGCTGGACCAGCGCTGGTTGCGCTTGGTGGATGAGCCGGTTTTGGCCTTTTTGGCTGGACCGGCAGAGTCAGAAGATGCACGCTTAGGCATTGTGGAGATGGTTGTTGTGTTAGGGTGGTAGTGACGAATTAAGGAAGAAGGATTTGGTGCGTGGTGTAGATGTATGGAACGGAAGTATAAAGGATGGAGGATGGTGTACAGAGTAGAGAAAGTCAGGGGTGTTGATATATGTGGGAGATTAAGGGGGAGACGCGAACCGTGCCGGTTGGAGCAGTCGACTGTGTCGCGTTTTCTTTACTTGCTAACATTATTAGCCGGTCGGTTGCTTATAACGAGGTGTGGCTTTGGCAAAAGTTGCTTATATCGAGGTTTGCGCTCGGGTGTGGCGTGTGCGTTGGAATAAGGTAAGATGGGAAGGATAGTTAACTAATAACTATCGAGATAGCTTACTTTATATAGAAAACAACTTTAATGTCAGCAATCTAGTGTACATACAATGGAATCTGTCTATGCGAGTGGTTACATGAGGAGTGACTATTAGAATATTAGCATCTGTTGATATAGATACTAGTCACAACCGAGCTCTGACCACCACTAAAGAACTATAAAGAGTCCACCGATGTATGACAATCCAAGACATGTTACTGGCTGCAAAACATCCAGCGCAGGTGTAGATACCATCATCATCCTGACTGCATGCTGAAATTCCCCGCACAGTGGAAAGCCAAGCACTCTGCATTGGCACTTGCATTCTCATTCTCATTCTCGGTGGAATTCTTCAGATAACTTCTACAGGTACTCGCTTACTTAACTGAGTGTGATGGTATACTTGATACGCACAGAGTTCGCTTATGAACTGGCTAGTTACAAATCTTCATGCAACAGACACCGACTAACGTCTAGTGCAAGTACCTTGGGAGTTGGCAGACTCGGCAAAATCTTCAGCTTCATCTTCAACCAGACATCACCTCCATTCTTATATTTTTACAACATCCACTGGAATGGCGACACCCGAAAAAACACCTACCGTCGTCCATTCCTTCGCATCGTCGGATTTCGAAGAAGCTGAGCGTTCCTTCCAGTTCACCAAAGATGAACACAATCTGCGCTTCTGGGAGGCCATGCGCCGGTACTGGCCCGCTATCGGCTGGGGCCTGTTCATGAACCTGGCCACCGTGCTCAAGGGCATCGACGGCGGCATCGTCAAGAGTCTGGTCGGTCTGGACGTCTTCAAGCAGACCTACGGCTACCAGTACCAGGGGTCCTACATCCTCGCCGCCAAGTGGCTGTCGGCCTTCAACTATGCCAACCTCATCGGCGGCATCATTGGCGCCCTGTGCTCCGGCTATGTCTACAACCGCTTCGGTCCGCGCATCATGATCGCCCTGTGCTCCTGCCTGTCCATCGCCTTCATCTTCCTCCAGTTCTTCAGCCACACCCCGGCCCAGCTCTTCGTTGGCCAGCTCATCAACGGCTGCGTCATCGCCTTCTACCCCATCTGCGCCTCGGCCTACATCGGCGAAGTGACGCCGCTGGTCCTGCGCGGGTTCGCCGCCACCATGACCAATTTAGCCTTCTCCATCGGCTCGCTGGTGGCGTCAGGCATCCTCAAAGGCACCTCGTCCATTGACAGCAAGTGGTCGTATAAGATCCCGATCGCCGCGCAGTGGGTGCTCCCCTGCGTCATGTTAGCCCTCGTCGCGTTCGTCCCGGACCCGCCGTACTGGCTCTGCCGACATGGCCGGTATGACGCCGCCGCCCGATCCCTGCAGCGACTGGCCACGCCGACGGTCGACGCCTCGCTGAAGCTGTCCCACATCAAGGAAACGCTGCGGCTGGAGGACACCTTCAAGGGCGACCGGCCGAACTACCTGGAGTGTTTCCGGGGGCCGGACTTCCGGCGGCTGCTGATCTGCGTCATGGCGTACAGCATGCAGGCGTTCACGGGCAACGTGTTCTTCATCAACTACGCGGTGCACTTCATGGAGCTGGCGGGGCTGGATTCCTCGGACGCGTTCTCTATGAACCTGGGGCTGACCGCGATCGGGCTGGTGGGCACCTGCATCTCCTGGTTTCTGCTGTCGTTCGTGGGCCGCCGGACGATGTACCTCTTTGGCTGTTCGAGCCTCTGCCTGATCCTGTTGATCATCGGGGCGGTCGATGCCGCCCCGACCCGCACGAATCAGGTCGTCTGGGCGCAGTGTGGCATGATGCTCGTCTGCACGTTCATCTATGACATCTCGCTGGGGCCGTTCTGCTACGTGCTGCTGGCGGAGGTGTCGTCGGCGCGCCTGCGTGGGCTGACGATTGCGCTGTCAACGGTGAGTTGCTTTGTGTGGTCGGTGGTGTTTGCGGTGGTGATCCCGTACGCGATGAACGAGGACCAGGGTGACTGGCGCGGGAAGATCGGGTTTCTGTTCTCGGGGCTGAGCTTTTTGTGTGCGGTGTATTGTTTCTGGTGTCTGCCCGAGACCAAGGGGAGGACGTTTGAGGAGCTGGATATCCTGTTTGAGCAGAAGGTGCCGAGTCGCCAGTTCAAGTACTACAAGGTGGACATTGATGTGAACGGGCGGATATTGCAGTAGCTTCTTGATGAGCTTGAATAGAAATGAATACCCCCTAGTATGTATACTCGGTATAGTACTCCGTAGGATGTGAACGTGGATGCATCAGATTCGACGGCGTCTGCGGATCTCATTGGGCTGAAGACGCCACTGCATGCCACGTCAACGTCGGGGTCTTTTTCCCGTCAAGAGCCGCAAGGGAGAACTTTCTCTGTCGGACTCGATCCGACGACATTCCTACCCCGCTGTCCCGGTCGAGGTGGTGGTGATAATGCGACAGATCAGGCGGTGGTGCGACCAAACCCTAAGTCGATGCATCTTTTCCGTGCGCACAATCTGACTCTTCTTTTCTTCTCACCTCACATATCAACTCTTGCAGACCGTCTTTTCTCGCTTGCATTCTCCGGCTTCTCGTGCATATGTCATAGAGTACATCCCTCTCCCACCCACCCCCACCATCAATTCGGAATTCCCTTCTCCCCGCCATCGATGAATGTCCCCTCGCCCACCTCTCTCCATCATGGCCCTGCGCGCTTCCGCCGATGAGGCCGAGAATGTGGCCGCTGGCTTCCGTCTGTTTCGCGACCCGCTGCCAGAATATGCCACCGAAATCACCTCGCTGATCGCCGACCTCTACGCCATTAGCTCCTCGCTCAACCGATTGGACGACCTGCACAAGAATCGCGCCTACCGACAGAATCTCGCCGTCGCGCACGCCGATGTCGAGCTCGTCCGCACCAGCCTGAACTACACCTTTGAGGATATCATTGATTTCATGGGCGAGCTGGATGGCGTCCGCGGGCCATCGCGCGATCTCTACCGGCGCACCTGGATGGACCTGTGCGCCTTCTTCCGCACCCAATCCCACGAGACCCTGTCCAGCCGCCTGGCCAAGTACAAGACTTTTTTGAATGAATTGGAGGATTATGTCCGGAAGTGCGCTGTCTACCTTACCTTGACGTCTTACGAGTCGGCACGCTGACCGCTTTAGTAAATCCCCCGACTTGCAGCTCATGGCCACGCTCCGCGTGGGCTTCAAAGAGCTCCAGTTCCATCAGGAGCAGCAGCTTGCTGCCCAACTGGCTGCCGTGTCGCTGAGCTCCCCGTCCTCGGCCAGTAGCAACAGCGCCGATCCCGGCAGCCCCGTCAGCGACCGTCGGCCGCCCAAACGGCGGTCGTATGAGCGGACACGGCCGCAGACGTCGCCGCAGTCCCCGCTGTCGCCGGCGTCGGGCGGCTTCTTCGACATCCCGCCGACGGTGCCTGACGCCCCGGGCTCGCCAGTCACGAGCTCCGCCACCAGTCAGACGCTGTCGTCCACCAACACCGTCGCGGAACACTGGGCGAAGCGCGTGTTCCTGGACGAGCATACGACGACGCTGATTCCGAATGATGGCGAATGGTAAGCTAGCACCTCGGTAGTGAGGGACAGATAGTAACGAGTCTAGTTCCACATGTCTCGGAGAACATCTCCCCGGCGCCAAGCGCATGCTCCACGAGCAGGGCTTTGAGAAGCTCGTTGAATTGTGAGTCTCCTGCGGACGTGTATGGGACGCGACTGACCAGCTAGATCGTTCAATGGAGACTCCGACTTTCGCGTCCACTTTTACATCCGCGAGGACGACCACCGCGCCCGCATCCTGTGCAAGTCCCCGCGCACCTCCCGCGGCAGCGAATACTACTGTCTCCCTCTGAACATGCTGGAAATCGTCTGCGTGGGGTCCTGTCTGCAGCTGTGCCGAAGGAGCAAGGGAGGAAAAGGACTGATTGTCTGGGCCAATTTCAAGTTCACCGCTATCGAGCGTACGTATTTCCAGTTTCCTTCCAGGCCAAGCTGACCAGACAGAACTGGTCGTCTTCTTCTGCACCTTCCTGGCCCTTCGCTCCCAGGACTCGGGGCGCCCGGTGGAACGCATCCGGGACTATGAGCTGGAGCGCGAGCAGGAGCTTTTCGGGGGGTAAGTCGCTAACACTGAAAGGGGGCATAATGCATCACTAACGAGTCAGCAAAATCGTCGACGACAACTTCCTCCATGCCTTGCGCATCTACCGGGACACGGTCTCCGGCGCCGTCAGACTGCAAGCGTCTGTGCACAAGGGCGAGATGAAGCGGTGCGTTTGAAGCACTCCCAGCAGTCAGCTACAAGCGCTAATGATGTAGATCCCCCATCTGGACGGCATTCATCACCCACCATATCGGCACGCGAGGCTGGATGCGCCGAGCCGAGCCGAAAACCGTCGTGCTGCGGACGCTGCAACGCTCCATCTTTACCTTTCCCGACTATAATCCGCCGCTGACGGCGCAGGGCGAGCACATTCTCAAGTTTACGAATCGCTCTGGTGAGTTGCCTGTTCGAGGCGTTCTGATCGAAACTGACCCTTGCAGATGCAACCGCCTTTGTGCAGACCATCTCCGAACTGGCCGCCTTTCCTTGATGCCGTTTCCTTACGACCTTTGCTTGATGCATTACGATGACACGACGCTAGTAATGAGTACGATATAATGAGAAAATCATGATTGACGAGTATGCGTTACGATTGACGAGAGCTATGTCCGGTGGCTTCCTTTCAATACCAGGAGGGCGAGTGTATTTAATGACGTTGAATAGTACATGATCTAGACTTTGTAGGGTATCATAACATTAAGTAACATAACTCCTCATTCCATCACACCAACAGGCCCCCCCAACCCAGCAAGGAACATCTCCGCCCGCCGCTTCGACCGCAACTCCTCAATCTTCTTCCGCCGCTCATCGCGTGCCCGCTCACGAACCGCCCTCCGCGCCCGCCGCGCCTCCCGCTCCCGCTGCGTCTCGTCCCGCGCGCTCATCAGCTCCTCCATCTGCCGCCGCCGCTCCTCCTCATCCCTCGAAAACGCATAGAACCCCGTGCCGCGGTTGCGCACCTCCGCCTCCGCATCGTAGTGCATCGCCCCGGGCGGCGTCGGCGACCGGTCCCGCCGCGCCGCCAGATCCGCCATCGCCCCAGACCCCTGGAACGCCTCCGTCTGCACCGTCGCCCCGTAGATGAGGTTGTCCGGGCGGGAGGGCCGCCAGCGCTCCTGGTGATTCACGCGGTCGTCTCCATCCCGCTGGGCTAGTTCCTTCTCTCGCGCCGCGCGCGCAGCCTCAGCTCGCGTGCCGCGCCGCGTACGCCCCAGCTCGTCTTCATACGAGACAATCGACGCATCGTCATCGTCTCCCCTTTCCTCTTCCTCCTCCTCGCCCTCCTCATCAGACCCCGCGCGATCAGCCCACTTCCGATCGAAATCCACCAGCCCCTCGCGCTCCTTCCGCCGCAGCCGCATCAGATACGCATCCCCGCCATCCCCCTCCTCCTCGTCGCTGCTCTCCGCAGCCAGATACAGCCCCCGCTGCATGTCCTCGTACATCCGCGCCTTCTCCTCCATCCGCCGCTGCGACCGGTGCAGCGTGGCGGCGTCCACGGCGCCCAGGTCCGCGGTGCGCTGGTGCGTCTGCTGCGCGTAGGCGCGGTCATCTTCGGAGGCGGCGAGGTCGGCCGCGACGCGTTTGGCGGCGCCTTTGTTGGGGCGCGCGAAGAGGTCGGATTTGGCGGCTTTCGAGGGGCGCGGGCGTGCGCCGCCACTGCTGGGGGTTGAGGAGTCTTTGGCGATCAGCGAGGAGAGGGTGGTTGTGAAGGCGAGGGTCGAGGAGGAGGGGGTTGACGAGGGGGATTTGGGGCGTTTGCGGGTGCCGTAGAGGTTGGACATTGTGCTGGTAGGTGTATGGAGTATGGAGTATGGATGGTTGAAGAGATGGTGAAGTGTATGGTGTGATAACGATAAGCTGTGCACGTGACTTGTAGTGACTAACATCTGCCCCGCGGCGGTTCTACTTCTGCTTCTACTTCTCGACTGCTTTGCTTCAGGAACACTTGGTGATCGTTGATTGACTGTCGTGTTCAATTGCTTTCTACCAATTCTATTCATCCTTTCTCCGGCTCATTCTCCTGCACAATGACCGCCCCCATCTACCTCGGTGTCGTCGGTACGTCCATACCTCCATGCCACCCAGCACATCCCCAACACCCAACATACCAGCATTGTGCTTCAATACTAACAGCCCAGGCGTCGGCGGCGTGGGAACCGCCTTCCTGAACCAACTCGCCCGCCTCCCGAACGCCCCCCAGCTCATCCTGCTGGCGCGGTCGACACAAACGCTCCTGGCTCCGACACCGGCGTACAGCCCCGCGATCCCCGCCGCGGACTGGAAGACCGCCGTTGACACGCCCGCGCTGACCAAGAAGGGCGCGCTCTCCGCCGACGAGATGGCCAGCTACCTCGCCGCGGCGCCAGGCCGCGCCATCCTCGTCGACAACACCAGCGACCCGCAGCTGGCAGGCCAGTACCCGGTCTTCCTGCGGCAGGGCATCTCGATCGTCACGCCCAACAAGAAGGGCTTCTCGTCGGACCTGGCGCTGTGGAAGGAGATCTTCGCCGCCGCCGCGCAGGGCAACGCCCTCGTCTACCACGAGAGCACCGTCGGCGCCGGCCTGCCCGTGCTGTCGACGCTGCGCGATCTCGTCGCCACCGGAGACGAGGTCACCCGCATCGAGGGCGTGTTCTCGGGCACGCTGTCGTTCCTGTTCAACACGTTTGCGCCGGTCGGCGGCGCCGGCGGCGGCAAGTGGAGCGAGGTCGTCGCCCAGGCGAAGGAGCTGGGGTACACGGAGCCGGACCCGCGCGACGACCTGAACGGCATGGACGTGGCGCGCAAGCTGACGATCCTGGCGCGCATCGCCGGGCTGGATGTGCAGGCGCCGGACGCGTTCCCGATCGAGTCGCTCATCCCCGCGGAGCTGGCGGGGCTGCCGGCGTCGGCGGACGGCGTTGCGCAGTTCATGGCGCGCCTGCCCGAGTTTGATGGCCAGATGGCGGAGATCAAGGAGGGCGCCGAGAAGGCCGGCAAGGTCGTGCGGTATGTCGGCAGCGTGGATGTGGCTACGAAGCAGGTGCGCGTCGGTCTGCAGCAGTTCGACAAGGACAGCGCCATTGCCGGGCTGAAGGGCAGCGATAACATCATCAGCTTCTACACCCGGCGGTACGGCAGCAACCCGCTGATTGTGCAGGGCGCCGGGGCCGGCGGCGATGTCACCGCCATGGGCGTGACGGCGGATCTGATCAAGGTCATGCAGCGGTTGCACTAGGTGCTGGGATGGATGGTAGATAGAGGAAGGTAGATAAAAGTTACGTCGTGCGCAATACTAGCGTATGTTGTGTATCTAGTTACGCAAGAAATGCTTCACGGCATCCCCCCAAACCGCCCCCCGCTTGTACCAGTGCATCTCAGGCACATTCCCCTCCTTCAGCCCGTCAATGGCGGCCGCCAGCTCCTCGCCCAGTCCCTCATCTTTGATCGCCTGGATAGGATACGTATACGTATGGAAGCCGAACACCAGCGCCTTGGTAGTTGGCAGCCGATGCAGCGTCTGCCTCTCGCACCGCAGAACCGTCTACATCCGTCAGCTCTCCAACAACCAATATGCAATGCAGCACTCACCGTCTCAACATCCAACTCCCCCTCCCCAATCCTCTCCTGAATACCATCCCCATGACCCTCCCCATGCACCCCGCCAAACGCCGCAAACAACCCCGCCTCAGTCGTAACACTCCAATTCACCCGCTTCACAAACCGGCCAACCTCAACCCGTGCAAAAAACCGATCCATACTCCGCTCCAGCTTAGCCGCATACCCGGGCACAGGCGCATGGATCTCGGCCAGACTGCGCGCCAGCTTGGTGCGCGTGTCGAATCCGGCCGGGAAGAAGGTCGCGTACGCCTGCAGGACGTACTGCGGGTGGCCGTCGGCGGTTTTCTCGTCGCTGTCGGCGGAGGGCAGCAGGAGGAGGAGGTCCTCGTCGATGAGGGTGCTGAGGCGCTCGAGGTCGGCGCGCGCGGAGTGCCGGGATATGGGGCCTGGGTGGAGGGGGTGGGGATTCCCTTCGATGGCGAGGTTGTGTAGCACCATGTTGCTATCGCTGCTGCTGCTGGCAGGGCCAGGGGTGAGGCGGAACATGGTCGGGTAGCGGGTGGGCAGGTATGTTCCCACGAGGAAGGTATAGAGTTCGCGGACGGCGGCGGCGGTGCGCTCGTCTGCGTCCGGGTTCACGCCTATGACGACGTCTGGGTGTTGGTGTAGGAGGGAGGCGCGCAGCGCGAGACGGTCTTTGTAGGTCTTGTCCATGGGGATGAGGGTGGAGGGGTCGAGGGTTGAGAGGGCTGTATATATGTTAGTATCTCGTTACCAGCGGGAGGATGGCGAACAACCCATGGTCAGATGGTACTTGGGCTTGAAGGGCCGGAAAGACAGGGGCTCGGTGGAGCTCCAGTCGAAGTCGGGGAGAGGTTCGATCGGAGGGTATCCTGTTGGGTTCGACCTGGTCTTGTCTTCATCTTGAGCTGTCTGCTGGTATGGTCAGCGAATGTATACACGGCGTGAAGAGGACGAACTCGGTTCCAGAAGCCAAAGGCCCAGATTGCCAGTACAAGACAAACTACCCACAGGGGGTGTCTCTCTAAGTATTGCGCCAGCGCGATGACTGCGTTGATTGCATCCATGATGTCGTGTCCTGCTTAAAACGAGGACAGTCCAGATGACAATATATACCAGGCGTATAGACTCTTATCTCGCAGTGCGATTGGCCAACACCCCCGCTCCACGCTGATTGCCCCAAGGGCCGAGGTCGGTGATATAACCAAGAGACAGACGATGATGATGATAAACATTGACGAACGAGAGCAGAAGCATATACAGGGGTATCTACCTACAAAACAAACCAGGCGCAAACGAAAGAACCGCTCACTCGGCATCCTCCCTCGGATTGCGCCGTTTCACTCCCTCACCCTTCCCCCTCTCTCCATCGTCATACCCGGCCAACCCCAACACCTGTCGCGGCGCGTCCGCCCGCTCGTTCAGACTCGGCGCATGCGGCCGCTGCATGCCCCGCGCGCGGCCGCCGACCACGGGGATCTCGTATATCACCATTCGCCAGAGGTACAGGGCCAGGTCGAAGAGGAGGAGCGCGGCCCAGGGGAAGATCGTGACGAGGCCGAGGAAGACCTGCGGAGTTAGCTGCCGTACCTAAGTAGCTAGGTAGGATGCGAGTGCACGCGCAGGAGACGTACAAAGACGCGGGCGGCCCAGCTCTCGACGTAGAAGAAGTCGGCTGGGAGGATGGAGTACCATGCCATTGTCTGGTATCGTAGAGTCGCGATGATAGGTGTGTAGGAGGGACGCTGAACGCAACGGTGGTATGCTGAGCAGAGCGGACCGTCTGTCCAGCCCGAGCAAACCCAGCTAGACAGCAAGCGACCGACTGATATCCCTATCCCCGCTCTGGAGGATAGACCATCCGATCCGAGTCGAAGGAACCGTCCGGCGGATCACGTTGATGGTGTGGTCGGTGGTGGTGTTGGGCGATCGGCTGGCCTCGGCGGTGGTGCGATGCGATCCAGGAGTCGCAAAACCGGTCTAGTGTGTTAGGAGAGGGCGGAAATTGGAGTCATGTCCGGTACCTAGGCCTAGGTAGAAGTGAGAAGGACCAGGATGCACCCCTGAGCGAGTGGAACGAGAAGACAAACGATCTGCTCGCCGAGGTTGAGTCGCTCAATCGGGTAATTGGTAAGCAACCTCACCCCTACTTACGGTACAATCCTATCATACCTAGGTATCTACAGTGCACGTCAATATACTCCGTAACCAACAACAATATATTTATACATCTCGCGTGAGCCGTCAGTCATGTCCAATATTACAATAATCCAAGCGCTCTATAATCAATATGTACCCTATCGAGCCATCCGGTAATGTTCATACGACGTCAGGCTGGGGTCGTCCTGCTCCACAGGCCCATATCCCCGCGTCCGCCAGCGGTCCAACGGCGTCGTCGTCTCCGTTACGGCCGGCCTCTGCGCCTGGCTGAGCAACTGCGTCTCACTTTCGTTGGCCTGCTGGTAGAACCCAGGCCCGCTATCCCCCCGGGACAGCGACCCCCGGAACGCTGGGTGGATGTGCTCCATGCCCACGTCATAGCCGTCGTACGGGCTCACTCCCGGCGGGATCGACGGGAGCGACGGCGCCGGCGAGGACGCACGCGACGAGCTGGGCGACCACTCGCCCAGCGCACTGCGCGGGGTCTGCGACCGCTCGGTGATCAGGTCCTCGGGTCGGCCGTAGATCCCGCCACCAAACTCGTCGCGGAAGTCCGGCCGGTCCTTGAAGTACGAGAAGTCGAGGTGGTTCTCGGGGACGACTTCGAAGGGTGCGGTCGCCGAGGCGTCCATCATCGTCTTGCCCGGCCGCCCGGCCGACATCGGATCCATCGCAATGTCCGAGTACTCGCCCTCGATCACAGACGACGCGAGACGGCCACGGTAGACGCGCTTGAGCGCCTCGGCCGCTTTGGCGTGCACCATCGGGGTGATCAGCGGCTTGAAGAGCGCCGGATGGCCGAATTTGCTGCTCAGCCGGTCCGACGCCTTCTTGCTCGACTTCTTGCCGGGGGTGGCCAGCGCCTCGGCGTCGCTCAAGTTCGCGCGGTTGTAGAATTTGATGTCAATGTCAAACTGCCGCACGCAGTACACCTTGAATCCCAGCATCAGGAACGGCAGCGGGATCACGCAGAACACCATGGTCCACGTCCCCTTGGCCTTGGCGATCAGCGCGATGACCACGTTGGCGAGGATGGTGGCAAACACCATCCGGTTGAACAGGACGCGCCAGAACTGTCCGCCGGACTCGTTCTTCGTCACGAACACGTACAGCAGCATGTATTTCTTCATCATCACGTCCAGGCCAAAGTACAGTGCCGTGACGGGGAGCACGATGGGCTGCAGGGTGGCGAAACAGAGCGCCACCGTCGCATAGAAGAGAAAGTAGTTGTAGTAACTCGCGTAGTCAAAAGGCGGCGGCGCCGTCCATTCAATGGCCTGTCGCGGCGTCGGGGAGAGGAAGGTCTTGGAGAACCACACCCAGAAGACGTTCACCAGCTGCACCAGGTCCACGGCCGCACCGAGGTTCCGCTGCAGCAGGTAGGTCACCCAGAAAGGCGACACCTGACAGAGGGCACTCATAATCTTCTGGTAGAAGTCGCCATCTTTGATCGCTTGCCAAGCATTTTCATCGCGCTGGGCGTCCACGACCGCCGCCACAAACGTCCAGGCGGCGGAGAACAACGAGAAGACGATGAGATTGTTGAAGACGAAAAAGGAGTAGAGATGGTGGAGCACGTGCCGCTCGCGCGAGGTTTTGGTGAGGTCGCCGGCACGGATCGCAAGGCGGCGGAAGATGATGGGCAGGATCAGGTAAAATAACGAGGTGATCGCGGGCGAGAGGATACCCTGAACGGCAGCCCAGACGTTAGGGCTGGCGCTGAGGGAGGTCTGGAAAGCGGGCCACACCAAGCCCAGATTATTGAGGTTGGAGAGGAAAATGGCGATCAGCGCGTTAGGGGCTATCCACACCACGGTGAGGATCGACACCCAGATCCGGTTGACGAACCGCTTCCATCGGCGGGCTTGTTTCGACAGCGGCAGATTTTCCCAGATGAGGTCGCTCGGCCGCGGCGCCAACCGGATGGTCGTTCCTTCGGGGTGTTTCCGGCGCGCCGTGTAGGCCACCGCATGCGCGTGTTCAATCATCTCCCAACTGACAAAGCCGAACGGCATCGCGTTGCGCTTGTCGATGGAGGCCCGGACGTGGTGGATTTCCTCCTCGAGTCGCTCGATCCGCTCGGTCAGGTAGTCAATGGCATCGACCTTTTCGTTTCCGTGCCGTTCTTTGCGGGATGGGCGCATAGTCGGCCGCTTGGCTGGCAGTCGATCGGGGTTCTTGAAATATTTCGCCAACACCGACTCCAACTGGCGAACGGTCTCCTCGTGTTTCTTGATCAAGACGGGCAGGTCTTTGACGTTGCGGCCTATGGAGGCACGGGGAATGGCGGCGGTAGGATTGACTTCGTCGGTGATTCGCAGAACGCCTTCGTCTGAGCGGGCCGATGGAGGGATATCGGTGATCTGTGAATGTATTAGGACGTGGTGCGGTTGAGGTACTTGTCGCAACATACCATCAATGTCCGAGCGCTAAGACTCCGCTGGTAGTCCGAGCTCTGGAAGTATTTCCGCCTCAGGGCCAACACCGCCTTGTAATTCCTCCACAAGAAGAAGACCACGATGATGTCGAATAACCAGGCACAGATGACCTGACTCCAGATGGCGTTGGTGGTGGCATAGAGAGGGGTCATGGCCGTAAACGCGGACAACCCCGGCACGCCGTCACCATTGCTCTGGGTGATGTTGATGGGAATCATGACGCCGCAGCCGATGATGCTGAGGAAGATGAAGATGTTGCGGCACATTTTGGTGAAGCGCAGAAAGACGGTGGCGTCGAGCCCGACACATTCGACGAGCTCGGGCTCCTTGGTACGGAGGACGGGCTGGAGCCAGGCGAAGAAGCCTTTCCCCACGGGAGGAGGTGTATGTTTGCGGTCTGCATGTTTGACCTTGGGGGCGTAGACGAGGGAGTGACGCGGGCGAAACAACGAGAAGCACAAGGCGAGGACGACGGCGAGACCGGCGGAGGTACCTAAGGAGGCCCAGACGGCTTTGATTTGGAACTGGGCTGGTTAGCGAAGGTCTTTCTTTCTAACGGGGCTGGCGCGGGTGAGAGGCATACGGCCGACTTGAAGGGATCCTGGATGAGCTTGAGGAACTGTTCGGTGGAATCGTCACGCCGCAGAAGAGGGCTATGATCCATGCTGGAGAATGCGTCGAGGCCACATGGAGTTGGGGGAGGGGGAGGAGGAGAGATCACGGGCCAGGAGGGAGGTCTCAGAAAAGAGAAGAAGATTTAAAGCAACTAAGACGAAAGTGGCTGCATGATGAAGCTGAGAAGAAGAGGAAGAGGAAGAAGTGAGTGGGGATCGCTGGGGTGGAGGCGGGTCTGGAACAAAGACATCTCAGAGGCGACGGTAGTGTTCCATCTTGCCTGAACAGGCTTAGGGACCGACACAGATGGCGAAGAAGACGGACATTCCGATCAGATTGCTTGAGCAGGATTGCATCCGCCTGAGACCGCCGGTGATCTGTCCAGCTGAGCAGAGGTTTCAGTCTGTTTGTACGTATGTAGAGTACTTCTAGAAGATAGGTACACATGGAGTACTCCGGTATCTGGAAGCGAATGCCTCTATCATGATCCATAGAACAGTAGATTAGCAGGAAATCAGGACTCTGGAGGTACTGTGAGCCAGACGGATCCCCGTTGAGGATCAGCAAACCGGAAGCCAGAGAATGCAGTCGAAAATGTTATTAATGGCAAAAAGTGAAAAACCACAACAATAGGTGGCCCATTTAATCCGTGCTGATTGGTTCCCAGAGCCGCTGCTATTTTGGCAAGCCAATCAGCCACTGCCTGTGGGTCGAGTCTGGAACATTTTAGGGCTTTTCTGAGACACCGGTGGGGCCCATCCACGCCCTCCCCGATGGAAAGGTACCTGATGCACACGCAACAACTCGGTGGCGGATGATGTACTCCTCATTCCTCCCTCCTACTCCGTACTACTGACAGATAACAGTCCCTCCTCCTCGGTTGGTTCCTGACGTGTACTCCAACAGATGGAAGAACCGATCATGATGACACTAACCATGTATCTACTAGCGAAACAAGTCCCAACGGACCCGCGCAATGACCATGTCTCAGTCTCAAGCGCTCCATGAACCGTCCCAACAAATCCACTATCATCAATAGTAGATCCCAGGGAGTAAATGGCAGGGAAAGACCCTGTTACCCAATCGAGGGGTGTACTCCGGAGAAGATCCCAAAATAGCATCTCTCCCACCGTTCCATAGCTTCGGCACATGGCTGAAGACGACCCTATCTACAGTAGTCCGTACGGATTCAATGCTCAGACGCTAAGGCTTAATGCTACTCCGTACCTCCAGGAACAAGTCTTCCAAATATAGTAGCCATCCTTGCCAGGACGGCTCGGGAGGGGATCCGAGCATTTCTCATGCTATGCCGGTGTATGGAGTAATGACCAGAGGCATTACCTTGTATACATTGATTAGACGATGTTGAACATAACGTCATACATTCCTCCCTCGTGCCACACAGCACGTGACCGTTGCATGTCTCCCGACTCCATCTCCTTGCAGTTGACATGGCATCAACCAGCCCAATAGTGCTAGAGTGATAAAGGTACTGAATGACTGATATATGGTTCATTATTATATCATACTACATACATCATCGACCAATCGACTCCCCCACCCAACATCAAAGACACCGCTTTGAACTTTTTCTCCGTTATCGCTTTTGATTGATCAACTTATGTACTGGTATCGGGGTCATCAGATCCGAGGTGAAAGACCTTTACAGCTGGCCAGCAGTGCTGAAGTCCTCCAGAGCCTCCTGGACACGCTTGCTCATGGTCTTCTCACCCTCACGCACCCACACGCGGGGGTCGAAGAACTTCTTGTTGGGCTTGTCCTCGCCGTCGGGGTTGCCGACGGGGGACATCAGGTAGTCCTTCTTGTTGAGCATGTAGTCGCGGATACCGCTCATGTAGGCGTACTGCATGTCGGTGTCGACGTTGACCTTGACGACACCGTAGCTGATGGCCTCCTTGTACTCGGCCTTGGAGGAGCCAGAGCCACCGTGGAAGACGAAGAAGACGGGCTTGTCATCCTGGGAGCCGAGCTTCTCCTTGACGTAGGCCTGGTGCTTGCTGAGGAGCTCGGGGTGGAGGCGGACGTTGCCGGGCTTGTAGACACCGTGGACATTACCGAAGCCAGCGGCAATGGAGAAGTAGGGGCTGATGGGGGAGAGGGCGTTGTGGATGGCCAGGATGTCCTCGGGCTGAGTGTAGAGGGAGTTGTTGTCAACATCCTCGTTGTTGACACCATCCTCCTCACCACCGGTGATACCGATTTCCTGTCCAGAGTCAATGGGGTCGATCATTTAAGTCAGGGCAGAAAGAACGTACCATCTCGAGCCACTGCTTCATGGGAGCAGCACGCTTGAGGTAAGCGGCGGTGGTCTGGATGTTGTAGTCGACGGGCTCCTCAGACAGATCGATCATGTGGGAGGAGAAGAGAGGCTCGCCGTGGAGCTTGAAGTAGCGCTCATCCTCATCGAGGAGACCATCGAGCCAGGGGAGGAGCTTCTTGGCACAGTGGTCGGTGTGGAGGACAACGGGGATGCCGTAGGCGGGAGCAACGCTGCGGATGTAGTGAGCAGCGGCGATACCACCGGCGATGGAAGCAGCCTGGCCGTCGTTGCTGACGCCCTGGGATGTGTCAGTGCGGCTCGAGGGGGTATGTCCAAACATGAAACGTACCTTGCCAGCGAAGTAGGCGGCACCACCCTGAGAGAGCTGAAGGATGATGGGGCACTTCTGGTCGCGCGCGGCCTCGAGAGAAGCCACGACGGTGGAGGAGGAGGTCACGTTCTGCGAATTGGTCAGTCTGTTGTTCTTATCATCGGATGGAGGAGGCTGGGAACTCACAATAGCCGGGATGGCATACTTGTTGGCCTTGGCGTGCTGGAAGAGACGGAGGACGTCATCACCGACGATGACGCCGGACTTTCGGGAGAGCTGTTCGAGGACACCCATTGTGAAGATTGATGAAGTCGAAAGACTAGGAATGGTTAGATGGAATCGAGGTGATTGATTGATGGAAAGGAGAAAGAAGAGGAAGAGGAGAAAGAGAGGAAGGGATCCGGGGGAGGGAGAAATATAAGTGATTGTGCCACGCCGACAGACCCAATGGTTTACCGGGCGACGAATACGGGAGCTGGATCGCTAATGGAGGGGCACCAGTAGCTTGAAGAACTCACCGGGTGGTGGGGTCGGATGCGATCAGAATGATTTCACTGAGGGACTGAGGGACTGGTGTTCAACAAGAATTGAGTTGAAGAGAGAGAAGAAGAGAGAGAAAGGAGAAGAAAAGAGGAGAAGAAGAGAAGAAGAAGAAGAAGAAGAAGAAGGGAAGATTCCTTCTAGCTCCGACCAAGCACACCCGAGGGTCAGTGACGACACAGGAAAACCGATGATGTGTGACGCTGCTTACCCCTCCGTCGCAGCCTCAGGCTCCCTGCGCTTCCCGGGAATCCCCGCCATCACATGACATCATCACTCCCCCTTCTTTCTCTTTGGTACACACACTCTCTCTTTGGTACTCTCATACATCAAAGAGGTGGACTCATACATCATAGCTCCATTCTCTCTTCTACTGTATGGACCTATACTCCCTCCTCCGTTCAACCGGTTGGTGATACCTCAACATCCTCAATCCCAATCCGGATCCTGGTTGCGCTCGGCTTCGGGTGAGCTTCCCCTCCTGCTGCTAAAACATTGATCCCCTCCTGCTGCTAAAACATTGATCCCCTCCTCTCCGTAATTCTTTCGTGCCTCCATTCCAATATCGGGCAAATCAGCGGCCTGGCAAGCTCCGTTCCCGTCCCTTTTCGTTCCAACCAGTTCGGTTTCCTTCGGTGCATGGCCTAGATTCTCTTCCCCAGCTCACCTGACGTGAAAATTCCCTTCAAAAGGGGTTGTCAGTGGGGATTGCCATGGCTTTCCGGTAGGATGTATCCCGAGGATCATGGAAGATCGTGCGTGAATCTTTGGACTCTGTAGGAGACAACCGTTCGGTTCGCAGTCCTCCGGAGCCACTTCAACGGTTCATGTCATCGATGCCTCAGGTGTCGACGCTATAGAGTCGGCCTAACTAAACTACTTAAGCCTGCTTCACCAATCTCTGTTTGATCCTTAGTACTTATATAATATGGTTCGTACATCAAGTAGACCCTGGCTACCACGTATGAGAATAGTTTATTGTAGTTTATTTGGGTGACTAAGCAGGATGGTGTGGCTGGCTGCCGGTACCTTGGGGGAAGACTCCGGAAATATATACTTACGGAGGATGTTCCCACAACCATCGCACATGCCGGACCTTCTCAGCTCCTCACCACCTCCCGTGTACTATTCATACCTACAGTTCTTACAATCCAGGAACATGGGTCTCCTTCAACTGCCCGTGGCTGTCCCAGGCTGATGAGTCCTAGAGTATGGACATTCGGATACGGGTTTGGCACACCCCTCGGTCTAGACAGTGCTATTCGAGTGCCCGCGGCGATATTTGAGTGACCTATGCGGGGAGTCTTTACGCAGGTCGAAGCACGAGCGCTTGCAGAAGCTCGATCCAAGGTCGTCCGATCCAGATGAAGGTTTCCACCCTCCATGTAGGACGGAGCCCTTAAAGTAGGGTCTGACTGACCCCTGGTTGGGTCGGGGACCTTAAGGTATGGGGTTCAACAAAGCTAAGCATAACGATATGACGCAGGAAGGAAAATAGAAGCCCGATTCTACTCGGGAGAATATAGACGACAGCCAATTATGCACCCATCTTCGACCAGAATCGCTGATCTGTGGTGTCGATGATCTCCCCGGAGTCTGAAAGACGCCTTGCTGGGAAGACGGGATCTGTCACTAGCTGACGTCTATTTGTGCAGAAATGATATCTGCTGTTTTGTTGGCCGGAGGAAAGCCTCGAATCTACACTTTCCGTCCCTACAGTGCCCCTGTTTGGCATGTTCCTCCGTTCATTCTATCCTGGATGTGCTCACATCACTGACCAGGCGATGGCACTTCTCTCTTTCTTGGTTCAATGGAAATGGTTCCAATCCGTTCTTTCTTTCACCAGCGTTTCGCCATGCGTACCTTTTATAAGCAGGGCAGTTTGCAGTTCCCTTTCATTCATCCTTCTTCTGCTCTCGTGAACGCGAGATCCAGTGGCAGTGGGTGAACCAGCCAAGGCACCCAACACCCCCAATGGGGTTTATCCTCCTGGTATCCAGCGTTTTCAGCATAGTTCCTACTTCTGGGGCCTGCCAGACAGCCCGGAAGTCCACATCCAGCAGGTCGACCCGGGCAATGAGTCTGTTCGCAGAATCTTTCCCGACTATTCCCCCAAGACTTGGGCAGCCGTCCTCGACACCGCTATCGAATGTCTGAACAAGGTCTACGGCCAAATCGAGCATCCCGCATCTGACTCCGAGGAGAAGTACGTCACGGAGGTCGTCCTGTCCCAGGAGCTAGCAGCCTGGCGCGAGGAGCAGCATCAAGCCGGCCGCAAGCTCCGCAGCAAAGGACAGGGGTTGGCGCGAATTTCTGACACTGTCAGCGGCATCTTGAACGTGGGAGACTGGCCACCCTGTTTGCTTGCATCTTCGGCCTTCTACGGCTGCTTCTTCACCAACATGTTGATCGGCGCCCACGACCCCTACCTCCTCTACTCCAACTACTGCACCGACATGGGCTTCTTCATCGAGCACGGATACCACCACGTCTTCCCGGAGTTCAGCAGAATTCTCTATGCCGAGATCGCGAGCCCTAGAGCGCGGGAAACCCTGGGTGGCAATGAGCGTCGTGACATGACCGCACTGGGCCTGATCTATACCAGATACAAAGTGGCACTGGCGGAGAAGCACGCGAAGAGTCTGACCAGCAAGACCGCCCGGGTGTCGCGGGATGAGCTCCTCGCCGTGATGCTCTGCGAGTCCGGTATTCTGGGCATGGCCGCGGAGGGTATGGTGCGCGGGTTCGACTCGACTGCTGTCGCGTTTCAGTTTATCTTGTCTTCGCCTGGAACTGACATGGTGGACGTGGGCTCCGATATCGTCAACTCTGAACTCTTTAACAGCCTCCTGAATACGGCCGACATCACGGAGAGCGGTGTTATCACCGAAGAAGCTCTCAGAAACGTCTACGACGCCTATGCCCACTGCATGACCCGCATGTTCACCTCGCAGTGGAATCACCCTGGCTCCCGCATGTGCGCCGTCTTGATGAGCTGGCACATCCAGAACGATAGACACCATTACCTGCGGCGGGCCCTCCTCGGCTACCCCAAGGCGCGCAAGGGGATCGTCGATCAGCGTATTGCGGACATTGAGGAAGCGTTCGACGAGCACATGCACACCACCGGGTTCAGCAGGCCGCTCGAGAACGCGTGCAACGGCAAGATGGTCTGCGACCAGGTGCAACAATTGTTTGACAGAACTCATGGGGAACCGATGTTGAAGGACATTTGGTATCATTTTGCCGAAGGAGCCGTGGACTATATCTCGAAGGGGGTGGGTGGACGAGCGTCGCGAAGACGATCTGGTGGAGGGTTCTCGTGTGGCCATGGCGCGTGCCGCGTCCTACGGTCTGACCGAGGACCTGACCTGGTTGATGTGCCATGCCGGTCTGCACGCCTTGCAGGTGAACTGTCTTGCTGAAGCGGCCATGTTCGGAAGTCTTCTCGACGACGGTGGATTGAAGGGCAAATTGGACCGGAAGGAGGAGGGACAGAGGAACTGAAGTGGCTCGCTTGCTAGGTATTGTTACAGTACAGTCATAGAATCGACATCATTCAGAATACATCCATCATCCATGGAAAATGTAGTGCGTCAGCCCTGCACACCATTCGTCGGCGCATGCTCTCCCCCAATGATACTGAACTGACCCCCAGCAGCTGCACACACCAGCTTCTTGCCGTTGACATGCTTATTCTGCAGGAGGGTCGGACGCTCCACCTCATCGATGCGGCCCTGTCCCGCCTGACACTGCGTGTTGAATCCCCAGCTGTACGCGGCGCCCTTGTCGGTGATGGCGAAGGTGTGGTCGGGGCCCGCCTCGACAAAGACGACCTCCCCCTCGATCCCCGTCACCGGCGTCGGGGCCGTCAGAATCCGCGGCTTGCCGTACGAATCCCGCACAACGCTCGCCGCTGGCATATCCTCAACCCCCACCCCCAACGCCTTATTATCGATCCGACCCCAGACGAGACACCGCCCGCCCGCAACCACCACACTATGATCCTTCCCGCCCGTGATACTCTTGATCGGCCGGTGCTCGCGAAGACTGGCCACCTTGGTCGGGAACAGCACGACCGCGTCGCTGTCCCCGGCGTTGGCGGCAATCCCCGTCTGCCCGAAATTGTTCGACCCCCACCCATAGACGGCGCCGGACTTGCGCACCGCAAACGAGTGGTACGACCCGGCGTCGACGTCGACGATGTTCGGCGGCAGCGCACACTCGCCGGGGAGCAGCGGGTCGGCGTCTTGCGCGCGGCTGGCGCGTCGCCGGCCCAGCTGCCGCTGCTCGTCGCAGCCCCAGCTGTACACGGTGCCGTGCGCGGTCAGCGCTAGCACGTGCTGCGCGCCGCTGGCCAATTTTGTCACGTCTTTGAGGCCCGGGATGAGCGCGGGCGTGCGCTGGAACTTGGTCGTGGGCGACCAGCCGATTACGCCGCTTGTGCCCTGGTGCCCGTTAGTTGGGTTGGAGACAAAGATAGTGAATGTAGAGACATACCCGGAACGTGCCCCATCCGTATACCAGTCCGTCACGGGTGAGCGCAAAGGTCGCGCTGTCGGTGGCGGTCAACTGCGTAAACACCGTTCCCTTGGGAAAATGCGCCGGGTCGACGGCGGCGGGTGTGGCCTCCTTCATGTTGAGGGTGACCTCGTCATCGTCGGAGTCGGAATCCGACTGGTCGGCTCCGTTGGGCGTCTCGTCCACCTCTATCGGATCCTCCTTTGTATCGCGTCCGAGTGTCCCCTCGTCGTTGACGCCCCAGGTAAGGATCTTGTTGTCGTGCGTCAGGGCGGCGGAGTGCACGCCGCCAATGGTGAGGTGCACGACGCCCACAGAGACGGCGGCAAGCTTGGGGTTCAGGACAGGGCCGGGTAGTTCGGATTTCTTTGTTGCGTCGCCGAGACCGAGCTCGCCGTAGCAGTTGGTGCCGAAGACGTAGACGTCGAGACGGCGCGTGGGGGGTTCATTGGGGACGAATGCGGGGACGTCTGGTTCGTCGCGTTAGAGGAGAAGAAGACTGCGGCAAGGAGGTAAGTGCGCACCTTTTTGGCGTTTGCGTTGGGCTGGTTGGGCTGGTTCTGCTTCGTCGAGAGTTGGGGCTTTTCTTTTGCGGCTTGCAGGCGCAGACGCAGACGCGGAGGGTTTTGTTTCGGGTCGGGAGTAAGGTTTGTTGGCGGCTGACTTGGTGGCGGACTTTTTGCGACTGGCCGCGCTGGCTTTTCGCTGGGGAGGCATGGTGAGATGTGGTCGGACAGTGAGTTGTACACCGTTGATGGTGACTTTGAAGATGACTTTTTGTATGCGAAAACAAAGTTGACCGACTCGGGAAAAGATCCGACCGCATTAGATGTGCAGGATGATGACTAATATATGCTTATGTCTGATGTACTCTATATTCATCCAGACCACGGACCCCGACCAGCGTCTGTCTCTCTCACCATCGTCTCTAGTCGATCCCATTCGACTGATCGACCTCATCCGCCTCAGTTGCTCGTTCTCTCCGCTCCTTCATCTCCTGATGAAAAGCCACAGTGTACTCGTCCGGATCCCACGCCAGAACTCTGATCTTCATCTCTTCAAGCTTACGCGCTACCAGATCTTCCATCTCTTCCTTTTCTTTGGCATCCAACAGGTCGAGTCGCTCTCTCCGTGCTCCCTCGGGGCTCTCAGTAGGCTCAAAAAAGTGAGGCTCAATTTTCTGCCAGTAGATGGTATCAAAGGCGAAGCTGTGCAACGCGGCATACACGATCCAGAAATCACCATTCTCCCAGCTTTGGCCCATGGGACCGGAGAGCCGCTGGTCCTCTTTCAAACGGCCCTGTTGGATCGCCTTGTCCTCGCAGTCCTTCATCACCTTGAGGAACGTTTTGAGATGATAGTCAAACACGCTTGTCCAGTCCTCCAAGCCCTGGGGCCAGTACTCGGGTTTCTCAATCAGCAGCCACCAGGGGGGCGCATACGTGAATTCAGCAGGCGCCGCGTAGGTGAACTCCCAGTCTACGACGCCGACAATTTGCAGATCCTCATTCAGGAGGATGTTGGCCGGCCGCAGGTCGTCGCACCAGATCTTGAACGGCCCTTTCTCTAGGGACGGATTTGTGAGGCGTTTGTCCTTGGCTAGCTTTAGAAACAGCTTGCGCGCTATGAACTTCCGCCGGCAGTCATCTGCTGACTCGACCGCATCGTTCCTTTGATTGATCAGGTGCTCGAGGTTGAGATCTGCGAGGGCCTCGAGATATGAGGAGGCCGTGTCGAAAGTCGTATGTAGACCGGGGAGCTTCGACCGGGGCAACCCCCCCCAGTCGCACCAGTTCATTCATATTCATGGACAAAGGCCGCCGCGCGACTTTCCAGGTGAAATCATCGATCTGCTTCAGAGCTCCTATACGAGGCAAGGACGGAGTAGAAAGGCGGAGTAGAAGATCTGCCAGCTGCCTATAGAGCATCTCCAGTTTATCTTGGGCGATGTTCGGGTCTAGGATTCCACGTTCCTCCCTCGGACATTCCGGTACGTTAAGGGCGTCGTACATTTTGGTGTCATGTTCGACATAGTCCATAATAATAAATGGGCTTAGCTGGAGGGGACTCTCCGTCTTGGTCCCCGAGTCGACAACGAAAGGCACTGGGATGGAACGTCTGATCTGCCAGGAATCGCATCACAGCAACCTCATCCACGACCTTTTCCTCGGGGAAAAATACAGCACCGGGCTGCGACAGCCGGATGACGGTTGCACCATTTCGGTACTTCAATCGCAGGGAGATATTATAGGAACCCTTCCTGAGAATGGCGAATTCGGTGGCGACCCCTCTGTTGTAGGCCAGGACGAAGTCGGCAATCGGCCGCAAGAAACCAACCTCCAAAAATTGAGCCAGCCAGTTGTCTGATGTATCTTCGGGTTGTTCCCAGGCCACATCATCCGGGCTCATTCGCGGTTGCATGATGGATGGCCATAGAGTAACAGGCAGAATGGGCTTATCTAGAAGGAAGCGGGACCCCAAACAAACCCCAAACCCCACATCCGAACACCCCAAGCAAAGTCATAAAACACCGAGATAAGACCGTCTGTCAACCACATCATTCAAATGGCACACACCCGCACCCATCTTGCCTTCCAGCACAATGCGAAACTGCACACCCTCTCCACCAAGGTGGTCGGGGTGTACACCTTCGCTTCGCTAGACACACCGAACCGCCAGCTCTTCAAACAAGGCACAGACGACGACCACGTCGTGGTAACCGAGCAGACCATCTTCCACCCCCAAGGCGGCGGGCAGCCATCCGACGTCGGCACAATGACAGGGCCCGCCTCGGCGATCTTCACCGTGACGTCCGTCCGCATGGACGCTCTCCACGACGGACGCGTGCTACACCTCGGCCGCTTCGCGGATCCCGCCCACAGCTTCGTCCCAGGCGAGACGGTCCAGCAAGCAATCGACGTCGACAAGCGCCTGTTGTACTCGCGACTGCACACGGCAGGCCACGTCCTCGGCGCGGCGGTGCGGCATCTCCTCGAGCGCGAGGTCGAGAACTTCGACGAGCTCAAGGCGTCGCATTTCCCCGACTCCGCGGCGTGCGAGTTCCAGGGCCTGATTGATGGGAAGTGGAAGGAGCCCATCCAGCGGAAGGTGGATGAGTATGTGGCGGCCCAGATGCCCGTGCAGGTCGAGTGGTGGGCGGAAGAGGACTTCCGCGCGCGGGGCCTGGAACGCCTGATTCCTGATGCCGGGATGGTTGCACCTGGAGAGAAGTTCCGCGTTGTTAACATTGTCGGCGCGGAGGTGTATCCCTGTGGTGGCACCCATGTCGATACGACGGACTTGTGTGGGCCGGTGGGCGTGCGCAAGATCTCGCGGAAGGCGGGCAATTCGAAAGTGAGCTACGTCGTGAAGTAGATGTACATAGATGGTGAGGGTGCATTCTATACTCCTATACTAAGACGATTATATAGAGGATGAGACAGGGACATCAAATGACAGTCGGTCAACGACGCCGTGCTCTTCCTCATTCCCACCGGGCATTCGGCTTCTGACTGCAATGGCTTTCTGCAGCCGCAGCTCAACGTGTTTCTGGCCATTCTCCATGACTTTCCACGACACATGCGCAAGGTTGTCTCTACCCAGCGCAACCTGCGCATCTATAGACTCACTCAGTCCCAGACGCGGCTTGAAGAGCAGCTTTGTCGCCCCCGGCGCAATAGGCCGAATACCCGCTAGCTCCGTGCAATACTCATAAATCGGCACACTGCCCCATGCATGGCAGTCCGAGCGCTGGCGCACATCGTCCTCCTCCCAGGTGGTCAGATTATTCGCCAGCATCCGCCGCCAGGGATCCCACACGCGCGGCCAGAACTCCTCGTACACCTCGTCCCCTGCGATGGAGAATGCCCGCAGTGCGTAGAACTTCATCACGTACGAGCATTGGGAGAAGCGCGGGTCGGCGAACGCTTCCCGCAGCAGACGCGCACGATCGTGCGGCGGCGACGCACCCGACAGCACGGCAAACACCTGGCAGTGCTGGGAGTAGGCGCTGTCGTCGGCGATGTCAGCCGTGGAGTCGGTGAAGAAGCGGCCGTCGTAGCAGTGCGCACGCACGGCGTCCAGGACAGCCGCGGCGCGGCGCTCGTACTCGTTTGCGTGGCCGGGTCGACCGACCGCTCGCACCAGCGCCGCTGCCTGCGTGAGGACGTACGCGTATAGCAGGCTGAAGTATGTGTGGCGGTTTGAGCGGCGGCCGGAAGTCGGGACGCCCTTGTCCGGGTGCTCGTCCGTGGCGTGCCAGGTCGTCACCCAGTCCACGTACTGCCATACGTGCTGCGGCAGCCCGCTCACGAGACCCAGAGCGTCGATGTGCACATCGAAGAAGTCCAGCACGCCGTCGATGCGGGGCACGAAGGAGCGCGTGTATCGCGCGTCCCCGAAGAAGAGATGGTGGTCGCACACCTGCAGGATCCAGTAGAGCGAGAAGCCCGCGATGAGCTGGGGCTGGTGCGACGGGAACCGCGACTGCGTGAGCCCCTCGGCGGTGACGGAGGCCGCGAAGTTGGTGATCGCCTGGCGCATCAGGCGGTCGTCGCCCGAGAGCAGGTAGTGGAAGAGCCCGACGGACCGCGAGTCGCCCGAGTACTGCAGCTGCTCGTAGAACGGGCAGTCCGAGTACCCGTCGAACATGCAGTTGCGCATGGTGCGGATGGAGACGGCCCAGATCTGCTCGCTGTGCGCGTCCCCCGGTTCCTTCCAGGTGGCTTTTACGCCCATGGGGTAGTTGACCTGGGTTGCCTCGAAGGATATCAGGTCGACTGGTTCCGGGCCGATGGTGAGCTCCCACCGCATGAGACGGAACGTGCGGAACCAGAATGGTTCGTAGATAGTTGCGTTCTGCGTTCCGGGAAGGTCGAGGGTGACCTCGTCGTATGGACCGAGGAGATGGCCGTTTTCTGCGTCGAGTCGGCCTGCTTTGCGGCGGAAGAAAGGGTATGACCGGGGCTCCAGCTCGTAGCCTTCCGAGTAGGTCAGCTTGAGCCGGATGCGAGACGGCCTCGCGGCTTGCAGGGTCCACCGGAGAAACGCTGTTGAGTGAACGTCGGCCTGGAGTTCGATTGTGTGGGTTGAGTTCCCTGGGAGAGTCAATGTTTTGCCATGGTCTAGCCAGGAGGACCAGTCATGCACGGGAATGGAGCTCTGCGCATGGCGAACGATGTTCACGATAGCAGGACTCGTTTCAGGCATGGGGATCACCCGCGGTCGTAGAGGCCAGGTCGCGAGGTCGCCATTCAGCGTCTTGACGCCGTACACCTTGGGGTCTATCTTTGGGCCTGGCGGAGTGGGTGAGATGCGCTCACTGATCTTGTTCTCTCCGTCAGCTATGAGATTGAGATATGATCGTTGTCGCATACTTACATGGAGAAACCCATCGTCTATGAGTCCCATGGGATAGCGTACGCTCTCGTCAACTTGCGCCTTCCAGTCCGTATGACAGCTACTCAGGTCGACCGTTTCCGAGTTGGTTTCTACACTCCCCACGACAGTGAGACCAGGGAGTGCCGTCCGCTCGAACGGCATGGCGCCTCTGGTAGACACAAAGTACCGCAGCACAACGAACTTGATCTCGTTCTTCCCATCGCGAAGGTACGGTGCAATGTCGAGGGTATCATAGTACCAGATCAACGGGCTGCTTCTCGCCGGCCCCACGACTGTCCGCACGCCATTGACGAAGAGTTTGTACCGAGTATCGGCTGAGCAATGCAGGAGTGCGCGAGTCGGACGCGAAGAGAGATGAAACTCGCGATAAAACCGGACTATACGACCGGTGGTGTTGACCATGGAAGAATCAACCCAGTCCGGCACCCAGATCCAATTCGCCTGGAGCTGGTTGATTATCTGTTTCGCGTTAGTAAACTATCCAGTAGGCTGGATTGTGTGAGCACATGCCTTCTGCTCTTCGGACGTCACCATCATGGATTGCGCTCCCCCGCCGGAGTGATCGTGCTTCCCGATGTGAGGGGCAGTTGGGGTATGTTGATCTTAAGTATGCGGCGCCTAGTGTCGTCGGGCTAGCATAGTCCGAGAAAAGCTGACTTTCTTACTCAATTCATTGTATGTCTTGATCTATACTGCGGAGACCATGCTGGGGCTAGTGTAATGGAAGCAGTATCCTATCTCCCTACATTTGCAATATCCACACCAGCGCCAATCAACAATTACAAATAAACTAGCAATGCCTCCGACGCCCCCACTGTAAACGTCGCCTTCCCAGCAGAAACCGTCGTGGTCTCCTGGACCATTGTCCCTTGGATAGTGCATGTTCCGTTCGCAAAAGTCTGGCCCGCGACTGTCGGGTTCTGGCCACGATCTACACGAGAGGTAGCGTAGGGCGCTGTCAGACGCTTCGCAGTCACGCTGGAGGCCTTCAATCCACTCAGTGTATATGTCTGGGACGGTCGGGCGCCGCTGGTGTAGTAGTCGGAGTTGTACAGCAAGACTCTGACAGGAGTGTTATCCTTATAGATGGCGTAGGCGGCGTACGATGTGCTTTGGTCGTCCAGTGGTGCGATCTTGTCTGCGTTGGCCAGGGCCATGGTTGCAAAGTATGCGCCATAGTAAGGCGATCCCATGTCGTATCGTCCCCACCAGCAGTACTGGCCTGGTCTGGATGTTAGTGTCTACTTATAGCGAAGGCAACCCTGGACGGTGCATACAATTACCGATAGTCCCCTGATGGAAGTAGAGCGCCTGGCATGAGTACCACATCAATCTGACTGACCTGATCGAAAGAATGCGGAGTTGCTTACCTGCGTGCCCATGAGGAGAAACTGCATCACATAGTCCAGAATCCATAGAGCAGCACCAAAGGTCGGACTGATCCCACCGCCCCCTTGAGTAGCCGAGTTCGTTTCCCCCACGATATGCGGTTTGCCCTGCGCAGCGGCAGCCGACACCTCGGCAGCGAACGGCTCGATCTGGGAAGCAATAGCACTGTGGCCCATCAGGGTAGCCAGGTTCGCGGTGCTGCCCGACTGGGGATAGTTGTGCGAGCAGTAGTCATGGACGTATGTCTTTGCACTCCCCTCGGCGGCGGACAGCCCCGAGATGCTCATCGGCGACGTGCCAAAGAACACGCCTGCTGAGATTAGATCCGTCGTCGAGAGATTGCCGCACACGGCCTTCTGCCAGGCGACTTCGGAGGCATAGTCCGCTGCGGCGGTCCAGGAAGCGCCGCCTGCGATGGGGTCGCTACTGGTGAAGACTGTGTACAGGGACTGTGAGCATGCGGTTGGTAACTGCGATATCAGACTTACAGTTGGGCTCATTTCCCAGCTCAATTGCGGCTAGATTTGCGATTTGCTGGGTTGCGAGTTTCGCAGCAGCGATGGTGTTCGACAGATTGTTCAGGCGCCGATTGAGACCGAGGATTACATCGCCGCCGTAGCTGGAGGCCAGAGTCATAAAGGACGGCCCAAAGGTGAGCGACGATGGCGCGTCAGCTGGATCTGACACCGAGTATGTCACTGCGTTGGGAGAAGAGGGATCATATGTCGCTCGATCTCTGTATGTCGTTAGTGACGAGTCTCTCTCGGATCGAGTTGGCATACTGAGTCGTTCCCCCGATGCGAAGTGGTGGCCATGTCCCTGTCAGGCCCTTCAGGTTCTCGAGACAGGTTATAGTGGCATCGACATCATTTATGTACCCTGGAAATGTGAAAAACTCGAGTCTACTGCATGGTTAACATATGATGAAGGCTTGGAGATGTGTCTTTCTTACGACACCCCAACAGGTGCAGCAGGAAGCTGGTTGCTTGCATTGGATGGGGGAGTTTCTGGGACGTTGAACGAAAGTCCTGATGCTGTTCCTAGGGCCTGGAATAGAATCCAGATGGAACAAATACGATGGGTCATCTTCAGGGATAGGGTTCAGTCGCATACACTATGCACAGGTGCCATCTACCGGGGCTTCTCGGGATTTATAGAAGCGTTCTTGGCTTGAGGGGATCTGCCTAGAAGATCAAGTTTCTCCGTTTTATACTTAGAACACGCAGGGTATATGTCTTCTCCCGAAACTAACCCGAGGTCATCCCAGTATCCATGATCTCGATCCAGGAGTACCTACTTCCAGTAAAGCTGTACCCCAACATAACCCGCATGACACTTGGAGCTAACTTGATCCTCATGAGACAGCCAAGAGACACCTTGGCTCCTCAACTACCGGAAGCTTGATCTGATGATCGGATATGGCGGGTTCTTCCTCCAACAGGAACCATCCCCCGCCGGAGTCTCCCCGCGGGGGCAGAACTAGTGGCGCAGTGGATGAGCTAGCAGAAAGCAACAGGATACGCCTATCCAGAATGGTCAGAAGCCACGCAACCCTTGTCTTCGCCGGTGCAATTCACCCCGAGGCTCGGGGACTCAGTTGTTTGATTTATCCGTCCCCCGCTCGACATGGGAGGAGGAAACTACAATTGCGAACCAGATAGGAGACGAAAAACGCGATAAAGATGACCAACGAGCCTCAAGATGACGTTGAGTTGGAAGAGAGAAAAGGAAATAGTGAGACGGTTGAACATGCCGCCACCGCCGAGGATATGCCATCAGCATCCAAGGGCACGGCGCCCTTGATGCGGTCGGGACTAGACGACTTGAGCGTTTGGCAGAGTGTGAGACGATACAAGAAAGTCGCTATTATAGCCATGTTTGCTGCTTTCAGTGCATCGCTCGATGGATACCGTGAGATGACCTCGAACAACTGCTGAAGACGGCTACTGATTGAGCAGAAATCAACCTCAATGGCGGCATCGTAGCGAACAAGGGGTTTATCCGCCAGTTTACTGCCCCAGGAACGACCATAATCGCTGGAAAATACGTGTCTGCATGGGGTGGCATCCAATCCGCTGGACAGACAATCGGACAGATTGTACGGCATCCTCGTCCAAGACGGAAGATTGACTAACTGTTTGAACTAGCTGCTTCAATATGCTACCGAGGGCTTTGGTCGTAAGATTGCCCTCTACATTATCTGGATCACATTCTGTGTGGTGAGCTACCTCCATCTTCCTTGACGACCGGCAATAACGTCTTGCGTGGATATAGAGCATCTTTATCGAATCATTTGCAACCAAATGGGATCACTGGCTGGCCGCGAAGCTCTTCTCAGGGATGGGCGTGGGAATGCTCCAAGCTACTCTGCCTCTGTATCTGTCTGAGATTGCGCCGACTCAACTAAGAGGCTTCTTTATCAATGCATACAGCTTGTGGGTTGCCATCTGCCTCTCGGAAACCACAAAGAACATCTACTGACTTCTGGGTTCTTTCTAGCTGGTTTGTCGTCGGTCAACTATTTGCTTCTGTAGCTCTCAACAGGCTAAACGCTTCTGATCCGTGGGACTTCCGCACTCCGATCTATACTCAGGTAAGTGAATTTATCTGGTATAGAGCCTCACTCACCGATGCCAGTGGGCGATGATCGGTGCCACCGCAGTTATCTTCCTTTTGATCCCAGAAACCCCGTGGTGGCTGGCGAGTAAGGGCAAGATTGATCAAACAGCCAATGTTCTGCAGCGATGCAACGGGAAAGTGGAGGGATATGACATTCAGGAGCAGATCGTCAGTGATATACACCTGTTATACATCCAAATATCTGTCTTCGGGCTGACAGGACCAGGAGATCATGACTGCCACCATCCAAGAGGAGCGACAAATCGCAAGGGAAAACGCACAAGAAGGACCGTGGTCTGTCTTTTGCGGCCGCAACTTCATCCGATTCATCATCGCCGCGTGGCCGAAGATCACTCAGCAGTTTGTCGGTCTAACCGTGTTCAACACCTTTGCTACATACTTCTGTAAGTGATAGGGCTCCCGGATCCTTGAATCAGCTTGCACTGACACTGTCCAGTCCAGTATGCAGGAAACAAGGACCCCTTCCTAGTCACCGTCATCCTGTCCTGTGTCCAGCTCATATCCATGATTCTCACTGCCACACTCACCGACCAGTTTGGTCGTCGGCCACTGACAGTCTACCCGTACGGCGTGACATCGCTGTCGGTTCTCTGTCTCGGCATCATCGGATGCTTTGACTACACCAAGCCGTCGTTGAGCTCTCTCCTGGTATGTCTACCAAAGTTATGAATAAAAGGAAGGCGCTAAAGTCCGGGATTCTAGATCTTTTTTGCCTGTCTGGCTACATTTTCGACGACTGGCGCGTCCGCCATCGGCTATGCGTACGCAGCAGAAATTCCCCAGCAGCGGTTGCGTGCGCAGACGGCTGGATGGTCTCTGGCCCTTTCGAATCTGGTGGCCATTATGTTCAACTTTTGCACTCCTCTGATGATCAACGGGTCTGCGCACTGGGGTGTTAGGACCGGCTTCTTGTGAGTGCCTGGGTCCCATAGATGCATAGAGCAGGTAGCTGATATTCTGGATCTAGTTTTGCAGCAACTGGCACAATTTCTACGGTTATTGCGTGGTTCATCCTCCCAGAGGTAGCCCGCCGAACACCGGGAGAGATCGATGAGATGTGAGTCGTTCGTCCCATCGTCGTGAAGCAAGACTGACGAGGTGTAATCCAGGTTTGAAAAGAAGGTCAATCTGCGCAAATTCGACAAGTACTACACGGATGCCCAGAGGAATTCAGAGCGCAGTTTCCATGCGTAGTCGTTTCATCATCCGGTCAAACGACTAATCGAGAGTATGGGAGCATGTGGCAGGAAGCCTTGACATGTTGATGATCTTACATGAATGTGACACTTTTCTCTCATCATATGAAGGACGTTTTTATAATCTTGTCATGTAATCGACATATTCTTCATCGAGGGAGAGGAAATACGGGCCGAAGCCCAGATGAAGGCACTTATTTAGCCTACGGAGTACACACCCGAAAGCGCCGGTTATTCTCTCCTGCAATCATGAGACTACTTTGTATACACCCGAATCTTTCTCCAATAGGAAGTCCACCTCTCTTAGCTGCTAATATAAACAAAGTGGGTTTAATCTATGTACTTTCATTTCGGCACCTTTCCGCACGCTCTCTCGGCTTTAGGGCTTGTGCTGTGGCCTATCGCTTCCCTTTCCTTCTTCCACCTCATCATACCAACCCCGCATCATCATGCAGCATGCATCAATATACTACCGGAAATGAGAGGCTTGTTGTGGCCTTTGGCACTATTGCAATATCAGGAACACTCCCCGTTCCTGTTCTGAACGCGGGGATTCTGCACGACCCACGCGCAGAAGGCTGAAACGTGGCGTATCACAGTGGAATCATAGTAGCCGTAAATGGTTCTTCAGGAGAGATGGCCTGCACCTTTTGATTGTATACATATTCTATTCCATATCTAGTGTGGACTCTGACTGGCGGCTTTTTGGCCGTGTCATCTCCGCCTGAGAGATCATGTCAAACCACAATTATGCCGTATATCACACCTTACATACCACTAAGTGGGTTGTGTCAAACCACATCTACAGCCATATATTACACCATACACACCACTAAGTGGGTTGCCCAATTCTGGTAGTGTAATGGTCGTTTTTGATTGACAGATTGCAAGGATCTAGTACAACGTGGAGTCCATGTGCCCCTTACCCTGTGTTTGATAAATCCCAGTCTACTTAATTAAATCGTATGATAATACCAGGGGAATAGAGGAATGCCATGAAAGTGCAATGGTCTAGTCCGTTATAGAAACGGAGGCAACTATATGTGGGAAACACCGTATCCACGCACTCGAGGGTTCAAATATGACCAAGATCCTCACGATAACGGGCGACCACTTCCGTAGTATTCCAGGCTCATCTATTCATCATGTTGCGTAGTCTTGGAGCGGCCATACTGGCAGCTGGACTCCTCGTGGCTCCGGCCAACGGGGCCGCATCTCAGACATACACGTGGAAGAATGTCCGGACTGGAGGTGAGAAGCCCTCTGTAGCTTGAGCTAACAGGGTGCTAATACATTCGGAACAGCCGGAGGAGGTTTCGTACCAGGCATTGTGTTCAACCCCTCTGCCAAAGGCGTGGCCTATGCTCGTACGGATATCGGAGGAGCCTACCGTCTCAATTCCGACGATACATGGACTCCCCTGCAGGACCATGTGAATAGCAGCAATTGGTATGTACATGGGTCGACCCTCATAGGATACAGTCGCTGACCATTGACTAGGAACAACTGGGGCGTCGATGCCCTTGCCACCGATCCAATTGATACAAACAGACTGTACCTCGCCGTTGGCATGTACACTATAGATTGGGACCCCAACAATGGGGCGATCCTCCGCTCAACCGACAAAGGAGATACCTGGGAGTCCACCGCCCTGCCCTTCAAAGTTGGCGGAAACATGCCTGGCCGCGGTATGGGTGAGGTACGTGTACTTCCATGGAAATTGGCTGTAGGCGCGCTAATGTATCTGCAGAGACTGGCTGTGGACCCCAATGACAACAAAATTCTATACTTTGGTGCTAGGAGCGGACATGGACTCTGGAAGAGCACGGACTACGGCGTGACCTGGTCGAATGTTACTTCCTTCACCTGGACCGGTATGCATACAGTTGAATATTGTAGTGCTTGGCTAACGGGGTCTCCAGGAACATACGTGCAAGATTCAAGCTCTGCATACACTGCCGATCCTGTCGGAATCGCCTGGGTGACCTTCGATTCCACGTCCGGCTCCAAAGGATCGGCCACGCCTCGTATCTTCGTTGGTAAGTCCGGGCCATCGAAGCAACGTAATAGAGCTAATAGTATCAGGTACTGCTGACACCGGAAAGTCGGTGTTCAAATCGGAAGATGCTGGTAAAACGTGTAAGTGTTCACTTCCTTTTCTTTATAACAGAAGAACTCATAGCTAACTCGCGACAGGGGCCTGGGTGTCTGGGGAGCCAATGTATGGCTTTCTCCCTCACAAAGGAGTTCTTTCACCAGCTGAGAAGACTCTTTACATCTCATACTCCAATGGCGCCGGTCCGTATGATGGCACCAACGGAACGGTTCACAAGTACAATATCTCGTCCGGAGTCTGGACCGACATCAGCCCAACATCCGTGGCGAGCACATACTACGGCTATGGTGGTCTCGCAGTTGACCTCCAAGTCCCTGGCACGATCATGGTCGCAGCACTGAACTGCTGGTGGCCGGATGAGTTGATCTGGCGAAGTGTTGATTCCGGCGCAACCTGGTCTCCTATCTGGGATTGGAACGGGTATCCCAACATCAACTACTACTACGGGTACGACATCACCAACGCCCCCTGGATCCAAGACAGCACTTCCACGGACGAATTCCCCGTCCGAGTGGGATGGATGGTCGAGGCCCTCGCGATCGACCCGTTTGATTCGAACCACTGGCTTTACGGCACGGGCGAAACCATCTACGGCGGACACGACCTGCTCAAGTGGGACTCGGCACACAACGTCACGCTGAAGTCTCTTGCCGTTGGTGTCGAGGAGATGGCGGTGCTTGGCCTCATCACTCCTCCAGGAGGCCCGGCTCTCCTGTCTGCCGTCGGCGATGTGGGAGGCTTCTACCATACCGACCTCGACACGGCGCCGTCGCAATCCTTCCACACGCCCAGTTACGGCACCACGAACGACATCGACTACGCCGGCAACAAGCCATCCAATATTGTGCGTTCTGGGTCGAGCGATACTGATCCGACGCTCGCCCTGTCCAACGACTTTGGTAAGACCTGGTCGGCAGACTATGCCGCCTCGTCGAGCACAGGCACCGGAAAGGTTGCTCTCTCCGCGGACGGGGACACCATCCTCCTCATGTCCAGCACGCAGGGCGCCATGCGATCCCAGAACCAGGGGACGCTGAGTGCTGTCTCGAGTCTCCCATCGGGGGCCGCCATCGCATCCGACAAGGCCAACAACACCGTCTTTTACGGCGGCTCGGCGGGCAGTTTCTACGTGTCCACCAACACCGGTGCATCGTTCAAGAAAACCGTCAGTCTCGGGTCTAGTTCGTCAGTCAACGCCATTCGCGCTCAGCCTTCCGTCGCTGGGGATGTGTGGGCGTCCACCGACAAAGGCCTCTGGCATTCCACGGACTACGGCAGCAGCTTCACCCAAGTCGGTAGTGGATGCACCGCGGGTTGGAGCTTTGGCTTTGGAAAGGCGTCCTCTACGGGCTCATACCCGGTAATCTATGGCTTCTTTACAGTCGATGGAGTCACCGCGCTGTTCAAGACGGAAGACAAGGGTGCAAACTGGCAGATGATCTCGGACGCCGAGTATGGCTTTGGTTCGGCGACGTCGAACATTGTCAATGGCGACTTGTCGAATTATGGACGGGTCTTTGTTGGGACGAATGGACGGGGTATTTTCTATGGTGTGCCGAGTGGAAGTCTTCCAACTACTACGACCACTGCACATACGACTTCGACGACCAAGTCGAGTACGTCGAGTACGTCGACGACGTTGACGACCACAACCAAGACATCGTCGACTTCCACTACAAAGTCTTCTACGACGACAACCTCCAAGACCACAACTACAACTACTAAGACAACCTCGACTACATCGTCCGCGACATCGACAGGCACCAGCACGCCGTACGGACAATGTGGTGGTATCGGATACACGGGTCCGACAGCGTGTCCGACGGGATGGAAATGCACCTACGCGAACGACTACTATTCCCAGTGTAAGTGCTTGGCTATGAGTAGTAGACAATGCTGACAATAAGCAGGCATTCAATGAGGTGTGACAGGCCGGCAGTAAGAAGCAGCGAGCTGGATGTCAAGCGGACTGATGCTAAGCTATTCCTGGATAACGAGTTCACGCTGGCTAAGTATAACTACGGCTTTGACAAGCATTTCTTTTGTTCAAATATCATTGCATCTCAAACACGCTCCCGAGTAGTCAATAGCGTAGAACTAAACAAACCTGGCAGTACATCCTGCCAACAATCTCAAGAACCCTACAAGCACTGAGAATACCACTGATTCATCACAGTGCACGTATACGGACTCTGGCACGTAGTCGCCCCAGTATATCCCTGCCCACCACACTGTCCATACTGCGCAACAGTACCGCCAGAGCCACTCCCCCCTCCAGTGGAGCCACCCCCAGACGAGCTCGAGCTCAATTTGCTCTTGACAAACGTCAGCGCCGCCTGGCCATACTCCGCACCGTATCCATTATGGGTCGCCGCATTGCTTCCATTGCAGCAGTACGGGTCGGGCCCATCACAGTACGACTGAATCTTGCTGGCGGAGGGGCAAGAGAACCCAGCCGGCCGGGCATCGAACTATCGCCGTTAGCCAGATACTAAAAGCCACAGGGACGGGGACGGTCGACTTACGCCTCCAGCACTGCACGTCCCGACATCATACGGCAGACCGGCGCGGAAGAGTGGATCGCCCATGAAGATGGCGGCCTTGACCATGTTCACGGCGGAGGACGACAGCCGCACGGCCGTGTTGGTGACGCCCTGGTTGGGGACGCCTCCACCGCAGAGCGCGGCGTCCATGATCTCGCCGCCCTGGGTGACCGTTATATTAGCTTTTGTGCGTGTGTGTGCGTCGGGAGGAGCGTATTACCTGGGAGTATCCAACCAGCACCAACTGCGTGCTGGGACACTGGGTGTTGAACGAGTTTACCGCGGACGCCACGGCGTCAATGCCCGCGGCCACGGAGGCGGAGTAGCTCACGCCGCCACAGGATGACTGCCCGCCACAGGCTGGGTAGCTGATGGCCTCGGCGGTCGAGCCCGAGTATGCGCTGAGGATCAGGTTCACCACCGTGCTGGAGGAGCCGTAGCCTGGTGACGCGGTGGTCTCGCGAGCGCCAAAGACATGCACTCCCGGGCAGCTTTGGCGCTTTTCAGCTGGCACGGCGCTGGCGATGGCGTGCCCCAGAAGGGGGAGGATAGATAGGGTCCACAGCATTGCAATTATTGTTGGTAGACTTCAGAAAGATGTGTCTGATGTGTATGTCTATCTTCTGACTGTAGATAGCCCCCTATTTATACCTGTCTTGGAGGAAACTTCCCTTAACCCGAGCCCACAGCTCGACTGGGGTATTGGAAGCTGCCGGATCGACAGATTGTCTGTAGATCGACTTTAGCCGTGAAGAACTGGGGGGATCCCCAGGTTTCTCCACGTGCAGCTGCTTAATGCCGTCGGATGAAGGGATGCTCTGCCGGCATACTCCATGTTTTGGTCTAGATGCGTCCAGTTGCGGGGATGGTTGCAGACGTTCTTTATGAAACAGCCCGAATAAGCATTAGACAGCGCCTTATTCTTCAGGGGTTAGGGGATTCTCGTATTTGCCTAAGTGCTAGGCTGCCCGAAGACAACAGCCGGCCGGCTAAAGAACTCAGGGCTTGGTGGTGCTCCTAGGTGTCTAGAATGGGTCTAAATCTGCCTGAGCTATAATATCCTCGTGCAGCATCACAGCAGACTAATGCATCTCTTTACCCAGATGGCTACATCTAGCTCAATAGCCCTGTTGGTCATTCCAGTACAAAGTCCCATGCTGGACCTCAGGCCCTGTCGCCGCAAATTCCCATCCAAACTTGATCTTCACCCACTGCAGAAAGTGACTCGCAATCTTGATATGTCCAACGTCGGTGGGATGCCACTGCGGCGCGATATCATTGTGCTGGAGGATGCCCGTCGTGTCAAAGTAATGAATAAATTCTCCCTGCTTTCTGAAATGCTTGTAGACGTTCTTGATCTCGTCCACCCACAGAGGCCCCTGGACATAGGTATCTTCGTATGCGCCGAACCCGCCCCAAAGCGACTTCAGAGCTAGTCAGTCTAACAGTACGACTAGTAGTATAGGGAGAATCCCACCATCAGAACGATCTGCGCCCGCGGCCAGATCTTGTGGATGTCTCCCACGAGCTTGACGTAGTCATTGTAGTAGTCGGTGCTGGAGACGTTGTTGGCCGGGTTGTTGTCGTTCGTGCCGATGTTAATCACCACGAGGTCGGCGGGTTTCTGCTTCTTAAAATTCCACTTGGGCGGGTTATCGCCGTAGATCTGCGTCGCGCGCCAGGATGTGTCGCTAGTGCGGTACCATTGGTATGTCTGTTGGTCTGAGCCGTAGTCCCCCTACGGCTATACTCAATGAACGTACCTGGCCGCGCAGATTTCCCCAGCAGTATTGATCGTGGAGGCAGATACCGGGATAAGCCTAGCATTGTGAGACAAGCCCTGTACAGCCGGACAACTGACTTACCGTGAGCGAGTACTCGACGTTTCCTAGACCGGCGACAAAGTTGTACGCCCACGAGGCGAGGCCTTCGTACGTTGCGTAGTCTCCGGAGCTCAGGCTTCACTATGTTAGAAGGTTGGTTAATCTCAGAGGCATACGTACGAGTCGCCGATGATCTCCACCATCTTGTCGTACTCCTCAACTTTATAAATGGCAGAGTTGCGCGCCACTGATACGCTCTTCAGCTGGACCGTGCATCTATGTGAGTAACAGAAAGCCGCAGGGACGGTACAAGAACTTATCCATAAGCCCAGTTAGTCACTGTCGTCGTCAGCAGTGTTATTGGCTTTCGACTGATGTCCTCACCTCTCATTTCAAACGTCTTCTTAGCAGTAGACTCGGTCAAGTTAATCCCGATGGTCGAAGGCCCGACAAACTGGTAGGTACTGTTGGCTGTGACGTTTGAAAACTGCCAATCCTGACCCCCAATTCTATACATCCATTGACTTAGCATCTCCAATAACCAGAAGCAACAAATACTCACCGGTAGGCTACCAGCACTCCCTGGTCTGTATACTGACCGAAGCCTAACGCGAGCTGCGTTTGTGAGTAGTGGTCCCCCAGCACGTATAGCAACCAACATACCTGCTGCCCCGTGAAGGCGAATTTAACCCCCGGAGCCCTGCTTTTTTAGTATCGTTTGAGCAAGCTTATAGATCTCACAACACTCACGACCACCCTGAGACATCAGCCAGACTTCCAATCGCCGGGTGGCGGATACTTACAGGATATGTGCTGCTCATCCCAGCGCCCCTTGTACGAGATCTGGGACGCATCAGCGTCGTACGTCTTCCATTCTGCGCTGAAATTCCCGACGGGCGAAAGAAGCTGCGCTTGACCTGGATATGGGTTCAGACGGGGCTGGCCGTTCTCCAGGATGGTTGCCGACGCATAGAGAAAGATCGAAGATAGAGCCCAGAATGCCCGCATTTTGCTGGAATTGTAGGAGTACACGGAGGGGTTAAAGAAACCCTGGCTATATTTTATTATTTACGAGGCCTTTATATCGGAGATCGAGCTACTGGCGGGATTGCATGCCTTTTCCAAACAGGCTAGTTCGTATACTCCAGACGTTGCGGACAATCCTCCGTCCGAAACGACGGAGCCCGTCTATTGAAGGGATTTCTCCGGAGATTTAGAGTACTTAATTCGAATCTAGCTATCGGAAGGTCTAGCATGCGGGCAACTTGAGGAACTAGGAATTTATCAGGGCATACTCCCCCGTCCCCGCAAGCACCGGACTAATAACTCGACGCCAGTATGCTCTAATAAACATAGCGAAAATTATGATTCTCGTGGTCTGTACAGTCCTGGATCACTGCTGGCTCTCCCTTTTCGGTTTCTGGATGCGCCTCGACTACAGCGGGAGGCCCGTATATCCGGTCCCTTCGCGCATTCTCCCATCGCCAACTCAACCCGAGGGATGCGATGAGCACGACAGCCACTGCAAAGCACACCATAATGGACAGGAATCCGCTCTGCTATCCATTAGTATTTTCTTGTTTTTATCGTATGCCTGAACTTACCTGGTATTTAGGCGCTTCGTGCTCAAAGAACAAGAACGGTCCGATGATGTTCCCTACACAGTAAGCAATGAACATCATCGAGCTGACGGTGGCCTTTTTGGTGAAGCCCGCCACATTCGACGAGACCAGGGACATGCTTAGCGGCAGTCCGGCGGCGAACGCCACGAAGATGAAGATACCAAATAGTTGGGCTCCTTGGTTGTCGATTGCGTAGACGAGGATGCAGCCGATGAGTCTGCTACAAGTTAGTCATCGCTTCGCTACTTTATTTGGTCGGTATACTCACGAGACAAATGTACAGCACCCGGCTATGATACAACGGCTGTTGTTAGGAAATCGACTTGCAATGTATGTGCTGCGGTGTGATTAACCCTCCTCCTTTTCTGAAGAGTTGTACAACGACGTACCTCCCAATACTAAAAATCCCGTGAACCGCACCCATGGGCATGGAAAGGAGATAGACTTCCAGGGTCGAAAATCCAAAGCCAGCCATAACAAGAGAGGTAAACTAGACACATTAGCATAAGTCGACAACTGCGCCGCTGACACTCACTGTGGTCAGACCGCCATTCGGGATGCAGTTAGCGACCTGGAAGAAGAACAGAATCCAGATCTTGTAATCAGAGAGAGCCTCCCACACTTGATTCCACTGGATCTTGTTGTTCTTCACCCCAGTTTGATTGACACGGACTCGCTCGACGGCCGCCATACGCTCCGCTTCCTTCAAAAACCGCGCAGTCGTCGGAGAATCCGGGAGGAAGAATCCCAGGACGACCGCCCACACGCCCGTGATGAGGCCGTAGATGATGAATAGCCACTGCTTATGATAAGTACAGTGACATCACAGGCACAGTCACTGGCTCACCTTCCACGCGGCAATGGAGTTGCGAATATGGGCCACACCGTACGCAATGAGGCCCCCAAACGCCGTCGCAACCGAGTTGCCCGCGAACCACAGCCCGTGACGCAGAGGCTGCTCTTCGCGGAGATACCACATGCCGGTGATGAGACTGAACCCGGGCGAGACGGCTGCCTCTGCGGCTCCGAGGAGAAACCGCGTTGCCATGATCCCGGCAAAGCTGTGTGTCGCTGCGTGGCATGCGAGGATGATGCCCCAGATCAGACTGTGACTGTGGGTGAGCTCGCTCCATGGAATAGGGGACAGGGCCCCTACAAGCACGACGCGATGAACTTCCCAATGGGCAGTCGCACCATGAGCATGGAACCGGGGTATGAAAAGAAAAGATAGCCGAGGTAGAAGATCGAGCCGCACCAGGAGTACTGGCTGCCGGAGAGGTTCTGGGCTGGTTAGTATGTGATGAAATAGTGTTGGCATGGCGACCCACGAGGTCTTCGATGATGCCCATGATGGAGGCCTGGTTTAGGGTCTGTTTGTCCAGGAATTGGAGCATATAAGAGACCACCATCACCGGTAACAGACTAAAGTCGAGTAAGCTTGTGGACCTCTTACAACACGCACATGATGATGCCGAACGTACTTCCAGTCAATCTTCTGGAGCAATTGCTTGCCGGAGGGTACTGTATTTGACTCCATTTTGCGCCAGGATAGATCTGTCGCTTCTTCAACTTGAGTCTCTTGAATGGGAGTCCACTTTCGAAGGAACGTCGATGTATGGACAGCTCGAGACAATAGTCACCCTCCGAGGTAAGTGTCGCATTTATGTAAATGCACACGCAACTGCTCTTGGCCAGACAGTGATGCCTCTGATCTCAGCGATAAGACCCCGATGCCCAGCATCTTATCACATTTAGTCCGTCTCGCAGCCACCACTCAGGGCCATGTACCGGATAGCATATCTCGACGTCCACTCGATTGGACAATTGGCCACCTCGGCAACTCTCAATCATCCTTCGAGAGAGGCTATTTGGGCGAAGGCCTTGGGTTGGGCAAGCAGCAGGACTCCATATTTCTTAGCGACGGAGGCCAGGGGCTGGTCGGGCTGGAAATAGGAATGGAGTATCTTGGTCTGTCGACTGTTAGCTAGGGGGTGTTTCGAGTTCAGTCTCGGTCTCTAATTGGGGTGGAGAGTTGTGGCTGGGATAGACATGGCTTGCAGTGATCTGTTCACTGCATTTGAGCTGCTTATTCTACCAAAGACATCCTCATTCTTGTCGTGAGGGGAACAGCATCCGATATCGATCGGGTCATGGTGTTGTGGGGATGCGGAGAGAAGAGCGTCCTGTACATCCGCTATCCAAGACGCCAACAATGATAACGCCTACCAATCCATTGGCCGATACGCGAGCTCCGTTTGTCATTGGAACAGATTGCCGAGATGGTCTAAGAAATATGAATCAAAAGTAGAAAGGTCTAGCTGTGGTCAAACTTGGTGGAAGGGTACTATCAGGAAGCCATGTAAATCCCTTAAGTTATCTCGCAGATATATAACAGTAACAGTGCTTTGACCGATGGGCCAGCCCGCTATCATGTATTTCTGAAGAGACTATATGAAGTCATGTATACGACGACTGTATATCTCCTACTAAATCCCTCCAATATACATCTCGAAAAATATATGTCCAACTAAATCACTGTCCCGGCTTCTCCAACTCGTAAAACAAAAGATACACCTCCTTCTGCATCCCAAGCACATCTGAAGTCTTGCACTCCTTAACCTTCTCGTCTGAGATTCGCCACCAACGATCGTTGGCCTTGCGACGACGACGCAGGCGAGATCCAGTGGTCGAATCGGCTCCCATGAAAGAGGTCCTCGATGCCGACTTGCTTAACCGTCCGCCTCCCTCTGTAGCTGGACTCTGCGGTTCCGACGAGGGCCCCAGGTGAGTCGTCGACTTGGACCGGTTGCTTTGGAATGAAACGCGCGAACTCGACGTGCTGGGTCTCGCCGCCGGAGAGGACGGCGTAATTAATTGGGATCCTGCCTTGGCGATATTTTTGAGCGAAGCTGATCGGGACGGTGCGGGAGAGGAGAGGGACGACAGAGAAGGGGATGATGTCGAGGTCGAAATGTTAAGTGGCGGAGGCTCGGTATCAGGGACACTGCGGGTGCCGAGGCGAGGGCTGGGAGCCGTGGATACGTTTGTGCTCGCGGCGCGGCTCTGGGCGTAAGAGCTGAAAACATCAGGTGTTGAGAACGGTGGGTAGAGGTTGTTTCGGCGGAAAGACTCGTAGTGTCCGCTGTGGTGACTGCCCTTGTGACAGACGACCGCCAGAAGCTTGAACCACTTCTGCGTCAGAATGCCGCCCAGGGGGAGCCTCTCCGGGAAGGCGACTTTGGCAGCGTTCTTGGTTGAGCTGCTCTGGTCGAAGATAGACCGCGACAGATGAATCGCGATGATTCTGGGAAAGACCGTGATGCGCATATGCCGTGCAATTTTCCGCTTGGGCGCAAGCTCCGCGGGAGGCAAGGTGACGTCTTCCAGCGTCTGTTCCGGGTCCGTTGACAAAGCGTTCTGGATCTTATCGATTTCGGCCTCCAGGACCTGCCGCTCCCTTCCACTACGGGCGTGCGACAAATCTTGTGTCTTCGTGTCGAGCGCATGCTGTAAGCGACATCTGTCGCACCGGAAGTCCTCAATATACTCCGTTTTGAGAAGCCCATCAAAGCAGGCGTTGAGAGTGGTGGAGCTCTTCTGAGGGACCTGCAGGGTCAGGTTGACAAACGACGTCTGATTCGGTTTATACTGATAGTGGCAAAACTGGCATTCGATCTGCGACTCTAGTTTGCCTTCAAACGGGAAGCCGTATTCGTTGTCGATTTCCTTGAGCTTGGTGTCTATGATAGCGGGAAGGCCGTTCTCCGACCCATCGTCGATGCGAACTTCCACCTCGGCGTGGCTCTTCTCAGCCGGTGTACCGTTCTCAACCTCAACCGTGCCCGGCCCTGCGGGCATCTCAATTGCGTTTGGGGCCCGTTGTCGCGCCTTGACACCAGCATGGTATTCATCACAGAGACGCTCTGCCACAATCTGCAGGAACTCCTGCGCGTCCTGTTGGTTGCGGCTGATTCGTGTGCGGAAGGCATACTCAAGCGCTTGTATGAACCCACGGGCCGAGATAGTCTTCTTATAGATGGGCCGTTCGTTCAGCCGATCCAGCATCTCCTTTAATGCTCTTGTGATCGTACCCTGCTGCAGCTCGCGGATGCGGTCGGGCTTGTCCCCGCGGCGCATTTCGCTCACATCAGGGAGCACATTATACACCTCCGGGCCATCCAGCTGGCGCCGGTGAAGCTCCCGGATCAAATAAACACGCAGTTCGCCCAGGCCAGCAAGCGCCTGTAGAACCGAGTTGATGAAGCAGTCATTGGCGGTATTGGCCAGGCCCACAATGCTCTTCTTGCGGTTGCTGTCGCCAGCCTCGTCGCTGTCAATGGTGTAGTTGGGGCCGAAGACGTAGAAGAGGGCGACCGCGGCGAGGGAGGCGCCGGCCGCATACGCGGCGACCGTGGTTGGTTTTTCTGGCATCAACTCGGGGTCGCGGGGGCTTCAAACCGGGGAGGCGAATGGCAAAGAGTCTTCGAGTGCAGCGGTGCGTTGTTGCTATCGGAGCTCCATTGATGCCTAGTCACCTGGAGGGCAAGAAAATTCGAGACTGTGGCGCAGAAACTGCCGCTAGGAGGTTTCCATGCCCTTCTATGCGTGGCAGACGGCGATATGGCGGTATGTACGGAGTACAGAGAATCGTGCGAGGATTTCCGCTGTGTCTGGAGTCGAGTTCGATTCGCGCGGGCTATGACGGGATATTCGTCAGCTGCGGTTTTCCCCATAAAACCCGAGGGAGTGGAGAGGAATGGGGTAGAGTAGAAGGAGCAAAGAGGGGTCCAACCAGAATTCCCACTCACCTGGAAGGTAATATGGTCGATTTCCCCGGGGCTGGGACTATGCAACATATGAGGTCAGGACCGACGACCGGGAGCCCAATTTTCTCTGTTCCAAGCGTGAGGAGTCATCCGCAGACCAGCCCGAAGTTTCCGGAGGTTCTTCAGCGCCGAGCGCCCTAGCCTAGGGACCTCTTCCGGTCCTCCGTTCCCTCCCCACATTCGGTGCTGGATTCCACCGTATGGAGTAAACACGCGATGGATGGAACCCCTGAAGTTCCGGAGTCCGGAGCAGAGATGACTATCGGGTTAGTTACAGGATCGACGTGTCTTGATCGCCAATGAAACCAGTGAGAGCCTGGGTGAAGCGCGCAAAGTCAGTCCTTATCGCTCGTCTTGTCACACACGACGATGATCGCTCACTGCTTCGGTTGGCGATCGGGAGTGATCAATCCGCTATTAATTGAGATAGCGCGAATGGTCTGCTGCTATTATGTCACGGGCGGCTGGCGATCGGGAGTCGATCAATCCACTCGGCCACGGAGAATTGGGTAAGGAAACCGATCACTATGTCTTTGCTTTTTTAGCCCACTAGGCTCGTAAACATAGTCGTCACGGAGTGTGATGGGTAAAGGATTGGAGGGGCGAGAAGTAAGGGTGAAGCTCAGAAGTACCTCTGTAAGAATCAGGTGACAATGGCAGAGGCCTCAAAAACAAGGCCAGCCACATGGCTTAGCTAGCCCACATCAAACAACTGCATTAACGTCAGAGAACTATGGTGTTATCAAGCAAAAATTGTATGTATTTCAAGACAGGGAAGCGTGTTATGTTCTATTAGACAGCACCCTGTGGTTTTTATATTCCACTCTATGTAAACATTGCATTGTCAATACTCATTCATGACATGGTATAACATGTCCCAACCCATAAACAGCCGGCCGAGTCCCTTGGATCAAGGTATCCGAGATATAACGAACAACATTTTCCTTTCACAACATTCCAACCATGTCTATGAGCGCATCGACTCCGGCAGAGTGGCAACCTTCTCCTTGAACAGATCCTCGGCCTGCTTCCACACGCGAGCGTTCTGCCAGTCCTTCAGCTGCAACAAGCTGGGCAGAAGTGCCTCGCTGAACATCTCAGAGCTCTCCCGAGGCAGAAGAGAGGGCAGGTGGTCAATGCTGATCACACTCAGAGGGGGGCCCTGGGTGCCGGCGGGCAGGATGACAGGCACGGTGGGCCGGTCGAAGGTAGTGGTAACAGTGTACACGGGAATAGGGTTGTGGGGGTTGGTGCTGAGAAGAGCGTGTTAGCAATGTCCTGTTTCGTATGGCATTTCGTATGGCATGAAGACTTACGTATCGGCGCTCACGTCGCAAATGACGGACAGACGACGGTTGGGAGAAGAGAGGGTCTCGCCATTGAGGAAAGGCGGAATGGGGGAGGAAAGGTATATGCAGTTGACGAAGATGTCTGCGTCTTCGATGATTTCCCTGAAGGGGCCGCCTTGAGTATAGATGGTCAGTAGGAGAACGACAAAGCCAGGGAGCAAGCAATTGCGACATACCCTTCTTGGTCTCCTCCATATCCCACTGGATGATGTCGGACTCGGGAATGCCGACATCCTTGGCCAACTGAACAGCACCCTTGCCGCAGCGTCCGAGCTAAAAGCTGTTAGAATATCAACCCAACACCCAACAAACATGAGTGAACTCACAGCGCCAATGACAAGGACCTTGGGCGAGCGGCCAGACGCCTTCTTACCCGCTTCCAGGGATTCCTTCACCGACTGGATGAGCAGATCCTGGTTGGCGTAAGGCACCTCACCGGGGAGAGGCTCGCCCTCAGGGTGCGTCAGCTGCCAAGCCCAGTTCTTGACGGCCAATGCGGAACCTTATTATATCTTCAGTCTGAATTCACCAAAATCATAGAACATAAAGGACCTACCCGCATAACCAGCAGAATATCCGAAGGCTATGGGCAGAAATGTTAGTTTCTCCTCAACGGACAACGAACGACCCGACACAACACGGATTGACTTACCAGCGACTCTCCGTCCGGCATCGTCCGTGAGGAACTCAAGATCGAGAAGAGTACCACCACCACGGGGCCAGCGGCTCAGAACCTTCTCCCAACCACCTTGTTGCTTGTAACAATGCGCAAAGGAGATATGAACATGCTCAAGGGGGAAGTCATCCTCGGGGAGCTCCTTGAGACCCAGGATGAAGGCGTCCTTGGGGGCATCCTTCACCCACGAGCCTTCTTCGACCAGCTTAGCTCCGATCTGTGCGACAGAGATATTAGAGATCATCCGCAGAGAGATTCGAGTGCGAGGCCGGTAATACCTTGGGGAATTCATCATCTGTAGAAATGAACACAATCAGTATTCTTATCACAGATCGAACTGACCAATTGAGGGGGTAATCCGCGCTCAAGTCTCACCTTCGAAGATTCGCTGCTTCGAGCGTTCCACAGTCACGTCATAACCAGCATCAATGAGCGCCTTGGCGGTTGTCGGCGTCACTGAGAATCGAGTCAGCATTAGGCTCCAATGGATAGATTTGGCCAATGCTGTAGTCATTGAAGGCTTCTATCCATGGCGGGGCACTCACAAGCAGAACGAGCCTCCGCGGGCTTGGTTTCAGCACGCAGCCAGATCTTATTCGATGGCATTTTGTTGAAGGACAATTGAGGTTGGACAGAGAAGATGAACAGGCAAAAGATATGTGAAAGCTTGTGGAAGGTCAATACTAATGGAAAACAGTAACCACAGGCAGACGGATCTATGACACAGACTTTCCTGACTGAGTTAAGTGACCGTGGGGGAAACGAATTTCTGGAGGTTGTTCCGTTCCGGGGAAGAAATGACTCAGCATCGCCCCCGATGTCGGCACACTCCCCATTCCTACGACAGACAACTGCTAGACGAATATGAAATAAAGGGTCGATTGAAGCCGAAATAGTTATGGATATCAAACATAAATGCAGGCTCACTCGGCCGTACATATTTTCCGGTCCTCCGGCTTTTCATACATGGGATTTCGTGGCTCGCTGAGAAACAACACTCAAAGATGTGGCACGATTACACAGGTACAATCGCATCCAATTTTCATTAGTTACCCTTGGTCCGACTACGAGTGCGACTTCCCACTCCATCAGTCGGAATGGCCTTCCTCACGGTTTCCCTGCTCTTCTTGGGACGACCGGCCTTCTTCTTCTCTCCATTGGCAGCGGCGGGTTCAACTGGGGCCTCCACTCCATTCGTTGACGCAGCCTCCTCCTTCTCATCAGTCTTTTGCTTCTTTGTAGCTGGTTCAGGTACGCTGGGGTTGTCGGAACCAGTAGAAGTAGCGGTTGCTTCAAGCTCTCGTTTATCGCCAGCGTTGGTTTCGTCTTTCTTCTCATCGGCAGAAGAGGGTTGTGTTTCAGTCGCCTCAGGAGCATGAGACGGGCCGGTGGGCTGTGGCCCCTCAACAGGCTTATCGTCCTCGCTCGACTTTTGTTCTTCGAGAGGGTGGTTCCCGTCTGTGGCCTTGGCTATGGCGCTATCCCCGTTGGACTGGTTGGTGATGTCATCAGTGGGTTGTTTATTGACATCACCCCGAGAGGCGTCGACGGTCTCTGGAAGCCAGAAAGTTAATATGGACACTTCAGGTAGTCCACGGAAGATCAACAGCACTCGCGCTAGTGCCACTGGGGTGTGTGGACGTACCGGGAACAATGGAAGTTGGCTCAGGAGACATGGTGATGAAGCACGATGTAGAAAACAATGTTGGCTTCAGTTGGAACAATGTTGCAGAGAAGGCGTCGAGAGATGAAAGCGACAGGAAATTCGGTATTATATTGGGGGTCTTGGGTTGGGAATTGGCTGGAGGGTGAGGGATTGCTCAAGAGTGTTCGAGAAGGTTGGGAGGTGAGGTTGCGCGGTGACGGTTACTAAAACAGGCCTCGCAGGGCGCTGACTGGCTTCATGCGACGGGAGGCAATGTCGGTTGGGGGCGAGGCCCCGTCGCAACCCACAACAAAATGGGGAACACAGCAGTCGAAGTCCAGCTCGAGGGGGCGCATCACATAATCCTGCCATGCAGTGGCGGTTATGCCGGCGAAGCATGCCAAGAAGAGGAGAAAACCTCCGCTAGCGTGGCCCGTGTGGAGCAAGATGCGGAGTAGCGCTCACGATGGCGCAACCGGATGGGAAGAGGGTAATTGCGCGTCTGCAGATCCTGGCTGATGATTCGCCTTCTTCCCGAACTGTGGGCATGTCTATGCTCATGACGTTTGCAGATTACATCGATGACCGTCCTTCAGTTAGGAGGTTCATCTGTGTCAGATTAGTGCCAGATCCAAACGAGCCAGTAGTTCCTGTTCCTCTGCCGAAGTCAGGTGGCCGTTTTCAGATGCCGCCGTCGGGTCTGTCTTGCCGGGAAGTTGCTCCTGGATGAATCGCGCTAGATATGCGGCATCCCAGAGTTTCTCCCGATCAATGAGCACTCGAAGGCCGTCAAAGGCGGCCCGTAAGAAGTTCTCCCTCCGGCTCTCGGACCAAGACTCCAGGCGTTCGGAGGACGGCAGCGCGTCCACAAAATCAAGGAGAGGTCTAACGTCCGGCCGGGTCGGGTGGTAGATGGGCGCCGTCGCTAGTAGATCGGATGTCGGAGCGAGGACGGAGAGGGTCTTGACGAAATTATCATACATCGAGACAGGGACCTCTTTGGTCTGAGTCTGCGCATTCTGCATGACCGATTGACAGAGGTGAGAGGCCGCAGGTAGCAGCATCTGTTGGTTGGCCCGTTCATTCCCCGTAGTCAAATAGGCTTCACACGTCTGGATATAATACCGCATCGCCGAAGCTAATCCGCCTCCATACTGCGTTTCCGCACTGATAAGATCGACCAGAAGATTACTGAAGACTTGGTGCGCAATGTTCTCGGGTAGTCGACCTCGGCGACCGCCAATATCGTGCTTCGCCAGCATCTTCAGCCATACTATCACTGTCTCCTGCAAGCCCTCGGCGACCATGAACTTGAGCAGAGAGGCGGTCGATGCGCGTGATTTGAAGAGAATCTTCCTTGTCTCTGAGTCCGATGCAAACCACCAGGTGACGACCTTAGTGCCCGCTTTGGAATCCTTCATGGCCTTGACAAAGCCGGTCCCAGTGTGAGGGCTTGCGAGTAAGAGCTGCGACTTGAGACAATTGCGAAGGTCGGAGACGGTGACGGAACCGGATGCCACAAGCTCATCGAAAACTACCATAGGCTCCTTTGCCAGTCTCTGTTGTTCAATACTCCCCATGCCGGAAGGGTCACGGCGTAGGGCTGGGCTGGACGGCTTGGAGGGGACCACTCGAAAGAGAGGATTGTCTAAGATGGCGCGCAAGTGGCGGTCGGTCGCGTGGACGGACGAGTCGGGGTTTCCCCGCGATCGGTCTCCGGGGACAGGCTTCTCTCGATCGGAAGAGGAGGTGGAAGGGTACTCATGGTCAAGTTGGCGACGGAAGGAGGACGTAAGGGCATTGAGGAGTTGCTGAGACTCCCGAGGGGTCCGCGGCAACGGGGGATGGATTCTGGACCAAGACCGGAAGTTGAAGATCGACGTGCCCTTCATCGCGAGGCCGACAGCAGATGAAAGGGATGAAGGGAGTCGAGATATATTGAAGAAGCTAGTGAGTCTGGAGAATGGTGCCTCACTTTGCTCCCTGCATGAGGCCGTGATGGACAGTTACTGAGAAGGGAAGTGGATGGAGGCGGTGAGCAGGGGCAGATACCGGGCGGCTGTATTTTTGGGTATGGCGGTGGTATGGGAGTACTGCGAGGTATTACAGCGGGTAACGGCCATACTCGAGTACGTCAGAGTCGTGGTCACTCATCTACACCTAGGTACCTAGTAGGAAGAGGTGCTCGAGTATAATCAAGGGCAACATTCGTTGAACATTCGAACATGGATTAACGGATCTATAGAGGATGGATTAATTGATCAGAATAAGACCTAATAGCATCGTCAGGCGGAGGATGAAGTACCGAAAGTCTGCCGTTGTCATGCGAGAGAGGGTCTCAAAATGGTGACGAAATGCTATGGCCGCCGAGGATATCGTCACAACAAGAAAAGAACAAAGAGAGTGTAGAATCTCAAGAGGATATACGTAGTAGAATGTAGAATACCAGGAGTAGAGACTACTACAGTTAACTACCTAGGTACAGAGAATTGACCATCTTCATCCGCATCCAATCGACTGGGATGTTCCTCGCCTTCAGCTGAAGCTCGCTAAACTACCAAGTCACTCTCAGGTCACTGCCCCATAGACCGTTGCTGTGGGTGGTACGAGCAAGTTACTTTCCTTCCTACACATGCTGCTGTACCAGCCTTGTTACTTACACCTTGTCCACCTAAGGTTCGCCCTCACACTCAATCTTCTCTCTCTTCTTTCTCCTCTCTCTCTTCTCTTCTCTTCTTCCTCTTCTTCCCTCCTCGAAATTTACTTCCCATGTGTTAATGCCTACCTCCTCTCTCCTCTAGCTTTCTATCCTTCTCTTTCTTTCCTTTCTCTCTTTTCTTCCGCCCCTTCAACGCTTTCGGGCTTCCTTGATCCTCCCCCTCGAATCCAGGTGGGTGTGTCAACCTGGTGAGTTCCCATTTCCTGTCTTTCGTTTCGTGTTGCGTGAGGCTGCAGCATCTTTGGGATCCAAGGTCACTAAACTCTTTTTTACCCGCTTTTTCTGCCACACTAGCCGCACCTTGTTTTCTCCCTTCGTCGACTGTCCGTCCTCAGTTCTTCCTCCGTTTCTCCCTCTTCCATCCTAGGGGATCTCACATATCCGGTTCCAATCACAAATCATGTCTGAAGTGCAGTCACGGGCCTCTGCCTCTCGGGGCAGAGTATCTTCTCGCGGTGGTCGCGGCGGCTATAGCTCCAGAGGTGGTCGGGGTGGCTCCAGCAGATCTGCAAAGACTGACAACGCCGACGGCACACAATCCCGCTTTCGAAGATGGAGAGCTTGGTCTCATGAAGAAGAAATACTCCGGCACTCTTCCCATGCTGAAGGAATTGTTCCCCGACTGGACCGACGAGGACCTCGTCTTTGCCCTTGAAGATGCCGACGGTGACCTGGAACAGGCCATTGATCGCATAACGGGAAGGTTTGTCGTCGTCTCCCTTCCTCCAGCGCCTCTTCCACGACTAACTCCATCCTACAACAGGCAATGTCTCGCAATGGGGGGAGAGGTCAAGAAGAAGACTGCAGACCGGCCCCGTCCCAAGCCCCAAGGATGTACAGCCCTGCTCCCGCCCAGAAGACCCCGGCTCCTGTGTGAGGTGCCCGTGGACATGGGGGATTAGAGGGTCGCGGTCGCGCTCGCGGGGATCGTGGTCGAGGCGGTCGTGGTGGTCGCGCTGGTGCTCACACGAATGGAAGCCGGTCGGAGAAACCCACCGAGAGCACCGGTACGACTACGACCACGACCGTTGTGCCTGAAGCTACCAAGACCGAAAAGACCGTTAGTGCTCAGCCCGCAGCCGCCGAAGCGATCGAGACTCCCAAGGAAGCTTCCAAGGACGTCCCGAAACCGAGTGGCGGCAACTGGGCGAGCCTCTTCGCCAAACCGGCTCCTCCCCCTCCTCAGCCTGTCCAGAAGAAACCCGCTCCGGCGCCCGCCCCTGTCCCTGAGAAGCCTGCGGCTCCTGAACCTACTCCGGCACAGAAAGCTCCCGAACCTGCTCCCGTTCCCGTTCCTGCTCCGGTCCCAGTCCCCATCCCCGCTGAAAAGGCCCCCGAACCAGCCATCCCTCAACCTACTGAAGCTCCCGCTCCCGCTCCTGCTCCTTCGACCGACGTCACTCCCCCCAAGGATGATTTGACGAAGAACAACCTTGCTCAGATTCCCGATGTCTCTCCTCCGGCTCCCACCGCCACCGCTGCCAGCACGGTCGGCAGCGCCCTTGATGCCAACGCGGCTGCGGCCTCCACCCCCGCCCGTGGAGCGCCTGGCCTGTACCCGACCAGTGCCTTCAAGCACAGCGCTCGGGGACCTGGTGCCCAGCGTCGTGTGATGGAACAGCAGGAAGCTGTTGTCATGCCCGGCAACCACGCCGTCGACCGCGCGGCGGTGCAGTTCGGCAGCATGGGTCTGAACGGTGACGCTGCCGATGTTGATATCGACGAGAACCGCGAGGATGCCGAGACTCGCGCTCAACCTCCCCAACACTCCCCCGTGGCACCCCGTGCCTCGCTTCCTCCTTCCACCCAGCCTCAGGCGTCGACTGAGACTCCCACTGTCTCTCGTCCTGCCCCGGGACTTCCTCCCGTCCCTCAGGCCTCGGCCGACTCCTCCTTCACCGACTTCGCCCGCTACACCGATGCGCAGAAGCCTTATGACCCGTTCAGCCAACAGGTCACTCAACCTCAGCCTCAGATCCAGGAGCCCTTCGCCAACCAGGCTCCCGTCCAGCCCACCGTCACCACCGGCAGCGAGTACTCTCCTTTCTACACCATGGACCAGCGTTTGCCCTACAACTACTATGGCACCTACGGTCAGTCCCAGGATGCCACCGGTACTCAGCGCGCTGCCGCTGGCTTTGGGCCGGTGTCGGGTGCGGAAGTTCAGCCTCACGTCCCCGCGACCCAGCCTCCCGCTGGCCGATATGGTCACGTTGACGCCCCGAACAGCGGTCACACCACGCCTAACCCCACCCTCCCCGGTGCGACCCAGGCTCCGGCCGCCCAGCACATGCCGGGACAGGCCGCCTATGGATACAACTACCCCTACTTCTCGAACCCTCACTATGCGTCGTACATGAGCCAGATGAACCAGCACCAGTATGGCCGCAACCGCCCCATGTATGACGATGCCCGGCGGTATGACGATCATTACATGCCTCACAGCCAGTATGGCTACGGCAGCCAATACGCCCCTTACGGCAAGGCGGGCATGTACGGACAGCCCCACGCCTTCTCCTACGACCACTCCTCGTCCCCCGCGACCGCTGGCAGCTTCAACCAGGCGATGCCTGGCCGTGAGACCATGTACGGTCGGACCGGATCGGCCCAGCCCTCGGAGAGCCAGCAGACGGCCGCCGGCTCTAACGCGTTCGGCGGCAGCATGTCCGACGTCTTCGGCCGCTCCCAGGGCAGCTTTGGTCAGAACCAGCCCATCTCGCAGCAGCCTCCCGTGACGACGGAAGAGACGAAGAGCTTTGACACTCCCAAGGCGGGTGGTCCCAGCCCGTCGCTGGCTCAGGCCAACCGGCCGGGCTCCGCCACGAACAGCGTCCCTGGCCAGCCCCAGGCGCAGACCGGACTGCCCCCGCTTCAGGGCCAGCAGGGCCAGCAGGGCTTCGGTGCTTACCCCCAGCTGAACCCCCAGTATGGAGGACTGGGTTCTCTGGGTGGTCACCAGGCCGCGGCCACTCAGACCCATCACCAGGCGACTGCCTATGGTAACTACGGAGGAGCGGGATTCGCCAACTACTACGGGAACACCGGACGTGGCGGCTGGGGAGGTAATTACGGTCACTAACGGATCAAGGCGTTGACTTTTTCTTTTTTCTTTCCGATTATGCTCTTTTCGCTCTGATTTCCTTTTCTTTTCCGGGGTGATGAAACTTGCATTTCCATTTTCTCTCGGTGGGGACGGTCAGCCTGGATAAAAACATGATATATTTCACCTGTTGTCTATTCTCTTTATTCTTTTGTCACTCCTCCAGTGTGTAATCTCTACTCTCAATGGGACCTTGGCTGGTTGTTCCCTTTGCTTTGTCTTGTTCTTTGACGCACGGTTGCTTTATGAGGCTATATTGAAGTGAAAAATCGTCTGGTTGTGTTTTCCGTTTGCTTCGGACATGACATTGAACCATGTCCTGCTTCCTCGGGCTCTGGTCTTGCCTTGCGTATCTTTCCGCTTCCTGTACTACACATTTGGGTTCGGTTGGGGCTGCATCTGCTGGACTGGTTATGAGAATTGGGGACGGAAAAATGCAAGAACTGATTCTGGCGTTCTTTCAATTTTGGACGTTGTATTCATCTAGATGTAGGCATGGGTGGCCAACTATAAAAGTGACTACATTGCACTACATGAACAGTTAGTATAGAGTAGGGACCGGGGGTCTTGTATATGGTAGTGAGCACGTTCCTGATTACCCGAATAAGGAATTGTGCAAGTGACCAAACTACGGGAATGGCTAGCTCTGAACATCCCTGGACCACTTCCCAGATGGATCGTGTACATCATTGACCGTGTTCTAAAGAATAGTACTATATACAGAATTCCAACCAAAGCAAGGGCACGCCCTATCCAAATCTATATCCTCCGTGATCATATATATATCAGTCCAACAAATACACATCTCTGGTTACCTACTCAACACCAAGTCCCTCGGGGCCAGCACTGTGGTAAGGTGGCTTGGCATCGTTCACACTGGCGGGATCGAAGCGCCACACTCCCCCGGTCCGCTCGCTCTCCAGCGACTCGAGGTCGGCCTTCTGGAAGAGCTGCTTGAACTGCTCGTCCAGCTGCGACTCGTCGACGCGCTTGAAAAAACGGCGCTCCCAGGTGCGGTTCTCATCACGCTCCGTCTTGCGCATCTGACGCTGGGCGTTTTCGATCTTGCCTTTGGCCGCGGACACGGCGTTCATATCGCTGCGCAAGATGCCCTCGGCGACATCCTTCCAGGCGCGGCGACTCTCGTACAGGTCCTGTTCCTCGAGAGGCGCCACCTGCAGCGGCGTCGTCTTGGACTCCTTGACGGAATACTTGTCGACAGTCTCCTTGGTCCGCGGATTCGTGATGACAAACGAGTCCGACCATTGGCCCTGGGCCGTGTACAGAGGCTTCTTCTCGCCCTCGCTTTCCTTGAAGAGGGAGGCGGTGAACGTGTTCTTCTTTCCGCTCAGCCAGCCTTTGCCGGAGTAGTCGATCTTCGCGATATACCCGGTGCTGCTGACGATGCGGGTGGACTTGTCCAGCTCCATGAAGGGGGTCCCGTAGATCAGGGATTCTACATGCAGGCTGGGGAGTGTAATGAGATATTGTTCCTTCTGGGCGGGGTCGTTCCTATCCGCGCCGGGCGGAGTGAAAGTCAGAAGGGCATGACCGATCTGTTTGATGAGGATTGTGCCGTTGAAGGACGCTTTCTGCGCGTTGTATCCTTGTAACTATAGGGGGGTGTCAGTCGCGCGACCGAGATTTTTTTTTTTTTTTTTTTTTTTTTTTTTTTTTTTTTTTCGTAGAGTAAGGGGATGAACTCACTTCTACGCCATGTTTCTCGTTGCGAATCGCATAGGCCGTGGCCGGAGGATGGTGACTGAACCAGTCAATACGTCGCACATTACAACTGTACAACGGCGGGTCATCGCCTACCTGACTTGTTCACTGATCAGAGTGGTCTCCCCCACGTCGGCGTCGGCCTCCCATTTCCCGAGGAAGAGCTCGCCCAAGAAAGGGTTCAGGGGCTTCTTTTCAGAGCCCAGTTTCTCACTGCGCGAGCAGTACTGCTGGTGGAGGGTGCTGAGGAACCACTTCAGGACTGCTAGAGCCCTCTTCTCGGGATCAGGTTCTCTGGCCGGGGCGACAAGAAGCCCGGGGTGTTCGGCCCAGTAGGCGGAGTATTCGGTAAGGGAGGTGGGGGATAGGATGAAAGGTGGAGCGGTTAAGGAGGAGAGGTCGCCATTGAACGAGGCAATCGACTAGACAGAGGTTAGTGGACGAATGACGGACAGTAGGGGTCTATGGAGCCACCGGGCAACACATGAGGTGCTCTCGGGCCACCCCATTGCGTCAGGAGGAGAAACAGAGGGTATGTATGTCTTGGTCGTACCTTGATGAAACTCATCCAGGAAGCCTTGTTCTGGGGCGGGATGCCATTACTGGAGGGGACCATTTTGGCTCAGGGTGGAGGGGAGATGAAAGACTCTACTAGGAATAAGGAGAGATCAAGAAGGGACCCATCTAGGGAGAGGGAAGAGACGGGCGAGAAGCTGGTGGAGGAGACAAAAAGGAGATAGAGAGAGAGAGAGATGGAGAGAGGAATGGGAGACGGAGAAAGATGAGGAGGAGAATTATGTCATATCGTTGGCCTCAGGCTCGCCGTTTCAGGTAGTATTCTTCTTCCCCTTTTCAATCTCCACCACCACCCATAGGTACTACCCCGTATACTACATTCTATACTCATACTCCTTGACTCGCTTGTCTACCTGCATGTTACAGTTGACTTCTTCCATCACCCTACACAATCAGTATCCCCGTCAAACGCCTGGACGAGACGCATCTCGTCATCGACGTCATGGCGCTAGGGCCTCTCACGACAAACCTGGATACGCGTTTTCCCATCAATAACCGTCGACTAGTCGCACTACAGTACTCCTCGTCGTCGCATAATATTTGTGTTTCTTGTCAGTAGTTAGCTCCGGAAAGGAAGCGGCGTTAAGGCTTGTCCCCTGAAATGTGGGCCATAGACGAACTGATACTCCGTGTACGGAATAAGGTCGCCACACTACTAGTTGTTGGACCCTTAACCGCTCGATCTTCGCTTGATCTTCGGTCTTCCTTCGGAGTAACGTTGTGAGTCTGATTTGCCTATCGTGAGGGATGAGATTTCCGCATCAGGCTTATCGCTTGGCTTCAATCTACCGTTCCATCGGGTCGACGCAAATGGTCTATACCGATGAAAACGGAAATCACCACTCCCAACAACCATATGCAGTACTACTGGTTATTTACAGAGTACTATTTTGGTTGGTAGACTATTGTATAGATGTGGTTGACATCTACAGAGTAACGCGTCTTTCACAACTAGCCAGAATATATATGGCCTTATGAGCGCAGCCCTATATTTTTACAGATTACTCCATAGTAAGTCATGAGGCCATAGTATCAACCAGTGTCGGGAGGTACAGTCTCATATTCCTGACATAATTCTATTTCATACAGACAAGGCAGCAGGTTAGAACAACGGCAGTCTTCTGGCTCGATTAAGAAACCCCAGGATGACAATCTGCATAGCTACCTACGGCAAAATACATATCCAAAGAGAGCCATCCTTGGCGAGAAAGGCCCTTGGCGAGAAAGTGACCAGGACTGCAGTCGTGGGTGACGTTTTCCAATGACAATCCATGGCCTGAAGAGGAGCATCTTCAGTAACCTATCTGTATTCATACTGTCTTCTCAGAGTATGAGTATACTGATATACTATGATCCGGGGTGCAGAAGAGCCTGGGTTCGACCCCGTATAAACCTCAGATATTGACAAACAGTTTCATCCGGCCAAATCGCTGTCGGGACCTTTCCTCCCTTAGAGCTATCAGATTGCACACTACCATTGCCAATATACCCATCTTGACCTTTCCTGGACGGCTCTCCACGAAGCCTCCCATAGGGAAACGCCGCAATCCCTAGGGCATGTCCTTGATGTCATCAATAGAACAACGAATAGGAAAGTCAAGTGAACGATCCCCCATAAGCAAGGCTATGCCGGAGAGAGTGGCGGTCACACAGTCGGTTTTGTTGTAGGGTAGTGCGCTGACCTCGTAGAGCGTCCTGCACCGTCCTAGATAGAAATAATGTCTTGCACGAGACATCGGACAGGTTGCATTGGCCTTTTCGGCTGAGTAGTGGCAGCAGTTGGAGGCAGATCGGGTGCACAGGTTCCACCAGGCGGTTCTGGGCTCCGCACAGTCTGCTGTTGGATCAAAGTCGACCGCTGCGGCAGGGCAAGCAAGTAAGGCAAGAGCAGAGAGAGCAAGTGAGATTTTCATGATGAAGGAGATTCTGTCTGGTAATGAAGGATGTTTACACAGGGAGGAGGTGTTCTTTATATAGTATTCTTGCAGGTATGCGGAGATTTCTGTTGTAGATGGACGCAGCCATGCTGATACCGAATCTGGCAAGCATAGGCGATCTCTGTAGGTGGCTTACATTAGTATGCATTTGCATCTTGACTGACCAGTGGTTACTGTGAACCTCTCGTATAGTAGTCTCGGTTTGTTTATCCATCTGCTACAAAGCATACAGGAGTAAGAAGAGCATAAATAGATTTCCTTTTCAATAGCAAATCGGTAGTATGCACCTACATTGTCCGACGCCATGTCCACCACCTGACTTGGGAGCCCGCAGCGGCCGTTCGCCGGGGATCGACTTCATATCGTGGCCTACAACCCGGTGAGTATATTGCGTGGTGGAATGTTTGTCCTAGCGGATCACGGTTCACGGCCCGCTAATCTAGGCTTTAGTACCTCAATGTTTAAATCGAACCCTAATCTAACTATTTTCTTCAATGTTGCAAAAGGACGATGGACAGCTGTGTGAGACAACCGGTAAGCACTAAGGCGGCCGAAGGAGACAGACCGGACTTCCGACCTGCACGTAAGATTAATAGCTCCAATATCACCCAGGAAGATAGCCAAGGTAGGTATTGAGAGTAAACAAAACGTAAAGCGAAAGCCATCGACCTGGAGAGAAAATCAAATACGTAGGTGGAAGGACAATAGCATTAGCTCCTTGAGGCAGTACGTCTCTCTTGCTATGGTCGAGTCTAGATATCGTGAAGAAAGCTGAAAGCCGAGTGAAGCATACAACCATAGGTCGCCGTGATTCTTCAGCGAATCCATCGATCGAGGCCGTGATTTCGTTCCAAAGCGACAGTCGACGCCTGGGGAGCTTCTGGATGATACAGCTAGGAGTAGCAATCTACTTCATCACCTGGGTAACACTCTTTGTCCTTTCTTCGCATTGTATGGGGCCAAGGATTGACTACCGTGTGAAATCTCCCAACGACCAGGAACCACATAGACCAGCATTCTCCTCAGAGCCAAATCTCCCCGGGCTCATCTAGACTGATCTCAATTGACGTTTGGTCCACTCTAGGGTTGATGGTTGGCATCGACGCCTTTGCGATCGTCGCCACCTTTAACCACACCTCCATCAACAACTGGCCTTAATTTGTCAGTCTGCCCATGATGGCACTGTCATCCATTATTTCGTTTCCAACCTACCTACTTGGCGTAGGTAATCGCACCACAATGTCTACCTCGCGGCATCCAGTGGCCGTCCTAGGCGCTTGTGGTGTCCATGTCCTCTTCGGCCGTGCCCTGGACCATCTTCACAAGCCGCCCCCGAATACCGAAGCCAATAGCTATATGAGCTGCTTACCGACATCCAGCAGCTGATGTGCCGCTTGAGTCGCGGCTGCTGCCCAGCCATCACGGCCACGCTGGTCATCGGCAGTGTGGCACAATTGGTAACGGCGATCATGCCTCAAAATTGGACCATCCTTGCCCCAGTCATAGGAATTGGATTCGAAGTAAGGTACTTTTTCGTGCATGTTGCAGGGAATGAATGCTCAAGCTCCCTAGGTACAGGCTATCTTCCTGTCCTTTTCAAAAACTCGGGGCACCGGTATTCAAGCCATGACCATCAACCACGGGGGTCTTCCTAAGGCTCTCCTGACACCGCGTTTGGTTATCCCTTCACATGTCTTCTTGGGCTTGTGGATCGTCAGTCCATTGCTGCTGGATCTGCATTTGCGCACCCTCTTTCCGAAGTATCCGGTTTCAGTGGGTACGACAGCAGGCTTTACTTTAGACCCGGCGATTGCTGCAGGTGTTTTTGGAATTTTTTGTTCTGGAACACTCCAGACTTCCGGTGGTCTCGTATTTCAAGGTCATCGTGGTGCCGACATGGTATCTTAGTAGCACGACGGGTGAGTAAGACATTGTAGGTTCCAGTCTGTACGAGGCCCGAGACTTCCGTGGGATGTGCATGCGTGCAATGGTTCATTCTGGAAACCAAGCACAATGAGGATGAGTTTAAGGTCCGAAGAGATTTCGGTGAATCGACCTCACGTCCAGCGCTACAGAGTTTCCTAGCCAGTCCATGGTGATCCGAAGCTGCAGTGTGATACAGTAAGGTCGACCACTCAACCAAACCGACCGATGCATGCATCGATTGTAGAAACATTTCTCGTATTATAAAATCCTGCGCGAGAAGCTCGGACATCGTATTCCACTTCTTGGACCACTGTTGCCACCCCTACGGCAACTCCCCTGATATGCGAGCCATCTTCAGGGACCATTCTGCTACAGACAGGGTCATAATAGTTCCGATCTGTTGGAATCTGCAACCCCATGGCCAGACCCTAATCCCCAGGGGTCAGTCCAGATCAGACAGTTCATGGCATGGTCCACTCTCACTAACAGTGGGCCAAAGACCACGAACCGAGGGGGAGAAACCATTCTGCATCCCCCCTTCACGTTCCAACATCAATCCCGATACTGCAGCCTCATTATGAAGCCGCTTGTTGCTCCTGGTGGCTTGTCCAGCTCAATGATTCATGACAAACCCCAAACCTGAGACCGTGATCCACTCTGGGTCCAGACTCCATGCTGTGAGAAACACAAATCTTCATGTTTGATCGCCAACCCATGCGGTGGAGATTTCCTGTCCTGTCGACTGCGACAACTCCTAGCCACGAGCGATTGACACGAGGGCTTCCCGACGGAGTGCATGCTCTAGACCACGCTCTTCATAGTCCACCAGAATGATGCGTCTCGGGTGGAGTGCCGCGATCACGCCGTTGCTCATCAGGGGCTGTGGGTGCTTCCATGTCGATCAAGTGCCCACTCTAAAGCCAAGCTATCGGTCTCGGGCTCCTCTCCCGAACATATAGTGGGCGACAGCGTGACTGGCATCTGGAAGCATTATTGGCTCTGGGGTGTAGATTCATCCCTATGGGTTCATCCCGCTGTCGTTCAGGGCGTATGCTTGGCTGAGAAAGCCCGCAGTGTTTCCATTTTAAGCCTCTTCCTCGCTCAAGCTCCATCACGAGCAGACTGATGATGTGATGATAGTCGACCCAGTGTGAGGGAGTTCTACTCCCTGACGCGCAATCCAGTCGACATGAGGATGAGGACCTTTGCTGTCAGGCTGTTATTTAAGACACTGTCCCTGGCGTGCTCTACAGGAGGCTCGTCGGACTATCCTTACGCTCTTCGATGCCTTAGTTTCGGTTCTCTCGCTCGGATTTTCTATATTCTCGTCACTCGTTGATCTATATGTTGTTTACGAACGTTCTTTACATCTGATATAGTCATTCTTTGCTACGTCAATATATCTCGTGCTGCCTCTGGTTTATAATGACTGCACATAATATGGCTAAAGAGGACCCTCAAGGGCTGGAACTCCCAGTAACCTCGGACTGCTCCTCGTCCATTACACAGGTTCCCACCGAAGCTCAGGAGTCGAGCACAGAGCTCAGCCTACCGCCTGGCACTCCTAACACGTTAGTCCAGGAAGACAGCCATGTCTCGGACCTGGAGAGCCTCAAGGCCCCGGAAGAGGACCAATATCAGCGGTTCTCCCCTGCAAGAAAGCTCCTGATCGTGTCGACGTTAGCATTCTGTGCCCTACTGGCTCCCATCTCTTCGACAGCCATCATGGCTGCCGTGCCCGAGCTCGCAAAGACATATCAGACCACCCCGGAAGTCATCAACGCCAGCACGGCTGTGTATCTGACGTCGATGGGGGTAGCAGCTCTGTTCTGGGGACCACTGAGCCAAGTGTATGGCCGTCGTCCTGTAAGTAGACTCACTTTCCATGTCAGACATCATCATGTCCTAATAGCACCGCTGCACAGGTCTTCATCGCAAGCAGCGTCTTGTTCTTCCTCTTCACCGTCGCAACCACCCTCGCTCCAACTCTCTCCACCTACTTCGTCTTCCGTGCCCTCACAGCCTTCCAGGGCACATCCTTCCTGGTCGTCGGCAGCTCCGCCATCGGCGACATCTACGCGCCAGACGCCCGCGCCACGGCCCTCGGCTGGATCCTATCTGGTAGCATGGTCGGACCAGCCTTTGGTCCATTCCTAGGGGTAAGCACTCAGCACACTTTCACAATACGTTGTACACCACATCTAACACCTACAGGGCGTCGTAATCACCTTCCGGCCATGGCGAACAATCTTCTGGCTCCTCACAGCAATGGCCGGCACCGCCGCGCTGGCCATCATCCTCGTCTTCCCCGAAACCCTCCCCCCAAGCACCCAGCAAGCCCTCCCCGGCCAAACCCTCCCCACCAAAGCAAAAGCCCTCTGGCAGCGCATCTCGCCCGCCCGTGTCATCGCCCTCAACGTCACTTACCCCAATCTCCTCCTCACCGGCCTCACCGCCGGCGCCCTCGTCTGGTGCCAGTACGCCCTCCTCACCCCAATCCGCCCCATCCTCAACCCACGCTTCCATCTCACCACCCCTGTCGAGGCCGGGCTCTTCTACCTCGCCCCGGGCGCCGGGTACCTGTTCGGCAACCTCTTCGGCGGGCGCTGGGCCGACCACGTCGTGGCCGTGTACGTCACCCGGCGCGGCGTGCGCGTCCCCGAAGACCGCCTGCGCGCCGGCCTGCTGCCGCTCTGCGTGCTGGCGCCGGCGTCGCTGCTGGCGTACGGATGGACGCTGGATCGCCGCGCGGGCGGCATCCCCGCGCCCGTCGTCGCCATGTTCGTCCAGGGCGTGTCGCAACTGCTGGCCCTGCCGGCGCTCAACACCTACTGTCTGGACGTCATGCATGCCGCCGGCCGCAGCGCCGAGGTCGTGGCCGGAAGCTATGTGTTCCGGTACGCGTTTGCCGCGCTGGCGACGGGCGTCGCGCTGCCGGCAATCGACACGATGGGCGTCGGCTGGTTCAACTCGCTCTCCGCGCTGTTCCTGCTCGTCTGCGGCGGCGCGGTCTGGTTGACGGCCGTGTATGGCGCGCGCTGGCGCGAGGGCGTCGACGCAAAGCGCGCACAAAAAGTCACTGCACCCGCTACTGCAGATACGCCTGCTGCTCCCAAAAGTGTTTAGATTGACTGCGTTTCCAATGTACATACCTAATATAATCCTATACTCCCTATGTCAGACCAAATAATCTCCTACCAGGCTTAATACATAAAAACCTCCTCCGTCCGTCCACCGCCCGCCCTCCACCCATCCAGCACCCCCTTCACCTTCTCCGCGACCTGCACCGCATACCCGGGCCCGGGCCACCCCGGCGGCGCCTGGGCAGGGTCCCCCAGCACCCACGCGACGGGCTGCGCGCTCCGCCCCGCGCACGCGCGCCGGACGTCCTCGACCTCGTACGGCTCGTACCCGCGTCCGAAGATGACCGCCCGCGGCGGCTGGCTATAGTCGAGCGTGGCAGTGGTGGTAATGTTTGGAGTGGGGATTTGCGGGCTCTGGCCGGATAGCAGACGGGGGATGTCGGCTTTGGCGGTCTCGATGGTTTGGATGAAGTGGATTACTGCTGAGGTCAGCATCGGCTTGTGGTGTCGAGGGAGCGATGGGGATACCTTCGTATTCGGGGAGGAGGTGGGTGGCTACGGTTTTGCCGATGGAGGGTGTGCGGCCGCAGAGGACGACGCGGAGGGGGGTTGGGAGGGATGGCATGTTGGTGTCTTGGTTGTAAGGAGTATAGGGTGGTATGTCGAGAGTAGGAGGTGTGGATGGGTGAGATGACGTTCTTATACTGCATTGGCGCTGACCGGAAGAAGTCTAGGCCAGCGCCGCTTTGTGCTCTGTCTGGGATGCTCTGTACTGTTATTTACAGATTACTTCCGGAGCAATCCGGGCAAATCCTGGTTATTTCTAGATCTATCATCTGTCACTAACCGTCTGGAGCAGATGTATCCAGCTACAACATCTATACTCCATATATATCCTCCTTCTAGACGCTTTTCGGAAACACTAGCACGAGTTGGGAACTAATCGGTAGTATTAAGTGACCGTAGGGCTAGCTTGGACATAAGCTATAGCATATATTCTATATCCCTTTGATGAATTACATAGATTGCGATGGTATGTATTTTCACAGCCCCGCCGTACGTTCCATGATCATAAAACATTAATATAAGCCTCTTATAACAACTTGTTCCTCATTCGGACCTTTAGCATCAATACTACTACTGCGTACTCCATATAGATATAAAATCCAGGGCCTCAGGCTCCTGGGTTGCCTCTTTAGGCCTAGCGCCTGCGTGCCTGCCTTGATATTTACACACCTTCAAGGACCTCACCCCAATCCAGCCCAACATCCAACCCAACAATCCTCCTTGATCAATCCCCTCTGATAATAAATCGGGTCTACCGCGCCAACTTGCTCAGAAGCGTCTCGCACAATGCCGTCAGAGTCCTAGCTCCCACAATGTCCAACGCACTAACCTCAATCTCCAACTGCTGGCGGACCCAATTCCTCAACTCCACCGCCACCAGCGAGTCAACTCCATAATTGCTCAGCGGGCGCGTAGGGTCCAACGGCTCCCCAACACCCAAGCTGCGCATCAAGACTGGGTTCACGAGCTCCACGGCGGCAGCGAGGAGAATCGCATGGTCTGTGTCTCCCGATGAGCCCTTCTTCAGGAGCGTCAGCTTGGATTTCGCTTCGGCGTCGACGCCCCCGCTGGCCTTGGCTGCGTCACGACCGGCTAGGGCGCTGAAGCGGTGAACAGGCTCGAAGGGAGTCTCGCCGGGCACGATCGCGGTGACGAGTTGTCCGGTGTGGGATGGGTTGAGACGGTGCGTCTGCTGGAGGATACTGATGCGTAGGATTTGGTGCAGCAGCGCCTCGTGGATGGGTGTCCAGCCGCGAGTTTCGAAGACGCGATTGAGCATCGCACCTTGGTCGTCGTGGGCGAGGTAGCCGACATCGTCGATGGGACCGAGATTGATCGAGCAGGCAGGCAGCCCCTGCTGCAGCCGGTACGCGGCGAAGGAGTCGAGGAAGGTGTTGCCTGCGGCATAGTTGGCCTGGCCGAGCTGCCCTACCAAACCGCTCACGCTGGAGAGGAGGGTGAAGAAATCCAGGGGGGTCGATTGCTCGAGCGACGCCTGATGCAGGTTCCAAGTCCCAGCAACTTTGACTGCGATGGGCTGTCGGAACTCGTCAGGCGTCATGGTCGAGAACATGCGGTCACGCAGGACCATTGCACCTTGAATCACCCCGATGATGGGCAACGAGGCGGCGGCAAAGGCACGACGGACGTCGTCCAGGGACGTGATATCCCCCGTTACCTGATCGACATGGCATCCCAGGCATTGGCAGTCGTAGATGATCTTCTGCGACCGCGCGTCCTCGTACCCACTGCGACAGATGACAACCAGGTTTTTGGCTCCATGCCGCGCCAGGTAGACTGCGATGCTTCCGCAGAGACCCTTGAGTCCACCGGCTATGAGGTATGAGCCGTCTGAGCGCAGGTGGAAGGCAGGTCCTGCGGGCCGGAAGGGTAGGGGTACGGTCTTGCTCTGCTCAAAGGAGAGGACTACCTTGCCAATGTGCTTCCCTCGCTGCATGTACCTGAACGCGTCCACAGTCTCGGTAAAGGGGAAAGTGGCGCCGATGTGCAGCGGTTTAATATGGCGTTGCCTCACCAGGTCCATGATGTAGACTCCCGTCTGGTAGGTGGTCTCATCGCTGATGCTCTTTCGCGAGAGATCCAGGGCACGGTAGGAGCAGTTGCGGTCGAACGGCTCCATGGAGAGGCTGTTTCGGTCGAGCATGTCCTTCTTTCCGATCTCGACGAGAGTGCCGTTCTCGGCGATACATCTCCAGCTCTCGTGCAGCATGTCGCCGGTCAGCGAGTTGAGACAGACATCGACCCCGCGGCCGTTGGTCGCCCGCATCAGTTCTTTAGCAAAGGCCGTGCTGCGTGAAGAGAACATGCGGTCTCGCCGCACCCCGTACTGCTCCGCCAGGAAGTCCCGTTTCGCATCCGTGCCCACCGTCACAAAGATTTCTGCCCCGAGATAGTGGCACAGCTCGATGGCAGCCAGGCCGACTCCCCCCGAAGCGGAATGGATCAAGACAGACTGTCCTTTTTGAAGGTTGGCCAACGTGACCAGGCCGTAGACGGCTGTGTGCACGGCAATTCCGAGGGTCGTGCCGGCTTCCAACGAGAGCCAGTCGGGCAAAGGATGAACCGCATGCCAGCGGTTTCTCACCCTGTTGGCGAAACAGCCTCCATCTCGTCGGACCATGAGCACTCGATCCCCGGGTTTAACAGTGGGCACAGCGTCCCCAATGGCGGTGACTATTCCTGTACACTCTAAGCCGAACAAGTGCTCGTTGGCCGGAACGAATCCCATCGCGTTGGCCAGGTCCTTGAAGTTCATCCCTGCAGCGTGGACTTCGACCTCGACTTCGTCCTCTGCGAGCTTTGGCAGATCAGGGAGTTCCCTGTATACCAGAGTATCCAATGTCCCAGGCCTTTCGCTGACCAACCGAATGATGGACTTGTGGTTGTGGATGATGTCCTCACGAACAGGTGGTCCTCCTCCTGCCTCTGCTTCCTCACTCTCTTTCTGGGCCTGATTGAGCACGGCATCCGCAACCACCCTACTGACATGGTACATCCCATCGCGCTCTACGAACTCGCTGTCAGTCTTCTCGAGGCTCGCGACAGATATGATATGGCGAAGAGCCGTATCAATCGCCTCAAGGCTGCCGGTACTGGTCGTAGACTCGATATCCAGGCACAAGAGCAGGTTGGATGGGTATTCCGCCCGAAGAGAGCGTGCAACGCCAAACATGAGGCCTTGCTCTGGATGGGTAACCTGCATCTGAGACCTGTATCCTGTGAGAAACTCGGTACAAAAGCGAGCAGATCAATATGGTCTCGAAACTTACCCCCTAGTCACCCACACCACTCGGCATTGCTTCTCCAGCAGCCCTCGCAGCGCAGTAAACTGTTCATCTGCTAAAGCGGAAAGAATCGGGCGATCCATCTCATCTATTATCAGGACTGTGCTCGCAGATGGAACCTCGTCGAATGGTAGACTGTGCTCCGATAGAGCCCATCCCTTCTTGTGGAGCGCATTCTGAACTGCATCTGTGGAGGGAATTGGAGTGCCAAAATGGAGCAAGTGCACGTTTTCTCTCTCACTGTGGTGCAAGTCCGTCTCTGTGCTTTTCTCCTTCGGGTTTCCAACGTGAAGCAGACTGAGGATGCCACCTCCTGAGGTGTGGATATCATGAACAGTATCGAGCCCGGTCGAGCTGGAAGCGTCACCTGAAGAGTCCTCGTCAGATATCTGCGACAGCCACATAAGTTCTGGGGTATTACGAGATACATACCATTCAGGAACGGGAGTACTACCCTCACCGCAACCAAATATCCATTCACTGTCAGGCCATCTTGTGCCCGCTGGATGGTTTGGTCAAGTTCTCGCTCCCCTTCGTCAACCTTCAGGATAATTAAGTCATACTTCTCATCGAGATCATCAAAAGGCCCGTGCTCTGCATCCACTACCTGCACAGCAACACCTGGTTCAGCCGCATATTTCTCATGGGCCACCAGTCCGGCTTGTTGCGATGGAGCCAGGAAGCGGTAGCTACACCCCTGGGCAATAGGACCCGCCCCAGCGCGGATATGGTCAAGGTACAGGGACTCGCCAGCTGCGGGGCCGTCGCGGGCCGCCACCTCCAGCACTTTTGCCGACGGCCTTTTGTGGGCTATCAGTGACAGCAGCTTGGCCATCTGTGTCACGGCTGCAGCGGCATCTCCATCGCCCTCACCATCGCCGTTACCTGGGGGCACCGTCGTCTGCAAAATATGCGCCGTCTGGGCGGAGGTGAGGAAGTCAATGTCTGGGTTCCAAACAATCTCCGTGAATGCATGCGGCCGGTCGACGCTCGCATTTATAGCGTGGTAGCGCAAACCTTCGAGATGAAACACGAGCTCATTGCTTCCCTGCGCAATCGTCCTGATGTCACTAACATAGCGTTTATTGTCATCTGGGCGGCCAACACCGCTCCATACAGCCTCGGAGGCTACAACCGCGCTGTCATCGCTAGATGCGACCTTGTGCGGAAATATGACCAAGTCATCAATGAGGGCAGGGGGCATAAGGGTGTTGATGGCGGAATGATGACCCCGGTTGAGGGCGACAGTGGCAATCTGTAAGCAGCCATCGATGGCGGCGGGGTGCATTGCATATTGGCTCTGCGGATAGCGAGACTCGGGGGCCTGCAGTCGCACCAACGCCCGGCACTGACGCGAGTCTGCCTTGGCCTCGACCTGCTGACAGGGCTGGAAGGCAGGGCCGAAGTGGTATCCAACCCGGCGCATGGCCTTGTACCATACCGCGCCTGGGACCGGATGTTGCAGAGGTGCAATGTCGGACGCATTGACCGGTGGCCGGGGAAGGCTCTGCTTAGCAACGCTCACAAGTCCCCGGCAGTGTTCTTCAATGGAGCCATCCTTGGTGATCGTGCTGACCGTGAACTCGTGCCATGACTCCTTGGTGCTGGAGCACGGCTGTAAAGACAACAGGATCTTGGTACCGCCATTTGCGTCCAGGGTGAGCATCCGGGGGAATGTCACATTGCGCAGTTTGAAAGGGAGTTCGGAGATGGCCGTCCCCTCCGGAATCTGCCCCGTTGCATACGTCTTCTGGTAGATGGCTTCGATGGCCATGGCGATGTAGCCCGCCGCAGGGAAGATGACACTGTCTCCGAGGAGATGGTCACGTAGCCAAGTCGTATCGCTGAGCCGCAGCACGTTCTTCCATGTCGGATTTGTCCATGGGCTGCCGAGGATCTTGCTGCCAAGGAGGTCATGATAGGGGAATTTGCGGAAGCGCCAGTCGTGACTCGATTCACTTTCGTGCCAATACTTGACAGAGTGATTCCACTGGTAGTTGGGCAGATCCGACACAAACACCGGGGGAGCGTCGCCTACATCGTTGTTGAATGCTGGTAGGGAGATGGGGTAGCCTATGGTGAACAAGGTCCCGGCTGCATGTAGCAAGGTCGCGACAGCATCAGGCCCGCGCTTCCAGGCCGAGCCATACACCGCGGAGGACGAGGCGGCCTTTTTGATCTGGTTTATCGGTCCAGATAGTGCGTCACTTGGCCCAATCTCAATGAGGCAATCCACAGCCTCTGGTCCCGTTACCAGCTCATGTGCGGCCTGACCGAAGAGCACAGGCGAAACCATGTTGGCGACCCAGTAGGCAGGCCCTGGTGGGCTTGTAAGGGCTGTGCCCATGGTTGACGACACCATGAGTGAGTGCTTCTCTTTATTATCGTCCTCTGGCCACTCGACATGATGCCTCAACAGATCCTCATATCGCCCAGCGACGGACTTCATATGGCGGGAATGATACGCCGCATCCACGCGAAGTAGTCGTGCAAAGTGTCCGTCACCTTTAACACGTTCTTCAATTGGGACAAGTTCTGCCTTTGTACCGGAGAGGGTGACACTCTGCGGGCTGTTAATGCAGGCAACCTCAACAGTCGTGCCCTCCAAGTACGGTAGGACCTGGTCGGGTCCAAGACCGACAGCCATCATTCCGACAGGCTCCATGTAAATGGCCTCCGATGTAGCCTTGCCCCGATAATACGCTATCAGGATAGCCTGCTCGGGGGTGATCTGGCCTGCAGCGACAGCAGCCGCAATCTCTCCAGACGAATGTCCGACCACCGCGTTGGGGACCACACCGGAATCCTGGATTACATCCAGCAGTGCCAGCTGAAGTGCCGTTACTAGCGGCTGAGATAGTTCCGGACGTTGGATCTGGGCGCCATCAGCCGTCAACTCCTTGTAGAGTGACCATGACGGCGGATCATGGGCGCCTTGTAGGACTCTATCCAAGTGCTGGATAGTACGCTCGGCTAGGGGAAACGTTTCAACCAGCGCTCTCCCCATTGTAGGCCATTGGGCGCCTTGCCCTGTAAAGACGAACCCAACCCTTGGCTTCTGGCCGGATATATGCCCTCGATTCATGGTGGGAAGGTCGATGGTGGTGCTGCTCGTGACCGCAAAGGCGCGGTGATAGTGGCGAGATCTCCGTTCGCTCAAAGTATATGCAAGATCGCGAAGAGCGACCTTGACAGCCGGATCGGATAGGTGACGATCTAATGCAGCGGCTTGGGCGTCCAGCGCCTTTTCATCGTTTGCCGAAAAGACTAGGAGATAGGGGCGCGTCGCGGTTTCTTCTGCGAATAGATCATCCGTCTCTTCGTTTACATAAGAAGAGACGTGATGGTGGCCGAGGCCCTTAGCCTCGTCAACGATGACATGAGCATTCGAGCCCCCATATCCGAACGAGTTAATGCTGGCTCTCCGAAAGGGGACCTTTGGCCAGGTAGTGGCTGTCCGCGAGGTATATAAACGCAATGCGGCGAAATCAATCTTTGGGCTAGGATCAATAAAGGTCGGATTCCCAGGGATGACGCCGTGCTCCAAGCTGAGGACTGTCTTTAGCAGTCCGGATAGACCGGCCGCTGGCTCCGAGTGACCAATATTGCTTTTCACCGAGCCGATTCGCAAGGGCCGGTCGGGTGATTGAAACGGCGTGAAGACGGTAGCAACGCCGTTCGCCTCTAGGGAATCACCCGCTCTTGTCCCGGTGCCGTGGAATTCCACGTAGCTCGTCAGCGAGAGGTCAGTTATGCCAGCGTTCTGATAAGCCTGTCGGATAGCAGCCGACTGTGCTTCGGGGTTGGGGCTCGCGATGCCAGCTGTCCAGCCGTCGCTGTTAGTGGCAGTTCCACGAATGACGGCCCGGATCGGATCTTTGTCGTTGATGGCATCGCTCAGGCGCTTGAGATACACCATATTCACTGCCTCGGCCTTGATATACCCGTCTGCTTTGGAGTCGAACGTGTGGCACCGCCCGGATAACGACGCGGCACCGTTTGCACCCATGTAATGATCCATGACATGCTCCGGGCTGCAGTACAGATTGGCACCAGCCACTATTGCCGAGTTTATTTCCTTGGACTGGAGATATCTCATCGCGAGGTCGATCCCGATCAGAGAACCGGAGCAGGCAGTGTCGATGGTCATACTACATACACTTTGTTAGCGGCTGGCTTGTGCACGTTGGTGAAGACAACGCAACCCACCTTGGCCCTTTGATATTGAGAAAGTGACTGAGGCGATTGCTGAGCATGGCTCTACCAACCCCAACTACTGTTGCGGAAGCACGATTCTCCGGGTCGCGCGCCTGCATGTCGCCATAATCACTGGCGAACGAGCTGACGAAGCAGCCTACAGACGCCCCGTCGAGTTGCTCCAGAGTGACGCCCGCGTTCTCGAGACCCTCGTAGACAACCTCGAGCAGCTGCCGTTGCTGCGGGTCCATAGAGGTTGCCTCTATGCCGGAGAGGTGAAAGAATTGGGCATCGATATCCCGCGGGTCAACATCCTGCAGGAACATCCCACCAGGGGATGCCATCGTCTGCGGCTTCAGGGAGCCATCATAGTGGGTGTTGAGCGAGTACCGAGTCCCTGGAGGCGTGTTGATTGCAATTCGCCCCTCCTCGAGGAATTGCCAGAAGGCTCGCGGGGTATGACATGCGTCTGGCAGTCTGCAGGCCATGCTTACCACGGCCACGGGCTCTTGGATGTAGGGAGTGCTGCTGCTGTGCAACTCTCCATGAGAATCCTGGCTCGAGGCATGGTTTTTGCCACCGGCTCCATTCACTCGAGTATGTCCATTGACTTGAGTATGTCCATTCATGCTACCGTTTGTGAATCCAGTCATCTTGCTAGCTGTCTTGTGTAAAAAGGTCGGTAGTCGTATGATGGTGCCATAATGTCAGCGTTACCCACGCTACATATAGTGCAACCTGGCTCTACCATCCCGATGCTCTCACTAAACATCCTTGACATCCATGAAGCCACCGGTCCGTCTCTCTACGCTCGATTATCCTATCAGATGGGCGCACAGCCTTCAATGGATCAGAAAAGGGCAACTCCACTGCATGAGGCTCTGGTATCGCTAAGTTGTCGCTATTCGCGAGACCAGATAAAGATGATCCCGGTCTTGCTTGCACCGATTGAGGGGGCCAAGACAGGGGTATATCCAGTAGAACTCACGCCACATGTATGGAAATCAAACCGTATTGATTGCACCATATCCAGAGTATATCATGGAGACATACAAAGGTAGAGGCGTCATGTATGGTTACGGCTCAGATTTCCTTATCTATTCAGCCTAGGGCTTGGCTTTAGTTCTCCGAACCCTCCGAACCCTCCGAACATCACCCCCCGCAACCCCCACTCGGGCCGCACCCCGCCCCGTGCCGTGTCTATGCGCGCGCATCTCGATTAGGGAATTCCTGCTCCTGAAGTAGGATTCTGTCTAAGGTTCGGGTGATTGGCATCCCCGAGACAAGCTGCATGACAGTAGGAGTAAGCAGACGTCGGATCGTCCGTTCCGCCTATCAGGCCACTGGTTCCGACACTTGGGCAGGGGCTCTGCTTACGGATGTGTCAAGGGGATCCATTTATGGCATCTGCTCGTGTGACCGGCCAGGCCAGCCTGCTGACGACGTGCCATCAGCTAAGAATTGAAACTTACAGTACAGTATTGCAATTAGTGAACTGATTTTGCAAATATAGAGGCTCTCATAGTTGATTGTCTCCAGTCTATAGAGCAGTGGGAAGTTGTCCATCTCTGTCCTCCCCGTCCTACACGAACGCCCTATCGCAACATGCCTTCCCACGAGAACATCGAGTTCCGCACGCTGGACAACACAGTCCTGCGAGGCTGTCTATTCCCTGCAGCCCAGCGAGGTCCAGGAATCATCATGACGCCCGGCGTACGTACAAACCCCCCAAATGCCTAGCCCTCCTAAACATTCCAAGTTCAACGCAACCAAAGAGATGCTCGGCCTCCCCACAACAGCCGCATCCTTCCAACGCGCCGGCATCACAGCCCTAACCTACGACCCGCGCGGTGTCGGTCTCAGCGACGGCACGCCGCGCAACGACATCAACCCCTTCCAATGCGTCGACGACCTCTCCGACGCCCTCACCTTCCTCCTCTCGCACCCAGCCATCGACCGCACCCAAGGCGTCGGCCTCTGGGGCATGTCCCTCGGCGCGAGCATCGCGCTCGTGACCTCCGCCGTGGACCCGCGCGCGCGCTTCACCGTCGCCGTGTGCCCCGTCGTCGGGGCCACGCAGAACCTGCCCAAGCTGTCCGGCGTGCTCGCCAAAGCCGCGCAGGACCGCGAGTCCCGCCTCAAGGGCAACGCGCCCTTCTACGTGCCCATGCTCACGAAGACGGGCGAGAACCCAGCCGGGTTTAACCTGGGTTTTGAGCGCGCCGTCGCCATGCGCCTGCTCAATGCCCAGGACGTGAACGACCCGCTCAGGGCGGAGCTGGCGCCTAACCATGTCAACCGCACGACTGTCGGCACGTATCGGAATATGCTGCTCTGGGAGCCCAGCCATATGTGGAAGTATCTGGCGCGCCCGGTGCTGTTTGTTCTGGCGGAGCGGGATGCGGTTGTCGGGACTGAGACGCAGAAGAGGCATTTTGAGATGTTGACGGCGGATAAGGAGTTGTATGTGCAGATGGGTGCGGTGCATATGGATATCTTGGAGGGGGTGCATCAGGCAGATGTTAATCGGGTGCAGACGGAGTTTGTGCTGCGCCTTTTGGGGGGTAGAAGGGACATCGACTATTAGAGTGTGGATATATTGTTATTTATCTCACCGTCGAAACTGCAATATGTTCTAGATATCCGAGGTCCATGCTGCTAAAATAGACGCAGATCTATCACCAGTCTTCTTTCGAAACACCTACATCGCAACCCCGAACCACAGCCCCATTCCCAAAAGCACATTCACCAGCAACTGATGAAATCCAACCCAAAGCGCAACGTTGACATACTTTGGTGCGAGCACCGTCCACAGGACACCATCATCGCGCCACCACAGACACGACGCCATCACGGCAAGGACACCGCACGCGGAATAGAGTGTCTGGTAAGTAAGATACTCCAGAAAGGATTGAACCTTAGCGTCTCGACTTTTCGCTGCGGTTGTTGCGCTTAGGAGCCGCAGCCCAGCAAGCGACCACCATACCGGGCCAATCCAGTTACTTAGAATGGTCTGGAGCGAGACGAGAAGGACATTCTGCATGCTGTCGGTGTGCGAGATCCCGTTGTACCCGTTCATCATGTCAAGTGAGGCGAGGGAGTTGCTGCGGCCGCCGGAGAAGAAGGCGCTTTGGGCGAGGAGGAGGACCGTCAGTGATATTGTGGAGGCGTCTGATTGAATTTTGGAGAAGAGGGACACTTGTTTATCACGCAGGGTTAGTGGGACCGAAGGAGGATAGCTTGACAAAAACATACGGAGCCAGTGCAATTGCAGGTCGAAAATTAGAAAGAGGATGAGACTCTTTGGTCGTGCTTGGGCGCGCAGATATACATTGGCGAGCTCGACGATCCCGACAAGGACGGCTGGGGAAGCAGATATCATTAGCAATAGATTGGTTGCATACTTGGTAACAGACAAACCTGGACTCGCCGCCTGGCTAGCGCTCACAGTCCCCGTGCGATAGCGGACAAGCAAGACTATGCATAGAGCCAGTAGCCCACTCCACAATGACCAGAGGGCTAAATTTCCGACCTCCTCGCTGAAGATTGACTGGAGCCATGGAGGTAAGAATTCCAAAAGCTCTGGGTTGAAGGTGTGCGTTGAGCATATCTTGAAAAGCACCGTTAAGCCGCACACCAAGCACGCGCCAAATGTCGAGGCGTATCGTCCAACCCCGACGGCGACACCGATGGCTTCGGACAGCGTCTGCACTGCTAGTACATGCGCGCCTCCGGCCAGAATCCAGAGCCACAGTGGGCTGGCATCGAGGAAGCCGTGCAGGTATGTGCCGGCTCCCCACGGCGTTTCCCCAGCGGGATTCACGCTTTGGCCGAGTACGTGAAGAAGAGGCAGTAGCAGTGCGCCGACTCTTGTCCCAGATGGTAGCCTAGAACGGTGAGATGTATTATCCATAGTGAAGCGGGATAGCATAGCTGGGTAGTCATACCATCGGAGGCCCAAATACACGAACCATGCCAAAGATGCCCAGTACCAGAAACGGTGCTCCTCTTCCACTAGACGGCTAGAGAACATTGTGATACCGTGGAAAAGTACGACTGCGCCGGACATTCGTCGATGTAGCGTACTATGCTCGCTTGTCTGAAAGCCTAGTGCTGATAGTAGGAAGAAGACCACCAGTATCACAACTGTTATGCCTGCCGCCATGCGGCCGAGATTGAGATTGTTGTGTGCCACACTGAGAACGTGCTGGGCCTCGACGCTAATCTGTTCCAGGTTACTTGGTGATTCACTTGTCCCGCCCAAGGCTAAGTCGACGTACCTCCTGCAGCAACCGGGCATCATTGTGCGTATCGGCGTCCTCACTCCGCGCTGTCACAGATTCTATGGAATTGAACCTTTCCCATAGGCACAGAACGCGACGAGCTTTATCCGAGCCACAATGGCAGGTACTATCACACGAATCTAGATGTATCGGTCCCTCCAAGCCATGTTTCAAGCGCAGAAGGGTGACAATCTGCCGGGCATTGCGCATGAGGACGCGCATCTGCTGACTGAAATCCGGGAAAATTGCAAGCAACTGTTTGATAACAACACCCACACTTCCCGCAGGAATTGAGAACCCCAGCAGTGTTCCCAGCGTGGGGACAATGTCGACTTGGTCAACCACAGAATAGAACGTATACTCCGGATTGCGCGGCTGAGGGCTCGTGAACGTGTTTCTGAGTGATCTAAACTTCGGCGACATGAAGAGCAGCGCAGAGGCAATCTCGGCGGGTGTATCACCCCCGTGGTTGCCGTTGTCCGTCATCCCATGATCGCCGGCTAGGACAAATAAAGTGTTGGCGTGGATGGACTGTTCCTCCAATGCCGTATATATCTGGCGGACCACATCGTCCATTTCGACTTCCTTTGCTCTCACGATCGAGCTATACGACTTGCCATCAGCGGGTCGCGTAGGGTATCTAGTAATAAGGACTGGCATACCTTCCAGCGCCACCAAAGTGAGCTGCATTATCGAGACCGAGGTAATGCAACACCAGCCCCTTCCAGTCATCCTTGTCGAGCTCGGATGTCAATCCCCTCGTAACGTTGCTATCAACCTCGCTGAAGTTCTAGATGTGACGGCACATTGTTAGGGTTATACACGATGGAGTCTCCATTCTACAGATTCAAGCTCACCGGTAAGTAGAAGGAGTCGACGGTCTCGTAGCGGTCCCATATCTCCGGGTATAGCATACACCACATGTCGATGCCATAGTAGACCATCTTCTTTTCCGGTGCACGTTCCGCCTTGAAGCGAGACAACCATGTATCCTCTCCCACGAGTCGCCTGGCATCGGCGGAGTGCATGACATTGAGCCATGCGTCGAGGAAGGACTGCCCGCTACCCTGAGTCATGGCTTTGATACGGGACAGAGTTAGGGTTGGCGGGGCTGCGAGAGCAGTGAACGGGATGGCAGACCCGGATTTTATGAGACTATACGATCGTTAGGAGAGGAGCGATGGAAGAGAACAGAGGGAATGGAGACGCATATTACCTTTGTGTAAAGCTGAAGCCCGAGTCTTCTCCATAGACAAAGTCACTAGACATAGATGTGTTAGCCGGCCTTAACTCCCATGGTCGAGACGAGCTCGTAATGGAGGTATCTCACCTGCGCAGCGCATCTATAACCATGAAGACGACTTTGTCGAAGGGCGCAGATGGCTGAGGATAACGTTCCTCCTCTTCAGCTCCTTCCAACCCAACCTGCTCAACGCCGTTATCAAATGGCAGCCTTGGAGGAGGACTGAAGTACCCGGCCATGAAGACTACAACGCCCAGTACAATGCCGACGTTCGACAAAAAGAGCATCATCTTCGATCGCCTGAAGGTACCCATTCTGGACAGCTAGGTGGAATGTCTCCGTCGAGTTGCAAGCTCTTTTTCGAGATACCAACGTACCGTTGGCGCATTGCACCATCCCGGGCTTCAACTCCAAAATCACGTTTATGTACCAAGAGCCGCAAGCCCCGGATTTCTGAAAATTACTAGTCTTTGGTATCTGCACGCTGAAACGCCGGTTTTGTCTCGGGACGTTTCCGCCCCAAGCGCTGCAGATCCTTGTAAGCCGCAATTTATGTCAATCTCAACCTTGACACACACATACGGATATATACCTAGTTAGGCAAATGCGAGTTATCACAGCCATTGTGCTTCAGACACTCATCCCTGTAAACCTGTACCCCTCAGCCAGTCATGTAAGCTTGCGGGTGTTGGAGAGGAGTTGCACGGGAGATCGATGACAACGTTGCATTGCATGACATGTACAGGACAGCATATGGCCCGACAAAGCGACGCAATAAGCGCCCAATATTGATTAGTCTCCGTGATTGCGGCATAAGCTATGCCTCTCCACTGACGGCGAACTCCGAATTGCAAAAGACCACGCAAGTATAATACAGCTTTTGCTTTGCTTACTGCTAGCGGACGGTTCTCAATGATGCAGTGGATGCCTCGTGTCCTCAAATTGCTGCGCGCGAGCGGAAGACTTGAGAGATTCCATCAAACAGACAGACCATAGCCTTGCATCATGCTGGCCCCTCATCTTTACCTCATTGGGACTCTCGGCCTTCTGGTGTATTTCCTTGGAGGACGAATCTACCAATGGAATCGGTTGCGGCACATTGCAGGACCCCCAGGAACCGGGTGGACAAAACTGTGGTTGTTAAGACAGGCTTGGTCTGGCAGGCTCTGTGACAGCCTCTATAATGCTTGTAGAGAATATGGTGAGAATAGCCTCCTCTCGTGAGGATAGCATACAATGATTGATGTCCCTTTCAGGTCCGCTCGTTCGCATCGGCCCTAAGTGGGTGCTGTGCGGTGATCCGGCTGAGATCCGCCGAATATGGGGAATAAAGTCGGGCTATTACCGCTCGGACTGGTACAAGGCTGTCCGTCTGAACAGCGAGGTGGACAATGTCTTGTCGGTCATTGATAATAAGGATCATCACCGGCTCCGGAGCCACCTCATGCCCGGATACGGAGGCAAAGGAATAGCAAATGAGGAACAGCTTGTTGACCAACAGATCACAAAACTCATAGCACTGATAGAGAAACGGTATATCTCCAGCAAGGAAGCCTTGCGGCCATGCGATCTAGCTCGGACGATGCAGTACCTGACGCAGGATGTCATCACAGCCGTCGGATTTGGGAAGCCAGCGGGCTACTTGGAGGCGAATAGCGATATGTACGGGATCTTGGAAACGTCCGAAGCTCTCCACAGACCCGTCCATATGGTTACTCTGCTCCCGACCCTCAGGAAGATCCTCGAAAGCCGTCCGCTGAAACCACTCCAGCCCAAGCCCCATGATGGGAGCGGAGTTGGCCGGTTCCTCGGCTACATCAAGGACCTTGTTGATGAGCGATACGATGACCTGAAAGCCAATCATACCGATATCCTCCAGTCCTTCATCAAGTCCGGTTTGAACAGACCCCAAGTCGAGTCCGAAGCGCTTGTGACCGTCTTTGGCGGTACAGATACCACGTCCACTGCCCTGAGGAATATTATCTTTTATCTGTCGACCACCCCTCGTGCATACCGCGCACTTCAATCCGAGATTGACGGTGCTGTAAAGACGGTGACACGGCCAGTGATCAGGGACGCCGAGGCCAAAGCCCTACCCTACCTCCAAGCATGCATTAAAGAAGGCTTGAGGATCTTCCCACCCAGTATGGGCCTTATGGGCAAAGTGTGTCCTCGTGATGACACGATCTGCGGCATAAAGGTTCCTGCGAACACGCAAGTCGCTTGGTCGGCGCTGGCCATTATGAGGAACCGGGCCATCTTTGGAGAAGACGCAGACATCTATGAGCCGCAACGCTGGATTGACGCACCGGTGGAAAGGAGAAAGGAGATGGATGCCTCGTACGGATTGGTATTTGCGACAGGAACAAGGTGGGAGTGCCTGGGGAAGCGGCTTGCGTACATCGAGCTGGGAAAGACGATCTTCGAGGTAGGCGACGTCTCCCATGTAGAATCTACTCCGTTCCTCCCTCTTATTGATGCTTTGCAGCTCTTTCGGCGGTTCGATTTCGCCATGGTCAACCCGGTTGAGCCTTTTCGGTGGGCTAACCATGGACTGACAGCGCATTTTGGAATGAATGTGAGGATCACACGGCGGGTAGTACAGGATGAAGGGGAAATATTTTAACAGTAGAAAGATAGATAAGAAGAATTGATGTTGGAATTCCTCTTATTGTAAACAAAGCGGGTCAGGTGACATGACAGGACCGGGGGGTGGTCCCTCTTTAAAGACAACGACGTCCTCTCCTGCATCCACTTTTCTCTCCCTCTTTGACCCCTCCATCTAGATACTTTGTCTTGACAATGTCCAAGACTCTAGAACCAGCTGGAGTTTCCTCAGCGTCTGATTCCCCCAGCGACACACCTGGCAGCACGGTTGACAATGACACTCCCGCCTCTTCGTCCGCGGAGTCTCCGCGTCTCACCACCGCCACCATTGCCTTGACCATGATGTCGCTTTGTCTGTCGGTGCTCCTCTCCGCCCTTGATTTGACGATTGTGACTCCTGCAATTCCCGCCATAGTCGGCACGTTCAAGTCCGCGGCCGCATATATTTGGGTGGGAAGCGCCTATACCCTGGCCTACGCAGCCATTACGCCGGTATGGGGCTCGGTCTCCGACATATGGGGCCGGAAACCCATTATGCTCATTGCGGTCGCGGTCTTTCTTGTCGGTAGTCTGGTCTGCGCCCTTGCGCCGCATATGGATGCCCTGGTCGCGGGACGCGCGATCCAGGGATTGGGCGGCTCCGGAATGGGGATCATGGTCAACATAGTTGTCAGCGATATGTTTTCGCTGCGAGATCGCGGTTTGTATCTCGCCATCACTTCGCTTGTTTGGGCGGTTGGCAGCGCCATAGGGCCCGTTCTGGGTGGTGTTTTCACGACGCGGCTTACCTGGAGGTGGTGTTTTTGGATCAATTGTGAGGCATCCCATCTACCCTACTAGCCCTAAGCTTACTCCCTCGACCGTATAGTACCGGTCGGCGCGGTCTCCTTTCTTGTCTTGCTCTTCTTCATGAGAGTCCCGAGTCCTCGAACACCCATCGCGGCCGGTCTCAAAGTCATCGACTGGACCGGCAGCCTGTTGATTGTTGGGGGCTCTCTGATGGTCCTCCTCGCCCTTGACTTTGGTGACGTCGTCTACTCCTGGTCCTCCGCAACGGTCATCTGTCTGTTGGTTTTCGGGACAGCAGTGATGGCGCTGTTCGTGCTGAACGAATGGAAGATCGCCAAGAATCCCATTATCCCGGTCTGGCTGTTCACCTCGCCGACCAAGATAGCGCCTTACGTTGTCTTCGCCTGTAATTCATACGTGTTTATCGGACAGGCGTATTACCTACCTTTATATGCGCAGTCCGTCTTGGCCGCAAGCGCGCTCACATCGGGCCTCTACCTCCTCCCGCTCATCGTCTCATGTTCTCTGGCCGCCGCCGCAGCGGGTATCTTCATGCAGCAAACCGGGAAATACCTCCCAGTGATGTACATTGCCCAGGGATTTCTGGTGCTTGGCTCCGGCCTGCTGATCAACCTCGAGTTTGAAACCAGCATCGCCAAACTCATCATCTTCCAGATCCTGATCGGAATCGGTGTGGGCATGAACATCGAAGCGCCGATTCTTGCGGCTCAAGCTGCAACCAGTGTTCGGGATACAGCGGCCGTCACTGCGACCATGGGGTTTGTTCGGTCTCTCTCGACAGCTATTTCGGTGGTTGTGGGGGGAGTGGTGTTTCAGAATGAGATGAATGCGAAGAACGAGGGGCTGGCTACCCAGCTGGGCTCCAACTCGACTTTGGCCCGCGAATTCAATGGCGACCTTGCCGCTGCGAGTGTGGAGGAGATTGGTACCCTCGGACTAGATGCAGATCAAGAGGCCTTGGTTCGAAAGACGTACTTTGAGGCGTTGAGGATGGTGTGGGTTATGGTAAGTCGCCGCAAGATAGCAACGGTGTCATGCATTTTGCTAATACGATTAGTATGTGGCTTTTGCGGGACTGGCTACCGTCCTAAATCTGTTTGTGCGAGCGCACAAGCTTCGGGATGAGAATGAGGGCGCCGTGCTGGGGGCCGACCGGGCACGGCCACAGGGCAACCCGGCTGATGGGGCCGCAGAATTGGAGATGCGGAATGAGCGAAGCGATTAATATTGGACGCAGATAATGACTTGCAGACCCAAGGGTGACTGCGTAGCTACCTAGATGGATAGTGTACGAGCAATGTACTATCAACCTCTACTTCCATCCTGTTCGATGCTTGCCATTTCTTGGACCATCTCCCTGGCTATCTGGCGTGTCTTTCGATCCAAGGCCGTGACCTGGCTGATCCAGTCGAATCTTTCCCTCCAGAACGCCCACCGTTCCTTTGACCAGCCTTCGGATCCTGACCACTTGGTCGGAAACTCCCTTCCCATAGATCCTTCCATTGCATATATCTCTTTTCCACAATGTTTGATCCACTGTGCCGCAGCCGGCACCCACCCATTGAGGGTTCTGACATCAATTTCCTCCAGCAGGCGGTCCCTTACCTCGCAGTACTCATCATCCTCATCACTGTCCAGATCCTGCAGCTCCTGTTCGATATCTTCATGGTGGAATTTCTCCCACGGTGCTTTCTCCAGCGTCTTTCTCAAGACCCAGCCCCCGTGACGCAGATGACCGACATGATTAGCACGGATGCCCCGCGCATAGAGCTTGGCCGCGAAGGCATTGGCATTGACCCAAGCTTGACGCTTTTCATCACGTTGGGGGTCATAAAATGGATGATCGACGTCTGCTTTGTATTAGTTTAGATTGATCTTGTACCGGTGTTTGAAAGACATACAGTCAAAGACAAATTCTGTCATGTATTCACTCAGCCCGTCAAGCCGGCCAAACGCTCCGCTGCAGTCCGGCAGACGCTGCAGTTCGGCGACAAAATCCACCAGGCGGTCGTTCTGCTCTGTGAATTTGCCGATGGTTGCAAAAAGGAGAGGCCATAGTGGCGTGTAGTCCGGGTCGCGGCTGGACTCTGTGATGAAGGACGACACTGCTTCCCTGGCGGCCGCCGATGGTGGGGTGGAGGAATCGATCAAAAGTGACTTGATTGCGGAGAGCATGGTCGCCGGTGCGGGGTGTTTTTTCTGGCTCTGCGCCGTGAAGAAAGCTTCGTATTCGGAGTGCATAATGTTAGAATGGAATAGATGTTGTCTGTTGTTGTTATGGAGGGTTTCAAGGGTGGGTGGATTTAAATGTTAGTCTGGGGCTGTGTTATGTATCAGACAAGGCTGACTTTGCCAAATGCTCCTTCAAGGCTTAGCTTAGCCAAGAGCAACAACTAAAGAAATGGCCCCATGGCAGTGCTCTGCGGGTCTGTTAGCTAACTTTCAGATGTGCTACAGTATAGAGAACGCTTTCGAGATCAACTACTGCCCACTCTGTTAGCCCCCATCCCAATCTAACCTGTTGACGATCAATCTGCCTTCTTTCTCTCAGCCTCAGGGCTCAACGGATGAAAATAGATTGCTGCATATTCGGCCCCTTTGGCCCCATTGGCCCCTTTACCTGAACGCCTTGTACTTGTATCTTCACGCAAAGAGCCCCAAGACGATGGCCATCGACAGATATAAAAGCCTCTCGCAAACCTCACAAATCCGGTATCCATCAACCAACCACTCCACGACTCCCAGCAAGATCTCAGTATTCACACTCCATCACAAAGTCCTTTTTCTACACCTCCAAAATGCCATCCTTCTTCCGTTCTCTGGCTCTCCACGCCCTCCTGGCCGGCGCTCTAGTGACCCAGGTCACCAACGCCTATCCCCAGCCCGCTGTTGCTCGTTCAGAAGCTGCAACCACCGAACCCGCCTCGCAGCTCCCTGCCTTTGACGACGCCGACGGCGCGCTGTACACGCGCTCGAAGCCGTTGAAAATCGGCCAAGAACCCAGCAAAAGCTACAACTGTCCCGCGACCAACAACTACGGCGAGACCGCCTACACCTCCGGCCAGCTGCAAGCGGCGTTTATCCAGGCAGCCCAGTACGCCAATGATGGCCAACAGATCGGAGACCGTGAGTTTGCCTTTGCATCCAATCCAATGCAATCCTTGAGACTAGGTACAGTCTTGCTAACTGCAGCGTAGGGAACTACCCGCATACCTTTGGCAACGGCGAAAATCTGCCCTTCCCCTGCGGCAGGAGCACCATGGAATTTCCCCTGGATCGCGACGACCCGGGCTCGGTGTACAGTGGTCAGAGTGTGAAGACCCTCCCTGACCGGCTGGTCTTTGAGTTCAAGGATGGCAAGAAGGACGGAAAGGCGAAGTTCTGTGGAGTGATGCGTCATGGGAATGATGGGGATTTTATCGAGTGCTCTTAAATCTTGCCTCGAGAGATAGTTATCTGTGTTGGATTTGTTGATTGATTTCATTGCTTCTATCATGCCATGTGTCAGCCTTCAGGTAGCAGAAGTATTCAATTATATAGTTTTGTACGGAGTACCTGAATATATCTATTTATAGAAATTCTCTTGGAATACCTTGAAATGGTTAAAAGCGGTTATATACCTGGAGATGTTCGAATATATATCGAAAGTAATTATGTATATTCGGGTAGCGCTCTCTGAGCCATCTTAGATCGGTCATGTAAGACCCTCTAAAGCAGCGGATCTCGCAGAATAATTATTCAGTTATGCACAAATAACCAGCAGGATGCTGCATATACTACCTGCATTCATACGAGATTACAACTCTGCTAAAGCAAGTCCAGACCTGAACTAGCTACAGGAAAAGAATATAAACAATGCTTTATACGACCGCTCAAACTTCTCAGCTCCATCCTAGCCTCGACTAGGTCTTCACGTCAGGCTCCTCACGGCCGATAAACTCCTTGAACTTGAGCAGCCCCAGCGCCAGCTTGACGTTGTCCTGGAGGTACTCCTGCGCGCTGAGGGCGAACTTGCTCGCATCGGCCTCGTACTTCTCGATGTACAGACGGATCGTCGCGCCGCTGCTGCCAGTACCCGACAGGCGCACAACAATGCGGCTGCCGTCGTCAAAGGTGACATACAGACCCTGGTTCTTGGTGACGCTGCCGTCCAGGTCAGTGTACGCAAAGTTGCCAATGTCCAGCACCTTGCGACCCGACACGGTGGAGCCCACAAAGCTGTCCCGCGCGGCCAGGTGATCCGCCAGCGTGGCAATCACCTTGTTGGCGCCGTCGCTGTCGACGCCCTCGTAGTCGTAGCGGGTGAAGAAGGTGCGGCCGTAGGTCTGCCAGAACTCCTGCTGGATGGACGCAATGCTGGGCGTCTCCGAGGGCTTGCTCTGGGCGACGCCGGCGATGATGTTCAGCCAGGCCACAATAGCCCACAGGCCGTCCTTCTCCCGGATGTGGTTGCTGCCGGTACCGAAGCTCTCCTCACCGCAGATGGAGATCTTGTTGTTGTCGAACAGGTTGCAGAAGAACTTCCAGCCCGTGGGGACCTCGTAGCTCTGCAGGCCCTGCGCCTTGGCGACGCGGTCAACGGCACCCGAGGTGGGCATCGAGCGCGCCAAGCCGTAGACGCCCTGCTTCTGGAAGTAGGGGATGAGCTTAGCATGGTGGGCGATGATGGCCAAGCTGTCACCGGGCGAGACAAAGGTCTTGGCGCCGTAGATCATGTTGCGGTCTCCGTCGCCGTCACTGGCGGCACCAAAGTGGATGCCACGCTGGTCGACCGCCTCGACCAGCTCATGGGCGTACACCAGGTTGGGGTCCGGGTGGCCACCACCAAAGTCGGGCTTCGGCTCGCAGTTCATGACGCTGGTGGCCGGCAGACCAAGCTCATTCACAAAGATGTCGACACCATAGGGTCCGGTGACACCATGCATGCCGTCGAAGAGCACCTTGAAGTCCGGGTGGGAGGTCAGGAAGGAGCGGATCAGGTCAAAGTCGAAGATCTGCTTCATCATGGCGACATAGTCGGCGGTCGAGTGGACGACCTCGACCTCCAGAGGGCCGTAGGTCTTGGAGCCGATGGTGGTGGTGTCGATTTCAGGAAGATCGAGGTAGTTGTAGGAGGTGAGGGACTTGGAGGTTTCGTAGATCTTGTTGGTGACGGTCTCGGGAGCGGGGGCGCCATTGGCGAGATTGTACTTGATACCAAAGTCGGCATTGGGACCTAATTCCTTAGCACCTCTCATCTGCAGCTCGGGGGATACCGGTACCTACCACCCGGGTTGTGACTGGCGGTCAAGAGAATGCCACCGGTGGCCTTGCGGACGCGGATAAGGTTGCTGGCGGCGGGGGTACTCAGGATGCCATTCTGACCGACGAGAAGCTTCTTGACACCATAAGCTGCACCAATCTTAGCGATCTTCTGGATGACATCGGTGTTGTAGTAGCGGCCGTCACCGCCGATGACCAGGAAGGCATTGGTGGCGCCCTCAGGGATGGACTGGAGGATGGAGGTGATGAACGACTCGGAGTAGTGGGGTTGCTGGAAGACCTTGACCTTTTTGCGAAGGCCGGAGCTGTGGCAGTCAGCAGTTGTCTGACGGGAGAAGAGAAGACGGAGGGACAGAGACGTACGTGCCGGGCTTCTGGTCGGTGAAGGGCTGCAGCGAGACGGTCTGGAGGGACATGACGTGGGTGGGGTTGAGGAACGAGGAATGAGGAACAGAGGGAGGTGCAAGGGATGATGATGTTTCACCGAGGAGAGTGACAAGATAAAGAAGAAAGCAACGAGAGAAGAAAAGAAGAGAAGAGACGAGAAGAGGAGAGAGAAGGGGATAGAAAGGACGAGATAAAAGCAAGGGGAGAAGAAGTTGAGAGACGTCCGAAAGTTGGCGGTGGGGGTCATTGGTATTATTGCGTATTTATTATGATGCCCCTCCTGTCCACATCGGGTAAGACACTGCGACATGTTCTATACACCCTTTACTCCTGTCTCACTCTCTCCCCCCCGCTAGAACAATCTCGCCCGGTAGAACTGCATTTCCGCAATACTCTCCAAAATATCCTCCCGTGCCAAATGCACCTCCTTCTTCGCCGGCACCGTCGCCAATAACTCCTCCGACCCCCATCGCCGCGCCGCCTCCTTGATGGCACTGACATCCAGGATGCGATAATGCAGCCACTCCATCACCCGCGCATACGGGCCCCGGGTGAGGAACGCCTTGTCGGCATGCACGCTGTTGCCCGCCAGCACCCCGCGACGAGGTTCCGGCACGTATCGCTGGATGTACTGCAACAGCTCGGCCGCCGCCGTCTCGGCCGTCGTCGTGGACGCCTGCACCGCAGCCGTCAGTCCGCTGCGCCCGTGCGTGTCAACGCACCAGGCGTTCATGTTGGCCAGGACGCTCGCCGGTTGGTGGATGATCACTTCAAAACCGGTCTCGTCCAGCAGGTTCATCTGTGCGTCGGTGACGAAACAGCAGATCTGCAGGATCTGATCCGTCTCGGGGTCCAGACCCGTCATCTATCGGGACGTGGTTAGTGGGATTTCTCCGAGGGTGTCTAATAACTCACTTCGCAGTCGATCCATACCAGGGGATCGGAGGACCGAGTGAGAGGCATTTCGATTAATGGTATAGAGATAGATGACTGGAGGAGAGGGAATGAATGAGCCTATGTCTAAGATGGAAGGATAAGTTACGGGCGGAAGTTCTTCCGAATACCCTCGCATTCTCTGTTCAACTCATCCAAATTCTATCCAATTATTCAATTCTAGCCTCCTTCGTAGATTGCAGTAAGGTCATCACATCGGCAAAATAAATGTAGACCACAAACGCCAGTCCACGGTCGCAGTTCAGAAAAAGAAACGTGTTTTCAGTTCCACCCAAAAACGCAAATAGGAATCTCGGTATCGCAGCGTGCATCAACACATCATCAAGTTCAATAGATCGCCCCTGGGGTCGTCAATCCCCAGGAGAGTCACAATTCCTCCTCGGCGGGCTCCGGCGCCGCCGCCGGTTTCGTCAAGCTCTCGCCAAAAACACCACCGCCAGTCTTCGAGGACGGCTCGGCTCCCGTACTGCCCAACGCCGAGCTGACTGACTGTTCGAAGCCGGCCTCCATGCGCCGTCGGATGGCGCTCTCATCCGCCTGCGACACGCTGGCGCGCTGCTTCTTCAGGGGACTGCCCACCGCGCCGCCATTCAGCGCCTCCCCGATCGATTTCAACGAGCCACCCGGTCCCGCGGGCGGTGCGGCCGTCGTTGTGGGTGGCGTCGTGGAGATACCTGACGTGGTGGGCGTTTCTCCCGGAGCCGGGCTGGCCGACTCAGTCTTGGGGGTATTCGGCCCTAGCGAGGCGGACGAATGCTGGCGTTTCAACTAGACTCTGTCAGTCGGGCTTCGAGGTTGTCATCACCCCTCACTACACACCTTGATCTTCCGCACACCCTCCGCAAGCTCCCCTTGGCGTCGGATATCGTCGGGGGAGAGAAATTGGTCGTCTTCCTTTTCCTTGGCCTCCTCGTCGTCCGCTTTACCCAAAATCGAGTCGTCGTCATCCTCGTCGCTATCCATCTCGTCATCCCCGACATCCTTCTTGTTCTTCTTCCGGCTGGGGCGCCGTTCCGTATTCTCGCGGAAGTTCAGGAATCCCACCGTGCCGCCGGGCTTCAGCGGCCCTAGGCTGGAAAAGTCCAGCTGTTGGGACCGACGCTTGGTCGAACCGGGAGTCTCCTGGGCCTTGGGCCCCTTCAGAATGCCCATCTTTTGCAATTGTCCTGTAGGAAGTTAGCCGGCAGAACGGCGTGCGGTACTCAGAGTAGAAACTTACGCTCGCCACGGTACATGAACGTAAAGATCGCGTAGGGCTTGTCGGACGGATCGATCCCCGTAACGGTCTGAGTGCTGATGGACTTGGGATCCAACGTCTTGGGCTTCGCAAAACTCGTCGTGTGGTCGATATCCGCGTCGGCCCCCTGACCCTCGCCGCCCTGTCCGTCCTCGTCGTCGTCGTGGGCATCAAACTGCGGAGAGTACTCGCCCCGCTTGACCTCCCCGGACGCCAACACGCGGAACAGCGCGACCTTAATCTGACCCGCCGACTCCGGGATGGGGTCATCGTCGGAATCGGAGAAAGACATATCATCATCGGAGATGCCCTCGAGTGGCGATTTGGCGTCATCGCCGTACCGCATAATGCCCTTGTCCTTTGCACGCTCCGCCGCGTGCGACGACGACGACGAATCCATGTCGAGGTCGTCGGCGGCCGCGGCGGCAGCGTGCTTCGCCCGGCGACGCTTCTCCATCTTCTGGCGACGACGTTCGATCGTCGCCGCCGCATCCTTTCCCTCCAGATCCAGCCCATTGAGCCACCGCTCCAGTCCGACCTCGCGGAAGAGGAACTCCCGCTCGGCCAGACCGCCGCCCTCAGACTCGGGCACACTGACCCACCGGGAATTCACCCACGTCTCCTCTCCGCGTCGCAGCAGCGTGGCTACCTCCTCCTTCTGGCGTCCATCGAAGTAGATGTAGGCGGCGACCGTCTCATTGGGCGAATTGGTGAGCGCCTGATACGGCGCTACCATGCCGGTGTACTGGCCACGCTCACTCGTTGTGCCGGGGAGGCCCCCAACAACCTTGGGCTTTGGCGTGGGGTTGTCGGGGGTGGGTTTCGGGGTAGAATAGGGCACGTCCTGACCAGGGTTCAGCAGCGTGATGGAGATGGCGAAGGTGGACTGTTCGGGTTTGCCGCCCGCAGAGTCCGGGAGCTTCGCCGGCGGCACGGGAATATAACAGGCGATGCGAGAGGCGCGGGATTGCCGTTGGATGGAGTATTCCGGGATCGGGCCGTCCGGAGTGTGTATACTCACGGCGAGGCCTTTGAAGCATGGCATGGCGGGGGGTTCGGTTCAAGGGAGACCGAGATTCGTCTGCTGGAGATGGAGATGTCGTCGACGACAGCAGTCAGAGAATAGGCGTAGTAGTCGACAGGGGAGGGAAGCGAGGGGAGGGAATTCGCGCGAGAGGAGAAGTTCGTCGTGGCTGGTGGAGGCGGTCAGGATAGTGGGTGGATTTGTTATTATTATTATTACCGACACTTCCCAACCACCGCGGACCGCAGACCGGAATAGGGTATGACAGGAGGCGAGAGGTTCGATCGATCGCAGGTGCACTTGTCGACAGGAGTTCTGATCAGGAACTCGAACAGAGCAACATGAGGAGGCGATTCGAGGGAACTGTGGATGGCCCAAACATTAGCGATGCGGAGTGGAGAGGGGAAGGGAGGAGGGGACTGTCTGTTCGGCGGTGGATGGGATGCGGACGAGTGAGGCGACTTACCGCCACCAAGGATGGAGGAAGAGACCGACAATCGATAGACAGAACGTGAGTTGTGTGTGGGAGAGCGAGAGAGCGAGAGAAAGAGGTGAGGCGGAAGAAGCAAGAAGAGGTGACGGAAGAGGGGGAGAGGGACCCAGGTTGGAAGAATGAATGGTTCCTGTGGAGTGACGATCCCGCCCAAGCAATCCTTGGGTCATGCATTCACCACTTTCTCATCCATGTTCTTATTGTTGTTGTTACTCTTTTTCCAACTACACTGTCTCTACATTATTACTGCCATTCCCGTCGTCGCGCTTCTTCCCTCATGACATCCGCCAAGTCAGGGAAATCTTGTTGTAACAGGCGAAACAATCTTTCCGCCTTCTGTCGTCGTCGCGCAACCTCCTCCAGTTGTCCGATCCTCTCTTAAGATTTTGCCATGCGACTCCACCAGCGACAACTCCAACAACTCGGCCACGTACTGTCGAAGCGCTTCCAGCTTTTTCTCAAGTGATGGGATGCTCTCGTCGTCGGCCGACGTTGACTCGGCTGACATCGTCTCGTGGGGCTCATCCTGCCCGAGGAATGTCGCAGTTTCCGGGCCGCGAGGGGATGTCATTTGGCTCGGTACCCCTGAGAACGGACTGGACTCAATAGGCGGCATTTGACTCTCCACCAGGTCACTGACCCGGACTTGTTGATCCGTTGCACTGGAGGATCGGGGGTCCTGCTTGCTAACAGTTCCCGCGCTTGTGACAACGACCCGAGCGACTTTCCCTGGCCGATATCATTGGATATCCGCGGTCGTTTATGCCCACGCGGTAAGGACACAGGATTCTGCGGCGATACACCGGGAGCTATCACACTGGCTCTTTTGCCACGCCTCTGATCAAAGACGTTGTCCACAAACCCAGTGATCCGCCCGCGAGGTTCAATTGAGCTCACTCGCGGAGGCATATATATATAGCACTGGTTTGTCCTTGATTTGTATGGATGCACGAAATGACAGCATCGGCAGTTGCAAATCTGCGCGCACTTAGGACAACCCAGTCGTTTTTCATCCAGAGAAATGGAAGCAGCTCGATATCGAAGTGCCGGTAAAGGCCGCGCAGACAGAAAATGCTGAAAAGTGACGGCAAATCGCGCCTTTCAAGCTGGGATGGGTGTCGCGGTACAGATGGCATAGTCGTTCCTGAGAGGGAAGCGGCTTTAGTATGTCGCAACTAAATGTGGGCGAAAGACTTCGGGATGGCGCAACATACCGCGGTCTGACGTCGCTACAGCTAACGCGCCCAACGACTTGTGCCTAGTTGATAGGTCAGAGGATGCATATCACCAGGTAAAGAGCGACGGGATGCAAGAGTGACTGACTTGGTCGATGCGGTGGATGGGCGTCTCCGATTCTGAAGCAGCCCTCTACATTTCTCCCTTGGAACCATGTCCGCCAGGTATAGTCCGTAATATCTGACAGCTGCGTACCGAGATGAAACAAGTGAGATATAAGTCGAAGTCTCCGCATTGCTCACAGTGCAAATGCCGGTTCCAGATTGTCAACCCGCAGAAGTTGCATTCGACTACCGCCCCTGTGTATCCACAAGCTTGATCGGTATCGCGGTATCTCCCACACCTTCATCATCTACCAGTCGTTGAAAGATATCTAGTTATACTTGCATGTCGTTCTTGTAAGTATGGTCACTAATGCATGCATCGGAATCAGCGGAAATCTTCCAGTCTCAGTGTGACATTGTCTCTGATAGACAGCCTGGACATAGTCAAAGAAAGACACGAGGGACGTTGTGTGCATAATATTCCACACCACCTTGGTCACCTCGCAGAGACGTTCTAAATCTGGTGCCCCGTCACAGAGGGGAACACGACCAGGTCGCTTAGCTCCTGGTGGGTGACATAGATCGGGAAGTCGGCCGATTGTAATTGGTATACGGACACATTGGTCCACTCATGTGGGATAGATTTCCTAGGCTGTCCATGAAAACATCATATTTCATCTGGGATTCGATGTCCGTTCCAAAGCATAGAGAGCCCGGTCCGAGGCCTTTAGAGATCAGTAGAGTGTTCAAGCAGTGTTGGGTGAGCGTAGATACCTATCGACTCTATCATCACGTTGAGCGCAACGGTACCACTAAAGCATCTGTGAAGCCCAGAGCTGATGTGCATGAGTATGTCTGCAACAGTTATCCAAGAGCATGGCATACAAGGACTTCCGAGTGCCGACGTAACCCATCAACACCTCGGGAACGATGTCTTTAGGAAGCACTCGGAATAAGTCGAGGGAGCCCAGATGCTTCAGAGAAGGAGGTAGAGCTACATCGAGCGCGTTCTTCTATTCCCATGGACACTGGATATCCTTTGCATGGAGGTTACAGGAAGAGGTGGTAAGCTACATCTCGGACCTCGGAGCAACTTTGGGGGCCGAGGGGCCAAGCTACTCCCAAGTACTATTGGGACGTGGATGATCAGCCGAAGAGAGTAAATCTGGTAGATTCATCTTAATATCATGGCACGTTTGGCAACTCCTCACAGGCAGAAGTACCGCCGGCAGCCGTGATCCTTCTACAGTATGTGGTAGAATCTAGGACATACTTGCCGGAGAGGCCGTCAATTGTTTGCCGTTGAGAATATTTTCGTACCACTGGTCAAGCTGGTTAAAGCCACGAATAACAAACGGCTTTCCTTCCCGGAGTTTAGAGGTCCTCAGCCTCCAACAAGTCGTGGGCGTCCTGGAGCGCCAACTCGGAAAATGGGACGAGCGGCTTCCCATGATTGAGAAGGTCCTGTGCTGTTGGAACGCCGGGGCTCAACTCATCCGTAAAAAAAATAAATGCATAAATTAGTTGATTGTGAGAGGGCAGTATCGTTATTACTGTGATGGTGGGTTCATGTTGTGGTCAAGATACCGACCTTTGATGCTCGTCTCGCAAGACACGACCGTTTGTCACGTGATATGGACATTTTCTTATGCTGCACTAACCTAATTGGGTAGTATAGATCGCTCAGGGCCAGATGTTGATGAATCGAGTTTAGCAGTATAATGTTGGTTATGGATGATTTAGATGTACATTATTTCATTGGATATGTTTTGGGTCTGTATGAGAAGTATTCATTCATGGGGGCTACTAAGTTACTGAGACGCATCCGCCAACTGAAGGATCCTGATGACTTGACCGAAGATCGAGGCAAGTCTACAACATTGCAAGTCGATAATCCATAAGGTGCCTATTGTAGTTGCGTCTCGTTGAATGATATCAATAAGAATGGTATGTCGCATTATGGTGGTCGATAGACCCAATCCATGCCCAGAGTCTCATATGTGCTCAAATTATTTTGCATGGGGGATAATTGACGCAGGACTAGCCAAATTGATATTTGCTTGGTCTGCACAAATAGTGGCCGCTATCAGGCCAGAATATTGTCTCAGACCTTTGTTCAGTATTGGTCTGTACCTTGCTACATATACCTCAATCCGCTTTTCCAGTTATAGATCCATTTGAAAGAAAAGAGTTTTGGCTTGTTTTGTTTTCTTTGTGCTCGAGGAGAGTGTGATGTTCTAGAAGGCGCCTCTTGCCACTGGCCATGTCTGTCGAAAGGCAGACTTCAGCCTTGGATCGTCTTAGGAAAACGCCTGGAAGCATCAATCCGATCCGACGTGGACACAGGTCTTTTTCTGATGAAGATCGTCTCAAGGGCGTAACCTGACTGGTCCAACGCCGGTTTGTTGACCCGGAGAAATTTGATCGAGTCAGGTTTGGGGTCTTGTTGTACGAGGATTGCAAATTGGTCGTGTACCAATCCCGGTTGGTGACACAAGCAGGGCTTGGATGAGGGATTATACACCGCAACCTTCTTCGAGGCGCAAACATGTTACTATTTTGACCACGCGAATCATCACTCCCTAGCAAACAGTTACACTAAAGATTGGTCGAAGACCGCCGATGGTCAAGGCTAGGACAAGGACCGGGGTCATCGGGTGCAGAAAATAAGGTACGACTCCAAAGGTTGGACGATCTCGTATCGTCTGCCCGCTTCCGTCCTCCAACGAACGCTGGTGGCGACCGTTTCTTATTCATGGGGTGTAACAATTTCCACCGCCTTTGTTTCGGACGAGCTCTACAGCTAGTTTTCTGGTCGAGACCGTGGCGACGCTGTGCTCTTGGTCTGGTGGCAAAGGATTCTTTCATCCCACTAGCTAGTAGAAGCGAAAGCGAAGGGCCTGGGTGTTAGCGAAGATGCCGAGTCCGGCCATGAGTCCGAGATCCCGTGGGGGAGTGAAATGGATCTCCCAGAAGATACCCGAAAAGGCAAATCGGTCTCGACGGTCACCCACCGAAGCATCTCGAACGGAGGGTAATTGGATAGACTCCAAGCCACGAGGGTGGTGCTAACTCCACACATGGCGCCCCCTGGCGTCGCAACCGCCCCCGGGGCGCTCGAGCCTCAATCCGAGAACGGGACGTCATCTGGCTCACCCTCAAGGTTGGTTTTGGTTGATTGAGCAGGATCATGGGATTGGGGGGTTTTTTGGCTAATTGTTGCATTGGGTAGGCGGAGGTGGCTTGGCGGATTCCTGGGCGTCGATGGTTCACGACCATCATGATGACCACGCGAGTGACGGATTCCTTACTCCGTACGCTCAGAGAAAGGATAAAGAAAATGATAGAAAGCCATGGTGGAGTGTATCCACCTCCGGCAATTCCTCCCTGAAAGAAAAGCTGGCGCTGTGTGGGCTGATACTTGGACCAGCTGGGACTAGACGGGGCAAGGAAAAACTCACTTAGTCTGCTAGGACTAACGCGGTAGGGTCTCTCCACGTTACGTAGGTAGCATCCTCGGTTGTTATCCGCCCCGGATTTCAGTGGTCCCTGATCCGGGGAGGGACGCCCCCCTTTTCCCCCTTGGTCTGTTCCATGGATAGGTTTTGGTTTTGTTAGTCTGGGGTCAAGTCGACGACATGGTGATGGCCGACTCCGGGGTTGGATTCCTCGGCCAACCGTCCGATGTCGTCATCGCAATTAAAGCAATAATGGATTGCAATGGATTCTACAGATCTCGATCACACGTGAGAACGCCTGCCAAGACGAGGCCCGAATTCTCCGCAAGTCCAAAGCAACCTGGGATGGACGCAAAGGTGGTAGGACCCGTGAGACGGACCGCGTCTAAGCTGTTTGTAGGATAGTGATGCCGAGCTAGATAGGCCCCCGGCCAAGAGGAGCCAATGAATCTTGATCTAACGCTTGGCCGCTGGGCGCCATCATCCCGCGTTCTTCGTGCACATTGGGGGAGTCGCAAGCGTGGCGTTTTTGGTCTGACACCCTGCAACGCAGTCACCGCCAGGATTGGCTGGATCCAGGTCGATACTGATAGCCACGGACCTGTACCTAAATCCTGATGGCTCTAGCCGGAGGAAATCCTACAGCAGCAATAACAATAAATAATATACTCCGTACGCATCAGACCTATACGAGGGCACGCCGGACAAGTCACACCAGGCCGCCAAGATCATCCTCAACCCTAAATCCATCAAGACAGACGGCCCCCCCATGGCGCCACCGTCCGAAGCCGGGCGGGAGGATGCTGACCGGCGAAGGAGTTGTTTGTCACCCTCAGCACATGGTGGGGGCTTGGTTTTTAGCTCGCTCAAAGAACCTCATCCGGATAAAGTTTTCTGGACCGGCGACGCCGTCCTCGTCCGATGACCTGGAGACTCCACAATCCAGCCCCCAGACCAGCTTCAGACGAGCCCCAGACTCGCGTGGTTGACACCATGGACTCGTCTCAGACTCATCTGGTAGTATCGGGTACGACCCTCCTACACATGCTGACTGCCGTCCTCGTCAGCAGCATGCTTCAAAGCGTCATCCTTACCCCTCGTACCAGGGTAAGACCTCCTCTCGCGCGTACTTTGTAGAGAGATCGGGCCACGGGAATGGCTTTCTAGTAGGTAGATGCGTGAAACGCAGCCCGAGACGCTTGCATCCTACTGAGAAGTGGAACCCAATCAGAGCTGGGAGATCTGTGAAATTCGCTCGAAACTTGGCTAAATAATAACAATTAGAGTAATAATATTAAACTGGGCACGGGACGGAAAGGATTTTCTTTTTCTTTATTACTTTTAATGAGTGAATATCGACGAGGCGCAGTCACCTGTTGCTCTTCAGCCCTATTTCCTCTTTCGCTCTCTCGCTCTGTCCCTCTCCCTCTCTCGCTCTCTCTCTCTCTCTTCCATTTAATCCCGGTCTGCACCCCGCACCTTCCTTTCTTTTTATCTCTCTTTTACTCCGCATCTCCTATCCTTACACCCTCGTCGGGCCTCTACATCCTTACAAGTCCCTATCCTTCAGTCCAGTGCAGCTGTCACCATGGCGGATACCTTGGGGAAGAAAGACCTAGATGACGCGCCTGTTTCCCAGGTGGAGGAAACTAATGTGGAAGTCGTGAAGCAGTTTGTACCCCAGTCTCTGTGTGCTCGATACACATTCGTTAACACGCTCTAGTGCAAGCGACGGGGAGTCTGCCGAGAAGGCCCAGGCTGAGCATATCAACCTGAACAAAAACCTGTCAGCCAAGTATGTCTTCTGTGAACAATCTGGACCCTTCCTCACCCCACCGCTAACCCTACTAGGATCAAGAACCCCCTGGCAGACTTGACCCCAGACCAGGTCCTTCGTGATGTCGAGGAGTTTGCCAACGAGCATGGTCTGGAGGAGTCTCTTCCTCTTTTGAGAAAGGGTGTTCTGATCTCGCGGGACCCGGAGAATTACAGGTCGGTCCCAGGCATGACCGAAGAGGACATCACTGCGATTGAAAACGAGGTCGTCCACAAGTGGCGTCAGCCGTGGTCCCTGTACTTCACCATCATTCTCTGTTCCATTGGTGCCGCCGTCCAGTACGTTCTTTCCTACAAATCGAACGCTCTATGGGAACATGCCATCTAACGCCACAACAGGGGATGGGATCAAACCGGAAGTAACGGTATGAATATCAACAAAGCAGAGCGTGTGTGACAAATTCTAACCTAGGGCTTAGCTGCCAACCTCTCTTTCCCCGCACAGATGGGTATTCCCCAAGAGGGCCCAAACGCTGCGAGGAACCAGTGGATCGTGGGTGTCGTGAACGCGTACGTACCACCAACCTCTTTCCTTTTACTAGACACATAGCTCATCCAACATAGCGGCCCCTATATCGCTAGCGCCTGTCTGGGCTGCTGGCTCTCGGACCCCGTGAATGACTTCTTCGGCCGCCGTGGTGCCATCTTCGGCTCGGCCATCTTCTGCTTCGCCGCTCCTCTTGGTGGTGCCTTCTGCCAAACCTGGCCCCAGATGTTCGTGACCCGGCTTCTGCTTGGATTGGGAATGGGCTTGAAAGGCTCGACTATCCCCATCTACTGTGCGGAGAATACGCCGGCCGTCATTCGTGGTGGTCTGGTCATGTCCTGGCAACTGTGGACCGCATTCGGCATTTTCCTCGGAACCTGCGCGAACCTGGTCGTCAAAGACACGGGCGATATTGCCTGGAGACTGCAAATCGGATCCGCCTTCATTCCTGCCCTGCCGTTGATTTTCGGTGTGTATATCTGCCCGGAGTCCCCTCGTTGGTACATCAAAAAGGGCCAGTTCAAGAAAGCATTCGAATCTCTTCGTCGGCTTCGGAACACCGAGCTTCAGGCGGCTCGGGATCTCTATTACATCTACGCGCAGGTCAAGGTGGAGCAAGAAATTGCTGGCGAAGGCAACTATGTCACCCGTTTCATTGAGCTGTTCACGATCCCCCGCCTGCGTCGGGCCACCCTGGCCTCCTTCACCGTCATGCTGGCCCAGCAGATGTGTGGTATCAACATCGTCGCCTTCTACTCGTCTACCATTTTTGAGAAAGCCGGCGCTGGTTATACCGGAGCTCTTTGGGCCTCGTTCGGCTTCGGTCTAGTGAATTTCCTGTTCGCCTTCCCCGCCGTCTTCACCATCGATACATACGGACGTCGCGCCCTGCTTCTCTTCACTTTCCCCCAGATGGCCTGGACGCTGCTGGCGGCCGGCTTCTGTTTCTACATCCCCGAAGAGAACAGAGCCCACTTGGCCTGTATCGCTCTGTTCGTCTTCCTGTTCGCCGCGTTCTACTCGCCAGGAGAAGGTCCCGTGCCGTTCACCTACTCGGCCGAGGTCTTTCCGCTTTCTCATCGTGGTACGTACTCGCATCCCCACCCCCTGCTGCCTATATCCATGCTGACCGCGTTCAGAGGTTGGAATGTCTTGGGCTGTGGCCACTTGTCTCGGCTGGGCCGCCGTCCTTTCCATCACCTTCCCACGCATGCTGGACGCCATGACGCCGACAGGAGCTTTCGGATTCTATGCGTAAGTCTTGGCCCATTCTCAAGGCGCTCCCCATCTAACATGATCCTAGTGGTCTCAACGTCACTGCCTTGGTCATGATCTTCTTCTGGGTCCCCGAGACGAAGCAACGCACCCTCGAAGAACTCGACTACATCTTTGCCGTGCCGACTCGCATGCACATGAGCTACCAGCTGAAGAAGGCGCTTCCCTACTGGGTCAACCGGTACATCTTCCGCCGCAATGTGACGCTGGAGCCGCTGTACAAGTTCGACCATCTTGGCAATACGGCTTGATTGGAGCGCGATGTAGGGGAAGGCGACGTCTCGCGATGATGAATATGAATGTACGGGCTTTGTAATGCGGAGGATATGATAATGATGATTGGGCTAGATGCTGGTCGTTCTGTAACTGATTGCATGCTAGTTATTCGAGTCCTAGATAATGGATATCTGACATCATACGAGGTTTTCCTATTAGGAGGGTAGCGCGATAGGACTTGGAGTGGGCAGCGACGGGTTCCGAGATGCCATCTCGGAACCCCTCCCCCCTGAGTCTGGCATCGCTAACTAACCAGGCAAATAGCAACCTCGTCATTGGTGAATTACAGACAAGCTACCTGATATTAAATTAGCACACAAAGCACCTCCATATTGTCAATTCATCTATGAAGCAACGCCAACAGGAGTAACCGACGTCGCGCTGCCATTCTCATGCGCCTCCCGTCTACACTCAGCGGACACCTGGGCGATCCTGCGATCCTGTACAAACTTGCGACTATCCTCGCGACCCTTTTCAATATCGACAAAGCCGATGGCGATCATTGCAGCTGCACAAATAGCAAAAAGGAACGGGAATCCCATCCAGTTGTTCTGGGTGCTGTTGACGATTGCTTGGACGACGTTTGGGCCGATAATCGAGGACTAGATGGGTTTGTAAGTAGAAGCATACCTTCGGGTGGAAGTGGTTGTATGTACTTACGGCGCGATTGGTGATGCCAAAGAGAGCAAAGAACATGTTATCGTAGCCCTGGGGCATGAGCTCGCTGATCATGGTTTGGGCGTACTATGACGGTCATTGGTAAGTCTGTGTCACCTGCAGGAGAATTGTCACGTACGGCGTAGTAGGGCGCTTGGAAGAGCCCAAAGATGATATTGTAGAAATAAAACTCCCACTAGAACCTGTCAGCAGGCCAGTAACATCCGTTGGAAGGATTTGGAAGGGGCGCACTCGATTGTGGTAGCCAACACGCTTAGTCCACAGACCCAGCATGCCCCAGAACGGAATAAAGACGCTGAAGAAATTGGTCACGAGGAACATGCGCTTCGTGCGGATCTTGAAGTAGTTCTGGATGTACCAGAACCCGAACGTCGAGGCGATCGAGCACGCTGCTTGGACGATGTTGAGGTATGTCAGGTTGAGAAAGGAAAAGGAGATGTTATCGTTCTGGATAATGCCCACCAGCGATCCTGGACGCTGTTAGCTTCTGTCTGGGAATTGGATGTGGGCATACCTGTTGTGTTTAGGCCATCCGCCAGCAAGAAGTAGGCCAGGAAGTACAGGAAGGTCTGTGGTAGGGCGCGGACTTCGCGGAGCGCCATCCAGATCTGCTTGAAACCGATGGTGGCGTAGTTGGATCCTTTCGGGACGTCTGGTCCGGGCCGTTTCTGCTGGAAGATGAACCACCAGATGCCGAGAACAACCCAGTCTATCGTGGTCAGATGATGCTGGGGTCGATGGGTCAGGACTTACATGAGTTTGTAAGACAGAGGGCGAGGTTGTTTGCGTAGTTGTTGCCCTGCAGTGGCAGCAAGACACTGAGGTTGAGTACGAGGGTCAGGAGGTATCCGATGTTGCTATGCGCGGTGGAGACGTTGCTATTGCATGATGAGCAGCTTATTCCATCGAGGCTGTAGCATTCATACTCACCTGATATGATTCCGCTCCAGCGACTCAATCATGTCATACTCCTCCTGAGTAATCTTCCCCTCCCTGAGATCCTCTTCGCGCGCCTTACGCACATGCGGCATATATCGCGCCAGCCGGGGAAAGACAGCCGCGTAGAAGACCAGCGTCGCACCGTACGCGATATACGCAACCACATACATGCCCATAGCTGCGGGCCACTGGCTGGGATGTCGGATGGCCATCATGCCGTACTGCAGAGCCCAGCAAACGACAGTGAGGGCCAGGAGCAGCCAGCGGCCAAACGAACCATAGTCAGCCGCGCTACCGAGCCAGACAAAAATGACCGTCATGAACGTGAAGCACAGCCCGTTCGCGATAAGCACCACGGACGAGACGCTCCGCGTGCCGCCGGCCCACGGCACGACGCAAGGAGACGAGTCGCTGCATGGCTTGCGCGGGTTTGTGCCTGGCTGCCAGCCGGCGCCGTTGAGCGCCCATTGGAACCTGCGTGCTGCGTTAGTGTAGGGTGCGAGTTGCGTGGGGCGGGCGGGTTACAGGGCTTGCGTGTATGAGCCTGGTCCGACGCCGTTGTCGCCTGGATGGATTGTAATTAGTTGGGATTGTCGAGGAGGTTCGGCGTGGATTACCGTTGTAGTAGAGGTAGTAGGACCAGAGCTCCTTTCGAGTGGTCGTTGGCTGTTCAAAGGTCGCCTCCGATCGGAAGAGGTGGTCGATCTCATCGGAGGTGACTGTCTCGGGCGCTTTGGAGTGTGTTGTTTTGGTGCTGGGCTCTGGAATGTGCTCGTCCGTCCTGGGGTTGCCATCAGGGGCGATTTCCTGCCTGGATCCTTGGATTGGATCCGACATGGTGCTTGTAGCTATTGTATAGATGGAGTAAAAGGGGAGATGGTTGGAGACAGGAGCCTCGGTAGTGCATAAATAAGAGAATATAGACTTCGCCAGGGGATCTCGTGGCGCCGCGCTAGGGATGTACGCTGATAGCGAGGGTGAGGGGAGGGTGACACCAGCAATGTAACCCCGCAGTGCCCGCACAGACGACTTTCACTGATATCGCGTTGTGTATAGGATGATACGAGATGTAGGCTTGTATAGTTGCGATGGATTGTTGGATTCTGGGGGTCAATTAGGGCACGTCACGTTCTTCCCAAACCGGCAACGGGTTTGTCATCCGCGATTATCGACTATCGACTTCCCCTCTTCTCCATATCTTCTTCTCCCCTCCATCTTCCTATCTTGCTCCTCATATTTGAGTCCCGTACTACAATAACATCTCCACCGAACTCCGCGCACATCGCATCAGACTCCGGTGTACATCGATCGCCGATTGGTCATCACGTGGGTCTATCAAAGTGCAACCTCGTCTTCTCCAACAACCCCGCGGAGACCTCCGATGTATATCCATTGTCCTTCCTGCCACTGAATATGTCGTCAATGGATCTTCGCAAGAAAGTCGGCCAGGTATGCCACCACAATGCATTCCAGTTTGTCCCACAACTAACATCTGCGAGCTCTTCGCGGTCGGCTTTCACGGCCTGACCCCAAGCCCCGAAATCAAAACACTCATCCGTGAGTACGGTCTCGGGGGAATCGTTCTTTTCAAACGCAACATCCGTGATGCAGCCCAGCTACAGGTGCGGCCTAATTCCAACTGTCGGTTGTGACTGCATGCTGATAATCTATATAGTCCCTGACTCTCGCTCTCCAAGAAGAGGCCAAGCAAGCGGGCCATGAACACCCCCTTTTCATTGGCATTGACCAGGAGAACGGACTGGTCACGCGTATATGTCCTCCAATTTCGGCGCAGATGCCGGGATCTATGGCTTTGGGGGCCACCTATGATCCCGAGCTCGCCTATCAAGTAGGTGCGCTCACCGGCGAGACATTGAATGTCTTCGGAATCAACATGAACTACGCTCCAGTGTGTGATATCAATTCAGAGCCGCTAAACCCCGTCATTGGGGTCCGAAGCTTCGGAGACGACCCCAGCCTTGTCGGGCGGTTCGCAAGTGCCAGTGCGCGAGGTCTTCGGGAGAAAAAGGTGGTCCCCAGCGTCAAGCATTTCCCTGGTCATGGCGACACAGCAGTGGACTCTCACTACGGGCTTCCTGTCATCTCAAAGACCAGGGAGCAGCTAGATCAGTGTGAATTGAGACCTTTCCGTCGAGCAGCAGCTGAAGGTGTTGAAGCCGTGATGACCGCGCATATTTCCCTCCCTAACATCGGAGACGGAAAGCTCCCCGCTACGCTGTCTGCCGATGCCCTCAATATCCTCCGAAAGGATATGCAGTATGACGGGATGATCATTACGGATTGTCTGGAAATGGACGGTATTCGTGCGACGTATGGCAGCGAGAACGGCGCAGTCCTCGCGCTAGGTGCTGGATGTGACAGTATCATGATCTGCCATACTTATTCCGTTCAGGTCGGTGCCATTGACCAGATTTGCCAGGCTATTGAATCTGGCCAAATCCCGCAAGCTCGTCTGGATGAAGCCTATCGGCGAGTGGCCTCACTGAAAAGCCGCTTCCTTAGCTGGAATACAGCATGTCAACCCCCGAGCCTTGACAGTATGAAGCTCCTCAACGAAAAAGGGGTGTCGTTAGCTCGAGAGGCCTATTCTCGCTCGATAACTGTCGTCCGTGACAAACCGCAGACTCTTCCGCTGGCGAAGGATTCTACGATTGTGTTCCTGTTTCCTGGAGAAAAGACCCCGGCTGGTGGTGCGGTTGACGGAGAAGGCCTAGGAAGAAAGGGGGAGTACAATGCCTCCCTTTATCTTCAGGTCTTGCAGGCATGGAACAAGAATGTCACAGAAATCCGCTACGGGACCGCCGGACTGTCTGCTGAACAGTGGGCTCTCGTTGATGCGGCCGATGTCGTCATTTTTACTTCAATCAACGCCAGGGAATCCCAGTTCCAGAAGGCACTAGGCCTCGCATTGCCTCACCGCGCGCGGAAGCTGGTCGCTATCGCAGCCTGCAATCCGTACGACTTCTTAGACGACCCCATCATTGAGACGTACATCGCTACGTACGAACCTACGCTCGAAGCATTTACCGCTGCGGCCGCTGCATTGTTCGACCCTGACTCCGCAAAGGGGGCATTGCCTGTTGGACCAAACAAGCCCATTCCATCACACTTCACTGTCGAGCCATATTATGCGGCGACTGACTTTTCCGGTCTGGTGGGTGTTTGGAATGACTCCCTCCCCACTTATCCGCTGAGCGCGGATATTCTGCGCAAGGTGCTGCTCCCGGGATTTCACTTCGTAGCTCGAACTGCTTCTCCCGCTCCTACAGTGATCGGATTCTGTCTTGTGCAAACCAAGACGAAAGGGCCAATGACGTGCGCTCAACTGGCGGCATTGGCCGTCCACCCCAAGTACCAAGGACAAGGGGTTGGCACGGCGCTGATTGCGAAAGTCCGTGAATGGCTTCGGCAAAGCTGCAGGTCGCACCGGCTCGAGCTCGGCAGCTCATTCCCTCGCTTCTGGCCGGGAATCCCGACAGACCTGCCATCCAGCGTGCAAGAATTTTTCGTCCATCGGGGCTTCCAACTGGACCCTCCCACTTCTCGATCGGTAGACCTGTACCAGGACATTCGGGGATTCCAAGCTCCAGAAAAATATGTCACGCGAGCCCGAGAGGCGGGATACACGTTCCGGCCCTTAGCTATTGATCCATCCGGGGGTGAGTATGAATGCTGCTTGGATGGGCAATTGAGGAACTTTTCCGACAACCAGGTAGGTCTTTCACCTCTTTTCTTGGGTGCGCTAACAGGGTATAGGACTGGGTCCAGATGTACCGGGTGCTGGATCCCGCACAGTATCCGTCCAGCGTGATGGTGGCATTTGATCCAGAGGGCCACCAGGTGGGATGGACGCTCATGTTGGGCCCGTCGTCTCCGATTCTGCAGAAGAACTGGGCGTTCCCTCCGCTCTGCGGGCCGAATACCGGCTTGATCGGGTGCGTGGGGGTGGACAAGGACCGCCGCAAAGGCGGAATCGGCCTGGCGCTGTTGTGCCATGCGATTGAACATATGAAAGGGAGGGGGGTGGAAGGGGTGTTTGTGGACTGGGTGGCCCTGGAGGGATGGTACGAGCAGCTTGGATTCAAGACCTGGCGCAGCTACCGGACGGGGAAGATGAAGGATCAGGCGTAGGTACAGTTACCTGAGACTCTTAGAGATGAGGCCATTGCACAGCATAACATAGATGAGGGCAAGTGAATACATGCCGAATAGATGTTCAGTTGGTGCGATCTACAATTCCATGGCCGAGTATGTGCCCTTGCTTGCTATCTAAGTCTTGAATCATCTTCACTCATCTAGTATGTAGTTCTGCACGACGACTCCCAGCCTTGCGAGTCTGAGATAGGTAGTCCAGGAGTAGAGAGGCTGGTAGCAAGTGATGAGGAATGTCACTACCGTTTGTAGGAATGACAGAAACTGACAGACGGAATGATCGACTGCTGCAGAATGCGCTTGCAGTGTCCCTGCAGGAGGAATGTGGCTTGAGCCTGTTGCTGCAGACCATGCTTATACCTACGAGGCACGCGACCATAGATGTGGGATAGTCTGACTGCCCTTCAGGCTATGTACAAAGAAACATCTCCATGAATTAAACATTAAACATCAACCATCAACCCCAACAGCCAGGCCGTGACCGGTCACTAAAGCAGACTCTGCGGGTCTCGAATGGAAAGAAGATAAACCGACCTCAGCCATGCACGGTACACACTCAAGAGCACCGCTTAAGCATCACCACCTCCCCCTCCACTTCCACTGTCACTCTCACTCTCGCTGCTCCCACTATCTTCATCCATGCCCGCAGGATTCTGGCACGCAATCGCCTGGCCCGCCTGTCCCACACACAAACCATCAGTAAGGCCACCATCCACTCCACAATATAGCTGTAGCACAGAAAGAAGACACTCACCAGAGCAAGGGTACAACACTGCGGCTTATCCCCAATCTTAGCGCAAATCTCCTTGAACTCCGCCGCGCTGCTGGGCAGCGGCCCCGGCGGCTGGCAGTCCAGCGACACAACGTCGGCGACGTTGACGGCGCAGCACTGCATGCTGCTGTAGGCGGTACCGGAGGGGCAGATCGGGGCTCCGTGGCGCGCGGCGAGCGGGTTGGCGAGTGCCAGGGCCGCGGAGAGGGTGCTGCTTAGGATGGCGAGTGCGGTGCGCATTTTCAAAACAGAATGACAGGCTCACTAACTAATGATGTTGGATTAATGAATGAATGCTTGATGGAAGACCTGAGGTCTTTATAGTTGTATATCGCGACAGCCCTTAGTAATAGCCTTTCCGCTCGCTAAAGAGGTATGCATATCTTGCCGCGAAGTAGTTGTCTGTTTTGATAGCCCGGTAGTGTTTGACGGCATCACCCTTGCGGCCTGCAGGGTAGGGTCAGAATGTGTCCCGGAATGCAGGGTGCATCTATACCTGCAGAGACGATGGGATTGGCTGGGGCAAAGGGGGATGCTTGTTGTCAGCCCTGGATCGCCTGTGGGAGCAGTGCCGAGATAGTAAGGTTGTATGGATGCCTTGGGTAGGACGGAGATCTGTTCCGCATTGGACGGGGGCATTCCTGGGCTCACTGGGGTCTGGAGACTGGAGATCTTCAGGTAGGATTGCTGCGCTGTTGTTGTTATTGTTATTGTTGTTGTTGTCAGTAGGTGTAGTTGTGCTGTTCACTTGAAGGAAACCTATGCATTGCAGTTTCTACTATGATATTGTAGTACTAGATGTACCTACTGGGTACTGTGTATCAATTGACACCATGAATAGAGCAGACTGCCATATATCCATGCACCACGCCGTCATGCAATCATAATCATCATCATATTATTCAGGCCATATCATCCATATAACCCCCCCACCACTCCTTCCACCGCACCACCTTCTCCTCTCTTCTCGCCTCCTCGGCCGCAAACACCACGGCGTGACTGCGCACCGCCTCCTCCAACGTGCACCCAACAAACCGTCTCTGCGCCTCGTCCACTGCCCAACCCTCCGCCTCCACCGCCTCGACCGCCCGCACAAAGCTGCGCGCCAGCCCATAATCCCCGCCGCCGTGGCTCTTCTCCTCCTCGGGTGGCTGGCGCGGCACCTCGATCGTGCGCGTCTCGCGTGTCTCGAACGAGTAGATGGTGATCGTGCGCGAATCGTAGGTCAGCTCGCCGCGCGTGCCGTACACGCGCCCGCGCCGCTCGCACTGCTTCTCCGTCGGCGCGATCATATGGAACACCGCCGTCTTGGCGGGTCTCCCGCCATCCGCACTCTCGTCGTCCCACGCGATCGTCACCACCTGGTCGTCGCACACGTCGTTGTCCGCCTCGTACACGCACCGCCCGTACCAGGGCCGCGCCGCAACCGCTGCGTCTGGTGTGCCGGGGGTGTAGTCCTCCTCGAGCCGGCGGAGGAGATGCGCCTCGGCGGCGGCGGGCGACGACGTGCGCACGACGTCCTCGATATCCGGGCAGACGATGTTGACCGGCCAGTCGACCTCTCCGCGCGCCAGGTGCATGTCGCGGTAGATCTTGACTGCCGAGTAAATGCAGTCCCGCTCGGCGGGACACGAGACGCAGTTGGTGGCGGCGCCGGCGTGCGGCGGCTTGCGCGCGCGGCGGAACTGCGTCAGCGCGCCCGTGGACGAGATGGTGCGTGGATGGTGGGGGGATGCGGTGGCGGGGGCGGGCGCGCCGTCGGGGCCGGCCTCGGGGGACGATAGCAGCCACATGATGAAGTCGATGTCGTGGCAGGACTTGGTCAGTAGGGAGCCGTCGCCGGCTGGCGTCTGGCGGCGCCAGTTGCCGCGCACGTAGCTGTGCGAGAAATGCCACCAGGCCGACGGGTTCGCAGTGTTCCAGCGAGACGATGTCGCCGACCACCCGGGTCTGTGTGGAGGAGCCGCCGCAGGAGGATGTTGTGCGGGCTGTAGCGGAGGACGTGGCCGATGCTGAAGATGCGGTCGGTGGGCTGCAGCGCGCGGTAGACGGATAGGCAGTCGGCGAGGGAGAGCGTCAGGGGCTTTTCGCAGAGGATGTGTAGATTAAGAGGCGCGATGGCGTGGAGGATCTCGGCGTGCGTTTCGTCCAGCGTGCAGATGAAGACGCCCGTGACGCCGACGGCGGTGCTGTGCGGGTCGTTGCGCCGACGCTGCTCCCACTCGAGCCATTCGCGCCAGTCGCTGAAAGACTGGCCGTTCTGTGGCTCGCCCGTGCCCCAGATGAAGTTGCGGCCGAATTCGGTGCGCTTGAAGGCGTGAGGCTCCGCGACGGCATGGATGGTTCCTGGCGTGGCACTGGTCACGGCGCGGCCGTAGGCGACGCCGCGGGAGCCCGCGCCGATGACGAGAAAGCGGAGAGGTTGTGGCTGGTGGGAGCCGGTCATGGTGGTGGTGCGGTAGAGGGAAAGGGAGGGAGGGAAAGGGAGGAGGTGAGGTGAAGATATGAAGATATGGAGGAGACGAGGTAGTATCAGAATGCGGGGAGACGGCACCGTGACATGTGCAATCGGCGCGCCGTAATTGGCGGAGCTTAACTATAAATAACGATCTACACAATTACCCTTTTCGGGCATTTCAAAGCAACCGCTACGGAGTATCTAGTTAACTTCCTGGCAGACGCAATCAAATGCATAATCGGGGTATCCATAAGCATCACTAATTACACAATCAACAGTCACACAGAAGGCCTCACAACCCTCCTGCGCAAACCCTATCCACAGAGGCATCTATGTACAGAGCAACCTCGTGACATATATACCAGGGAGTTGCACCGGAGGCAAGTATTAGGTTGGTAAAGTTTGTAGTCGAAGAAGAATATTACTTCAGATGCTTTCGGTAAACCGGCTGCCCCGACTCCCGTCAAAGCTCGGGTGGCTGCGGCCCAGCAGATCCGGTCGGGGCGGGATACTCGGAGGGAGGGCGCTCGACGGCTGCGGGATCACATGCGAGACGTTGGGCTCATTTGAGAGACTCACATTCGACGACCCTGCGATGGGCGTTCGAGCAGGCGATGGGCGGAAGATCACCGACTCCTCCGCCTCCCGGGTGTAGCTGGCATCCAGCGGTATGCCGTACGGATGGGTGGGCGGTGGTTGGGACAGCGACGTCCGAGGTTGAACAGGCGGCGATGAGGGGAAAATGCTGCTGGGCTCCGAGACCGTCGGGGACGTTTCGCCGAAAGGAGCACCGCCATATCCATCTCCGCCGGACTGCAAAACAGAGGGGATTTTCCGTCCAGCGATCTTCTGGAACCCACGCTCGCTGCTGGATGAGAGGGTGCTATCCGTGCGTGTCGTATGGTTCGATTGTCGCCAACGCTTCACAAACGCAGGCGCGAAATATGAGGCCGTGAAGAGCGGGTCGTTGCTGGATCGTCGGGAGGCCATCTCGGCAGACCGTGGGGCGGACTCATGGCCCGCTGCGGCGCCCGTTCCTTCGTTGGACGGGAGGCCGCGTGGCTGCTGAAACGCAGCTTTTCGCCGTTTGAACAAGAGAAGCGCCAGGACGATCAACATGACAATGCCAGCTACCCCTCCAACCACACCCCCGGCAATCTTTCCTTTGGTTTCGCTGTCAAGGGAGCTGCCGGAGCCTGCAGCGGCAGTGGTGGTCGCGTAGGGGGTTTGGTCCATCCCTGTAGTGGCCGTGCCCGTAGCCGTACCTGTCCACGACCCGCCGCCTCCGGCCCCGTTCCAGCCGCCTCCACCAAAATAAGTAGTGGTTGTTGAAGTAATGTCAGTCGTTGTTGTCGAGGTTATGGACGGGGTCTCTGTCGTTGATAGGGACGTTGTGGTGGTAGTGCTAGAGTCCGACGTGGACGTCTCAGTCGAGCTGAGGGTTGTTGAGGCGGGAGTGGTGGTGGTGGGGGGGATAGCGCTGGACTGAGTGGTCTCCGAGGTAGGTAGCGGTTTGCTTGAAGTGAGGGTGTCTGTCGATGAGGAGACAGGCGTGGTAGTGGGTGCTGACACAGAGGAAGTCGAGGATTCGGAGGTGACCGTTGTCGAAGTCAAGTCACTGCTAGTCGTGTCCACCGGGGTCTTTGTCGACGAAGGAACTGCGGTGGAAGTAGTTGCGGCGGGCGAAGTGGTGCTAGCCCCGGTAGAGCTGTCCGAGTTTGCCGTGCTGCTCTCCGACGGTGTAGTGGCCTCCGACGTTGCTGCCGGGATGGCGGTGGTCGGGTTCGCCAGAGTCGTTTGGGCAGCACCCCCCATATCAGGAACTACAGTTGCCTGCGTCGTTGTCTGATCCTCCGGTGTAGGGGTCTGGCGTTTTCCCAGCCATTGGCCCCGATCGCTCTGCGCAAACCGAGTGTCCCGAAAGTCGCGGTTGATTTGATCGTTGGAGCCACTTGACCGCCCTTCGAGGGAAGGTTGATGTGCCCCGATACCGCTGTGAGTGTGTACTGGCCGGTTCCTCCTCCCCAGGCGGCCAAACCGCGGGTGACGGATCACGCCGTGGTGGGCCATCTGGCTATGGCGTTTTGCAGTACGGTGATGGCTTGTCGAATGTCAATGGAGAGTATATGTGGGTAGAATTGAAGAATATGGACGTGACGAAGGAGATTGGATATGTAGATGGCTGAACCGGTCGCGGTATGGAATCGAAATGGGCGAGAAAGGTGCCTGCCTGCACAAGAAGAGAGTGTGGTGAAAAGAGAGCAGAACGAGAAGAAACGAAGGCGTCGTCGGATGAATTTTCCGTAGAGGGAGTGTGAGGCTCTGCCGGAAGCAGAAGCGCTGAATTGCGATGCGATGGACAAGGAGTGGACGTCAGTTGCAACGGCAACCGACTGAGACGAAGGGTTGAGAAGGAAGAAGCACGGCTAGAGATGCATGAATCTGGTATTGAGGGTCAGCGGGATGGCACGAAGCCATTGACGGCACTTGGGCATCAATTGAGACTATTGAGAGGACTAGGGGAAACGCACAGGATGCAAAGAAGTAAACAAGGTGACGCGAATGGAAAGCTAACCCCTGATGGTATTGTCTTCTGGCGTGGGGAGTCGCGAATCGTTAATCCATTATCCTGGTCACCACCGAAAAACATCGACAGGTTCCGGATGGGACGAGACGGATGAGACGGGGTCCAGGCCAGGATCGCCGAGCTTGTTGCCGTTGGGACGAGGACGATGGGCGGTTCGGGATCCACGTTGACACCCAGGTGCCGGACCCAGGGACTCTCTCGACGCCGTTCCGTGGTCGTGAAGATGAGAGTGATGGCGGGAGGGAGAGAGAGGGAGGGAGGGAGAGATGAGAGACGGGAGACGGGAGAGAGCAGAAGACGGACGAGGAGACCGATGGATGTCAGGTGGCTAAGAATAACAACAACAAGAGATGGATGGATTCGGATGGTCTTAGACTTGCAGCGTTAGCGTCGATGAGGAGCGGTTTGGACTTGCACGGTGATTCTATGATTTTCTCCATTTGATTGGGAAACCTCTGCAATCGCTTGCCTACTCTATCCCTGGGTAGCTTTCGACTATTAATCCTACGTACAAAGTGAGGCTCTAATTCGGTCTCTCATTTTGATGATGCTTATGGAGTACTTTCAGGTACATACGGAGTACATGCAAAATGCACACTGCAGATGCAAAAAAAGAAAAAGAAAAAAAAAATGCAAAATGGAGACCCGGGCGGGGAAGGACTCCCATTGGCGGGCCAAGCCCGAGTTTAATGAGGCCGTCTCACCATCATTTCCGCTCATTTCCCCTTCCGACCAGTCTAGCCTCTTCGACCAGACGACATCCCGCAAGGGGCTCAGAACGCCATGCTCATCATCCGCAAGGAGGACAATGACACCTGAGATGAAAGGAACTATTGACTTGGTGACTGACAGGTCACCCTCTAGCTTACTATTTCAGTACCTGAAATTCCATCGCTGGAATGGAAGATTCGAGGAATGGTCCGTGGGGAGAACCCGAAACCTACGGGAAGCCTATAGAACATCGTGTAACATCCGAGTCCACCAAAGAGGGAATCCAAGGAATCGAAGGAGTCGAAGCGTCACGTGAAATATCTATGCTGGGCTCCGCATCGAAAGGAAACCCAAGTCCTCGTCACCAACAGCTACCTACCTAAGTACATATGCACCGAGGCTCGTCCCCCGGCTACCTCCATCCGTAATGCAGATGTGTCAAGGCCCAAAGCATTGAAGAGAAACAAACAGCTAAACAAACACAAGCGTCACACCCACCCGGTCAACGCTGCGGATACTATGGGGTATTAATAACGGACTGGCGGTCATAGCCACCAACTCAGAAGGTCTCCAGTTCTTCGGCGGCGCCCTCCTCGGCCTCGGCGGGGATCTCAAATCCTTCCTACATGGGGTCAGCTTCCAACATCACACCGATACCGGAACGACAAAGCACTGAATCATACCTCCGTCGAGTACAGGATTCCCTGGATGTGCTTCACCAGCGAGTCTTCCTCCTTCTCCAGCTCCGGGTCCTGCTCAATGGCGCTCTGCAGCAGCAATTCAATGTCCCGTAGCTTGGCGAAATAGAAATCGCGCTCCTTCTCTAGTCCCGCAATCGCCTCCTTCTGGCTGTTGATCTCATTCTGCAGGGCCACCGTGCTGGGGGAAACACCACCGCCCGCCGCCCGCGGACGAGCCCCAAGGGTCGGGGTCGTGCCACGGCGGGTCGCTCCTGCAGAGCCGGCACCCGCGCGAGGCGCACCGGCCGAGACAGGGGGAGCCCCAGAGGCCTTGCGACGGCCCACAGCATCGTAGTCACCACCGGGGTAGTGCTGATCCCAGAATTTCTTGGTCCACTGGAGGAACTCCAGGTTGTCTTGCATGCGGCATTTCGAAAGTTGCTGGACAGGAATGGGCTTCTCGATCTGGTGGCGGGCAAACACATCTGTTAAGGGAAGGAAGGGGGGTTAACGGAATCGCTTCGCGTACGCGGGTGATCCAGGGTCCCTACTCTGAAGAATCTTGAAGTTCTGCAGATAGGCGTATTCAGTGTTGACGTTGAACTTGACGCGAGACATGGGTACGTCCACTGGACAAGGAAGATGCGGATGTCAGTTATCCAAGCCGATCGGCCGGAGGGGTTTGCGGGGGTCTCACTGTATATCGAATCGAAGATCTGACATAACGCAGCACTGTACGATTCCCGTTGTCAGACTGTGTTCTTGTATAATGGATAGGCCATCTGATCCATCATGCAATGTTGTCCAACCCCACCGGACAACGTTGATAGCCTCCCAGGAGGGAAAGAGTCCAGGGAGTGAAGAAAGGGATCGGAGCGTACCCAGTACCGCACTGCTCAATCTTGGTGAGGTTCAGCTGCAGCAGGCTGTTGATCCATGCCAACAGCTCTTGTCTGTCATGGTGAAAACAGACGTCAGTCACTAGGCCAGACGGGAAGAGGGGATCCGACGAACCTAGATTCGCCCATGGTGGGGTAGTGAAGCGATGATGAAATCGGATAGGAGGTAGAGAAAAGTGCGGAAGGATGCAATGGACGGATGAGAGAAATATAAGGCACGGAGCGGCCAGGAGATCAGAGTACCGGGGAAAGTTGGCCTGTTGTTTATGGCGTAGAGAATGAGGCAAGCAGGAGGATTGTTTTGTTGCTGTCGCCAAAACCCACGGGTCCGTTCAGGCGCTAACCCCCGTTGGCCAATCACAGCCCTCGCCGCCTTAACGACCACTTCTGCCTCAGGCAGCTACAAACATCATAAAAGGAACCATATAGAACTAGGTGTATCAATTCAAAAATCGCTAGCCAGTGTATGCATCTGATATCTCCAAACTCCATAAAGGGTCCCCATAACTCCAATCCGAGACTTTTCCCAGTCAAATCCAACGACAAAGCAAAAGCAATTCTATAGAGTCTCTGTACATAGCTTACTCTTCTAGCAGCTCAATTCCATCCAATCCATAGCCAAAATCCATAATCACCGCACGGGAATCTTGACTAGTCGCCACAATGCGGCGATAGTCCGACTTGACACTCAACATCCAGCTGGTGGTCCACCCCGGGAGGTCAATGGACAGCTCCCCGGTCTGAGAGTCGAAGACTTTGACGCTCATGTCATAGCTGCCGCTGACGATCCGCTGGTTCATGCTATCCAAGTGCAACGACCGGACTAGCCCCACCTGCCCCTTGAGCTCGCGCACCATGTCCCCGGTATTCGCATCAAATTGGTAGATGACCTTGTCATTACCACCGGTCAAGATGGTCCGAGCATCGTCACTGAACTCGACACATGCGAGGCCCCGATCCTTGCTGGGAAACTCTTTGACGCAGAGTCCCGATGTGATGTTCCACAGCTTGGCAACCCCGTCTCCACTGGCGGAGACGATCAGATCGCCACGGAGCTGGACCGCATTCACGGGGCCCCGGTGACCGAGGAGTTTCTTCAGAAGGGCGCCGGAGTGTCGGTCCCAAACGCAGATGGTACTATCCTTCGAACAAGACACAATGTAGCGGTCGTCAAAACAGACATCCAGAACACCAGAACTGTGACCCTCCAGGCGGCGAATAGGCTTGTAGTCATTGTTGATATCCCACACGATGCAGGTGTAATCGGAAGATCCGGTAACCATAATCTCCTCATCAAATTGCAAGCATAGGATCGATGCACTGTGGTGATCAGTCACCTGGCCCGCGGGAGTGGTAATGCCTGCCGGCAGCTTGGGAGGAGGGTTGATGGTAAGAAACGGCGGCTTCCCAGACGACTGTTGCGCGGTGGGGTTGAACGGTGGGATCCCAGATACATCTGCAGGAGGAGGGCCAATGACTTTGCGACAAGACCAGGGGTAATGAGCATCCCATACTCTGATCGTTCTATCGCGGGAACCGGTGATGATTTTATCCCTGCAGGAATACAAGTCAGATATGGGGAGACAAGATTGGGTGATCAAAAACATACTCATCAAACTGGGCACAGTATACGCTGTCAGTGTGTCCATGTAGATAGATCGCCGCGGCCTTTCCTTCCTTCCACCGATGCTCCAAAGCACGACGGACGAGAAACATTTTCTTCCAATCCTGGTTGGGGATGTTCTTGCCGAGCCCAGCGGATTGTTTCTTTTTCGATGGCGATTCTCCGGGTCGGTGGGTTTGATGAGCGCGACGATACACACGTTTCCAGACAGTCTGGGAGGAGGCCTGCTCCTTCCACGCGTGAGAGACGAGTTCCGCCTGCATGAGAGACTGGGGATCAAGGTTGGAGAGGATCTGCGAGATGATCTCGGTGGGGAAGTGGGCTGTCGGATCGAGACGGACTACCGCAAATTCTGTGTCCGACATCTCTGAACGGTCTCGCAGATCAATGCCAATCCCGCTCTCCGCATCATGGGTCAAACGCGTATCAGACAGTTTTCTGCCATCACGCTCCATCTTCACCAACTCGTTCTGGGCCGCCGCGGCAGCCCGCGCTGCGGCTCCGGCGTAGATATCATTGGGAAGGATGGGAGGCTCTAGGCCATTCCCGGGGATGGGAGCAGGGACGGAGGCGGTCGGGGCATAGAATCCATGGAGAGCCGAGACGCTGTTCAGTGATGGACGACGGTTGATGCTGCACCAAGTGTTTCTTGTGCGCGGTGCATTTTCCCGCGGACCGTCGATATGATCCTCCTCCTGGCTGTGATGAAGGTTGTGTTTAGAAGACTTGTGTCGAATTGACACGGACAGACGACGACCAAGAGCCCGCAGCCCGTCGACCGGGTGACGCAGGTTGGAGAAACTTTTGGCACTTCGACGCCGGGGGGCAGGCTGAGGGAAGTGGTTCATCTCTTCCAACACCTGGCTTTCGTCCTGGACGCCATCCACGACGGACAGTTCATGCAAGACACCGCGTTCCATGCTTGTTGGTTGGCCGGAGGAGACTGTAGCGGTGCGAGGGCGGGTTCTGATCGAGAAAGAGGGACGTCGCGGCGTCATGGTGGACGGAAATAAGGATATGTGAAAGGATGGCTAAAGGGGGAGTCTAAGTGGATCGGTTATATAGTGACAGGCGAAACTCCGTGTCGGAGCAGCTGAGACAGTGCACCAAGGGAGCCAGCAAGGGCGATGGTGGGGAGGTTGGAGGAAGTATGTACTGCGAAACGGAGGGTCGAGGGGGCGCCTGTGGAGGGCACGACGGTAGGGACGGTTGACAGACAGCAGAAGCGGGCGAAAGAAGACGACAGACTGACGACAGACTGCTGCTGGCCGAACCACGAACTATTAAGAGAAGTATATAAGAGAACGAAGGATGGAAAGAGGGAGATTGTGGATCAATGCAAGCGATAAGGGCATAAATCCACAAACAGAGAAAAACAACAGCGCACAGACGGAAGAAAAGGATGAAAGAAGGAAGGAAATGGAAAGGAGCGCTGACACGACAAGAAAAGAAAGAAGATCAATTGCGGTGATGAAGTTTCAGGGGAGAAAAAAGGAGCAAAACTTATCGGCGGGCGGTGAGGCTGGATTTGCCTCCCAGTCCGACTTGCCGATTCGTCTGGGGAAGAAAATTAGTATTATTCTTATGGATTAAAGAAGCAAACCAAAGTCTAAGTTGTCCGCCCAACGCACCGCCATCGCCAATCGGACGCCACGAGCATGCCTGAACGCCATCCGGGTGGCGGACTCCATTCCCTGGTGGGAGCAAAGTTTGCACTGCAGAGATTTAGTACCGAAGGAATGTTCACGAGAGTAATAAAAATATAAATCATAATGATAATAATAATAATTTGAGGCAATTCTTCGAAGAAAGGAAGATGTTGGGCTGATTCAGCTTATGGCAGAGGAGCCCAATGAACAATGCAATGGCTACTCAAGCACAGCATGGCTACCTAACATGACAAAGGTAGATAATATTACTAACGGTCTATAAATAGATGAATAAGTGACAGTCTCTTCTTTGTGCAACAAGACACCCTGATCATGTTCATATATCACCACATTGTATACTAGGTAGGTATCAATTGGATCTGGCGATCTTGTTCCACCATCGGACTGCCGCCCCCGTGGGGATGTCAATCCTCACGATCTGATCCACTCGTGCCGCAGAGGAGTACAGAGTAGATGAATGGGTTGCGTTCTAGCATTTGACAATTCTTCAAACATTGTTAGAAAACATCATAACCTATGCATCCAGGCTATATAGTGTCCGATTGACTCTCCAGGTGAGAAATATATAAAGGCTAGTGATGATGGGTGGAATGTATGTATTCAGAGTATCTATGCAACACAACAGAAGATGAACAAAAGAACAATGCATAGAGTGCGTAGTAGTACAGGTAGTAATTATGCAGCAAGAGTACCCTGGGGTTGCCATGAGGACCTTGATGACCATACGGAGTATAACAACATCAATTACTACCATATCACCTACCACACTACCCACTAACCAAACACCTTATCATACCCCGTCAACGTGAACCGATAGTGCACATCACCCTTCTTCATGCGCTCCATTGCTTCCTTCAAGCCCTCCTCCCCAATCTGTAACTCCTCCACCCATCCCTTCAACCCTTTGTCCGCCGCCAGCTGGAGCATCGCCAGCATCTCGCGTCGGCTACCCAAGTGACTGGCGCCGATCAACACTCCGTTCGAAATCAGGTTCTGCGCCTTGATGACCTGGCCCTCCTCCTCGGGCAGACCGACACTGATCCACCGACCATGCACATCCATCATCGACAGGTACTTGGCCAGGTCGAAGCCCTTGGATGAATTGGCACAGTTGATGATCAGATCAAACGAGCACAGGTGCTCCTTCTCCCAGCCCTCCTCCGCCGTCGCAATGTATCCGTCTGCGCCCAGCTTGCGCGCATCGGCCTCCTTCGCCCGCGACCGTGAGATCGCCCACGTCTCCGCCCCGAGCGCCTTGGCGAACATGACGCCAAAGTGGCCGATCCCGCCCAGTCCGACGATGCCGACCTTCTTGCCGGGGCCGCAGCCGTTGCGCACCAGCGGCGAGTACGCCGTCAGTCCCGCACACAACATCGGCGCCACTAGGTTGGTCTCCAGCTGCTCGGGGATCGGGAACACCCAGTGCTCGTGGGTGCGCACGTGCGACGAGTATCCGCCCTGGCTGACGATGCCCGTGTCCGGCCACTCCGCCCCGTACGTGTCGATCATCAGGTGCGGGCAGTACGTCTCGTTGTCGTTCTTGCACTGCTTGCACTCGCCGCACGAGTACGACTGCGCGCCCACGCCCACGCGCTGGCCCTCCTTGATCAGCGTGACCTTGGGACCGACCCGGATGGCGCGACCGATGATTTCGTGGCCCACGCAGAGAGGGAATTTCTGATCACCCCAGCCGCCTGTGTGGATTAGCGGCGCTCTGCGTGTTGGGGATGGTATGAGAGGAAGTACCGCTGATGGTGTGCACGTCGCTTCCGCAAACACCGCAAGCTTCGATCTTGACGTCCACATCTGTCTGATGTCAGTCCCGTCTGAAACGTGCTCGTGTGGGCGGGGGGTATGAACATACCATAGTCGCCGAATGGCTTGAGTTTGAACTACGCCCCGCTGTCAGATCATGGCCCTGCATGGATTCATGGAATGAAGCTACGTACAAACCGCTTGTGGAAGGTGGTGTAGGTGGCCGGGCTGTCCACCTGGAAACCCTCAGCTTCTTCAGGGTAAGGCATTTGAATGTGTCGGATCTGTGGACGGCAATGAAACGCTCGCAGGTCACAGGGGAGATACGAGAAAAAGAGGGACGAAGAAGACTGGACTAACCCCTCCCTGGACGAGAGCCGATCTTTATACCTGCCCGCAATTAAGCCAGCCGTCCACTGTTGCGGACCCATGTGGTATCGCGTTGTACCCGGCTGATTTTGACTCTCCAGTTCTACGAGATGCACCCTTCCGCATGGCCATTCTTCCAGACATCATGTTTTCGTTGAAGCAATATACTAAACCAGCACAAGCCCATTCTAACTCTCCAGCCGTCCTTCCTTCCTTTGAAATGCAGGAAGCAGCACGGAACACAGAACATCCCTCACGAGCCCATACCCGTCTTTTGCCGTATTTACACGGCTTCATCTGCGTGCAAGCCAACGGACCGGAGGGAAATTTGTACCCCACGACAAGAAATCCTTATCAGTTTAGGGACCCCTCGTGGTGACCCATCGGGAGAATTTATCCACCTATGAACGTGGCAAACATCGTGGCGCCGTGGGGGTCGGCCTTGCCCCGGTTTTGACGGCGGGGCTGCGGCAATCTGGCCGAGCTTATGGATTTTTCTTGCTCTACAAACCATTCCGTACCATTCACGAGAATCGCACCGCTCCCATTGAGTTCTTTTACATAATACAGCTACAGCGTTGCCCATCCAGAAATACTCGAAACAATACAATTTGATACATCATCAATCATAATCTATGGTGCAACATCCGGCAGGGTCTTCTCCACCTCCATCGCATCCTTGATCTTATCGGCAATGGCCTGCGCTTGCGCCTCGCTCAGGCGACCCAGCGGCCGACGCGGATACCCACCGTAGCCGTAGTAGCTCTGAATGGCGCTCTTGGTGCCGGGGATGGCGGCTTTGGTGAGCACCCAGTCGGCGGCGCTGAGGAGCTGCTGCGTCTCCATGGCCTCGGCGAAGCGGCCGGCGCTCCAGAGGGTGAAGATCTGCACACACAGACGGGGGAGGACGTTGGCGCCGCCGGCGAGGATGGCCGAGCCGCCCGAGGCCAGCGTCTGCAGCGAGAAGTCGGCGATACCGCCGAAGGCGACGTAGGGGTGGTTCTCGGCGGGCTTGGGGGAGGCGGCGGGCTTGCGGGCGGGGGCCAGCGGCGAGGGCGGGGTGATGGCGTTGAGGGCGGCAGCGACGCGGGTCAGCTTGCCGGTGTTGGCGCAGGTGAACTTGGTGCCGACGATATTGGGGTGCTGGGAGATGCGGATGATGAGGTCGGAGTCCATGTCGATGCCGGCGACGGCGCCCGGGTAGTTGTACAGGATGACGGGAATGGGGGATTTGTCCGCGACCGCGGTGAAGAACTCGTACAGCGTGTCGTCATTGCCCACGGCGTAGCGGTAGTAGCTGGGCGGCACGATGAGGGCGTACTCGGCGCCGGCGGAGGCCGCCTCGGCGCACAGCTCGATGGTGCCGCGGATGCTCTGCTCGCTGCAGCCGGCGATGACGGGCACGTTGGCGAACCCGGCGTCGACCAGGGCAGTGCGCGTCTCGCGGATGACGGTCTGGCGCTCCTCGCGGGTCAGATGCACGGCCTCACCGTTGGAACCCATGCACACCAGCCCGACGAGCCCGGCCTTGGCCAACCGCACGGCGTGACGGCGGATGGTCGGGGTGTCGAGGTCCTCAGTGTCGGGATTGAAGAACGTCATGGTGGGAGCGTAAACTCCGGGACGGAGGGGGGTGCGAGCAGACATGCTGGGTTTAGAGTCAGTTGCTGATTGAGGTCGTAGGTAGAGGTAAGTATACTTACGCGGATGTTGAAGGAGATAGATGTACCTAGGAAGATACTGGTATGATGTGGTTATGGAAGGCAAAATGCTCCGGGAGAAGTTGGATATAAGTGTAGAATCCGTCAACCCCCACACCATTCAGGCTATTACCATCATACAAAGGTACTAGCAATAATATTATTCCCCCGCAGTCATAACCATTCATCGTTATTGATCTGAAGCCGAAATTCCTCCGCCATTCGACGGACTATATTATTCCGCCAATCAGCAGCCATCGGGTACAGCGTTTCCTTTTTCGGGCTCGGGGTATCAGTTCCCGACAGCACCACAGCGTCTTTTTTGCATTGTGTTCAGTTTACAGAATGGGAATAAGTATAGAATATGGAAAACTGATAGAATAGAATTATATGTAGTAATCAGAAAAGCTCCTGGTATCCTATCGAATTCAGCCCGGAAGTGTATATAGTAGGTACCTAAGGCTCCCTCAGGCGATCGGCTATTGACTCGTCCCAAACAGGCAACCTGATGGGGGGATTCTTCCGGCGCGCCAGAATTAAGATCCAACATTTCTCCAGCCAGCTCGTCGCCATGCGCTGTTCTTCCTCTTCCTCGTCTCCTACTTCAACCGTCCTCTCCTCCTCTCTCTTCTCATACCTCTTCCCTCCCACCTAGACCTCCAGCACCCGTATCCTCCCCTCCAAGCTACCCCGCATCAAGCATCATCAGATCACAATGGCGCCTCCCAGCGTGTTAATGGTACGTCTACGCCTCCACCACACCGTAACAGACATTGACAGGCAGCAGGTAGGCACGGGCGAGTACACCACCGGCTACGTTGGCGGTGGCGCCTCGGGCTCCGACAAGAAGGTCGGCGTGGTGGGGTTGACGCTGTTCGACCTGCGCCGTCGCGGCAAAGTCGGCGACCTGAGCATGGTAGGCGTCTCTGGACGCAAATTCCCAGGCATCCGTACGTTACGTCCATACCCCAATGCCCCAGGCATAACGCCCGAGACAACGCACCTAACACGCGCCAGGCGCACACCTGCAAAAGAACATCTCAGAGGTCTACAACAACCTCGACACGAGCTTCACGTCCTACCCCGCGGACGACCAGACAGACCCGGACGCCTACAAAACCGCCATCGACGCCCTCCCCGCCGGCTCAGCCATCACCATCTTCACGCCGGACCCGACGCACTTCCCGATCGCGCTGTACGCGATCCAGCGCGGCATCCACGTCATGATCACCAAGCCCGCGACACAGCGGCTGGCCGACCACCTCACGCTCATCGCCGAGGCGCGCAAGCACGGCGTCTTCGTCTTCGTCGAGCACCACAAGCGCTTCGACCCGGCCTACTCTGACGCCCGCGCCAAGGCCCGCACCCTCGGTGACTTCAACTACTTCTACAGCTACATGAGCCAGCCCAAGTCCCAGCTCGAGACCTTCAAGGCCTGGGCCGGCCGCGACTCCGACATCTCCTACTACCTCAACTCCCACCACATCGACATCAACGAGAGCATGGTCCCCGACTATGTGCCGGTCAAGGTCACCGCGTCCGCTAGTAAAGGCACCGCCGTGGATCTGGGGTGTGTGCCCGAGACGGAGGATACCATCACGCTGCTTGTTGAGTGGCGCAAGAAGGATAACCCCGCGAAGGTCGCCACGGGCGTCTACACGGCCAGCTGGACGGCTCCGCAAAAGGCCGGCGTGCATTCCAACCAGTACTTCCACTGTGCGTTTTCCCCATTGCTATCTGAAGACAGGACTGATGGTGTGTAGATATGGGCTCCAAGGGCGAAGTTCGCGTCAACCAGGCCAAGCGTGGCTACGACGTCACCGAGGACGAGCAAGGCCTGATCTGGGTGAACCCGTACGTTCCCGTTCGCTTTTAGTTCTGGTGTAGATGCGGGCTTTGACTGACTGACCGCAGATTCTACATGCGCTACGCCCCCGACGACGAAGGCAACTTCGGCGGCCAGACCGGCTACGGCTACGTCAGCTTCGAGAAGTTCATCGACGCCGTCACCGCGCTGAACGAGGGCCGCGTCACCCTCGACCAGCTGGATGCCCGCCCGCTGCCCACGCTGAAGAACACCGTCGCCACCACGGCTATCCTGCATGCAGGACGCATCTCGCTGGACGAGAACCGGTCTGTGGAAATCGTTTCCGATGGCGGAAAGTGGGAGCTCAAGTAGTGTGTTGTCTATATTAGGATCTTGTCCATGCCATGTAGTGTTTACCTGTGATGCTATGAAGAAAGCGTTTTGTATGAAGAAATCAATCAACGTAGCAAGATACATCGCCAGGCAAAATCCTAAGAACGCCACGCTCCGCCGCCAGCATACACCCGATCAAAATGCGAAAGCCGCGCACCGACAAGGAACAAACCAATAACTAGCCGCAATATCATGGTCTCATCAACACAGCAGTATCAGTATTGACCAGCATATCCGAAGTGCCCAGCTCACCGGCGAGAGTTCTTCACAATCCCATCCGAGCCCTTGTGGAACTTCACCCGGCACTCGGGACAGTACCATTTGGCCGTTCGGCTGGGGACCTCCGACAGCCCGACGCAGTCCAGGTGGAACCACTCCCGGTCGCACTGGGGGCAGCAGTTAGCATGCAATGCTTTCAACATCTCCAGGGTAAGGGCCGTCACTTACGTCTGGGTTCTCGCAGCAGATCATCGTGCCGAAGCTCACATCGCCGCAGAGACAATATCGTGGTTCATTGGGATCAATCTCTTCCAACACTCCATCTTCGTCAATGCGGATGTCTTCGCGTGTGCCGCCGTCCTCACCCCCCTGCTCGCGCGAGCCCAGCCGTTTCTTCCCCGGCTTGGCCTTCCGCCGGCCGTAACTGACCGCCGCACCGCCATCCTGGCCGGACGAAACGGGCCCTGGAGCAGGTCGCTTTCGGCGGCGGAAAGGTGCGCTCGCGCTGCCGGCCCGGACGGTCTCCGGGATAGGGGACTTGCGCGCCGGAGTCGCGCTCTTTCGTCGGAGCTCTCGTCCAGGGTGTGAGGTTGGCTCCGCAGATGCGGCAGTAGAACGTCGAGACGAGGGCCGAGTCACCGGAGGTGTACCAGTGCTGCTTTTGGGCGCAGAAACGGTCGGTGCTGGTGGAATGGAGCGCTTCGGCTCCGTCGGCGAGGCTGGGGTGGGGGCTGGCTTCGACGTATCCACTGCTTCAGGAGCCGCGACGGGGCCCGCATTGGCTGCCGCGCTGGACACGTCGGCGTTGGTCTCGGGGGGTGATGGTGATTCCTTACCCACCTTCCGGCGTTTGGCGGAGCTTCGCAAAGAGGAGCGGGTCTCGACCTCGGCAGGAGTCGAAGCCGCCACCGGCTCCGGCGCGGCTGTTTCGTCCAATTTGCGTTTTCTGGAGGGTCGACTCGATTTCCCGGCGGCTGGAGCATCCTGGCTGCCAGCACCGTTCGCGGTGCCCTTTGCGTTGCCTCCAGCTGCGGCAGCTGCGGCAGCGGCCGCGGCCGCGGCCGCTTGTTCCCGTGCTTGGTTCTCACGCTTGAGTTTCTTCGCCTCGTTCAGCTTCATACCCCGGTTGCTCAGCTTGGGCTCGAAGAAGCCCTCTTCGATGTCATCGGGGGCGTCGCTGCGCTTGGTGAGTTTTCCGGGAATATAGGTGTTCATGATGTCGTCGCAATCGATGAACTCGGTTCCTTTAGCTTCCGCCTCAGCTTTCGCAGCGCGGTACGCTTCCCAGCCGCGCCCACGGAGAGCCAGTTCGCGGTGGATCATGACCTCACTGGGCTGCCAGACAGCATTCTTCTTCATCTTTTTGCGCAATTTTGTCATTTCCCACTCCGTCAGACGCAGCCATGGCATATCTTCACTGCCGGGTTTGGCATCTTCCGGCGGGGGATTCAACATGGCCAGGGCATTACTCGTCGACATACTGGCCACCCCACTGGGGGCATTGGTGGCCACCCCAGATGTCCGAGAGCGGCGGCTCGTTTTTGTTTCCTTCTTGTTTGGCGTCGGAGCCGGCTCAGGTCGCGACTCAACCGGCGACACCTTGGGCTCGGCCTCGGCATCGGAGTGCTCAGTGCTGGCAATCGGCGAATCGGGGTGCAGACCGGCTAGATGACTCGAGATCACAGAGCGGCGCGTCCTCGACTTCTGCGCGGGCGCGGCACTCCGGGCCTTGGTATCACCGCCGTCCAGGCGCAGAGTAATACGCGTTGTAGGGGCTGGACCTTCGTCGGCTTTCTTGGCGCGGCGCTTGGAGCTGGGAACGCCCTGTGTGGGAGGAGTGGGCTCGCGCGACTCAGGTTTCGGGAGCGCATGGAGCTTTTGTGTGATGCAGTCGAGACGATTGAAGTGGCGATCGACGACCTCGTAGAGGCGACAGGCTTCGGCGTACGCCGATTCGCGAGCGTTGATCGCGCGGTCGAGCTGCGCGGAAATATCCTTGCGCAAGGTTTGCGCATCGGGCCGTCCATCAGCGGGGAGGTCGGGCAGTTGGCCATAGGTCTTGGTGAGGTTGTGCACGCCCTGCGCGGCTTCGAGGTAGCGTTCGTCCAGACCGCGAATCAGGGTGAGGGAGCGGATGATATCTGCGGGGAGGTATTCGGTGTAGTCAATGTAGTCGGTAACGGTCGCCTGAGCGTCTGGATCAAAGGGGCCATCCAGGATGAGGCCCCCGTCGCGAAAGTCGGACATGATTTAGAGGTGGAGGGAGAGGGAGAGATAGGAGATCGCGCTGGAGATAGTACTAAGACAACACCATGCGGGACGGTGCGGCCATGCAGAGAGAGGGAGACAAAAGATACATGGAATATGGACTTGAGACAGAGCAGGGAGGCCTGCAACAAGCACAGGATAAAAGGAAGTCTGCCGGAAGATTGAAGGCGTCTGTCTGGCGTATCTGAGGTGGTCGTTGGCGTTGATGTTGATGCTCGGTCCGGGCAATTATTATCCCGGATGAGTCAGCGATCGAGCCATCCTCAGGCAACAAGGCAGGAATGTCGCAAGAAGTATACAAACGGCAACTGAGGCATCACAATATGATAGAAGAAATCGGACTAAGCTGGCTGTTAGGTAAATTTAGTGGACTAATGTCTATAAGGGCAATTCACGCAGCACATTATTCATCACATCTGTCTTCATTAGCAGGTGAATTGGATCAGATGTATGCAGCGCCAGCATCTCTACCTATGTATCAGGCAAGAACAAACACAACTCTCTTTCTGTCTCACCTCAAATTCTCATTTTTCCTTTCATCTACCTCTCACCATTTCTTGCACTCTGTTTCTAAATCACTCACCCACCATGGACAGGAACGCCCTGCTCAACCTTCTCTTTGAGAAAGACAGCTTCCTTCTCCAGCTCGACACGGGTCTCAGGGCGAAGGCACCTCGACCAACTCCACAGTCCAGCCAAGTTGGCAGTGCGAGCCAATCCCAAATCTCCATACCTGCGCAGTCAGTGCAGCTCCAGCCCTCACAGCGAGAGTCTAGGGACCAAAATGGGGGTTCAAGTGCTGCCCAGGCCACTGAAGCAGTCTCCAGAGACATCGAAGGAAACACTACTCCCATCCCCGTCGTCCCCATCCAGGATGACAAAACCTTCTGTCCTCTGATGGCGGTCTCTCGCTTCCCCTACAGACACATCAAAGGAGAACTCTCCCAGACCGTGGCCCGTAAGTTCTTCGATGGGGGGAAATTCTGGGAACGAACTTGGGACATGTACGAATTGCCTATGTCCGTTGATATGCACCGAGCTAACATTATCCAGCTACTACATCCAACCTCCTTCCCGTGTCTCACCCCGTGCGCTTCTACTCGTGCCGGCAGACCAAGTCCGCGCGTTCTTCAAGGAAATCAACACAGCCTTACGGTGCAATTTGACTATCCCAGCGGAGAAACAGGGAATGCAGCTCACTTTCGACAATCCCAACCTTCCCAGCCCAAAATTCCTGGGCCAGTGTACCAGTCGGCAGATGAAAGACCGACTCGAGTCGCAGATCCCTCCTGGCTCAACCCGCCTCTCCGCGCCGTCTGGCATGGACGAGGAGTATCTAGCCTATGAGAGAATGCTTGATAGAGCTTGCAGCGCCACAAAGAACAAAAAGACCTCGAAAGCGAAGCAGCAATCCCGTCTCCAGAACCAAATACGCACGGTCGAGTGTCTCACCCGCCTGCAGAGCTACTTTGGGCTGCGGTCACACACAGACGAGACGCCAGCAGTGGACGGTGACATGACTTGGGCGGGCCAGACGTACAAGCAGATTGTCGCTGAGAATCACGACGTGACCGAGTCTGCCCGCACTCAAATACTGCTCGATGTAAACAAGCCTGTTCCCTATCTCTTCTGGAAAATGCCCATCTTCGTCTGCGTAGATGTTGAGGCCAACGAACGCCGCCACTCAGAGGTGACCGAGGTTGGCATCTCAATCCTCGACACGAAGGACCTTGTGGGCGTTGCTCCTGGCGAACAGGCGAGCCACTGGCGAAAGCATATGCGGTCTCGTCATCTACGTGTGAGCGAACACCGTCACATTGTCAATCGCATCTACCTCGCGGGCTGTCCGGAGCGGTTTGACTTTGGCGAGAGCGAGTTTGTCTATGAACGGGACTTGGGCGCCGCGGTGTTGGCGGCAATTCAACCTGCGGCGGTTCATGAGACAGGAAGTTCTGTGGGGACGGACGAATCGCGTCATCTAGTTCTGGTCGGACACAATGTCGCGATGGATATGCAGTATTTGCGCGAGATGGGCGTGCATATCGACCAGAAACCAGCGGGCACCGCGGGATTCATCGATGTGGTAGACACGGCGGATTTCTTCCGGATGCTTAGACGCGAAGAGACGCACCGGTCGTTGGCAAAGGTCCTCCATGAGCTGGAAATGACTGGGTGGAATTTACACAACGCGGGGAACGATGCGAGATACACCTTGGAGGTAATGGTCCGGCTTGTATTGGAGCATCGGGAGATGGAGGACGTGCCTAATTGAGGGACTTGATAGTGGTGTATTGAAACAGTCCTACATATTCCATAGTATGAATACCGAGTTCAAAGCTTGTCGAGAATAAGTTCGGAGCAGTGTTGACATGACCCATGGTTTGCTCGGGGTTTGTTAACGCCCGAGCTCACCACACATTAGCCCTAACTCGGGAATCTCTACAGTCCGAGAAATATCTCGACCCGACAAACAGCGCAATTCGACATAGAAACAAGTATGGTTCGTCCGTAAGACCAGAAATGACTATCAGCATGGGCCCACGACGTAGATATAAAAACGGCGACTCGCCGTGCATCCACATCTCATCTGTCGCTCTCATCTATACCCTTACAATAAACAACCTCTACGCAACACTATATCATCATATACCACCTCGTCCGACATGGACCAAGCACCAACCCCCCAAACCACACCCAACTCACCCCCACCGATAGCAATCATCGGCGGCGGGCCCTGCGGGCTGACCTTCGCCCGCTTCCTCGAACTCGCCGGTCTCGACTACGTCGTGTTCGAGCGCGACCCCTCGCCAGAACACACACCCCGATTCCAAGGCGGCACGCTCGACCTCACAGCCGAAGGCGGGCAAGCCGCCCTGCACCGCGCCGGCCTGACGACCGAGTTTGAGAAGCTCGCCCGTCGCAACGCAACCATCCTCACTATCCAGGACGCGCACGGGAACCACCGCACCACCGTCGGCGGCGCGGACAACAACCGCCCGGAAATCGACCGCCGCCAGCTGCGCCGGCTCCTGCTCGACTCGCTGCCGTCTCATCGCATCCGCTGGGGGAAGGCGCTGCAGCGCGCGGAGCTGGAGCCCAGCCACAAGGGTGCGGCGACAGCGCAAGACTGGGTGCTGCGCTTTGCGGACGGGACGAGCGAGAGCGGGTTCCGCTTGATTGTTGGCGCGGACGGGGCGTGGAGTAAACTGCGTCCGTTGGTGCGTTTCCCTTCCCTTCCTCCTCCTAACACCCTCCGTGCAGTGTGCCAGTGACGGAGAGCTGATGTATACAGTTAACCCCCGCGACACCGCAATACTCCGGCAAAACCTTCATCGAGGGCCGTCTCTCGCCCGGCAACCCGGCCTACGCCGCGGCCCTCGACATGGTTGGCGCAGGCAACTCGCTCGCCATCGGCGCGGGCCGCTGTCTCTGCGTGCAGCAGATGTCCGATCAATCGTACCGCGTGTACATGGGGGTCGCGGCGGCGGAGAGCCTGACGCGCGCGGGCGGCGCCGCCGACGTCGCGGATATGGCGAAGGCTCGGAGAACGGTGGAGGGCATGTTCGCCGACTGGGCGCCGCATTTGCGCGCGTTCGTCGCAGCCGCGGAGGAACCGTGGCGCCCGTGGCCGCTGTACCGGCTTGATGCGGATGTGTTTTTGCCCGGTGCGCAGTGGACGCGCACGCGGGGCGTCGTTCTCCTGGGCGATGCGGCGCATGTGACGACGCCGAATGGTGAGGGGGTCAATCATGCTATGCTTGATGCGATGGTGCTGGCGGAGCGGATCTGCGCTGAGATTGAGGGTGCGGATGGGTATGAATATGACCGGGAGAAGGACGCTGCGGCGCTGGAGCGCGCGATTGTCGCGTACGAGGCGGATATGTGGCCGCGGGCGCGCGAGACTCTGGTGGATAGCCTGGCCATGGAGGAGATGATGTATGTGGAGGACGGGGCCTTGCAGATGATCCGGATGTTTGAGTCGTTTAAGGATTTCAAAGAGGCAGCCTAGCGTATCTGGGCACTGGCTCCCAGGTTATATTGGGCTGTCATCGTTGTGTTGATAAGAGAGCGCCGCACTAGAGCCTTGAACAAGCAAACAATTGCATTTCTAGCAAGATATTGATTTCGCTAGAGCCTCGTACTAATACATAGTCCCATGCGCAAATCATCCCCGGAGAACAAGACTTGCTCCATCGTAGTAGAACGCATTGCTTCGACACTCTTGTCTTCACGGGAATGGGTGTCCGGAGGTTATTGTCAACCCGGATATCCACAATACAAGGGGCCCATTAGTATGTTCACACTTGGTCGCCTAGCGGTCATTTGTACATTTGACAGGTATTTCCGTCTCCTCGCTATCGTCCCCTTAGCTGAGCTCATGCTCCCAAGCCACCCAGGAATTGGGGTGTCGGGTGCATCTTCGTCCGAGTCCTCCCAATATAACCGCCCAAGCCATTCCTTTGCTCCAGCAAGACTAATGACTCTGGTCAGCATAAACTGCATGTCAAGAAGCGCTTTCGACGGTAGCGGCAGTCTTTCAGGATCCGTAGCGGAGAAGGTGAACCTATCATCGGTTCGAACAATCTGTTGGTCTCGTTGGCTGCCAATGCCATTCGATGCCGAGGGTGAGTGCTCTTTGAGTCAACGACTAGAAGAACACAGTCTTCTTTTAGAATAAACCTCAATTCCTTTAATTGTAGGATGTATGCACCACTTAAAGCAGTCGGAGAAGACGATGACAGTCCAAAAGACGTGGTACTGGTCGTCCGTGGAATGCAGGCGATCCAGGAGCTCTTCTCGGCTGTGACCGTTCGTTGTGCGCTTCATCGAGTGGGATTGGCCTGGTATGGCAAGTGATTAGGAGGATGAATCATGGTGTGAGCGGTCTAAACAAGATCCTTATAGTTGAGCTAAGTGCTATTAGCACTCACAAAATGGTAGGGTTATCTGTTGTTAGCCGGTATCGCTTGCAAGAATGCGACACGGCCGGCGCGCATAAGCGCACGGTTGGACGTCTTATTCTGTCTAACGACCGCCGAGTCGGAGACGATCGCGACAGGGTGCTAGTATATAGGCGTAAGACTCTTTAACCTTGGACCATTGGGGGTAATACATGTCTGGCGCGAACTGAGGAGGTAGTGGCAGGTCTAAGTGTTCTTGACTGATTGCATCGAGGAAGAAGCGGAACTGCGGCCGGACGCCCGATAGTGAAGGATTCTCCCAGAAGAATTTACCGTAGGAAATATGGTTGAGAGCTGAACGGGTCTTCTTCGTCGACTGTTAATGACCATTCGGCCGCGTGAATGCATACAATCCTAAATCGGGTTAGCCGACTTGCACTTAAAGCCAGGCGATCCGCCTGTTTACAATACCATTGATTGACTCGAGCGATTGGGGCCCATCTGGTCCAGGGCTTGCTGGTTGCTCAATTGGTGAATCCTCAGACGTCGGAGGATATGCAAGCATTGTATGTGCTAGGGCAGGGGTAGGGTAACTCTAAATCAGTGAATGGGCGATTTGACGTCACCCCACCACCCCACAATCCAAATAACCTCACTCACCTCACCTTATCCACCCTCTCATAACCCCAAGCAAAATGCAATTAACCACCCACCTCCCAACAACCCTCTCCCCGGAGAAGGCCACCACGCACCCCTTCCTCTGCGCCGCCGGAAAGGGCGTCCTGCCCGCTTCCACGCTCTCGCAATGGCTCTCGCAAGACCGGCTCTACGCACAGGCCTACGTGCGCTTCATCGGGCTGCTCCTCTCCAAACTGCAGCTCCCCGTCGTCCCCGGCGCGCCGTCACCCACCACGCGCGCCGCGGGCATCCTCATCGACGCGGTCGTGAACATCCAGCGCGAATTGCAGTTCTTCGAGGACGTGGCGCGGGAGTACGCGCTTGATTTGAATGCCGGGTCTGGCGAGGAGACGTTTGGTCCGACGCCCATCACGCACGCGTACATCGACATGTTCATGGCGGCGGGGAGTCCGGGCGTGTCGGTGCTGGAGGGTCTGGTGGTGCTGTGGGCGACGGAGGTGTGTTATCTGCGTGCGTGGCGGTATGCGGCGTCTTTCCTGGGGGAGAAGCCTGCAGGTGGGCGGGATGCGGATGGGGGCGCGCTCCGGGAGCGGTTCATTCCCAACTGGTCGAGTGCGGAGTTTGAGCAGTTTGTGGATAGTATCGGGGAGGCGGTGGATGCGATGGGCGAGTCGGTGGATAGCGAGATGCTGGGGAAGTGTGAGCGGTGGTGGAAGCAGGTGGTATGGTTGGAGGAGCGGTTCTGGCCGGATGTGCAGTGATTTCTTCCAAGATTCTACGATCAGGATGTAGATATTAGTGATAACTGATTCATAAAATAAACTATCATTACATGTCTTACACCCAAGCAAAAAAAGCAAAGTAAAGCAAACAGCAACTCCGAGCCCCCATGCACCTCCTTCTATGCAGGTGTCTAACTCATAACGGATACATAGCAAGGAACAAGAAAAAAACGTCGATGTACATCACGAGGTGGCTGCGCTGGCCCGCTGCGCATTGCTCAACTGTCGATGATACGATCCAATCGGTTGGAAGCCCCTGGTCATAATTAGCCTATCGAATCCCCCGAGGTCTATCGAAATGCATGCTACTTACCTCGCCAGATCAAATCCACCACCATCATCCTCCTCGTCGTCGTCACCCAGACCTGGTCGGTCACGCGCAGCGCCGTTGGCCGTTGACCGCAGGCTCTCTTCTTCGCGCCGGGTGTGCATCGTCCGTCCGGAGCCCAGTCCGTTGGCCGTGCCCGGCTTACTCGGGCTGGCGAGGTTCGGCGGGGGCGGACTACTACTGGGGATACTGCCCAGTGCGTCGCCCGGGTCGCCCTTCAATGGGCTCATATCGGGTACCGGCCGCGCAGGCGTGCTGCCAATGTCGGCGAATTTCCAGAACTGCGCAGGGGAGCTCATCGGCATGAATTTGGACGGGATCTGGGCAGTGCTGGGTGGGGGAAGACGCGGTTGCTGACGTTGCGGAGCCGGGGTGATCATCGACGACGGGGCCTCATCATAGTAGGACGAAGACAGCACCGGAGGCGACCCGGTTACGTTATCCGACAGACCGTACGATCGGCTCAGGGTGGTGCCGTTGCTGTTCTTGGTCGCGGATCGCGCAGGCAAGGGAGACGGCTCTTCGTAGTCGCGAGCATTAGGCGGACGAAGATGTTCCCGAACTCCATTCCGGCCTGCCCGCGAGCCCCGCTCGGGCGTATACGCTTCGACTGGCGCCACCGGGAAAGAGCTGAATCCTGGGGAGGATACCGGCGGAGACTTCTTCGCAGAGAAGACCGCTTCCATGCCGTTGGCGCCCCGCGCGGATGAATCTTTCGTGGCCGGCGAGGATGGCGCTGACGATTGGGTTCCTTTCCGGAGCTGTTTCTTCCAGTATTCCTCGCGGTATTCCGGAACGATCTGCCACTTCATTCCCTTTCCAGGTTCGTCCGTGCGACGGGGTACCTTCTGGAACGCCTTGTTCAAGGATAGATTGTGCCGGATGGAGTTCTACTTCAGTTAGCTACGTCCGATCGTCGAACGAATGCAACGTACCTGCCAGCCACTCTGAGAGTGACGATAAAACGCGTACTTCTCCATGATCCAGTTGTAGATGTTGTTAAGTGTAAGCTTCTCCTCCTCGCTAGAGAAGATCGCCTGCGCAATCAGTGTCGCGTAGCTATACGGCGGCTTCAAGTCCTTAGCCGCGTCCTTGCTGTAGTCGATTTCCTCCGTGCTCTCCATCATCATACCGCGGTTATACAACGGAGACTGCTTGGCGGTACGGGCGCCCACGGTGTCGGGCGATCGCGGCGGGGGTGTAACCTGACGTTTGAGAAACTGCGGCGCGGGTGCCAAAGAGGGCTGGCTGGTGGCTGGGGCGGTCTCCAGGGATGCGCCATGCGCCGGGTGCGCATGCTGGGAAGCATCCCAGGCAGGTAGTTCCTCTTCGCCATTGGCCAGACGTTGTGCGCGCTCCACAAAGCTGGGGTGGATGTTGGCCTTATCACCGGGGGTCACGAACATCATCTGGGTGTTGGCGATCTCAATAATGTCGCCACAGGAAAGGATGGCATCTGCGCCCCGCTTGAGGACGCCATTGTTTAAGCGGACGCCATTCCGGCCGTTGACACGGATATGCCAAGATGCTGTCTCCTCCCCGTCGTAGAAAATTTCCGCGTGCAGACGCGACACGAACTTGCTGGGGCCCAAATCCACGTTGACTTCTGGCAGTGCTCGCGCAGCGATGGTGACGGGGCTGGACTGCTCGTCGAGCTTCTGTTCGCGGTCGGGCTCGCGACCGATGTTGACATGGAGGGTCTTGACGTAGTAGGTCCAGTTGCGGCCGGCGATTTTCGCATAGGCGCGCACGCTCTGCTTGTTTTCGGTTTTCGCATTTGAATGGTCGCGCAAGACGCGCACTTCTTCGCGCGCGGTCTCGAGATAGGAGATGACGAGATCCATGAGATCCTGGTTTTCCGACAGGTCATGCTCTGGCGACGAATCATCGGCCTCGTCGGCGGATTCGGCGGTTTTGATGGGACGAGGTTGGGGAGAGCCGCGATCAATCTAGGGAGGAGGGAGTTAGATGGGGTGATGACGTGGGGTCTTGCGACCATGATCGACGTACCTTGCGCTTCTTGTTGTTCGCAGGACGAGAGGGCGACGAGTCCGGGGCTTCCGCGTCAGAAGTTTCTTGCAGTTGAATTTCCTTGCGCCGCGCGCGACGCCGATTCGAGAGAGGCATTGTGATTATGACGAGAAGGCGAGGTGTGCGGCCGTGTCGGCTGGCGGGGGATGTTTGTGTATGTTTTGTCTTCTTCCGTAGTTGTGATCCACGAGATCGCGAGTTTCTGTCTTTGTCTAATCGAGTAGTCTAGGCGAGTCTGAGAATGTTGGTGGAAGGCGATGTGGATGGATTGCCCGATGCGCGCAGCACACAACAAAAGAAAACCAGAATCCGGAGGAGGCAAGAAGAATGAAAGAAGACGAGAAAATCCCGGCAAAAAGGATGACCCCAGGAAGGAAAGAAAAAGCTAAACGGGGATGTCCCAGGGAAGAACCAGACGAAGGGTTTGCCACCGAGACGCGCTGAGGACGGATGATGATAGTGGAGGGGAAAAGATAGTGATAAAGTTCGAGTTTGCTTTTTCCCTCCTTTCTTCACGGAAGAAAACAGACCCTCCAAAGTCGAAGAAGAGGTCGAGGGGGGAAAGTCGAGGGTTGGTTAAGATGAAGTCAGAAGAGAGTGGCGGGAAAGACAGAGAAAACGATGACGATAACGCGCGCGGGTGTTTGGGGCGTGACCGCTTCCGTGTGGGGAAAGTCACGATCTTCTTTACTTCTTCTATACACTCCAACCACTTAATCTTTCCAAAACAACACAAATTGAAAGAATCGGTTTGATTGTTGATGTTGATGGGCTCCTGCCGGTTTAATACTCTGTCAACAATCCCACTGCGCCTCTCAATACCACCCCAGTGGAGTGGTTCCATTCCCTCGTTGTGCGTGCAGGCCGTAAACAGTCAGTGGAGCCAGCCATCCGCCCATGTTCCTCGCGCACTGTCGCTACATCCACATCCGCTACCCAACCGAGAGAAGAACAAACCAAACCAAAACAGTTCGTCTAGAGTGTTCGCTTCTTCAGACCCAAATCCTCCACTCTTCTCCGACAGTGTACTTCCGCGTGCAGGATGTCTCATCAAGATCACCGACCAACCCCGCGACCATGCCTTTCTCTTCGATCATGCCGTCCTAATCTTCGCCTAGTCGCATACTGACTCAAATCTACATACAGATCCACGGAGTCTTCGGATGGGAAGGTTCGGGATCAATCAATCCAATCAATAAGCAAACAAAAATCGAAGAGGAAAACTCGAACCAAACCCAGGGAAGCCAAAAGAACACTTCTGGCCGCATCGGGGAATTCCACACCCACCGGCCATTCACATCCCTCCGTCCACCGACTCCTGCATGGTTTTGCCACGAGTAAGAGGCCGATCATCTTCTTTGGTTCTTCTGTTTGCGTCATGCCCCTCCCGCGCCGCGTTCAGTTTAGCGTGCACCGTTGGAATGCGGATCCCTATATCAACAACAATATCGGCCTGTTGGCGTCGTGGTTGGCTCGCCCACCGTATGAAGACACCGTGACATCTTTCCACCCACGTTACATGTCTCGACTCTCATCAGTCAATTACGCCTGGAATTTCAGATCTATCGCGGATCCTGCAGCCTGGTGGGTCTTTGGCTTGAAAACGGGCGTTCCTAGTATTCTAGAGGGTACAATGGATGACTTCAAGGTCGGGTCTCTTGATGAAGAGCTCTGTTCCCCACAAATCACCAGAATCAGCCTCGTCTGCATCATAATAAATACTACAATAGATAGGACCTCTCGTGCTGTCTGGTTCGCCCGGGAATCGACTAGTCCAGCAGTCTAGACCATCGAGACCCTTGCCCAAAGCGAAGTCATAAAAATAGATCAATCCATCACCCAAGTCGGATAGAAGACAACCGAAGGCAGGTATCTTGGTCTAGTAGGTCGTTGAGTATAATCGTCTTCTGTTTATTGAACTGTTGGAATAGGGCCCCTATAATCCAACAAGTCATAATAAGAAAGTTACCTAGTATATATCTATCCTGACGGAGCAATACCTCTCATATATATAACTCCAAGTCTAAAAAAATGCTGAGAGGGGACATGCCTCATCATGCTTAATAGGAATCTACTGTATAACAGTTAACAGTTTGTGCGTTAACTACGAGAAGGGCTCCGCGAGTCTGGCCAGAGACGAGAGGATAGATATCAGGCTTCCGTCTCTCGACACATGAACAATCCCACACAACTACACAACTATATACCCTTGGACAAGACAAACCACAACCAAGGATAATACACCGTCTCCTCATCAACTGGCTCCAGAATAAGCGGCAGGTACTTCAAATTCCACTCTTCATCCAGCTCATCATCAAAATACTCCGGATTAGGCCTGACGCGCCGCGCCTTGCAATACTCCCAATAACCAGGATACCACCCTGCCTGCCCCCAGTCAATGACAGCCGCAACGTCAGGATTGGACTCGGGCGATAAGAGGATGTTCGAGGGCACCAAATCGGTATGCGTAAAGGCCACAGACACCGGCCTATCGATGTCGATGTCGCAGCCCATCTGGAACTGCCGGACGGCGTCTGCGCCGTGGAATGGGCCGGCTAGGTCCCGGTGATCGTAGAGAAAGATGTCGTTTAGCGGTTGGTTATCGAGGCCCCCTACGGTGCTTGAGCATCATTTCCGTCTAACTAGGGATTGTAAGGAGTTCAAATCACGGTACTTACCAACGTAAAGGGTTTGATCACGCTTTTCTAGCGCTCTCCAGGCTTTGACCATCCCGTTGAGCTGTCTACACACAGCCACTCTCTCCTCCTCATTCAGAGCGGCCCATCTCTGCTCCAGGGTTTCGCCGTCTATCAAAGCCATGTAGATAAATATCTGGCCACCGTCTTCGGTCCACCCAAACACCTCAGGAATGGGTACCTTGCCTTTCAACTGCGTGTAGAGCATGATTTGGGTTTTCGCCTCTGTGACTGTAATGTCGCCCCCATATTTGACAATCAGTCCCAATGACGGAAATCTGACAGGCCGGGGTCGTCTGAAATTTGTGCAAAAGAAACCGCCTGACGCGTCCGAGGGGCAGGGAGCGTAGACGTCCGGTTTTCCTTGAAGAAACTAGACTCGATAATGATCTTCATGGTGTTGTGGCTTGATTCGTGGAGGCTGGTCTCGACTTCAACTTCCTCGGGCGTCATCTTCGAGATAACACAGGTAAAGCAAGGGTCTCGGCGTTATAGAATGGCACCGATCTTATTTGGGACGGCTAGATATGGCATTATGGTTAGACAACGGGCAAGATAAGAGGAGGGGAGTAAATAAGTGGGGCGCTAGCTCACGATTGATATTGAAGTCAGTCGTCATGTACCCTAGGTCATCGTATGGTGTAAGGGCTATAGAGTATGTATGTCGACTATCGCAACGCATACGACGCCAACGTAGGTAGGTAGCAATTACGACTCATCCATTGAGCAGAGAGCATATGTATCAGTGCATTGATCGAGTAGTACAGTCAAAGGAATCACGAAAGTCCACGATCCAGCGGACAGGGAATAAGAAGAATCAAGCCAATACCCAGAATACAGACAGTCGTAAGAAGCCGTTATGAGAAGAAAGCAATTCAGACTCCAAATCAAACAGATACAAAGCAAAGCCTCTACATACACCCTAACTGGGCATCTTGGAATCTCCGTCGTCCTCCAGCCCCCGGAGCGTCGGATACATCACGGCGTCCCCACCGCTTTCTGTCTTGACCGGCGCCTTCTCCTCTGCAGCCGGACGAGCCTCACTCTCCACGCCTTCCATGTGTCCATCGGGACTCGCCGCCCGCGAGCGTGGCTCACTCTGACGATCCGAATCGCCCTCGTACTCGCCCCGTTCCAGACGAGAGGCAATGTAATTGCGCAGGTACTCGATGAGGCGTACTTTCTCCACCCACTGGACGTCCGATCGCTCGGCCACTTCCGCCGCTGCTTGCGCGGTCCGCATGGTCGCCTCCGTCTCGCTCGGCGAGCCCGAGAGAGCCGGATCAATGAGGCTGGCCGAGATGCGACCCGGAGACGAAGACGAAGAATTGTCCCGCGACTTGGCGGTAGGTGTCCGGTCGCCGTCACCTTTGGTGTCCTGAGACAGGTCCATAGCATCGGAGAGACGACGCTCCTCCGGACGGGCGCGCTGCAGCGTGCCACCGGTGTACCGGCGGCGGTCCTCGTGGTCATAGATGCCGCCCAACGTAGAAGGAGGAGCAGCACTGGACGCCGTGGGATAGCTGGCAGTGATACTGTCCGCCATCGTGGCCGATGGGAGGCGTGGGTACATGGTTGAGCCACCATCATGGTGAGGCGGCGAGACTCGGGCAGCCGACGGAAGAGAGATCGGGGAGCGACCCGACGTATACGACTGCGCGCTGGAGGGGGGAGTGAGGGCGGGAGTGCCAGTGGAGGGAGAGTGTGCCGTGGCGGCTGTCATGACGGGAGCCGCCGACGTGGTGGCCGGGGCCGTGGCATGGGTCGGAGGCAGTTGGGTTGGCGGCGAGTTGGTGGTGCGGTAGCTCATGCCACCGTGGACATAGTGGGCGCCGGGTTGAGCCACGCCCGCCGCAGCGACATGGTCATCACTCTCGTAGATGGTCTCCTGCATCTGCTGGAGGATCTGATCGATGTTGATCAGATCATTCTTCGTGCGGACATTGCTCATGGGCGGGAGATGATACGCGGGGGCGGGATGACCACCGGGGCCGTAACCACCCGCTGCAACTGGAACCGGAGCAGGCATCACCTGGTACTCGGGCAACGGACTACCGGCCAAGATGGGAAGCGACAAGTTTTGGAGTCCCAGCAACCGCTGGCCGATGGCAGCATACGAGTTGGGATCAAACTGGCGGCGCTTCAGATCGCCGAAGAACTCGTTCAGGGCATCGTATCCACGCTTTTTGTGCTCATACGAGGCATGACCCGTCTCGGGGGCTTGGCTCAGAGTGTAATAGACGTTTCCATACGAGGGGCCGGACGGCTGCGGGGGTGGGTGAGACTGATAATACTGCGGAGCGCCATGGGCATAGCCCTGACTCGGGACGGGGTTTAGGGTAGGCTCAAAGTAGTGGGTGGCCGCGGCCGCATAACCCTTGGCGGGACCGCCGCCAAACATCATGTCCGGATTCCGAGCACCAGGCTCGGGCGACCGGACCAAGACGGAGTCATCGGCGTGGGTCTTGACATGTTTCTTGAGGTCCTGGGGACGCTTGAAGGCCTTGCCGCAGAAATCACACTTGTGTGGCTTGAGAGGGACATGCACCCGAATGTGAGAAGTGATGTGATCCCGCTTGACGGTGGTGGTGCGACAGCTGCCCCATTGGCACGTCAAAGTTGAGGTTGTTGGTGCTCTTGCGACCGACATGGCGTTCGCAGACGTGTTCCTGGACGGGGTTAGCGACGTTGAGATGGACACGAAAGGTGAAGGACTCACATAGAGGGCTTCTGGGGTTGGGCACTTTTCGGAGCATCCTTGCCAGAGACACGACAATTCCTCGGGAGGGCGAGAGGCGTTGCCGTTGCTGATCGGGGGACTGGCGACGGCGGCGGTGGCGGCAGCGGCGGTGGCCGTCACAGAGGCCGTCGAGGCAGCTGACGAGGTCGGTTGGGCGACAGTCTGGACTGCAGGCGGTTGCTCTTGCGCCGTGGTAGCGGGGAGAGGCGCGGGGGCCGTGGAGGGCGAGGTGGTGGTGTCTTGGTGTTCCGACATTGCCAAGACAAAGTCTTTCTTGTCCCAGTCTTGGGAGCGGAAGGGGGTTGCAAAGGGAGATGTACGAGTCAGACCAGTCCACGAACTGTAAGAACGCGATGGACTGGATAAATAATTGAATGGCTTGTGTGTTGATGGCAGATCAGTCAAGGTGACACGATGTGGGAAAGGACAACACAGCAACAAGCAAGAGATAACGCGTGAGGAGCGTGAAGATGTACGTGGGTATAAATAGGAAGAAGAGAGAGGAGAAAGAAGGAGAAAGGAGAGAGTCGAGAGAAGAAGAATGGAAGAGACGGGGAGCAGGAGAGATAAGGAGGAAAGTCTTGGGAGAAGAAAGCGAGAGGAGGAGGGGGGAGGGCGGCTTTCTTGTCCTTCCGCAGCCGAGACGTGCCCAGAAGCCCAGAAAAAGCCGCTTGCACAGCCCGGCGGAGGACAGGGACAAGACCGGGCCAAGAGATGCGGGGCTGCAATGGACCACGGGTCGGTATTTGTGAGTTCGGTTTGCATGCAAAGGAGGATATTTGCTGGATGGGTTCACACTGGGTGAAATAATAGGTATGATGGTCTATCCATGGGAGTCTTGAAGGGATCTGTAGTTGTGGTGGAATTAATTGTCGTGTTCATTGCCGCCTGCGATGAGGTTGAGAGGATGCTTGACAAGACGATACCGTCGGTAAATTACACTCTCGACACTGCCCAATCAGGCATTTCCGTGGCACCCATGGACCCTGTCTCCACCAATCAGGGGTTCATGCTCCCCGAGGCGAAACGAGTAACGCTGACTCAGCAGCCCCATGAATCTTCGTTCTTTTCGTTCTTTCGTTCTTCTGGTACCGATCTCTCCGGTGGTCCGTTCCAAATCCAGTCCTCGTTCTCACTGGATTGCCCCCTTTGGTCGAAGGCGAGACAATTCTGAGTAAGGCACTTGGCAGTCTTGTCGTCTTCGCCCGCTCCGAAAGTCTTGGAAGGTGGCCAGGATGATTAATGCGGTCTTGTCCCTCCCTGTCTCCGTTCCTCCCTTGGCAGACTGTCAAGAATTCGGCTGCCTAAGATGGCCGGTTGAGCTTGAGACACTTGGTATTGGATGCACGGTTTGCCCTAGCCTATATTTCCAACCTAATAAGGTAGACACAGGAATGACTGCCGAATGAGGGAAAGTGGCTATGATCGGACAGGATTACGGAGGATGCCTAGGACAGGATTAGGCCAGTCCATAATCCTGTCAGAATACTAGGACTAGGAAGTGGTCCTGTCCAGCGACTAGCGGGATGTTCCTAGTTGCTTACCCCGGATTCATCACGATGACTTGTAGAATGGTAGATACTCTTAGTAATGTGAATCCATCATCAGACGCATCATAGTTGTATTGTATGATTCTAAGAACAATATCAGGGTAGGGAGATGTAATCACCTGACCGGATATCTACGGACCATCAAGCAACCCCAAATAGGTAGGTCGAACGACAACCCCATGCAAACAATGCAACCCCTCTAGAATGCCCCGACTCTCTCTCTCCTCCCTGCTCACCTCGCTCTTCTACCTCCTCCCCCTCTACCTCTTCGTCCTCGCCCCCCTCTCCCGCCAACTCTTCCCTCCCTCCCCCGACGCCGTCCGCCCATCGTCCCGAACCTTCTTCCAAGATGACGACGCCGACCTAACCGTCCCGCCAGAGGACCTCGAATACCCCGTCCTCGACCCTAACATCCTCAGTCTCGACGACGGCGTCACCGTCGACTGTCCGACCGACGCCTACCGCCTGCACCTGCTCTCGCGCGACCCGCTCATCATCTACATCGAGGACTTTCTCAGCGATGCCGAAGCCGACCACCTCGCCCGACTAGGGTACCTCCCCTCGCCTCCCGCCCCCATCCCCCCAAACAGACACGCAGTTAACCCAAGTAGAGAGCAAGGCTACACCCCCTCGATAATCTTCGACGGCACGACCGAAAAAGTCGACCCGACGCGCCGCCTCTCAGACCGCGCGCTGCTGCCGCGCGACACGACGGTGCGCTGTCTCGAGGCCCGCGCGCGCGCCTTCCAGGGCTGGCGGCCGCACCTGTACGTCGAGCGCATGTGGGCGCAGCGCTACAACGCCTCGGGCCACTACCGGCACCATTTCGACTGGGCCGGGTCGGCGGCGCGCGGTGGCGACCGGCTCAGCACCTTTATGGTGTATCTGGGGGATGAGTGTGAGGGCGGCGGGACGAATTTCCCGCGGCTGCGCATGCCGCGGGACCCGGCGTGGTGTCGGTTTGTCGAGTGCGAGGATGCCGATGGCGAGGGGCGCGGCAATGGCCATGAGGGCATTACGTTCCGGCCGATCAAGGGGAATGCCATCTTCTGGGAGAACCTGAGGCCCGATGGCTCCGGGTACCCCGAGACGTGGCATGCAGCGTTGCCTGTCACGGCTGGTACTAAGGTCGGGTTGAATATTTGGAGTTGGTATCAGCCGCCTCGCAGGAGGACGTAGCCATGCCGTCTGTCATATACACGTATATATATATATAAGATAGATAGATCTACGTTGGTTGGGACCAGGATATTCATCCATTATATCTACCATGTCATGTATATACGGTATATAAAACCAACCACCAACGCCGTCCTCATTATCCGATCCTCATACCTCATGATGTGCAATGCTAACCCCCCACGTTCATCCATTGAATCCAGTCGTCATTCGGCAGCCCGTTCGGTCGGCACGCCTCGCCATTGCCAAAGATGTCGTCCAGCGGAATCCCCAGATCCAGTCCCATCCCCACCGAACTGCCGTCGTCCACGCCCATGCTGAAATTCGGCGGATTACCCGGCGCGATGGACTGCGTCGAGGGCTCCGGTGCGAACGACTGAGGCTGGAAGTTGTACCCCTGCCACATGTAATTCTGATTCGGAAGCGACACGAGGTCGGGACTGTTGACGGCCTCTGTCGGCGTCGCCGACCCGTGAGACACGGGCGACTGCAGCCGCGCCTGCTTCAGGTGCTGAGAGTTGGCCAGTCGCGTCGGCAGCGTGGCGTGCAGGCCAGACGGCGTGCTTGTCGGCGTGCCGTTTGAGAACAGCGGGAAGTTGGCAAAGCTGTCGAGATTCGGCGTGTGCATGCCTATCGTCGTGTTGGGGTCTGTCGGCGAGACGGACGCCATCGCCGAGCGCTGGTCCAGCCCAAATGGCCGTATGCTGCCGTCTTGCCGGAAATGGTCATCCTCTAGCGTGGACATGGGCTGCGTGGGGTACGCAAAGGGGTCGTCGGACGGGAACATAATCGGCATGAGATCGGGGAGGTTCGAGGGATTGGTGAAGGACTGCGAGGTATACACCGCAGAGTCGTTGGGCAGCGTCATGGGCATCTGCGATGCCGGCGGCGTCGTGTCCACGTGCCCGGCAGAAATGGGATCAGACCGCGCGGACGGGTGATCAGTGGGGGTCTCTGGGGTGGATGAGAACCAGGTCGGGTTGCTGAGAGGACGAGGGTTGGGCGTGCGATTGGCGTAGGTGTCGTCTATACTCTTGGCTTTGACGCTCGCCTCTCGGGATGTTTTGGTTAACATGTGGGTAGGGAAAGTGCTGGCTCGCTGCGGTGGTGCCATCTCGGGGGCCGGCGCGCTGGGCGCATTGTCCATTCCATTATTGCTGGTGCTGGGAGCGGGGCGCTTCAGGTTGACCGGGTTCGCGACGGACTGCCGGTTCTTCAGCATTTCCGGGAGGTTCTTGAAGAGACAGTTGAGGCTCTGCGAACACCGGTCGGCCGCCATACTTTTCTTGGCCAGGCCCGCCAGCGTGTTTTTGCCTTCCATGGCGTCCTTGAGCACGCCATCCTTGGCTGTCGGGGAATCGGGATTCTCGAGCACGAAAAAGAGCAGGGACAAGATCGCGAAATACGTTGTGTACATCGTGAACCAGTACGCCCCGTTGAGGAGGCCCCGCTTGTGCATCCCGGTGGTAATGTGAACGATGTTGCGCGAGACACTGATACAGGCAGCAGCGCAAGCGTACGAACGCCGGTCCACGCCTTTCGCCTGGGATCCGCTGGAGACGTAGTGCATGAAGGGCCGATACATCACGACCTGCACATGCGCGTAGCTAATTCGCAGCAATTGTCGCACCCTGGAATTGATTGGTTAGTCTCGCAGCGCACGTAGAACAGACGGAATTCAACATACCGCTCCAGCTGGGGCGATACCTCGGTGCCCGGCCGGAGAGCCGCAGGCAGCTCCTCCATCCAGGCCTGGAGATCGCGTTCAATCTCGCGGATCTTCGAGTGGCTCACCACATAGCGCTGGTCCGACTTGGACCGATGCTGGGCGTTCTTCACAGGATAGATGTACTTCACCACTTTTAGGATAATACCCGACAATCGCGTATGTGCGTTGGCTCCGGCCATCAGGGCCGTGTAGTCTTCTGGTGTGGGAAGGATTCCTTCGGGGGTGATGTACTCGCCGTCGACAGGTAGCGGGTATTCCTGGTCGATGTCGTCGTCGCTCAGCATCTGTGGCAGACCGAGGAGGGTGCTCACGTAGGTGTCCATCTTCCGGACGACCCAAAAGACACGCTTACGGAGTTCTCGCTCAAGCGGGTTGAAATTCGCGGTCACGGCCGAACGGTGCAGCCCAAGTCGCAGGGCCGAGCGAAGGGCAATGCCGACATAGGAATAACATGTGCTCAGTTTGGCGGACGACTGAAGGAAGAGGACCATGAAACAGATGGCCTGGAGGGAGGTCAAGTCGCGGCAGTCGGTAATCTCCAAGAGCTGGCGACCTGCTTTGAAGAATTGGAAACTGGAGAGGTCAGTGGTGGAACGAGGCCGACATCGTGATTGTCAACACATACCCTTGACCGATAGCGCCTTCATATCCGGACACATCAAGAGTGCCAGCGCCGTCATCCGAGAACAGACAACCGACCGCCATGACGATATAGAGTAGCGGCAAGAAAGAATGCTCTTCATTGGTATACTGCTCTGGGGGGACGTCGTAGATGCGATCAAACATGGCCCAAAACGAGGGCTCGTGCACGAATCGCATCAGAGAGCACCCGTCTTCCAGGCAGTTGTGACACAGACGCCGTGCGACATCGCGTGCCGGCAGATCGTGGGTAGGAACAAGCTGTCCCTCTTGCGGCGACTCTGACGTCGACTTGGGGCTTTCCAGCAATTGCGGCCGCGACCGCATGGTCGGCCCAGAAACGTCCGACGCGCCGAGCTGTTTGCGCAGACGCCGGATGAAGATAATGCCCGAGGTGTGGCCGTGGTAATCCCAATGACCCTGGTCATCCAAGTCGAGGAAGCCGGAATTATCGACCATCGTCTCGAGTAGCGACTCATCGCCGCCGCTGTTGTCGGCGGCTGTATCGGCGGGGGGTGCGGGGCCTGGCTGGGGTTCATTTTCGGTGGTCGCGGGCTGTGGTGGTGCTTGTTGTTGATGCTGTCGTTCTCGTTTCACGGCCGCAAGCATCTGCTCGGTCGCGTGCTCGTCAAAGCGCGGATCATCGAGGTTAAGATCGGGGAGGACGACCCGCAGGAGGGCTTCGGCTTTGTGGAGGCGGGTTTCGAGCGCTTCGACATACTGAGGCGCAGGGTTACGACGACGATTCGAAGGCTGGTCGTAGGTACAATCTATTCGCAGTCAGTCAGGATGAACGAGGGAGATCCGCGGGAGAGGGGCGCGGAAGACTGACCATAGCTGTAGACGGTGCAATGCGTGCAGGGTTGCTTCCCGTCGCACTTAATTTTTTTCCGGCGACACTCATCACAGGCGCGAGTGACGCGACGCCGTTTTTGCATGGGAAGAGGTTCTTTGGCGGGTTTGGAGTCATCGTCCTTTGAGGGGTGGACGGAGGGGTCGGCGTCATCGTGATAGAACGCCGAGTCCGTCGGGAGCGCATCATCGTCGTTGGCGCCGTCGGGCGCAGAATGAAAAGCGGAGGATGAAGTGGCCATGGCGCCGCACGACAATCCGGGGAAGGAGTCTTTGCAAAGGCAGAGTATTACGTCGGACGGCGCAGGAACATGCAAGGGGAAGACAATCGGACAAGGACTGTGAATGAGTCAAGAAATCCCAGAAATCTCCAAGTCGGGGAACCCGATAAATCTGATCAGCAAGGGAGAGAACAGCCCGCGTGGCGATCCGACCGTTGATCGCTCGTACCTCCACGAGGGTGGGATCGAACAGGTCTACAGACGCATGAAAGGCCAAAGGACCAGAGGAAGAGTGTAAGAGAGGGAGAGAGATTGGAGATATTCCACTCTGACGGGGGGGTGTGAGGGTTCTTTGATCTGAGTCGGGGGAGGGAATTGTTGGAGTCGGAGGTCCGTTGCGCTCGGAGATAATATGCGAGAAAGGGTCCGAAAGTATGACGGAGATTAATAAGCCGACTGCGTGGAGGTGAGGTAACTAGTTAACGAGGTAACTTAGTACCTAGGTAGTTAACTGTATTTGTTGACCGAATGAGTGAGAGAAGAACGAAAGGAGAAATGGAGGGTCAGACGGAGGGCCGAAGAGAGGAAGAGAAAGAAGCATTGACGCCCCGATGGTTGATCAGAGTGGATCGACGAACCTGATGGACGCTGGCTGTCTTGTCTGTCTGGGTCGAAAAAGGGTATGATTTTTTCCCTGACAGTCAGGTCAGGCCTGGAAAAAGAATCCACTTTTCGCAAAGGTCGGTTCCGTCATAGGCGAGGGTCGCAAGAATGAAGGAGAAGAAGGAGACGAAGAAAGAAGACGCGAGAAGAATTCGAGAACAGCGAGGGAGTATCCACTTCATACAGGGAAAATGGCGCCTCCAGTTGATATCTTAGGTAAGGGTCTACAGTCTACACTACCGAGTACGGAGTAGACTATGAAAAGATAACTATGTATGTATACACATCCATGAAATAATTGATTGATAAAATCAATAGTTAATCAATGATTCTTCCGTCTGACAGGCTTGTATAAAACTCGTCAATGCACGCAATAACTGGAATATCGCATGCATAATTGCATACCTCCATTAAATCCCTGAAGAAATTTTCTTCCTTGCATTGAAATAATAATCATCAGCCTCGGCAAATCTTCTCTTCTCCAGCCTTGTGCAACCTGTGGACTCGAGGAAGAGGTTCCATGGATACACCGAGTGGGGTTAGTCATCCGCCTGGAGAGAGTTAGTTATAGACACCTGAATCATCAGGCTGACATGCTGACATGCTGATCGCGCCGAGCTGACCTCATCACTCTGCATCTCCAACAACATCTCTCCGCCATCGTATTAGATCCATGGACTATAGCCAGTCCGTGGCCATGGGTCTGGCTCGCCACATACGCGTTCAGGAGTCTTGAACTCCGTCGTGCCTCTTATCAACTCCGTCTAGCCTTCCATAAACATCTACTCTCCACTCAGTCAACAATGAGTGACTGACAACCGCATCATGGTCTATCTACTAGTCACCCTCTGCTGCGTCTTTGCAAGCCTGGGTTCCTTTCTCTTTGGCTATGATGCCGGTGTCATCTCCTCCACCATCGAGCAATCGGCCTTTCTAAACCGCTTCAGCGACCCCTCCGATTCAGCAATAGGAGGAATCGTTGCCTCCTACAATGGTACGTCTCCAACCCCCTTCACCACCATTCATCCACTCTAATCGCCTCCAGGAGGCGCCATCATCGGCTCAATTGTGGTCTCCTACCTCTCCGACCCTCTAGGGAGACGCCCCGTCATGTTCTTCGGAGGCATCTTGGCAATGCTGGGCGGAGCACTGCAAGCCGGCGCGACCACCATCGCCATGCTCATCGCCGGCCGGGTCATTGCCGGCCTCGCCGTGGGACTGATGTCGTCCACTGTTCCTGTCTACTGCGTATGTTTCTCTATGTATATCTCCCACCTCACAGGCCTCACTAACCCCATCCCAGAGCGAGGTGTCGCCTCCGCGCATCCGCGGGTTCCTCGCATCCATGCAGCAATGGATGATCGGTCTGGGGATCGTAGTGTCCGTAAGTCATCCTGTCCCGCCAAAGACAAACCCATCTAACCACCCCAGCAATGGGTGGGATACGGCTGCTCGCTGCACACCGGCGCCTTCACCTGGCGCTTCCCGCTCGCCCTACAAGTCGTCCCCGCCCTCATCCTCAGCAGCGGCGTGCTCTTCCTCCCCGAATCCCCGCGCTGGGCTGATCGAACAGGGCCGCTCCGACGAGGGCCGCCGCGTCCTTCGCCCGGTTCCACCTTCAACCGCGCGCACAGCAACACCCGCCCTCGTCGACGCCCAATTCGCCCAAATCTCCGCCCAGCGTCGCCGACGAGCGCCGCTGCGCCGTCCGCTCCTGGCGCCAGCTGCTCTTCACCCGTCCCAGCTGGCGCCGCCGCGTCCTCCTCGCCTGCGGCATCCAGGCCTTCACCCAGTGCTCCGGCACAAACATCATCCAGAACTACAATCCGCGCCTGTACAGGTCGCTCGGGCTGCGCGGCTCCACCCCGCTCATGATCCAGGGCGTCTGGGGCGCGCTCGCCCAGTTCTGGAACACGGTATTTATGCTGTTTATCGATCGTGTCGGCCGGCGCACCCTGCTCATCCCGTCGCTGGTGGGCATGGGCGCGACCATGGCCGTCGAGGGCGCCCTCGGCCAGGCATATGATGATTTCCGCGGTGCGGACGCAGACGGCGCGGCTGTGCGTGCGGCTATCGCCATATTCTTCGTGTTCTCCATCTTTTTCACCGCCCTCGGCCTCATCTCCTGGATTTACCCGGCGGAGATCTTCTCCACGGCTATCCGTGCCCGTGGCTCGTCCCTGGCCACAGCGACGAACTGGAGTCTGAATCTGGTTTTTGCGCAGTGTACACCAATTGCGCGTTCAAATATCGGGTTCAACTACTTCTACTGTTTCTTCGCGTTTAATTGGGTCGCCGCGATTCTGGTCTGGTTCTTTTATCCGGAGACTGCGGGCAAGTCGCTCGAGGAGGTGGAGCGCGTATTTGCGACGGAGCATGAGACGCCGTCGGCGGTGGAGGAGACAAAGGGTGCAGTGTCGTGTGCGGAGGACGGCAGTAGCGTGGGCGGGGTATTCAAGCCCATATAAGATTCATATACACATACACATACATAGATTCATGACATCATTCTATCCAACGCCAGCCTCGACCCAGGGTATACCATTAAACCAAATCGACCGCGGCAACGCAGTCAAAATCAACCCTCACTCAAAGCAGGCATGACATAGCTCGTCAACGGCGCGCTCAGCACCTCCCTGCGCAGCGCGCTCTCCCACGCCGCGACGACCGGTGCATCCACCTGCAGCGTCAGACACAAAAACAGAAAATCATGCACGTTCATCCACGACTCCTTGCTCAGCCGCTTGGCGACCTTGAGCATGCGGCCCGCGAACCACGGCCGGCCGTACGGCGTCGTCGCCGCGACCGCGTACTGCGAGAAGTCCGCGACGAGGGCGTCGTCCGCGGCGCTCGGCGGGATAAACGACACCGGGTCTCCATCGCGCGCGGTGCCATCGATCGTGCCGTCCTTGCACTCCAGCATGATCTGCAGCAGGGCCTCGACGGACCCGCTCATGCTGACCTCGCTGTCGTGCACGGCGCGCTCGAGCGAGCGCAGGAACGCGGCTGTGTATGCGGCCGAGAAGCGATAGTCCCAGAGCGCGGCGTTGAGCATGATCAGCGCGACTAGCCGCGCGACGAACTGCTTGCGGTCGCCGGACGCGGTGAAGCGCAGCCCCGGCGGGGCGGCGAGGATGCGATGTAGCAGCGCGGACTCGGCGAAGGCCGCATGGCGTGGTTGCGAGTGTGCGTCGCTGGACTGGGATCGCTGGTGGAGGGCGAGGTGCTCGCAGCGGCGGAGGAAGTCGAGGAACTCGTAGCACTGGTGCTGGACTTCGTCCTTGGGCTGGGTGACGGGGGGTGTGGGCTCGAAGAAGAAGCTCGGGCCCTTGGTCTCGTAGCCGGAGAGGATGTAGTCTTGCCAGTTGATCAGCATGCCCAGCCGGGTGTTTTCGAACGCGGGCGGCCCGCCGCGCGCGCGGATCATCTCCCGCGCGGCGCGCATGTGGATCCAGCTGATGGGTTTGTGGCCGGGGCGCGGGTCGAAGTCTTCCAGGCCGGCGGCGCTGAGACAGGCGATGATGGCGACGTCGGAGATGTCGCCCGGGTGCGTGGCCATGTGCTCACGCAGCATGGAGATGGCGCGGTTGCGGTGGATGAGGGTGTAGTCGGTTTCCTCCTCGTTGCGCACCCAGGCCCATGTGTTTGCGGCGTGGACGAGGATGGTGTTTTGGAAAGCGACTGCGCCTTTCATGCCCATGGGGACGAACACCGCCGTATACCAGTTGTGGGCTTTCGGGGAGCGGAAGTGCGTCCCGTAGGAGCAGGCGGGCATCTCGTTCACGTAGAAATCGAATAGCTGCTGGCCTTCCAGGTCGAGTTCCATGGGTAAGGTGTTGAAGGGGTCGGTGCGCGCCGCGCTGAGGATGGTTTTCGGCGAAAGACCGCGGTCGAACGGGGATGACACTATGGATAACGGCGGCGTCAAGAGAGTGGAGTCTGAGCGGCTACTTTGGTCGCTCGATGCGTAGATGGCGAAGAGCTCAGGCGACTGTGAGGAGCTCGACGAGGTGGAGGCGGAGATGATTGGGAGGGTGGATGTATAGCTCGTTCCGTCAAGGGACGGTCTGTCAATGACTATAACATCCTCGTCGGGTATTAGATGTGAGGGTCCAACATGGGGCTGCAGTTCTTTCGACTCGGCACCTTGACTGGGGTGATCAACGGTGGTATTCTTCCTCGTCTGTGTGCTTTTAGTGGATGGTTTCGACCTCTGCGATCGTCGTGCTTTTCGCTGCGATTGCGATTGTGATTGTGCCGGCTCTGCCGCATCCTCGTCATCGCGACGACTGTCGCCGGTATCCTGGCGCTTCTGGCGCAAATACTCCTGCATCACATGGCGTTTTACTTGGGTCAGGTTACTCCGCGGGTTGTTTGAGGCGTCAATGAACTGCCACCGCGTTGACGAAGGGTCCGTTGCGGAGGAGTCCTGGTTGGCCGACCCCGACATCTTGGTTTGGACCGGACTCAATCCTCACAACGGGTAGCTCTGTTAGGCCAAACGCATTGTATTCTAACGTTGAAGGATGGGAGTAATATTCGATCTGATATAGTGCGAGGACAATCCGGTGCGACCTGCGATGGCAACAGGGAGCACGGCGAGTAAGGGTGGTTTGCGACAATGGGTGGCGGACCTGAGTGCTTGTGGTCTTCGTTGATCTGATGGAGATGATGACAACGGGGGTATTGTTTCCGGGGGATCCTTGACTCGTGATACGAGGATTTATGGACGGATCGCGGTCAGTGCTTGCGAACTCCGGGCTGGATGGAACAGGAGGGGTCGTGGTGAAGGTATAAATGGAGTTCGCTCAACGTCCGAAGAAGAAGCATCATTGATCCGCCGCTTGGCGATTTGCCCCAGACGGGTCTAGTTCCACCAGAGTCGATCTCCACAATCTCCGTCTCTTATTCAGCCGTCCGTAAGCCATTTGCATACTGGAGGCTGATCATATCAAATGGGAGTCATGCAGAACAAGGAGTATGTACAAGTACATATACTATCCCTGCTGACTCGGACTGGGATGTCGCTATTAGTAGTTGTCCGCCAAGAGAAGCTCTTTTCCCTTCAAGTGTTGGAATGTCCTCCCGTCGTTGTCAAGTCTGGCCGATCCTCTAGGATTTTCAACTATAACAACCTTAAATATAAGCTCAGTTCATACGTATACATCATCTTCGGACAGAGTTCGGAAGGATGTTTGCCATATGCAGGGTTTCTCTGAACACGAGGGGCGACACTCAATGACAGATAATGAATAAACATAAGGTAAGAATCCACCGGCGTCTAAGCCGGAAAATCACCGGTCTCTAGCCTGATCAAGAAAGAGTAAGTCTTGGTATTCTGATCATGAGATACGAATATACTGGACAGCGGTTTTACTGCGTCGATTTTTATCCCAGGGTCCCCTATAACAACATGTATTAACTACTACCCCATCATGTAGTGCAGTCAGGCCTACCGGCTGAAATTCGTCTACCCTAGGTAGCCGGAAGGCCAGACGCCACCTTGCTTCCGCTTCTTCCTTTGTCATATTGAACTTTTGTCTAGAGAGGAGGCTGAGGTTCGCTTTTCTTTTAGATGAAGGACGAGATGGTGTTTTACTAAAGTAACCCGCCCCTCCGTTTAGGCCTAGCCTCTGGCGCGGGGACTAAGATAGTAGCAGTTAGGTCTTTCAGTCTACACCTACTAGGCATTCTTGCGCACAGGCAGATAATTCGCGGATGATTGAATAATATTTAGTAAGTCGCGCTGGTGGCAATGGCTGGACATAGATTACAACCGTATCAAGCCGCACAGGCATGTCTGTAATTCACTCCCTCGTTGATAAGCATTACCACATAGGAGACGAAATGTCTGGCCATAGTGCCAACGGCGACTCCGAAGGTTAAAGTGGTGCTTGGTAAACTCTCCCAGACACTTCCACACCTGCATGGCCCAGTCCTACGAGGTAGAATGTACCTTGTTACCAGGAGGTTTGGACACGGCTATACAATACAAGAACTTGGCACGTGAGACTGGCCTGGTAGTGGCAGATAGCCCAAGCGATTGGGTTTCCGACTCCGTCCTAACAATTCTCCAAATGATCTGTAGACGTTTTTCGTCCTTGTATGCAAGGGCTATTCTATAGCTAGACCAATTTTCACAGGAAGTTGAAAGGAATGACACCGTTGACGCGCGCAATGTCCAAAGGAGCATGTTGAAATGCTAGATATTTCACACTTTATAACCATGCCCTCCCCGAAAACTCACTTCTCTACCCACTTTTCGTAATCAGGAAAATATCGATCATGTATCCTCCCGGCATAGTCCAGAACCACCGGAAACTCCTTTACTATCGCCTGTGAGTCCGGACCTCTATATATATCGCGTTAATTTTAATCAGCCAAGCATAGTGCACGCACACTTACGCAGTACAAAGCATAACAGACACAATAAACCCGAACACCGTACAGTCCGCTTCGGTGGGCTCTGACCCTGCCAGAATCCAGAATGGCTCGTTGTCTAGTCGGGCGGCTCTCGAGGCGACCAGCAAATCATTGATGCTCTCCCAGATTTCCCGGCGAAAGGCAATAGATTCATCTCTCGTGTGGCGACCGGTTCCCTGGCCATGGAGCACCGGGGCCATGTTCCTGTATATGAGGAGGCCAACAACAACTCGAACTGGGTACGGCAACGATGACAAAACATGGTCACGCATAAGGTAGTAATTGTCTACCCATCTTTCTCGCATCTAACGGACGTCGTCAGCCTCAGTTCATTATCATTCTTGCAGGACAAGAGCCTACATGGTAGAAGTAGAGTTTCTCTTCCATTAACGCTCGGAGCGCAAGATCGTGAGCGCGGGCTGTTGGCGATAGTCTCCCGTTAAGATCGGGGAGGATATTCTGCTCGATAAGATATTTGATGATAAGTGTCGAATCACCCATGCTAGTAGATGCAGATGCATCATCCTCTAAGATCTCAACGTATGGGATCTTCCCTTTGGGCGCGGTTTTGAGCGACCCAGCTCTGGTGGTATAGCTGATTCCTGCAAAGCGGAGTCGCGCCTCAAGCTTGACAACGAAGGGCGACCATACGTACTTTCCAGCGTCAGGCCAGCCACGGTAGAGGACCACTTTAGGTGCGTCAGAGACCATTGTGAGTGTATCAATGGTAATCTGAGTGTAAGTTTATTGAAGGGGAACAATTACCAAGAAGATCAGCAGTTAAGTGCCTTGGACGGGTGCTGTCTTATATAGGCTGACCAGCTCGCCCACCAAACCCCGCAAAAGCCGGGGACGCGTCAAGGATATATGCTCCATTGCCTGTTTCGGTGTTATGGGCTATCAAGGCACCAACAGATTATACCCTACCCTGGCCTATAGTTTTGCACAGCAGGCGTTGGCTAGCTATTACTGGTGTATGAATAATACTAGTAGTAGTAACTACCCACCTCCTAATTAATCTACGGCCATCGTAGTCGAAATAAAGTTGCCAGCGGTATCTCGACGCCAGATTTCGGCAGTGCCTTTGATTCTGCTGCCTGATAATGCGGACCATTTAAATAGGATCACGAGAACGACAGATGGACTGCCTCGCAGCCGTAGATCTTTGTCACTCACCAAACGCGGGAAGGACTCCGCCCAGCCAGATTTCGACAACGATTCGAGGATTATCCAGATAAGGCCGGGCTTCAGGGCCGCAAAGCCAAAGACGATCGCCGCTCAAGGTTGGCTACCTAGCTACTGGAAGACGATTGCTGACCAGTTGAGGAGTTCTGCGGCGGTGAATTGAACGTTCTTCTCCAACGGAGGGTTCGCTGCGCGACCCATGAGCAGGTCGAACTCGAGGGTGAGAGGTGGTCCGGTTGCACGGTCGGGGGGCGCTTTGACATCGCATATGGCCGGGGTAACCCCTTGGTTAAGGACGATCGTTCGGAGTCGACGTGGTTTCCAGGGTGAGAGATTTGCCGTCAGCTGAGCTTGAAGTCGATCATACTTCTCGATAGTGACCACACGGCACTGTGTGTCCACCTTGATCAGCAGCACGAGTCTAACGTCCCCGTTCGAGTTCGAGAACCACCACGCTGCATCAGCCCTCAATCTGGGCATTGACTCGGAGACACCAGCCTCAATCACAAAGTAGGGCCACCCGACCTGAGGTCGGAGTTGAGAATTGGTTCTCACAGAGTCGCCCTCTTTTTGCGACTGGGTAGGTCCGGTGTACGTTGCAGAACCATCGGGCATGAACTCGAGGAAGCCCACATTCATGCTGGTAAGTTTGCTGGCTACAAGCTGGTCGAGGAGCCTGTGGGCTCTTTCATGCTGGCGGGTGGGAACTTTGATGATGAGGGTCTCGATGTCAGGGAAGTATGTAAAAAGGACTTTGGCCCCGAGCTGGTCGCGTTTGATATCGATCGAGTCAAAATCTTTCTGCGGTACATGCTTCAGCGAGATATATTGGTCTTCTCCGCCTTTGTGTAGTCTATCGATCTTGGACTTGACCACTTTCTGCAAGTCCTCAAAGCCGGTATAAGCCGAGGGTGGGTACAGCTCTGCCAGAGCGAGGTTCGCAGATGGCCTCATCCTGGGGGTCGGATGCACGAGGCGATGGTCATATTTGGGTAAGCAAGCCATGACGTCAAAATTTATACGGAACTTAGTACCTATCTACAGGTAGGTAACTTTGATGGTATGGGGAGGGTTGACAAAGTACGTGCCAAAAGTGTGGAGATAGCAGAAGAGGTTGCAGGATCGAAGAGGAGCTATATATAATTCCCCGACCAGACTGGATTCACTGCTATGGCTTGTATGACGCCTACTTATGGAATGACAATTCACCACGAAATTTACTCTCATTGAAGGGATATATTCACCGACGCAGTTCTTGAACTTTAAAAGTTGATGGGTATTTAATCGTGAAGACAGGTGACTACCTATACATTATAAGTCGTTCTCGACATATACATACGGATCGAAGCTCTCAAGCGCGTGCTCCTTTGACCATCTGTGAAGAGCGTCGAAGTCCCTGCACGTATGGTAGATTTCTGCCACTGGTCGTGACGTGTTCGTTCGCGTGTTCCATGTCCAGACGATAGGACTGATGTCTGCGGTGCACATCATGTACTGGCGGGCGGACTCGATGCAGTGCTCGACATGCTCTATCTCATCCTCGTCCTCATCTGCTAAGCTTTTGCTGGCTGTCCAGAGCCTCTTTCGGAGCATATTCTGTGCGTAGCTACGTATTAGCCAGAGCCCTAGATTAGAGTAATGGCTACTTGCCAAACAGTGCAGCTGATGGAACACATCTAGTCCGGCGATGTAAAACCCTGGGTCGCCCGGTATGGGCACAGTCTTGTTGTGCAGTTTCTGCGCCTGATCCCTTGGTATGCGACTGATTGCATCTGTATCCTAGTTAGTATGATAGCACACTGTGGTTTAATACATCACTCACAACGATAAAGGTCTTTCCATGCTTCATCGACCTCTGGCGATGGCTTCCCTTGGTATTTTGTCTTTTCATCAATTGTTCCAGGGTCAAATTGGATGTTCCGATACGCGATGGCATCTTCTGCGGGTGCTTCTCGATTTCAGTCTACATTCGCGCCCCTAGGAAGACAGTGTTGATAACCATACACCTGATCCGATCGGATGGGAGACACAATCGTTTGTCCCATCGAGGGCTACTCAGACCAGTGACCACTATGATGAGAAGCACAATGATTATGCCCCACTGCACGGCCACGACTTCCTTTGACAACAGGGATGAGCGTGTGCGTTTCCGCAAGTTTGGATTCTCCATGTCGATAAACGGCTGGTGCTCCTCTGGGCAGGCCTTGTGAGATGCCATTATTAAAGAGAAGATTGTTCTTAGGCCTCTGTTCAATGAGTTGCTTGCAGAGGATTGAAACTAAAAGAGCCAGAGCTGTCTGGAATATTCGTGAACATCAGCCATACCAGTAGCATCATCAAAAGTAAGAGCTGGATGCCAATGTCTCTGGTTACGGTTCATCCCTGCATTAAGGAGAGATAAGACGCTTGAGAGTGGGTGCGTTCTCCACAGGTAGTTCATCCCTTCGCCAACAAAATCTATACTTGTTACCCAAATTGAGCGTTTACTATCTCGCGAGATGGATGTCCCTAATACTAGAAGCACGAGGTTGTTATCATCCATCCACTCGGACGTGAGAAGCCTGGAGGGTCTTACCGCAAGCCATAACGCCTTTCCACGTTTTGTGCCGCTTCTAGGGGCGTTTTTTGGCATGCAAGGCGCTTTCAAGGGATGAGGAGTATGTACAATCCGCGTCACCACAGAATCAGTGATTTGCCGTGTTTTGCTAGAGCGCGGAGTAGTTTCAGTCCCACAATGCTTGTCTGATAGGTAAGTAACGCATTTGGCTACACCGTCCGTTGCCATTATATAAGGTATCTCGCTGCCTCGCAAGTATCCCGTCTTTGCATTCCAGAGCGGGACCAAAAGCTTGTTGTTTCCCTCGCAGCCGAACTACGAAGTTTCTCCGAGTGACGAGGCAAGCTATTTATTGCTCTGTTTTTCCTCAGGTTGCAAGGTACATTACCCGCAATCGCCTTGCTGCACACCACTTTTCTCTCAAGGGTCAGAGCAGGATCTCCACGGTCATCCGCGATTTTACCTTCCACCCTTTTCAAAGCCAAAGGACAAGATGAAGTTCCTCGGAGTCTTCCTGGTAATGGCCACATGCGCCCTGGCACTCCAGAACGGGGAGGCGACAGTAAGTGCCCAAGCCTTATGCATTGGTCGTTTCACAGGTTGACCGTGCAATCACCAGGACAACAAGCGGGATGCTCTTGATGCGGACAAGGTGTATCATTTCAAGCAGAGCGATCCAGAGAGCTGGAACAAGCCATAGATACCGCTCTATATATGGAGATGCGCTGGGATAGGTTCGGGGTCAATCACCCTGTTGCTATCCATTGAGCAATGCAGTGGTGGGGTGTTGTTTGGGGCAAATTTGCAGAAAATTCGGGAAGGATAGCCTGGGTAATGTTTTGTATTTGGCCTGAGATGCCAGTACAGGGGGCGTGCGTCTTGGATATAATCAAGAATGGTCAGTCTCAAAAGTATACGTACTAGAACTTGTAGACAGTCTTGTATATTCAACCTCAGGCACAACACCGGAGATAATTCAGACCGCCTGGGGTTAAATCCGCGGCAGAATCGTCGAAATCCTGAACGACTCCGAAGCTCTTCGCCGATCGCACAGTGCATCTGTCACGCATCTCTTGCGTGCTCTTGGGTGTTCTATGTCCAGCGGCATCCTTGATATTTCCGATTTCATCCTCCGATTCGATCTCGCGGTCGTTGTCACCGTATAAGCCCACTGGACGCACAATCGGAACCCTATCTTGGGACACCACCTCCGAGCCCGCCATTCCAGGGCCGCAATATTCGGCCTGCATTGTTGCAGACAGTTGCGCGCGAACCGATCTGAAGAACGTATATCATACCCTGGGCTTTTTCATCGATTGCGCGCTCCTGTTTAGGGTCTCATAATGCTATTCCATGCGACGATACCATTTTCATAACCTTGTGCCGGAGACACCCCAGCCCCTTCTTGCTTAATATCTTCGGGCTTTTCTTGACGACGAGTTCTCGAAAGAACTCTTGGTCTTGCACGAATACAAATCAGCGACTCAACTTCCACACACCCAGTGTCTGAGGACCAGCATTGGGCATCGTCATGGCCTCCGATCTGAATACCCCTCCCCCGGCCAACCAAGCGAACGGCTCGAATGGCGACAGCGTGAGAACCACGAATCCGTACGAAACAGCCGCAGAGTTAATACCGAAGGATGATCCATTTCTCCAGCAAAACCCCCAGTACGGCCGGTACGCTCCTCATGACGCTGATTTCAAGCCCCGCCACCACCGATGGTGGCAGGCCGATGCCGACGCATTTGCATATTGGGAGGGAGTGGTCAAATCGTCCTGCACTCCGGAAAACTCTTTGAATGTGTCTGGGCCGAGGGAGGCGTATGCGACAGGAAGTATCATCATCCGTGTTGACCATGACGGGGATATGAGCGATGTCGGGGACAAATATTCCTACGTCAATGCGAACGAACTCAGTGCAGCGCGGAAGGCGGAAGAGCCGCTGAAAGAACTTGGTATCGCCGTGCCACTCATCTATTTTTGCGGGACAATCGACGGAAAGAATGTCACGGTGGAGTCTAGAATCCCCGGTGTTTCGCTCGAGGTGGCATGGCGATACCTTACTGCTGATCAAATCGCATCATTCAAAGAGCAATGTCGTCGAGTTTTGAAATGCCTTGCGGGAATCGATCCTGCTCCCGATCAGCCTTCTTACGTTTGCAGCGGATTGAACCCTCAATCCCCCCCAGGTGTCGAAACTGCGGAAAGAGATATCTTGTTTGCAGAGAAGGATGACGAGAATCTTTGTCTGGTGCACAATAATATGACCGTATCGAATATAATTGTGGACGATGACAAGCTTGTTGGTATCTCGGGCTGGCGTCACAGCGGATATTTCGGTTTCGAGAGAGCAAACAAGATCCATCGACAATTTCGGACGCAGGCAAGCACTTTTGCGAATGGTGCTTCGGAAGGTATGCAGTGCTGGGCGGATCTCTATGAGGGCCTTCCTAAAGCGGATGGAGATCAGAGCATCTCGGCCAAAGACGCTATCGCGCCCCAAGTCAAGACTGAACCCGCGAGCATGAACCTGGACAAAGTGCCCCTCACCGAAGAAACAGAGTCCAAGTCTTTTGCTCAGCTGGATGGCACAGAAGACCATCCCACACAGAAGAACATCGCCAATCTTAAACACGGAGGAGCGTCGAGGGCCTCGTCTTCTGATCGATCATCGCCAGCGCCGTCTACAAAACTTGGCTCGATGGGACGAAAATCGACTCCAGGAGGCACTAAGAAAGCCCCAGCAAAGAAGGCGGCTCCCAAGAAACGCAAGATTAACGATGAGGACAACGACAGTGTCGACGGTGGTCGCTCTAACACCCCCTCCTCACTACGTGCCAGCAAAGCACCCAGCGCAAAGAAACAGGGCTCAGCGTCTATAGCGAGCTCACCGGCTCCTGAGAGCAAAAAGAAGGTGGGCAAGAAGGGCAACAAGAAAGCCTCTACGAAAGAAGAATCGGAGGAGGACGATGATAACGAAGTGTTCTGCATCTGTCGAAAACCCGACAACCACACGTGGATGATCGGTTGCGACGGTGAATGTGAGGATTGGTTCCATGGGAAGTGCGTCAACATAGACCCTCGGGACGCCGATTTGATCGAGAAGTACATATGTAAGATCATCTTCTTCGGCATGGTTCTTAACCCCTTCAGCTAACGGAAGACCAGGTCCGAACTGTCATGCAAAAGGTAAAGGGCAAACTACATGGAAGCCAATATGTCGTGTCGAAGGGTGTCGCAAGCCCGCTCGCTTCACCAAGAAACCCCCTAGCAAATACTGCTCGGATGAGCATGGCCGGGAGTTCATGCGGTCAAGAACCCGGCGCCTCAAGAAGGGCCAGGCAGATGATCTTGGCAGTCGGGGTGGCGTTCTCACGGCTGGCGAGCTCAAGGCGGTTGTCATGGGCGTCTCATCCGCACAAGAGTTTCGCAAACTGGGAGAACGCATCATATCCCCACCGCCCGAGGAAGAAAATCCAGAAACAGGCGAAAAGGCGCAAAAGAAACTCGGCTTGGATGCGGACATCGATGGATTGGTTTACTCCCCTGATGAAGCATCAAAGATTCAGGATCTGCGCACACGCCGTGACGACCTTCTCCATCGCAAAGAGATGCTGGCTGCTCGTGACCACTTCCTGAACCTTGTGCGCCAGCGGTCGAAGGCTGTGTTAGAGAAATTGAAACAGTCCGACCCCAAAGGAGGGTGGAAAGATATCTGCGGGTTTGACTCGCGCCTGGCATGGTCCGATGAGGAATTCGACGAATGGCGGCTGTCCGAGATTGGAAAGAACGCACTGCAAACCGGCACCCCCGAGGCACTGGCATCGAGCCATCCGGATGCCACTGATGCAGACGGCGACACTATCATGGATGAGTCCAAGGCTGACGAGGACGATCTTGCCAGTGTTACGCGAGGAGTTTGCACAAAGAAACGCTGTGAGCGACACAAACAGTGGGTCAAGGTGCAACAACAAGAACTTCTGTTCGAGCAGGACACGCTCAAAGAGGATCTTGTCCAGTGCGAGAAAGAGGCGCAGAACGTCGTGGAAAGGGCTGTCCTTCGCATGTGGGCTGAGAAAGATAACGCCCAGATCGGAAACTCGTGATACCAATATCGTTCAGGGATTGAATTCTTATTCCTTAACTGCCGGGAAGTTGTATTGTTTATTTCTATACCGTTGGGAAGACTTGTTTGATACCCATTCGGCGGACAAATCCGGGACGACCAGATGGAGTTGACAAATTGGTGATTTGGCTGCAAAAATGGACATATTGCATACGGACGGCGTATTACTATTAGGATAACAAGAAAGAACCGGATGTTTCCTTGATGATATCAGGTGTCCTCGTCAATCGAACTAGTCGTTCGGTTCGTTCATGAAGTCCAGACAGACCATTTGCCAACATTATCGCCCACTCTGTCCTTGATAACCTCGATTACGCGGGTCCCTTTCACCGTAGATATCAGCAGATGGGAATCGATACCCTGATCCATGAGCCTCATCAAAAGACTCGGGAACAAAGGCGCATCCGTCGCACGGAACACAGAGTATAGGCCATCTTCATGGGAAGGAGGACGATCAGAGTCCGCGCGAGCCCGCTGCGCAGGCCGAACAGGACTCGCGGGAGCCACCGTCCCAACGCCGGCGGTATTCACCAGCATGACAGACAAACAAGACCGATGCAATCGGACCAACTGCGTCAGACTGCGCAAGACAGTGGTCAGGACCGCAGCGCCGCGGACCGTGTTCGACGCGCGGACAACGCCCTCCGTCAGACTGTCGAGTCCTGCAATAAGGAGGAGCACGGGACACGGCTCCGCGGGCACCGCGTCGCGGGGCGTTTGGCGCCGCTGCTCTTCGTAGAATCTATCAAGAGCGCGCGAGACTTCGTTGATCGCCTGCACGGCCGCCGTAAAGTCGAATACAGGGAGCAACTGGACGGCGTCGAGACGAGAGATTGCCTCGTTGCGGGAGAGTGGCGGGTTGCGCGTGGAAAGAAGACTCTCCAGTAGCTTTTGCGGGGAGAAGCCGTCGTAGTTCGCGGGGTGGATGATGTACACCCGCGGCAGGGGCGTGGAGGCCTGTGACAGGTGGGATGTCGCGAGGGCTCGTGGAAGCTTGTGGGATGTTAGTGAGATGGTAGTCCTGCAGGGCGGTTCTTAGTTCTTAGATCTTACCTCTGCTGTGCATTCGTCGGTCACGTTGTTGCTGGGGTTTCTGCCCCGTAGGTGTGAGAACCCGATTATGGTTCCGTAGCGGAAGACGCTGGTCGAGAGGCTGTGAAAGCCTCGGTCAATGTCAGGTCTGAGATCCCAAGCAGTTGGTTGTTCGCCATTGTCTTCTGATGTGAGACTGATATGCGTCTGTGAGAGAAGAGAGTGGGCAAGGACCGGGAATGCGGGTTCAGAGGCGTAGGGATTGTGGTTGGAGAGCATGGTTCTGGGTGAGGTGAGGTGTCATGCTTCTGGAAGTTAACCCATCACATTTTCAAGGTAGGTATAGAAACCTGTATTTACTGGTGCTGATTGATAAAGGCGGATGAGAGTGGACAGCTACTGTTGATTTCGTGAAGCGGAAGTTGAGCTCTTGATTCTCGGGGTGGAGCCATGCGTGTTTGCCTGGTTATTCAGGCAGATGTTAGGAAAGCTTAGTCTGATGCAAGTGCTCAGTGAACAATAATAAAGAAAAGATCTAATTCAATCGTTTATCGATGATAAGGTAGCACACGGTATATACACTTTATTTCATATGGTACAGTAAATTTACAGTCTTGCCGGTCATGATCTTCACACATCAGGATGCAAAGCCAGAGATATGTGGAAAATGCAGGGGGGAAAGAATCTATGCCGCGGGTAAAAGGCTTGCTGGCGAGCTACTGCCCAAGGCATTTGAAGCCCCCGACCTCTTACACCAGGTGCCGCGGTTATCGTGCACCCAGCCACTGTTGTCTAAGATATCACCCAGGATCCCAGACAATTCGGGTCGAAGTGCATCCAAGGCATAGTCACTAGTGCTGAATGTCATCAGACAGCCTCGAACACCCAGGTCTCTCACAGCATGGGCGATGAGCGAATAACCCGTGGCTAGCTCCATCCAAGGGTCGCTCGGGTCCATGGAGCCCCGCTGTTCGATCTCGGTGGCTTTGTCATTTTCACAGGGGGCCAGTTGGACGCTTAGAGATCGCAAATTGGTCATCAACTCGACCACGTTGAGCACTAGTTTCACGTGGTTATAGAACGGGAATACGGCCGTGTACCGGAAAGACGTGAGGGTACTGAGGGAGTGAGACAGAGATAGCCTCTCCCGGCGAGGCTTGATGGACGCCACTGAGCCCCATTTACTGAAGAGAGATGGAACCTGGAAGAGGAAGTATTCATAGTGATTGTATGCCTTGAGAGAAGAGGACTCATTGAAGAGCAGCGACGACCACACCCCAGCTTCGAGGAGACTGGAAGCCTTCTCGAGCTGCAGTTTGGAGATCGTGCCAGCGTCTTGAACATCCCGCTCCACCTGCACGATCTGGAAAGGGACCTGAAAGGCCCAACTGTGCCCATCCATGATCTGGGTCCCCATCATTGCACCGATGAAAGTGGGAGGAGCGAGGACGGTGATGCGCAGTGGCTGGAGTTGGGATAGGACTCGACGCCACCAGAAAGGGTCTTCGCGATTGTTGGGCGAATGTCTTCCTTTCACCACGATGGAAGTGACATATGGACTCAGGTTCCATGCATGTACAAAGGCGAGGAACTCGTCGACATCTTGCAGGTCGAACGACACGTGAGCAAAGAGTCGAGGGATGACGACCTCCCGAAGTCGAGAGGAGGTAAGAGAGAGATTCTTCAAGTCGCGGGTGTCGCATCTGGCAATGCGCGCAGTCGGAGGTTGATGGAGTTTGGATATAGATGGCGGGGAGGTCGCGAGACCGGCGATGATCTCATCAAGAAGCTCATTCGGCAGGGATTCGAACGGCGAATCTTGGGAGGGCATCATCGGTGAGGGGGAGAAAAGAGATCATATTACTAAGAGCGTGCATGCGAGTGCATCAAGGATGAACGTGTACCTGGCTGTGCATAGTTCCCACGGTGATTATTATTGATGTTTTGAAGGGAGTGACGATGATGTCGGGAAGCGAGAGGAGCCGCAAGTGCCGGTGCTCCCCCAGTCTCCAGTCACTTGACCGGGAATTTCCCCAAAAGGAAATCCTACTTGACCCCCTCATCAAGATGGTCTTTGCGATGTACGGAGTATGCACGGTACTTTGACTGCAGTCACGCAATTCTTCAGTCCCCGAGTTCTGCCCTCTTTTGCGGATATACCTTCCTACAAGTAAGTACTACCTATACTTCTGTTATTCTCTCTGTTCATCGGCAAAACCCCCGGTGGAGCTGGCCGCAGATGGCGCTATGCCTGTTTGGGTTGTATATGAGAACGTCTTGGATGTTGCGTCGGGCGTTGGCGGTCCGTCTGCATGGCGTAGTCATGCATCGCCTGCAGCTAGGCTGTCGGATGCAAGAGACGCTCTTCATTATTCGACGGAAAACAGGCGCTTCTTAAAGGATACGAAGGCCAGGAGGGGATTTGAGCTGACTCAGGGCTGACAACAGCGGACCCCACCTTCTTTCGGGGCCGCCGTTATCACGAACTTCTCTTCGCCGCACCATCTCGCGTCCCTGCAGGATACCCTCTTGGTAAGTATGCTGCCTTCCACGCGCATCATATTCGCTTTCGCTCCAATGCATTGGTACCATCCCTCGACTTTATCCGGATGTCCTGACGGTCATTCGCCCCTGCAAGTTGTCTTTCTCCATGTGGAGAGAGCCTCCCATGCGTGTGGGGCTCGATCCAGACGGTGGAAGCCATCATCGGCAATGCTACAAGGCGATATGCCTGGATGAATACAGGTCGGATCCTCGCTTGGTCGTGACGGGGTTCGTTTGCCCCTCCTCCGGTGGCTCTGATCCCCTCCTGGACTTTATTATTATCATCCTTCTTATTCGGTTTCTTCCTCCTCCTCCTTTCTCTCCTCCCCCCAGACCACTCTCATCCCTCTCAGGTGGGTTCCGTCCACAGTCCAATTCTTCCCTCTCCGCAGACACGACTCGTGGATACTGATATTTTTCTTCCCCGCCTGAACAGATTCTTCACAATGGCCCCTCAACTCCACCACAACCCTCCCTTCCGGGCTGAGCATCTCGGCTCCCTCCTCCGTACTGATGAGCTCCTCGACATCAAGACCGCCTACGAGAAGGGCGAGGCCTCCGAGTCTGCTCTCCAGGCTGTCGAGCAGAAGGATATCAAGGATGTCGTTGCGCTCCAGAAGGAACTGGGTTACCCTGCTCTCTCCGACGGAGAGTACTGCCGTCACAGTAAGAGACCTCACCAGCAATAAATCTCCCCCCTCGATGCCAACCTGCTAACATCAGATCGCGTGACTAGTGTTCTGGGGATCCTTCTTCCCGGGTCTGGAGGGATTCGAGGAGGTGAACGACGTTGACGCCGAGAGCTTCCGTCCCTATGCCCCCGATGTTGCTGCCTTCCTTGAGGCCGGTCACAAGCCCGGTGAGACCGTGATCTGCACGGGCAAGATCAAGCACGTCGGCAGCACCTATGTCGACCAGTTCAAGTACCTGGCCAGCCTCGTAGCCCCTGAGGAGGTCAAGAACGTGAAACTCACCCTGGCCGCCCCCAACTGGTACCACCTGCGTTACAAGGAGGGCAAGGCCTACCCCAAGGAGGTCTATGCTTCCGACGACGAGTACTTCGCCGATATTGCCAAGGCCTACCAGGATGAGCTCCAGATCCTGTACGATGCTGGCTGCCGCAACGTTCAGTTCGATGACCCCAACCTTGCTTGTAAGTTTTGCAACCATCCCATGGCAGTGGTGGAACAATCGTCTAACCAACGCAGACTTCTGCTCCGAGAAGATGCTGGCGGGCTGGAAGGAAGACCCTCTGAACATCCACTCCGCCGACGAGGTGTTCCAGAAGTACATCAAGCTGTATAACGACCTGCTGTCCAAGCGCCCCGCCGACTTCCACGTCGGTGTGCACATCTGCCGTGGTAACTTCGTCGGCAGCCGTCACTTCTCCGAGGGTGGCTACGACCGCATCGCCACCAAGCTCTTCCAGGAGCTCAACGTGGACACCTACTACCTCGAATACGACACTCCCCGTGCCGGTGGCTTCGAGCCCCTGAAGGAGCTCCCCAAGCACAAGAACGTCATCCTGGGTGTCGTGACCAGCAAGTTCCCCGAGCTCGAGGACAAGGAGGAGATGAAGAAGCGCGTCTACGACGCCGCCAAGTTCATCGCCGAGGGCAACAACATCTCCGTCGAGGAGGCCCTCGACCAGGTCGGTGTCAGCCCTCAGTGCGGTTTCGCCAGCCACCGCGAGGGCAATGCCATTGACCGCACGGGCATGATCAACAAGCTCAAGCTGGTTCGTGAGATCGCCAACGACATCTGGCCCGGTCAGCTGTAAATGTTTTTCCTTTTGATGTATATATGGCGATTTGATACCATGGTGTCATGTTTTTAGCAGGTAGCTTTTGTCGATTTTCAACAATGAGACGAACTTGATGACCAAAAGAGGATGTTGCGAAGTCTGTAGTTGATCCGTGTAATGTAGGTAGGACAGATGATTTATATACTACACATGCCCAGCCGGGTACCTTGGGGTCTGCGGAGGGGTGGATCGCCTGGGGGCCCCATAGAGCCGACCCGGGTGTTATGGTCCAACCTGAGTACTAGGTAGTAGGAAGGCGCAGTAAAGCTCATTGACATTATCGTCTTCTATTAGATGCTCTACATTAACAGATCCCAAAAGAATAACATCAGCAAAAAGAAACCGGGGTAGTATTAATTATAAGGGCTGGCGGATGACCCGTATAAGAACAGTGGGGGATATCATGAAGTATAAGAAAAGATAGCGAAGCAACAGCATGCAGATGAAAACGAAATGGAAACACGGAGTCCAAATGCTGCGTCTTCTGTCATCAAGAATGGACATGAAACGAATGAACTGGATGGTACAAAAGCGATGTTGTACATGAGTCGAGGCCAGGTCGTTCGCGCCTCTGTAGATTAAGTCGGGAGAGATCGGCGGAGGTGATGCTTATTTCTGCGGCGGGGTCTTGACGTTGTTGGAGAGCCAGGCCTAACGGGGTCAGAGTACATCCAGGCGGCATTGAGCCGGTTCACTTACGAGTCCTTCAAAGATACCGGTGCCCTCAGTCGCCACACTGGGAGCCACATACCACAGCTTGTCCTTCAGGCGGTTGAGCTGGAGGGCGTTGGTCACCTCCTCAGGGCTCAAATCTAGAAATTGGTCAGCGGGGGGAAAAGATTCCAGCGGAAGCGCAGGGACATACGGCCGGGGACGTCCTGTTTGTTCGCAAACACCAGCAAGAGGGCGTCCTTCATTTCGCGATCGTTGATGATTTTGTGCAGTTCCGAGCGGGCCTCGTCCAGTCGAGCGGTGTCGCTGGAATCGACGACGAAGATCAGACCTTGCGTGCCTATGAAGATGGCGGTTAGCGATGAGTCCCATGCATCCTGGCGATAGCGATGCGCGCGATCGATCGTACCCGAGTAGTAGTGTCTCCAAAGCGGGCGGATCTTGTCCTGACCACCCACATCCCATACGTTGAACTTGACATTCTTATAGGTGACACTCTCGACGTTGAAGCCAACCGTGGGGATGGTTGTCACCTCCTGGTTGGTGAGTTTAAGCTTGTAGAGGATTGCTGGAGGGGAGGTCAGTCCGCATGCTCTGTCCTCGGCTTTCCCCCTGAGCCAGAAGGCTAGGAACGTGGCCTCCGAACTTACTGGTCTTTCCGGCAGCGTCTAAACCCAGCATCAGGATTCGCATTTCTTTCGTCCCGAAAATCTTCCCCATTATCTTGGATACTTGGCCGCCCATGTTTGCGAGTGACACGCGACTCGGAGTCGCGAGGGGTGATCGGAAGTGAAAACGAAGATATCAGGAGAGTTGCACGAACGAATCGCTTCTGAGGATTTTCCTGGCGGACAATCGACAGATCGAGTTGATAGCGGGTTCAATGGCGGATGGAGGAATCCAGCGAGGGGGGCGAGTTCTAAGTAATGAGGGGAGGGGAACACCCAGCGATCGAAGGACAGTTGTCGACCTGGTCGGTATCCGAGTCAACGAGGAGCACGTCCGGAGGGAGATTACGATATGACAATCGCGCAGGGGACGCAAGGTGGAAGAGGAGCAAGTGGCTTGCTTACCTGGAGAGAGGTGGGAGAAACAAACGAAAGGGGAAAGGAACCCAAACAATGGGATGGGATGGAGAGATCGCGGAGGAGGCGAGAGAAAGAGGAGAACAGGTAATATTGCCAGGAACCCAGGGTGGATAACAGGGGAGCAAGTCCCGTCTGAGGAATTAGGAGACTAGAGAAGACTCAGCCTAGTTTAATTAAAATCCGACTCGAGCGTGACGATCCACACGAGGCTTTTCTCCAACTGTCGTCGTTAAAAGGGGGTGGCGCTGACTCAGCCATGTATAGGTGTTTCGTCTATCATCTACCTACAAAGTACCTATCTACCAAGTCTCTAACCACCTACGCAACTACTACTACCGTCCTCTACCGACCCTTGGTGCGGTACCCAGACCTTCGGATCTCCCTGTCCCAGTACAACGGCCGTTCTTTGTCCGTCCGTCTCTATCCATGGTGTCTAGAACCCCATCGGTCTATGGCTCACGCCATATCCGCATACTTGCCATCTGTACATGACCGATTCGCCAGAAACCCGGCCACTCGGACGCCCTGGTCCCTCAGAAAGAATGATCGGATACGATGAGATGCTCCAATTCCAGTGTCCCCTACGTGGAGAATCCCTGACTGACACTGATGTGTCTGCCGTGTACCCGTACGTCATGGCCATTAATGGTGAGGTCATGAGGACTTCAACCAGCCGCCTTACACAACAACTCCGCTTGCACCATGAACTTAAAGGGACGGTATATTATCCTCCCCAGACTTTTCCATCTCCCCGACTTTTTATGTTATCATCTACTCTCTCAACAATCCGCTTTTGCAACTCCATTAGACATAGACCGACGACAGAATGAATGGTACGGGTGAAGCTAGATCCATTGCTCGTCGGGCCTCTGTCCATCAGCAGAGACGTCTGTCGCTCCAATACGAGCTGAATTCGTGGAATGCTCCTCCCTCCGGGGTACGTCTCTACCTGATTCCCACTGGATGTATATTCCTTTAATCATTCCAAATACGTTCATATAGACCATCTATGCCGGTATTTCGGGTGCATTTACGAAAGATAGCGTGACGATTGCCGTCGCCATTCGCGACACCACCTACCTCCTGGACTTCTTCCAAAGAAAGCTTACGCCGAACGCCCACCGCACTATATGCATGGAGATCGGGGACTATGTCATCGGTTCGTTGCGCAATTACAGTGATTGTCAGATGGAAAAGTTCATCGGTCTGGCCATGCCCAAGAAAGTCGCCGACGAATGCCCAACTCTGTGCTCTCGTCTTTGGGCCGAGCTCGACGTGATCCCCTTGGTCCTTGATGAAGGCAACCGCAAGTCAAGCGATGACAAGTTCATCTTCGGACTACCGGAATCCAAATCCTGGTGGCACAAGAGTCTCGACGAGCAGGCGGAGTCAATGGGCCGCAAATGTGTCCGGTACGCTTGTCTGCATCCTCCCGTGCCTCTCGTGACAGCATACTAAAGATGCCCGCAGACTTTTCGGACCAGAGAACCTCCCGATCCTGCAAGTTGGCTTCGGTGGCTTGGTAGAAGTCGACACGGCTTTCCATGTCCGCCTGGCCAATATCGACGACTTCGAAATGACGGTCAGCCAGAAGACATGGGATGCAGTGGAGCACTATGCCAAAGACCTGAAGAACAGGGATGTCAAGATTGCTTTCTTCAGCGCAACCCCTCAAGGTGGCGGCGTTGCTCTCATGAGACATGCTCTTGTCCGGTTCTCCCATGCACTGGGAACCAAGATGGGCTGGTATGGATATCTCTTGCCCCAGCCCTTCGAAATAAGCGGGCTCGCACTGACATGTGTTCGATAGGTATGTGCCGAAGCCACGGCCGGGTGTTTTCCGTGTGACAAAGACAAATCACAACATCCTTCAGGGCGTGCAACGCGACGGAGAGCGGCTCACCGAGGAGAAATGGGCACTGGTCACAGATTGGATCCATGAGAACGCAAACCGGTACTGGTTGACCGAGGGAGGTCCTCTGGACCACCCTTCGAATGGAGGAGCGGATGTTATCATTATCGATGATCCTCAAATGCCTGCACTGATTCCTCTGGCGAAAGAGGTGGCGCCTGAGAGACCAGTCATTTTCCGAAGCCACATCCAAATTCGTTCGGACTTGATCTCCCAGCCTGGAACGCCCCAGGAGGAGGCCTGGGGCCGGATGTGGGAGATGATCAAACTTGCAGATGTCTACATCAGTCAGCCGGTGAGCATCTTTGTGCCGCCGAATGTGCCTCAAAAGATGGTCGGCTATATGCCTGCGTCGACGGACTGGTAACACATTCCTCCCGCATTTGTTCCGAACCTAACTAGCTGACAGCTGATTCCAGGCTGGATGGACTGAACAAGCATATGCGGGACTGGGATGTCGCATACTACGGCCGAGTCTTCAATTCTATTTGTAGAAACTCAGGCATGCCAACCATTGACTTCCCCGACGGTGAGCACCTCCCGTTTCTGGTACGACAATACTAGTTCACATGCTGACGCACGGGTCCTACTCTCAGACGAGTACATTGCCCAAATCGCACGCTTTGACCCTTCCAAGGGAATTCCCGAGGTGGTGGAATCGTACGTCAAGTTCCACCATCGGTTCACCGCGGCGGTGCCCGACAAGAAGCCGCCCAAGCTGTTGATCTGCGGCCACGGCTCCGTCGACGACCCAGATGGAACCCTGATATACGATGCCGTCGTGTCCCACATCGAGGAGAGCCTCTCGCACCTTGCGGATCTCATTTGCGTCGTCCGACTGGGCCCCTCGGACCAGGTGCTCAACGCTCTCCTTTCCAAGGCCAAGGTCGCCCTGCAGCTCTCCACGCGGGAGGGCTTCGAGGTCAAGGTCTCCGAGGCGATCCACAAGGGCAAACCCGTCATTGCAACCAGGGCGGGTGGCATCCCGCTCCAGGTGGCAGATAAGAAGAACGGCTTCCTGGTGGAAGTCGGCGACACCGACGCGGTGGCGCAGCATCTCTTTGACCTGTGCACCAACGACGAGCTGTACGAGACCATGTCCAAGTTCGCACTGCAGCACGTCTGCGACGAAGTCAGCACTGTCGGCAACGCGCTCAACTGGCTGTATCTGTCGGCGACGCTGTCCAAGGGCGAGAAGATCTCGCCGAACGGCCGCTGGATCAACGACATGGCGCGCGCCACCGCCGGAAAGGAATACACCGCGGACGAGAACAAGCTGAACCGCGAGGTCGACCCGGAGAAAATGGGAGGTCCGGGCACACACAAAATCGCCCACTTAGAGAAGGTGCTGTCTGAAAGAATCCGTGCATAGAGTCGTTCGGCGAGTTACTAGTCTACTCAGTATCATTTTAGTATCAATGCATCACACATACCAAAGTTTATACAACGCTGGGGGGTATAGAACGTAGCAACAATCACCACTCATCACAAAACCAAGCACACCAAATACCAATCACCGCGCAACCATCCGATACCTCTCCCTCGCCATCCCCCCATCCGCGCCCTCAACCGCATACCCCTCCCCAACCTCGCCGACAATGCGCGCCGGCGCACCGCCGACAACACACCAACTCGGCACGACCATCCCAGGCGCCACAACCGCGCCGTCCAGCACGACCGCAAAGTCCTTCAGAATCGCCATGCTCCCCACCACCGCCTCGCGCCCGATATGCACATGGTTCCCGACCGTCGCCGCCTCCACCACCGCCCGCTCGCCCACAAACACATGGTCGCCGATCTTCAGCGGGTAGAACGAGTGCACCCCGCGGTGCAGCCGCGACGGCGGCCGCAGCACCGCCTGCTTCGACACGTAGCTGTACCGCCCGATCGTGATGGCCACCGACGGCGTGGCGGGCGCGGCCGCGCCGGCGTCGGTGGATGCTGCTGCGGCGGAGGACGAGGACGAGCGGTACAGGTCGCCGCGGATCACGGCTTCCGCTTGGATGACAGTCTTGCCGCCGAGGATGATGTGCTGCGTGCCGTGGATCTGGGACCGGCGCGAGATCTTGTTGCCCGTGTCCTGTGTGGTTGTTAGTGGGTTGTTCGGTGGTTGGTGGGGTGGGAGGGAGGGGGCGTACGGTTTCGATGTATTCGCCTTTGGCGGCTTTGGGGGGCATGGTGTTTGGTTTTTCTTTCTGGGTATATTGGAGTATTGGGTTCTCTTCAATTGCGCGGTGTCGTGGGGGTTGTTGTCTCCGGGGAGCTTGGATGCGGGTGGTGGAAGGCGGTGAGAGTCTACCTTAGCGTCTTGCTAGTCTTATCTTTAGGGGCTACGCGATAAGCTCTGCGAACGCAAACTACTATTCTACATAAACATTAAATCTCAGAAATAGCCAAACAATTGTCATATGCAGACGCAGGATATCACAGCAAAGACCGTCAAATACAATCCATATCAATCAAGCAGTTCACACGCCTGTCCCAATCTCCCGAGACTTCACGCGGAGGCGATTCCGCGCTTCTTTGGAGCAGGAAGCTCCCCATCAAAGTGGACCTTGAAGGCTGCAGAGAAGAAGGTTAGCCTGCTACTCGTGCACGGTCTATCAACAGCAGAGACTTACTAGTCGGGAAAGGAGAGTAGCTGCCCCAGTCTTCGCGGAGGTAGACATAGTAACCACCCTCGCGGGGGATCTTCTTGAGTTGGCCCTGAGGTCCAGGGGCGGGCCGGAGGTTGTCCAGACGGCCAACAACGCGGAGCATGGCCGTCAGAGCCAGGAGAGTAGCCTCCTTGCCGAGGCCGGCGTGGGGGCCGAGACCGAACTGGATGTACGAGTCCAGGGGACGGTCCAGACGGACTTCGTCGGGGTCAGGGAAGACACTAGGGTCGCGGTTGGCCTTGACCTGTGAGAATATCGATTAGCGGGACTCTGTGGCACTCGGGGCTAGCGGCACTTACAGCTCCGACGAAGACCTTGTCGCCCTGCTTGATGTCGACAGGGCCGGACCCGTCGTTCACCGTGAAGTCGGTCTGAGCCTCGCGGTAGGAGCCGAAGGTTCCGAAGAGACGGAAAGCCTCCAGACAGTACCGGGTCAGTTTCTCATCCGCCTCGGGTGTGGTCTCCTTGGCCAGACGGTTGATTTCAGGCAGATGCTTCTTGCCTTCCGTGACGTAGTAGTCGACAATGTGGGTGAACTATGGGAGTTAGCTTGGAAGCATGGGAATGAGGTGCCGCCATCACTTACCATGCGAGCTTGGTTGTGGACCATCGACACAGCAGTCGGCAGGATCTGAGAATACGTGACGTCGGAGACACCCAGGCCAGAATCGAGAAGCTTCTTGATCAGCTGGTCTCCGTACTCCTTCAGCACGTTGTCATCGTCGCGGAAGCTGTCGATGATGGCGGAAAGGAAGCCCGGGTGGCCGATCGACTTGACGTGGCTCTCAATCGCACTGCCGAGCTGCTGCGATACGGCGCGGGAGGCAAAGTGCATAGGGAACGACTTGGTAGGGTCCACGTCAAAGAACACACTGGTGAACACGACCGCCATGATCATGAACATCTCGTGCTCGGTGAAGACGCCCTTGGAGTTCTGTTTCGTCTTCAACGGCAGGGAGAACACCTTGGAGGCGAAGTGGACGGGAGCCAGATTGCCCAGACTAATCCAATCAGTAAAGGTGTACTCCGAAACTAGTTCAGTCACTTACTCCCGAGTGATATCAATCTGTCTAATGCCACCAAGCTTGCACGACTTCTCATTGAGAAGCTTGATGGTCATGTCCTCGTAAAACTCCTTGATGTTCTTGCGCCACTCATCGTTGTTCAGGGCCTTGCTCCAGAAGTCATCGCCGCCCTTGGCGGGGCGAAGAGGGGTGTTGCCGCTCCAGATGACACGGAACTGCTTCTCCTGCTCGAGGGCCAACTTGACGTTCGGGTAAGAGACGAGATTCACCTGGGGAGGGGTGAACTTCGGGCGCTCCCAAGAGTAGTGCGACTCGCGGCCCAGGTTCTTCATGATGTTTCTGTTCTCAGATGGGATAGTCATGGGGTAGTGGGCATAGATGGAGTCGGGCTTGAACCAGTTCGGGAAAGCCCTGGTGGCGAGCTTATAGAAGACGCAGCCCTGGTTGATGCTAAGGTCATAGCGGCACTCGTTGTATCCCCAGTTGGTCAGGTTCCTGGGGTTGTAGTCGATCTACAGCACGATTAGCAATAGGAGACTTGTGCCACTACATTCAGTGGGCTTACCGTGTAATGACGATCACCGCGGACAAGAGCCACTGCATCCGATAGAACAGCACGGGAGATAGTGTAGGTAGGAGCAATTCCCACACCCGGAATCATGGGCTCCTTGGCTTCTTCCGCAACAATACCAGGATAGAGCTCGACATAGTCCGGGTGCTCATACAGGTTCCGAAGAGCGTCAGCAACGTCCGGGTCGGAGTTGATTTCCTCGAAGGACTCATAAGGCTTCAAGTCAAAGAACTTGCGGAACTCGTTCAGGGAGCCAACGTTCCACTGACGGGCTTGGTTGATACCCAGGACTTCCACGGCCTTGAGAGCCTTAGGGACATGACGGGCACCGAAGGAGCCTAGAATAGAAATCAGTTATACGCTGTAACATCTCATCATGCAGCGATGAACTAACCAGCAACGTCCTCGACGGCATTGGTCAGGATCTCGACGAGCTCCTCATCCTTGAACGTTCCATCGGCCTGGCGTTGCAGGCCGGCGAAGGTCCGCTTAGAGGGGTCCTTCTCGAGGCTTCGGCCATACTTCATCAGGCCGCCGAGCAGCTCCTCAACGGAGACCTCTTCAGCAGGCTTGCCCATCAGATCTTGATAGACCTGTTCAGTCCACTTCTCGTCATTGGCACTAATAGCGGAGTGCCAGCGGTACGCCAGGTTGAACTCGACGGAGCATTGGTTACCAAGGCCCGACGGAGTGCTGCTAGAGCCTTCCATTTGTGCACGAGGGTCCTATAAACTGTCAGCTCCTGCCCATAACATCCACATGTGTTCACTTACAAGGCACCAGGTGCTGTTCACTCTGTTCAGGTTGACGATGGTACGCAGGTAGTCGTACAGGGTGATGTTGATGTACAGACCACAGGTGATCCTTGCCGAGCGTTAGGTACATAGCTGTGAGCATTGGAGGGGTGGAGACATACAGACGACCAGTCTGGAAAAGGTCCTCATCGTACTTTTCCCAGGCAGCCTTCGCCTTGTCTTCCGGCAAGTCAGGGCTAGGCTTGGTGAAGCGTCCATTCTCGTTAATTTCAGCCAGCTGCTCCACGACGTGGTTGTGGAATCTGTCAGATGTCAGCGCAAGCAATTCGTCTCGAAGACAATTCCAGAACTTACCGGTTCAACATGACCAGCAAAACACAGCATGTGGCAGGGAAAGCCTGGAGTCGCGGCTCCGAGAACGCATCCGGCTTCAGCTTTCCGTCCTTGTGGGTACGCACAAGGTCTTGCTCCTCCTTCACATCACCGTACAGAATTGACAGGTCAAGGTAGCCGGAGGTCTTGTTAATGTTCGGGTTCTGGTGGTCAGTCTGGAAGATGTCTACAATCGGTCTCAGCATAGGTCATCTGAAAATTCCCAAATCTGAGAGCTTACCGTGGATAATCAGAGACGCCCAGTCGAAGAACACACTGGAGACCTTGTTTGGGTGAGGTCTGAACTTGTCGCGAGCGAAGAGGCTATCGAACACAAGACCGGCATCGGGCAGACCACCGGGTTGGATCGTCAACGGGGCGATCGAGCGCGCATATGGCGTGTTGGCAGCTCCCAGCCATGGAAGGGTAGGGTTATTGTTTGAGCCATCGGCACTGCGATAGGCGTAGTCGCTTCCCATGTACCTGATTCCGTCTTAGTGAACCGGGTTTACGTATGCGTCCGTTGCGGCGAACTTACGAAAGAGGCGGGTGAGGCAGAGACTCCCAGAGTTGATCCAAGAAGAGGTGGGTCAGCTCCGTCCGGGACTTGGAGTTCGCAGGGAGACCGCTAACAAGCTGAAGAGCAAATACATCATCAGCACTTCGCCTTTTCAAGTTCCAGGAGTTGCGCAACCTACCTGAATGATGCGCTCCATCACCATGGTTTTGTCATCTACATGCTCACCCTTGGCCTTAGTTGCGATGACCTCCTTCAAAGTGCCAAAATCCTTGAATCCGAATGACCGGAGATCCTGGAATAAGGTGGTCTGGTGGTCATGAGCGCTTGTCGCGCCATCGCCGGTCTGATTTGGCAGAGGGCTCCGCGACGCATGGAGCACCTGGGCGTACTTTTCGAACGCGGGGACACCATCCTCGTTCTTCGCACTGCGCTCACCATCGGAGGACGATGAAGAAGACTTGCGCGGCTGCGCCAGCTTGGACTGGCGCTTGCTGCTGTTGTTCGCCGGGCCCGGGGTGCCATTCTGCTTGGACTCACGGTCACCCTTTGACTTCTTGAACTGGGTAGAAAACCTCCGCAACATTATGAATTAAGTAATTAACAAGACCAAAAGGAATGAACAAATGTGTGACGGAATGTGTACAGCGGAAAGGGGAGTGGAACAGAGAAACAAACAATATTGGGGGGGTAGCTGGTGGAAGATATGCAAGCTCTCCAGCTTGGAGCAACACGATTTAAAAAGGAAAAACAAAATAAATCACAGCACGGTGGTAACCAGGGTGTGGATCCTGTCTACCGAATCCCATTGACAGCAATAATAATATCACAAATCAAAGATTAATCTTTCCATGGTCGATATCGTGTGCCGCTGCCGAGTCCCGCCCTTGACAGCGTCAAGTAATAATACATGATTTGAACCCCGCGGGTAGCGCATGAAGGATTGGCAATCGCCAAACCTTTCTGCTGGGTATAGTGGAGACCTGGGACTCTGCTGGAGCAAGAGCACGGCGCGAGGTTCGGCTGTGTTGGCAGCAAGTGTTACTACTATGAGCCCTTGTCCAGTAGTTTGATCTTAGGTACGGGGAACTCTACCACACTGGGTAATGCTCATCCGAGATCCGAATGGGGATTCCAGCTTGTATGTAAAGTCTGGGAGGCATTGGCCCCGTATGTCGGCGGTACGATGTTTGTCTTACCCCATTGCGGATAGAGCTGAATGGGAATGAGAGACAGCAGGCGATTTGCTTCAAATTTGCAGTGACCTCCATCTGTCGATTGGCTGCAGCCCGAGCCGAGCCCCATCCAATTGCGATGGCCGTCGCCAGCCACAAACAGAGAGGAAGGGAGCTGCAAGTTTGACTGTCGATGCCAAGTTGATGGACATCGGAGGTGGAGCTATAGAAGGGGTTGGGCTTCTCCACTTCCGCATTGCCAATGATAGGACCCTAGTGACTGGCGCCAGCTCGGAGTCAATAGGGTCAATGCGATTTGTCTAGCACACAGCAACCAGGGATACTCCGTGCATTAGCAGAGTCTTATACACAGGAGACAGCTCAGCCGAGTACAACATTCTTCGTCATCGGTCACACCTGACGTCTCTCACCGATATGTGATTGATCTCCCTTGTCGGGCTCGGTGCTCGATCGAGTCTGTCCACAAAACCTCAAGACGGCCGTGCCCGCCGACTCCGCCAGAGGTGAAAAGTTTTGGTTCTGCGTGGAGTCCAATCGGGGGTGGAGGGTTCCTAATACACCCACGCGTTCAACAGACGAGATCATCGTCATTTTACTTTGGAACAGTCAGGGATTAGCTCCGACTAAGGGCGTATCATCCATCCTAAGCGGGGGCGTTCCGATCCACTCGCTTCCCCTGGCAAATTGTCTTTTTCTTTTCTTTTGCTTCTGCGTGCCCCGTGCGTTGAGGGAGATGATTCAGCGGCAAGGATCATCCACGCGAAGAATCACTGAGAGACAAAAGAATAATGAAACATCGAGTCGGCCGTTCTCTCTCCCGTAGGCGGTCCAGCATGGGATTCGATCTTGTCTTGGGCTGGGGCTGTCAAGGTCACGGATCACTAGTGCGTGGGTGCCCGTACCAGAGAAATAAGGGAAGATCATCGGGTGGATCGACTAGGCGAGGTGGTGTTCGTCAGTTCGATCGATCTGGGATTGTTTTCGGGACCCTTTAGCGTCCAGATGAACCTCCCTTTTGGGGAAAAGTCCCAATCTTCCCGATCCGCCTCCCGTCTTTGGCCGTCCGTCGCCCAGCCATGTGATTCTTGTTGATCGCGGAATGAGGGGTGGTTAGACCTCCTCTGTAGCCTGCAAGGGTTTGACGTGCAGTCATCCTTCGGAGGATTAGCTACCTTTTTCCACCATCTCTCAGCCGGAAATTGGAAGCGGTTCCGTCCAATTTGGTGTGAGAAGGGTGGTGGAAGACGGGTTACTAGTCTGGTATCAGGAATGAAATGCCGGGTGAAAAGGGGGAACGCATGGATCGGGGGGGCATTCTGCACGGGGCCCAAAAGGAAGAGAAGTTCGTGGTTGACTTGGCCAACCATCGGGAGCTGCCGAGTGGTTCCCTAGTGGGCCTCATCCGCATTCTATTATTCTCGGTGGTATCATCCTGTCATCGTGAAGCTCAGAAGAGCCTGGGTCCGATCGTCAGAGATGATACCGAAGATCTGAAATCCTGAGGGATTGGAAGTTATGATGCCAAAGTTGCCGCTCTCCCAAGCAGGCTGGAGTCTGCATAAACACGAGTCATGGACCTGCTTCTCATGTCGCCGTCTGTGTTTGTTTAGGCCCCTTATTGTCAATGCGGGTGACAACAGGGGCAACGAATGAACCAACAGCAGGTCAGTCCCTTGCTTCGTCTCCCTCGTCTCTTGGGTGATTTAGCCAGATCGTCTTCTTATTCTTGGTGTCTTCCCTGCTCATGGATCCGTTTGTCTTATCCTCACGGGTCACCACTTATTCTGTAAAGAGGACGGTGTCTAGTTGAGTCTTCGAGGTATCGGCTAGTGATTTCCTCGACCCCGGTCCTCGTATTATCCCCATCCGCGTGTTCCGTATTCCTGTACCAAGTGTGAAGGTCACCCGTAGATCGTCTGGATTTTGTCAAGGATCGTCAATTGTCTTCTCTCTCAAGCAATTAAGGACGACTTTCCCGTCGTCCGAGCACATGGAAATAGTGGAGCAAAAGAGAGCCAGATCACCCGAGACATCGGAAGAGCGTAATTTTTCCCTGCTGGCTGACCTGTTTTACTGGCCTTGGGCTTTTGACAGCCGAATCCACAAATCCACCAGAGCAATTTGGTGGAGGGCTGCGCTGATAAACCGCGTCAACCCTAGCTCGAGATAGGCGATCTTGGCTGGACTTTACAGCTGACCATGTCGGGGGCCACCCAATGACTCTCCCTCTTCAACGCCAAAGCCATTGAGAACCAATATCACAGTGGATTTGGCTTCCTGGAGGTGGGGTCGAGAATTCAAATACCACACCTGTCTTGACTCACTGTCGCCCACCTGCTTAAAGGGGGTGAAGAATGCGCAGACCACCATATCTGACTGGGCCAACCACCGCATGTCGATCCACCACGAAGACTTGAACCTGACGTATTGACAGGGCTGCAGGGAATCGGAAGGGAGACTTCCAAGATCTCTCGTGCGACTAGTATTTTGGCCGGGGTATTCCCAGTCATCGCCTTCAGTTAAACTTTCGGGGGTAGCTGCAGACGGTGCAAGTCTTGGTCGTGGACAGCGCGTATAGTCGGTCTTATATACCCACCCACGCTGCCAATCTGTTGCTTCTGTTCTGCCAAGTCAGTTCCTCGCCATTGATAGTGTCGCCATGGAACTGGAAATGCAAGGTCCGGCGCCCGTGCCGAAGCAGTTCGTGCTTTGCTTCGATGGCACGGGAAATAAATTCTGCGGCGATGAGTCGGATAGCAACGTCCTCAAGATCTTTCGAGTGAGTAGACACCCCGTCGTGGAACCGGGAATGATGTAGCAGACGCTTCAGCTTCCAACACGTGTTGCATGACCTCGTACATGGCCCAATGACGAGAGACTGACCGGTCTAAACAGATGTTAGACCGCAGTAAAAGCCACCAGTTTCATTACTATCAGCCTGGCATTGGAACATACGTGACGTCCAAATCGCTGTCCAGCCATGGCCGCTTTCAACGAATTCGGTCCGCCTATCTTAAGGCGAAAGATTCCGCGATTGGCTCGTCGTTCGCCGAACACGTCATGGGCGGATACAAATTTCTGATGAGATATTACAGCCCAGGCGATGAAATCTACTTTATCGGCTTCAGTCGAGGAGCATACATCGCGCGCTTCCTCGCCGAGATGCTCGACTATATCGGGTTACTGGAAGCAGGCAACGAAGAATTAGTCCGCTTTGCATGGAAGACGTTTGCCAAATGGCAACAGCGCCGAGGAGGGGAGGAGGAAGACGAGGAACAGAAGCGGCTGTTCACATATATGAAGGCATTTCGAGAGACCTTCAGTCGCCCCATTACCCGGATCCGATTCATGGGTCTCTTCGATACCGTCAACAGTGTGCCGGCTTTTGAGTCTGCCTGGATGCAGCGAAGCAAGTTTCCCTATACGGCTCGAAGCTCGGCAAGAGTGATCCGACACGCCGTTGGTATTGACGAGCGGCGCGCCAAGTTCCGTCAGGACCTAATCTCTGAATCAAGGCCTTGGACAGAAAAGAAACGCGCCCATCGGTGGAAACGACACATGCCGCATCACATGCCACACCATCACAACGCCCAGGAGCAGTCAGAGAAGGAGAACACGGTTCCAGCCATCGTCGTCAATGGCGGTAATCAAGAACAGAATGGTCCTGAGGCGGGAGCTGAGCCTCGGCCTAGTCGAGACGGAACCGAATCGGTCTACCGCAGCTTGCGTAGCTCTCACGAGAGCCTCCACCACGCGAATCACCGATACCGTGCACCGGCTCACCATCCGCGACGACCTAGCCTGGCAGTTCCCATGCCGACAGCGTCTACCGAGGATTTGGCCTCCATAAGAAGCGGGCAATCGGGGCTTTCCTTGCAAATCCCCCCGGACCAAATGAGCCGTGTAACCGAGGAGGATGATTTCTTTTACGAAGATGAAACTAAACAGGATATTCAAGAAGTCTGGTTTCCCGGTGGTCATGCAGACATCGGTGGAGGCTGGAAGCTTGATGGAGAGGAAGTCCCGCTGAGCCATGCGCCCCTGGTGTGGATGGTTCAGGAAGCGGAAAAGGCAGGGCTACAGTTCGATAAAACGAAGGTCAAGCAGTTTGAATGCTGCGAGGAGTTCGATGGAGAATACTCTCCGATCGGCCACAGGAACCCATGGAACCGCAGCAACGGATTCTGTCAGGATCCCGAGCATCAAGCGGGACACGATGAGAAGCCCCGGTCCCAAGCTAGCATTAATTTCCACAAGGCTCTCCGTCTCTCCAGTGAACAAGGTTTACTTCATGATTGCCTCTCGTTCGGGAACGGCCTACCTGCCATGTCCGTCTTGTCATGGCGGATAATGGAATATCTCCCCTTCCGCCGGATGGATCTGCAAGCGGATGGTTCGTGGAAACCGATCCGATGGCCCTTACCTTGCGGCGAAGTTCGCGACATTCCCAACGATGCTCAGATCCATGTGTCAGCGATCCGCCGCATGAGGGCGGATCCTAATTACCGACCAGGTAACTTGATCGTTGGCGGTGGTGGGCGCGGAGTCCGTCGTGCCCCGGAGGAGTTGGGAATGGGGCAGTGGGAGGTCAAGGCCTACCATGGCGACGCCGTGCGAGAAGTATACGTACGGAAGAAGGTATCCAGTGTGTGTCGAGACGAAACACATGAGTGATCTCAGGGGCATATTGAGAGCAGGGGAATTGCTGTCACTTGGTCGTGCTTTTCTTTAGCTGGTTATAATCTCTTTTCGTGTTGTGATGGCCATTTTTGTTGATACTAATAATGTACGCCATTATATCGTGATATAATCGTCAATAATCGTCACTTGATTGATCTCGATGGCTGAATTCGTGGTGGCAATGTCCAGTCATGCCAGTGCCAGTTGTCATGGATGCTAAGCGCGGACTAGAGTACGGAGTATGTAGGCAAGTGGAGGTGGTTCTCAACGACTGGCTGTTGATGCTGTACGTCGAGCTGTTAGCTCGGATTCTCGAAATGTCTGGAACAGGCCAGACTTGACTATTTTCTTTTCCTCTCGCCTTCTCCCCCGAAAAGGCAATTCTAGCCATTGTAAACGTCCATCGGAGAAATGAGGCTTTTGGCAGCCGTTGATGCCGAGCATAGATAGATTGACCCATAGTTTTGGGTTTTTCGGATCCGACGGTTGTAGAACGGTATTGATAGATATTGATAGACGAATGGATAAGAAACTACTACTACTAATAATAATAAACAACCGTAGTGGTCGGTGGAAGGTGGTTCGTGGTGGCGTTGGAGCAGGGGAAGTGAAAGGAGAGTTTGTGGTTTACTAAGTTGGTGTTGACTGTTGACCTCACCACTTGCTAGTCTTTTCTCCCTTTCCTCCACTCATCGACCTCACCACCATCTTTCTCTCTCTCTCCTACTCCCTCACCATTCTATCCTCAACCACCATCTCCCGAATAGTCACCCCCGGGGGGCAAATTTTCCTTCCTCCACATCCGTTTCTCCGCTAGCCTCTCCAACACCCATTTCTCTCTTGGCCCCCTAAACCTTGGGTCTGCACCCCCGTCTGGGTCCATCTCGAGTCTCCATCCCTACAACTCTTTGCTCCATTTTGGCTTACCCAGCATGGTGCCGAGTTAGTCCGAATACTGGATCGCAGACGGATATGGAACCGTCTCGCCTATCCCCGGAGGGGATATCACTTCCCCCTAGTCCTGCCGAATCGCTGGAGTCTGTCGACTCGACAACGTCCGAGAATGCCGCGATGAAAAAGCCTGAGCCTTCGGAGAACGTCATGATAACCTTGTCGCTTACACCCGACCCTCCAACCTCCTCGCCGAGTCGCTTACCCTTCGCCCGCTCCCATCTTCGATCGCGATCCTTGGCTGAGGTTTCCGGCCTACCGCCGATGACTCGCGCACACTCTTCCCCAGGGCTGGACTCACGGGGGAGATATATCTTCGCGAACAATCGCGGCACCCAGGCGAATCTCTCCGACAGCCCAACGCGACGTTATCTGCCGCTGCAAGGCACCCCTGAAGAGAACCTAGAATCCAGGATGTTGCCTCTGAACATCTCCGAGACTATTTCCGAGCACGCAGAACTCGACACCTCAACACCTCCTCCTCCTCCGTCGCAAGGAGACCAGCTTCCTGCTTCACCTGTATTGCCTCACACGCTTCCTCGCATTGGTCGCCGGCGACCGTCTTCGCCCTTGCATTTTCATACGATGAGCCCCATGGGTGCGCCAGCTAGCAGCCCCTCTTCGGCGCATTCATCCCCAGTCGTCCTCGGCTCCCGCTACAATGAGACTTATCCCAGTTACTCGGCCTCTTCTACATCGTCGGTGCCGTCTACACCCACCAGCATTCGCTCCCGAAGCCCGAGCATTTCATCCTTGGAGACGATTCCAGACATTCCCGATGCGGAGGCCGCTGCCATTGAAGATGACCAAATTGCTGCCTTAAAGGCCGCGGCCGACAGAGCTGACGAAGCTGAAGCTGCCAATGGTGGAAACAGAAGACGGGGAGTGTCAGATGCTTCCGGACCAATGGGTTCCTTTGGCAGCATGCGCGCTGGATCAGGAGGATATGGTATCAGAGCCGACAAACGGAAACGGTGGAGCGTTTGTGGGGCCGAGCGTCGTCAAGACCTTGACCTAGAGACCATCTGGGAGGATTAGTGCGGCTCGAGACGCCAGCAGTCTTCAGTTGATCAACAGGGATCATCGTCAACCGCTCATAAACCGCCCTTCAGGAACATCGCATAGTATTCTTCGCCTAGCCATCAAAGCGCACTCCAAATTATCACTCGCTTGCCGGTATTTCGATGCGCATTTCAGCTTACGTCTACCAGTCTGGAAAGGAGTCTCCTCAAGCCAGGGGCTCTATGCGAGCAAGCTTATTTTGCGGCGACAATGTCTTGTATTATACTACTTTTGATTTCATTTGCTGAACCACAATTTATGTGTCAGGGGCTCCGCCCGGCGGATATCCCTTGCTGTTGTTTGTGCTGTCTGCTTGATCACCTTGCATGAGGATCGCGCAGGCTCGCCGATGCTCTCTGTCCGTTGAATTCATGTTGGGGCGCAGGGTGTGTATGGTGAGATTTCCTGTGGAGTATGCTGCGTTCAGTCTTGGTGTTGCTTCTTTCTGCGTCCTTCTTTTGCTGCGGTGGTATTTGCATCCTTGAGATTCCCCTGTTGCGTTTCCATCGCTACCAAGATCACTGGCCGGCTATGTGTCTTTGTGGATGGCTTTGCATGTCTTGATTGCTGTTTTGATCATTCTTCCTGTGTGTAAATACTAGGTACCCTCGCTGAACATGGTACATATGCATCAACTGAGCACTACACTTTGCTTCCAAATTTTCGAGACTTAACATCCAACGTAACGGCCTCCTTGAGTCCAGGCACTCTTATGCGTCATTGGAAGTATGAATCAATAGTCTGGATCCGGTACAGGATGCGTCGGTGTAGCCGGTCCTTCCCTTGCATACTAAAAAGTGCGATGCGAAGACTCTACTCATTTGTGGTTCATTTCAGCGCTTCTCCAAAAAGATTGCCAAAACATTGTATTGACATGATTACTATATACATCAGTGGTACCTTGTTTTGATCCCAATGATACCCACAACTTGAACCCTATACATAGGTATCTTATGCTACAGCCTGGGCTTCGCCTCCTTCGCATTCTGCCAGGCAAATCCAATCGACTTCCCAATACCCGGCTCGACGACAACATTGACGAGCGTGACAGTATCACTCTGGAACCCTTCATGGGTAGCCTTTTCCAGCTCCTCCTCAGTCCGGACGAAATACCCCTTCCCCCCACACATGGTAGCCATCATCTCGTAGCGGGTCTCGTAGAGCAGACTCGTCGACCGCAGGCCCTTCTTGCCGTCCGCGGACTTGGTGTCATTCGCGAGAGTCTGGCTCTGCAGGCCCTTCCACGCGTCTTCCGTGGTGGTATCGCCGTGGTAGATGCCCGAGTTGTTAATCACGTAGATCAGAGCGGGGATGCGGTACCGCGCGAGGGTCTCGATCTCCATGGCGCTGAACCCAAAGGCGCTGTCTCCCTCCAGTGCGACAATCTTCTTCGGCGTGCTGCCTGCGTTCGCGACGCCAGCATTGTAGGCTTCATGCGCCGCGACGATGTACCCCATGCCCACACCCATGGTGGCATACGTGCCGGCATCGAGACGCTGCCGCGGATGATGCAGCGGGAAGATCGACCGCGAGATGTCCATGGTGTTGGCGCCCTCGGAGACATACACGATGTTCCCGTCCTCGAGCGGCGACAGGGTATTCAGCGTCGACTTGATGATGTGGTAGGCGCGCTGGTATGTCAGGGGGGCGTTCGGCGGGGTCGGCGTCAGCGCGGCCTTGAGCGCTTTCGCTTCGTTCTTCTTGGCCGATTCGGCCAGCTGCGCGGCGAACCCGCTCTCTGTGCCGCTGGGATCGTAGCGCCAGTTGGCCAGCGAAGTGGCCAGCTGGTCGGCCACGCGCTCGATGTCGCCCAGGATGCCCAGCTCCGCGGACGAGGCGTTGCGGCCGATCTCCTCGGCGCAAATGTCGACCTGGATGATCTTGGCTGAGGGCGACCACTTCGGCGGCTCGCCGAAGTGCAGGATCCAGTTCAGCCGCGCGCCGAGAACTAGAACGACGTCGGCGTGCTTGAGTGCGGTGCTACGCGCGCTCGACACGTTCAGCGGGTGTGAATCCGACACCACGCCCTTGCCCATCGGCGTCGGGAGGAAGGGAATCTGCGTCTGCTCGACGAGTCGGTTGATCGATGCTTCTGCTCGGGCGTAGGCAGCGCCCTTGCCGATGATGAGAAGTGGTGCGCGCGCGCTCCGCAGGAGCTGGGCCGCCTTGAAGATCAGAGCGGGATCGCCGCTGGCTTTGGGGGGAGACGGAATGAGTATGTTCTCTGGCGCGGGGAGACGGAATCCAGGGGCGCTTTTGCCCTGGATGATGTCGGCTGGGAGATCAACGAAGGTCGGGCCAGCTCGGCCGTACCAGCAGGTCCGGTAGGCGTTCTTGATGGCTCCCGGGATGAAGTCGAGGGAGGAGGTCCGCACGGCGAACTTGGTGTGTGGCGTGAGCAGTGACACGGCGTCCATCTCCTGGAAGGCGCCCTTTGTGACGACAGTGGTCTCGGCCGACCCGGCGAGCACTAGCAGTGGGAAATTGTTTGCGGAGGCGTTGCCAATCTGAGAGGCGTTAGCTGATGCTACAGACGATGGTTCTGGGAGTTGGGACGCACTCCAGCCATTGCGTGGAGGACACCGGGACCTCCGACGACAAGACAGACACCAGGTCGTCCTGTCATGTATCCGTAGACGCTGGCCGCATAGCTGCAGGCTTGTTCGTTGCGGAAAGCGACAAAACGTATGCCTAGATTGATAGCCTCCTCGGCGATCTCCACCACGGGGATGCCAACAATGCCAAAGATGGTGGTGATGCCCAGATCACGCAGCGATCGGGCGATTATTTGCGCACCTGTAGCCTCAGCCATGATACAATGTAAGATTGACCGGGGGTGTGAGGTTGGAATGAGTAAGGAGGATGCAGGAGGTGGAGAGAAGACGTCAGTTATAGTTGGGGTGAGGGGATGGATGGAAGAATGCGGAGACTTCCGAGGTCCGGATAGCTTCCGCTTAGCATATCTGGGAGTACATGCATCCCAACTACTCCAACACCAGATAGTCATGTATATAGATCGTATTTCTACAGTCGTCCCTAAATTCCGCAGCATTTACAATGGTCCCTGGTATCCAACAATTTAACCCGTCATCCAAGACATGGTCTTCGATCTAGGTCTTCTATCTCCCTAACCGGAGGGGAATATCATCACAAGAAAGCAAAAAGAAGGCAAATTGAAGCAGATCATCAGTCGGTTCTTAGAATTCGAATTCCTTCCGGAACACGTTCACGTCCATTCCAGCCACCACCATATCGGCCAGATCCCGACGTCCCATCTGGCTGAATACGCGTCGCAGCGTGTCGTACAGGTTGGTGCTCTGGTTCTGGCTGATATGGAGCATCCGCTCCAACTGCTCATCATCAATGCCCCCATCACCATCACCGACAATTTCCCGAGCGCGCTCACGGCCTTCCTGCTCCACCACGCGGTGCATCGACAGAGCGCCCAGAAGGTGCTGCGCGGCCTCAGGGTAGCAGCCAATGTTGATACACGACACTCCCAGATTGTACCTGGCGCGGACGAAGTTGGGGTTGATGTTGAGTGCCTGTTCGTAGGCTTCGATGGCTTCTTCGGAGCGGCCGGAGTTGGCCAGCGTAGCGCCCAGGCGGTTCCACAGCAGATGGAGCTGCTCCTGTTGGTTCACCGTGCCCGATTCGGTGGAGGCCAGCGCGGCGGAGAAGCAGTCGACGGCCTTATCGTACTCCTCAGCGCAGTAGAAGAGAACACCGAGACCCACCTGGACATCCGGGTCCATCTGCTCTCCGGAGGGTGAGAGCTGCGCCGCCTGAATGAACAGCTCCGTCACCCGTTCATGCAGCAATTGACGATCCGTGAATCCAAGGTCCGCGTCTGAGGACAGATCCTTCGGGTTGATGATCTGAGGGTACTTGACGGAGAGCCAACGCTCGAGGGTGCGGTAAGCAGTCGAGTCATAGCCTTCGTTCGTGTAGGAAACGGCCAGTCCCATGAGAGCATCAAGGTTGTTCGGATCCAGCTTCAGAGCCTGTTCCAGAGCCCGGATGGCGGGCAACTCCTTCTCGTTCTGAGCCTGGGCCGAACCAAGCATAGTCCAGGCTTGCACATGCTGAGGGTCCTTCTGCACAGCGGCCTCAAACGCCAGAGCCGCCAGCGAGAGATTTCCTCCCTCACGCATGATCTTGACACCCTCTTCAAAGGGGTTGTTCACAGAGCGGAACATATTGTCCTCTTCGAACATGTAGTCGCCCAGTTGGGGGTCTCGGAAGCGGGTGTTCAACGAATCAAAGCCATCCCACTCGCCCATGTCACCCATGTGTAGGTTCTCCTCGATGTTAAAGTCGGTTTCGTCCTCGACCAGTTTCCTGTTTGCAGCGGACGTCTCAGCTTGGGCTCTCTGCCACACGCTCTCAAAGGCGGCGGTCTCATCATGCACTGACCTGTCCAGATCGTTCAGCTCCCGCTCAATCGCTTCGTTAGCCTCATCGTCGACCTTCTGGTGATCCGCCGTCTCCATCTCGGCGAACTGTGCTTCCCAGTTCTCATCGTCCAGCTCCACCATACGACCCTTGCCCTTATCCTGGGTGGTCGCTTCGGCCGGCTGCTGCATCCCCATGGGACCGTATGTCGGGCGCATCATGCCCATTCCTCCCATGCCCATATATCCCATGCCCATGCCCATGGGCCGTTGGTAGCCCGCCATCATCGGCGACGCGCTGGAGGTGACGGGGGTCGACGTCTGTGGCATGCCGCTCTGCTGTTGGAACCGTGCAAACTCCGCCGGAGTGAAACCCGAACCGTTATTCATCATCGGCCCTTGGGGACCGGCAAAGGCGGCCTCCATGCGGGCGTGTTCGCCGGCGTCGAACTCGGCGGCCCAGCCAGGGGAACCTGTGCGGGGAGGGGTCGTCTGGAATTGCTCTAATTCGCGACGCATCTGCTCCATCGCAAATGGCTGGGGGGGAGCGCCCGGTAGCTGACCGGGTTGTTGGGCGAATTCGTCCATCATCTACACGATTGTCAACCATCCCGCCATTAGCCCAGATGCTTCTGTGGCATGTGAACACAGTTGAAGAGCATACCTGATCTTGACCGCCCATCATTCCGTGAGACCGCATACTCTCCTGCATACCTCCGGGACCTCTCCCAACGAGACGGTCCCGTTGGAGGGATTTGTCATCTTGAACATGCTTCGTAAACTGCGTCAACGGATTTCCGGCCGTTGAGCACTCAGCGCCACCGAGGAAGGACATGATGAGTTGAATATAGCAACCTCGTTAAATAGCATGCAAACGGAAATGGAGTGGAGGAGGGGAATAACCATCGGAGGGAATAAGAGGCGGATAAATGAAGCAAAAGCAGGAGAGAAAGAAGAGAAGGGTGTGCGAGAGAGAAACATCCCCCAGACAGACGTGGGGTTCGGAGCCGCCCTAAAGCCGGGCGGAAGAAGGCGTCCAATACCGAGGTTGTCCTCCAGTCACGTGGCAATTACTCATCTATCGCTCTGCCGATGTATACGGTGGACTACATCAACTTCATTTCAACCACTACTTCACTGCACTGCATTGATGGGTATCTAGTATTCTCTCAGGGAATAGCTCTTAGCCTGCCGCCCCCCGTTTTGCCTTTGTGTTTTACAAGGATTGCAAAGCGGTACAGACCTCCTTCATCTTGGAGAAACCATCCTTGAGCCAGCATCTCCGAATGATGTCGCCTAGGAAAACACCCTCAGTGTTAGGCAGTTGCTCGTCAGTCGGCCATTCCTTGTACGCCTTCGCTCCACCATCTTCCAAGTCTGTTTCAATCCGAGTATCTACATAAAATTCATATCGCTGGCCGGAGACAGTCTTGTATATCATCGATCCAAAGCGTGCAATGTCCAGCTTGAAGGAAAGGAAGTCCTCCGAGATGAAGGCATCCAAATTCTCGGCCTCTGGTACAATAACTGATTCAGAGAAGTCGCAGAGCAGAATTGTTAAATCATCGTTGACTAGGAAATTCCGTGCTGCAATATCAGCGACCAGAACTCGGCGCTCATGAACCCGGGAGATGATTGTGGCGGCGTCGTGAAACCACCGCAGAAGCTGTGCCTTGCCCACCGTAGCCTGGTTTGCGTTGAGGTACTTTTCGAGAGATCCGTGTCGTACATAACGCATTCGGATTTCGGTATCGGAGATCTGAAAAGGCTGTAAAACGCCTTCCACGTTCACCAGATGTTGGTATATGCGCCCTTCACTCTTCAGAGACTCTTCATTTGTCCTGTTCATATGGTTGTATACACTCATGGTATACTCCGAAGCATCGTGTGGCACCGGCCACTGATTCGCTGTTTTCACTGCGACGTCACCGAAGCGCTTCACGCATCCTACTCGGCCGAGGCCAATCAGGTCAGACTCGGTGACCATAGTTGTGGTGCGAATAGGAATACTCTGACGAGATAGACTGGGGTATGTCGTTGATGGCGTCAACATTCGAGACAAATGTAAGGGCGTTGTGAAGAGCTCCAGGAATTGAGGATGCTTCTTGAAGCCTGACATAGTTCAGGGCTCAAAAATGACAGACCTTAAGGTGGATATAGCATCCTTTGTTGTCTATAGCAGATATGTCGGTACACCTTGACTGACGAATGTCATTCTGCCAGGTCGATGTGAAGCCTGGATACATGAAACCAGTTGACGTCTACCAAAATCAAAGAGTACGCCAATCGACAAGATCAGATTCTCGTAGACAAAGAGTTGGAACCAGCTATATAATACAAATATAATACAGAATCGCTGCGTGATATACTCTATATAACCCCGACCGACCCATCTATTAAGAAAGAAAGCCAACAAACCGCCTAAGGAATCTCCCCTTCGGCACCAGGTATCCGATCCGCCCGGCGATTCGTCTCGCTATAGTCAATCCGCAGCTTCCGCCCGTACGGCGTCTTGCGACTGAGGATCTCATATCCAATACGCGCGCTCTCAACATTGATAAACTCCGCGTGAGCGAAGCCGCGGAACAGCCCTGTGCGCCGGTCCACCGACACGCGGACATCAATCACGTTAACGACATCACGGAACAGCTCGTTGAGGTCCCGATCCGTCGTCTCGAACGACAGGTTGCCGATGTACAGCGTCCGCGTAGCCGGCCTCATGCTCCGCTGTGGCGCCACATTGTTCTGCGCATACTGCACCACCACGCGCCGGCCTTCGAACACCCGCATGTGCATCGCGCTGATGGCGCGTTTCGCCGACTCGATGGTGTCGAACTGGACGTAGCCGAACCTATTCCGTCAGTACCTTTCTCCTTTCTCGCACCGAGAGACGGAATGCTCACCCCCGACTGATCCCCCGATTGTCGAACGTGATAAACACCTGCTCGACAACCCCGTACTTCTCCATCTGTTTCCGGAGATCTTCCGCCGTCACATCGTAGAACAGATTCCCCACGTACACCGTCTCCTTGGGCGTGGGCTCCTCGTTCAGCAGACGTAGCCGCTTCGCCCGTTTCGACTCCTCCACCTCCACCACCGGCTCTGTCTCCGCCTCGGCGGTTGCGGGCACGCTCGCTTCACTCTCAGACGGCGCCCCGGCCTTGTATGTCCCTTCCGTATACTGCACCGCAGCGTCGATCATCCGCTCCTCGTCCTCCGGCGTCGCCGTTGCGACCGCCGCACGCGGCCGCGTCTGTGTCTGGGTATCATTGCTGTTCCATCGGCGCGGGAGCCCGAACTGTGATGTCGGTTGGGAAAGCATGGTTCGCGAGGTATGCGATGTGATGCTCCGCGTGCATCGGACCGGGTTGGCAAAGCCTGCTGTCGCTGTGGCTGGCGAGGAAAGAAGCCGGCAAGTTGCCCGACGAAAACAATGCCTGGGGTTGCCGTTAGCTTCTGGGCTTTTCTCCAATGTTGTTTGTTATTATTGGGGTTCTGCGCTCACATTTTATCCGATCCTGCCTATGAATTGGGTTGCGCGTTCATAGACTGTCGCTGGAAGAAGGTAAGTTAAGCCTCGATCTGAATGTTGCGGAGTCCCTCCGGCAAAAACCTCTGGCTTATCGCCCCCGATAGAGTCACGTGATGACGTGCATCTCTTCAGGTCCATACAATATCTCCAGTATGCAGTCCATATTTTGTCCAGTTTGATGAGAAAGTTTGATGGTCATTGGTGAGTACTGAAGTATACCTACATGATATTACAGGCATGTTGTGTGACATCAGCCGGATACATCTACAATCACCTATATATAATCGTACTGGTCTATATGTCCAGCCTCAGGACCCAGGATTGCGCCAGCATGTCATTCAATTTATACTCTGAGTGGGGAATAAAGCTAATAGAATCATAATGATACTCCTATACCGTGGGCAAATCTTCCCATTTTCCATCAATTCTTGAATACCGGACACCACATATATACGACCATTATGATACATGGGAGCGAAGACTAAACATATTAACGTACGTGTCCATCACTTTCACATTAGATTCTTTTCTGCTTCGAAAGCAAATTTTAACGCGTCGGTCATGTTCCTGGGCCTGAAGCAGGATTGTGTGGGTTTTTGGGCGCATTCACGCCGAAGGATGTAGGGAAAGCCGCATCGTACCCATTGGGTTCTGGGAATGCGCTAGAAAGCGACGGCATCGTACGCATCCTTCCTGCAATTCCGCCCTGTGTTGCAGCCAACTGAGATGGCGAAAGCGGGTTCCCTGGTTGCGGAGGCTGTGGCGCTTGCTGTGCGTCCATAGCCGGCCACCACTGATTGGAAAAGTCAATCGAGGAGTTTTGAATGTAGTTGTCCCAAGCGTCCTGAAGAATGGTTAGCGGCGTTCATTGGTGTAGGCTACAGGATCCCATACCCAATCCAAATTGACCTGCATGTCTGGCATCTGTCCGAACATGGCGCTGAAGGGTGATGGGGCACCAGGCATATCAGCGGCACCAAAGCCGCCCGGGGGCGGCACTGGTGTATCTGCCATCTTGGTTGTGGCTTCTCCAAAGCCAGGTGTTCCTGGATTCATATAGTTCATGCCACTGCTAAGCAGGCCTAACGTCATCGCGGCACTCTGCTTCTCGTCTTGCGGTTCGAATGTGGTCGAAGCATTGTTGCCGTCTAGGTTCAGCCGGGCAAGCATCACGCCGAGGACTCCTGAAGCCTTCCACGCGTCTATGGTCTCGTCTTGAAGCTCGTCCCAGATCTCCTTCGAGCGCTGTAGAGCCGCAACCATTTCGTCGCGACGCTCCCGTCCCCAGGTGTAGGTGTCATCTGAAGCGCGACCTCCAGCTTGTAGCTGAAGCCCATGATAGAGATCCAGGCACACAATGGTTGCGGCAAGCAGGAAGTCGCTCGAGCAGAGGGACGTGGTCCGGTTGAGCTTCCCTCGCAGACGACCGTTGGGACGGGTGTCGGTATGAATCATGGACTGATATCGCAATAGCTCCAGAGCCGAATCAATGCAGGTTCTTCGAGAATAGGTAAATCGAGGGTTTTCGCGCGCCCGGGCGAGGAATCGCCGATGGAGAACGCATTGAGCTTTGTGGTACACACTCATGATCTAGATAAGGGTCAGGATATAGTCGCGAAGTGATTGAGTGGGATCTTACCTCAAACCGAGACATGATAAGGTTCGCGGGATCCAGTTGTGTCTCTTCGACAGAGCGAACTCTCAGGTGCTCTGGTACCAAATCCCTTGCCCGACGAAGCTCCTCGTCAATTTCCATGACCTTGTCGTATGGAGCGCTTCGGAGAGAAGATGTGTCTTCGATAACGCGGCCGAAAGCATATGTGATACGGGCCTTCGCGATCAAGAAGGAGATGGGCGTAGTTTCGGTAGATGGTCGAGACGGTGGGAGTTCCGTGCAATTCTCGTCAAAATCGTCGTCGTAGAGATTGCGTGGTAGCTCCGTATCACTATCCGAAGTGCGGATCATGCTGGGCAGGCCGACTTGGGCAGAAAAGAGCAAGTCTGCTTGCCGGACAAAGGCCCACACCCGCCGTCGCATCTCACCTTGGAACGGGGTGATATTAGGGAACATCTTCGAATCCCGGTGGTAGCCCATTCTCATGGCCAGTCTCGCAATCACGCCCACCAGCACCCATCCAGACACGTCGGCATCCTTTGACTGGCAGAAGTCGCCGTAAAGATGGAAGACTAAAGATTCGATCAAACAAGGGTACGGTTTGGTGTAGTCGGCCAATGTCAAACACTGGGCCATGAGATTCCGGTATGTTCCCGCCATGTCCAGCGCCTTCCCGCGAAACTCTGGAGGTTCGTCGCCCTCGCGATGATATGAGAGCATGGCGAGTCGCATCATAGCAAAAAGCATACCGATCCAAACAATACAGGTTTTGGAGGGGTCCTCCCAGTGTTTGTTGTACTACAAGGAGTTAGCAAGTAGCTCGATGGCCTGTAAATGATGTAACCCACCTGCGCCTGAAAGGTAGGGCCATGAAGAATGTCTACAGTGTACATCAGCATTCACCGCTCTAAGACTGAGCCATATGGCGAAAACTTACGGGTGGAAGGGTCATAGTGGTTGAAATAGCGCGCAACGAGGATATCCGCAGTATATCTGGATGGGAAAGAGGCCATGATTTCCTCACGACTTATCGTTTTCGTCCCACCGAAGAGCAAGGTCGAGCCGGGAACATCTGTTGGAAGTCGCGTCGCTTTAATTTTCTCTGCGTGCTCTTCATATTGCTTCTTATGCGTGTGGAAGTAATTTTTGACTTCCGCTATCTGTGGCAGACCGTTAATTAGACCATCAGATGCATTTCACGGTGCCAACTTACATCGCTCAGGACCGATGCCCAATGCGCATCACTGATATACCACGATTTGTTGTTGTCGACCTTCATGATACCAATCGACTTGGTCAATTGCTCCGTATCACTCTCCTCGGGACCTTGCCCATCATCATCGTCCAGCTCTACATCTTCCGATGTATGTTGAGCGGAGCCGATGCTGCTGGAGTTGCCGGAAATGACCGCCATAGCTGCCGTGGGGCCTGCGGACTGAGATCCATTGGTCATCAAAGAGAGCACCAAGCTCTCAAGACGATCTATTCGGTTTTGCATGTCGTCGGGTGAGCTCGAAGCGGTCTGAAGCGGTGAGTTCTTTTTCCGCGCGTTGGCTTGTGCATAGCTACAGGACGAGGCATCGCCCCGTTTGACGCAGTTTTCACATGGATGAGCACGGTTGCATTTGAGTCTATTCGCCGAATTCCCCAGTTAGATCGTCGACACAAAGCGGGAACCGGAGAGAAAAAGACGTACTTTCTATGTCGGCAGGGGCCGCAGGATAGAGGCACCCGGTTTCGCTTTCGGATGACTCGATAATGGCCCTCCGGCGAGATTCCACCGGCGCTGGACGAGGTGGTTGACGGGGGAGTCGGTGTCATTTTTATAGGATAGTTGGTCTGATGATACTTTTGCGGTCGCACCACACAAAAAGTACAATCCGAAGTCAGCGCAAGTTTTCGCGCAGATGCCGCACTCAACCGGAATGAGGATTTGATCGCGTTCCTGCGATCAATGAGTCCGTATGGTGCGGGAACAAGGGGCCGGAAATAAACGGGGCTCAGGTCGAATTCGTCGCTGTTTCACCCAGCAACGAGTCGAGACACTTCGTAGAACGTGCAGAAAGCTCCGTTCTGAGCGCCGGACGACGTCGGCGTGCGAGGCGCGCCGTTGATGAGTCCAAGGTGTTGTCTTGGAGAGTCGCGCAAACACCACGAGGCTGGAAAAAAAAGGGGCGAGATACGCGACGTGAATTGCAGTTGGTTGTGGACGAGAAAACGTTGACTGGGGGAGGGGGCGCAGGGCGGACGATGGGTCGCGACTAGACCAGGATGTTCCAGCTCTCCCTCCCTATTATTATTGCTCGAGTGGTGGAGAGACCGATCGCAACGGGGGTGGCGGTGAGAGAGGGCGATTTGTTTCGGAAGAGTCAGAGAGATCTCTTCTAGGAGTTGTATCTGACGGCCTGCCGGAGAGATCTCGAAAAGAGGTGAAAGAGACTTGAAAGAAAGATGGTTGATGGATCCCTGAAAGAGTCTCTGTGGTTCAGTTCATTATCTCCGTTATCTGCGGCCAGACGCTGATGTAATGGAGGGGTGATTATTAAGATGACATCTGCATCCCAAAGATCCAGATGAAAGAAAACAAAATCAGGGAGAATCGATGGGAAGTTCAGGTTCCGGCTGAGTTTTTATGAACTTAGCCGATCATGGAGGATAAGAAGATTATCCATCTTCCCGTGGTTCTGTCGTGGTCGATGTGAGGCGGTGGTGCGTTTCCCCCGTTCGGGCATAGACCGTCTGCAAGCTTAACAGGCGATTCGCATTCTTCCCATGGGTTGGGTCACTTGGAGGGTGCTGGAGCACGTCTCCAGGCATCCATCCACGACGACCACCAGATCATTCTCACTCATTGGGTCAGAGAGTGTCAGACTATGGAACGGGGTGCTTGGTTGCGCGGGTGAGTCATCGAGATCATCCTCCGTTCCTTCGATACCACACTTCATCCGCGAATCGAATCTATTCCTCGGCTGGGGATTCTACGGGGCTGGAGTCCCCGACCGTTCTAGAGTGAGCTTAGTTCCTCTCTCGAGAGAAATACGAAGTATTCTGATAACTAATTATCAGAGCCAAGTGGGGACCTGGAATTTAATTATTATTATTATTATTATATCTGATATTCCTGGTCTTGGTCGTGTGTACCTAACGGAGTATACAAATATACAAATACCACGCGCGCAGACAACGTCACCCGCTGGGTCCCCACTTCATTCACTAAAGGTAACAAGCAATCGTCCCATGCAACGATCCTTGATTCACCTGAATTCGCTCAATCCAGCTCTCGATTTCCAACCCAACTGCCTGCGCCGCCAATCACCCTATGTCTGAGCCGCTGTCGCCCGGAACGCCCTTTCGACGTATCAAACTTCCTCCCTCCCTGTCAACAAGACCATGCATCCAACAATCCCCTCCCAATCATTCCCTCCTTCGGTTGTCTTGGTTGTCCAACGCAGCCTTGCACCTCCATGCCCCGCGGGCCCATAAGAATGCCTCCATCGCCCGACCAGGACGACCTTACTTCCACCCCCCTCCAACTTCATTGACTGATATGTGGGGAGACTGGGCCGTCTCACTAACCGTTTAGTTCCCACTCTCCACCCTCTGCATCGTGCTTTCCTCTTTCGTCTTTTCCTTACTTAGCTTCACCCATACTCCTTCTTTTCACCCAGAAGGAGTTTCTTGGGCCCACTACTTCACCTTCCCCAGTCCCTCAGTACATCACCGTCATGTCATCCAGAGGCGGCCCGCGAGGGCGGGGTAAAGATGGTGACCGTGGTCGCGGTGGTGGATATCAAGGAGGTCGTGGCGGTGGTCGAGGAGCCACAATGGAGCTTCCCATCCGGGAGGGCGGCCCGGCCGGTGGTGATTCCAGAGGTCGTGGTCGAGGTCGCGGTCGTGGTTTCGACGGCGGCGACAGAGGCCGGGGAGGATCCCGTGGTGGACCTCGAGGAGGAGGATTCGCCCAAGGCCCACGCATCTACACGTACGACCCCGTTCCCTCTACCACATAGTATCCCCGACCAGCTGACAAAATCTCTCTCGGCATATTTAGCCCCAGCGGCGGATTGACTCCCCCCAGCCCCCAGGTCCAGAACGTTGAGAATGCCGTGGTTGCGGGGATCGCGAAGAAGCCGCGTACGCCAACGTCTTACCCCGAACGACCAGGATACGGCACCCAGGGTCAGCCAGTTACCCTTCACGCCAACTACTTCCACCTCAATGCCATTGGGAAAGATCTCTTCTGCTATCACATCGACATTGAACCCGGTGAACCAAAGAAACCTGCTGGTAGGAAGGCCAAACAGATTATCCAGCTGCTCATTGAAGAGCATTTCTCGCACCACCAGAACAATATCACGACTGATTACAAGACAACCCTCGTTTCAAATGTCAAAATATTACCCGCCGAACATGAAGAGTCGACATACAATGTTCGCTACCGCGACGAGTGTGACGATGAATACCCCGAGCGGCCGAAGGTGTATCGCGTCAAGTGCCAGTACACTAAGACGGTTACCCCTGCCCAGCTACTGTCATATCTGACCAGTACGAATGCGGATGCCATGTTTGACGCCAAGGCAGAAGTCCTGCAAGCTATGGACATCGTCCTCGGCTCCTACGCAAAATCGCAGCAATCCATTGCCTCTCTTGGCTCAAACAGGCACTTCGCGATAAAAGGGCCACTGACAGAGAAATGGAGCCTGGGGGCCGGTCTAGAGGCTTATCGCGGCTTTTTTGTCAGTGTTCGCGCTGCCACCGCACGCCTCCTGCTCAACGTGCAGGTCAAGTACGTCGCATGCTACCAGGAGGGCTCCTTGGCAGATGTAATCGGTGAATTCCAGCGAAACAACCGCAATCCCTTCGATCTCCGACGTTTTCTGGACAAACTCCGGGTGCGCGTCACGCACATTGCGCGGAAGAACAGAAAGGGCCAGCCAGTTCCGAGGATCAAAACCATTGCTGGCTTGGCCTCCCAGCATGACGGCAAAGGTCTACCCAAACCGCCAAAGGTCAAGCACCCCGGAGCGGGCCCGAAGGATGTCGAGTTCTTCTTGAACGCTCCCGGTCAGCAAGTCCCTCAACAAGGCTCGTCTAGTGGCAAAGGTAAGAAGGGCAAGCAACCTGCAAAGGCCGGACCAGCACCAGCAGGCAAGTACATCAGCGTCGCCGATTTCTTCCATCAACGTAAGGCCTCTTCATAATCTCCTCCATCTGGGAATTGGCAGCTGACCGCCCTTACAGAGTACCGCATGGACCTGGACCCGAAGATGCCTGTTGTCAATGTTGGCACTCGCGAGAACCCCAGCTATCTTCCGGTCGAAGTCTGCATGGTCGAGCCCGGGCAGCCAGCGAAGGCAAAACTCTCACCCAATCAAACTCGGAATATGTTGAATTTTGCCGTGCGGAGCCCTCCACAAAATGCTGAGTCGATTGTTTCGACGGGCCTCCGGGTCCTTGGTCTCGCACCTTCAAATCCGACAGCAGTAAGTAGCGTACATGTTGTCTCATGCCCTGACTTCCCCACCTCACGAACAGTTGCTCATTGGGACAGAATGAGTTCGGCATGGGAATAGATTCCACACTGGTTACCGTTCAAGGGAGAGTCTTGCCCGCTCCCAACGTCTTGTACAAGGATGCAAAGCGGGCTCAGAAGACGATCAAACCTCTTGACGGCAGCTGGAACATGAGGGCAATTCGGTTCGACCAACCGACTAAGCTTGTCTCATGGACCTGGCTTCTGGTCGAGGCCAGCGGCGCCCGCCCTTATTTCGACCGCCCTGAAGCCTTGGAGCCTCCCCTCAGGGCGTTTGTGAGCAAGTTGGAGGAGATCGGCGTCAGCGCCCAGGTACCAAAACCTGGAAGACGAATCATTGTTGATAAACGTAATTTTGAACAGGCTATCGATGACGCTGTCTCACAGCTCATCGAAAGACACAAACCCACCCTGATCCTAGGGATTCTGCCCTTCAACGACGCAGACTATTACAACGCCATCAAACGTGCCTGCGACGTCAAATTTGGCGTTCGCAACATCAACGTTCTGGCAGAGAAGTTCCTCGAAGCAAAGGATCAATACATCGCCAACGTCGGGCTCAAATTCAACCTCAAACTCGGCGGTGTGAACCAGGTGCTCCATCCCAAGGAGCTGGGCATCATCGGCCAGGGCAAAACCATGCTTGTCGGCATAGATGTCACGCACCCATCTCCCGGTTCTTCCTCCCACGCTCCCAGCGTAGCCGGCATGGTGGCCTCGACAGACGCGACCCTCGGCCAATGGCCCGCCGAACTGCGCATCCAAGCCTCCCGACAAGAAATGGTCGAGGACCTGGACACGATGCTCAAGGTCCACCTCGCGCGCTGGGCAAAGTCCCACCGCGGCGCCTACCCCGAGAACTTGATTGTGTACCGCGACGGCGTGTCCGAGGGCCAATACCAGACCGTGCTGGAGCGAGAGCTGCCACTGCTCAAGAAAGCCTGCGGCGAAGTGTACCCAGCCACAGAAACCAAGAAGGGCCTGCCGCGCATCTCTATCATGTGCGTCGGCAAGCGCCACCACACGCGCTTCTACCCGACTCGCGACGAGGACGCAGACCGCTCGGGCAACCCGTCTAACGGCACCGTTGTCGACCGCGGCGTCACTGAGGCCCGCAACTGGGACTTCTACCTGCAGGCACACACCGCGCTCAAGGGTACCGCCCGTCCCGCCCATTACTTCACCCTCTGGGACGAGATATTCTACACCCAGAAGCCGGCGCCGCCGCACCAGAACGCCGCTGACACGCTTGAAGCGCTCACTCACCATCTCTGCTACCTGTTCGGCCGTGCCACCAAGGCTGTTAGCATCTGTCCGCCTGCGTACTATGCCGATCTTGTGTGTACGCGTGCCCGCTGTTACTTGAGTAATGTCTACGACGGTTCCTCGGCGGCCAGTTCAGCCCCCGGTGCTGAGCCGAAGCCAGAAGCCATGACTGTCACGGTGCATCCGAACGTGCGCGACACCATGTTCTACATTTAGACTTTGGCGATTCGTACGGATCTTGGCTTGTGAGGAAAGCGAAGGTGGACTACGTACATGTTGGACATTATTAGTTAGGGCTCCGGCCACACATTATGACGTTAGATTGTTACACTGACAACGCGGGTTGTTTCCAGTCTGAATATGATACGTAGTATACATGTAGCATCTCAACAATTAGAGACTCGCTAATACTTAGGCTAGAATATGTATTTCACATCACGGTAGCATCCATATACACAACATTATCATTCTATCTGCCATCATACAGTCCCGGGCACTGTACCGGGCAGAAACAATACAAACAGGTTCAAGAACACAATCAACAAATATCAAAATACATGAAATGAATACAGTCCGGAGAAACAAATACACGACTTATCATAGCTCCATACAGCGTTGACCGTGAAAATCACATCATTAGCACATGCTGTGGCTGCAAGGCTCGTTGGTTCATCTGTTCGAATGAGTTCTCCGCTCGGCAGGGTATTGTTGACATAAGAAAATACAGTCAGTCGTTCAAGAGAAGAGTAGGTCAGAACGAAGGCAAGAGGAAAGGAACGACTTCAGTGGCAGGGGCAAATCGAATTGCATGCCGTCTATTCGTCGCCAAGGTTCCAGGTTCGCTTGTTGATCTCTCGCACGGATTGGCGGTGCGGGGGCAGAGGCTGCGGCTTGCTGGGCTGCGGAGATTCATCGTACGCCTCCCATTGCGCCTCCATCATCCTGACAGCCTTCTGCCGGTCTGCGGCGATGGGCTTCTGGTTTTCCGTGTTGTTCGCGCTGCTGCGGGCTGGGAGTTCATCCGTGACCTCCCAGTGGCTCTCGAAGTCCTTCTTACGATTAGGACCGTTCTGCATGATCGAGAGAGGAGCCTTGTTAGCGGCCGCCTTGGACTTGTCCGGCAGCTCGTCATCGGCTTCGTTGTACAGCGGGTTGTTGTAGAGCGTCTTGCCGCGGTTTCCGAAGGAGCTGATGATGCGACCCTGAGCGGGTTCCTCGATCTCGTCGGTCAATTGGAAGTGAGTCTCGGCGTCACGACGGGGCTGCACCATACGGGGTTTGGCCGGAGGTGAGTCCTGGAGGTCGGGCTCGTCGTCGCTCCATCCAAAGTGGCGCACCTCCTCGCCGCGAAGCTGACGACGCGGTTTCTCCGGAGTCGCAAAGTCCTCGAAGTTCCATTGCGGGCCCTGTCTCGAGAGGGGTCGCGTGGTCTTGGGCTTAATCTCACGTTCGCTGTTGTCAGCGCCAAGCTCAAAGTGCTCAAACCGCTTGGGATGTGCGCGGTAGGCGATCTGCTCATGGCTCTCCTGGGAACGAACGGTCTCATCGTCGTCGAAGATGCGCGACGCGCGGAAGTGCTTTCCCGCGCCTACCTTGGGGGCAACGGGCGTCGATGCGGGTTCGTCTTCGTCATCCCCGCCGAAGATGCGAGAAGGCTTGAAGTGCTTGCCGGCTCCAGCTTTAGGGGCGATCGTCTTGGGCTTGGAAGGGGTTGGGTCGGGTGCGTCGGCATCATCGTCACCCACAAAGAGCTCGCTCAGGTCGCGCTGCGGGGGCTTGGCCGAGGCCGGGGCGCGAGGAGCGCGGACGGGTTGTTCGCGGTCCTTGGTGGGCGAAAGCAGATCGAACAGCGACTCCGACGCGTAGGGATCCTTGATATGCTTCTTTCCCGGCGAACCGACCCTCTTCGGGGGCGCATTCTCCTGGTCAGCGGACAGCGACGGTGTTGGCGCAGCCGGGGTGGGGGCGGGGCGGTCGTTGGTAGTTGCCGATGGTGTTGACGCGACGGTGGATTTGATGAGGCGAGTCTGGTCTTTAGCGTCGCGAATGGGCCAAACACGGCCACGAGCTCCGATCACCTCGACCTGCTTCAGCAGCGAGGCCTGATCCCAGTAGACGCGAACATTTTGAATTTGGTTTTGGGAATTGAAGCGAACGATATGGACCTGCAGGGGGGAAAGGGGTCAGAGCGAATCAGAAGGGGTCGGAGAATTTAGTATGCGTCGACATCGCACGAAGTGGACATACCGTGGGGAAAGTCGCGACGCGATCGGACAGGAAGTTATCGTCAAGCGCAAGAAGGAACGGACCACCACCCGAGACAAACTCGACGGTGGCTTCGACATCCAGACAGAGCGAGCTGGGGCCTTCAATGGTATCCAGAACCTGTTGCGACTTTCTCTTGAGGACGTGGTCCTGTCTGGTGAGATGGTTGCGCACCGCGTCGGCACCATCTATTTTGGTGGTGGTGGGGATATAGATCAGCGAAACATCGGAGGCCAGGGACGCAGACTTGGGATCGGCCAAGAAGGTCTGGTAAAGGTCCTTCAGCGACATGGTCACTAAGGAGGGAGCCGGGGTGGGAATTAATTTAACTGGAACGAATGTGAGGAAGAGAGCGGTGGGAGTAAGGGAGAGTGTGTGTGAGGGAGAGGAAGAGGAGAGCAAGTGAGTGAGTGAGAGAAAGTAGACTGGGTGAAAGAAGGGGGAAGGAGGGGAACCCTAAGAATAACAACAACCCTCCGGACCGCCAACGGGATCATCCCTCTATTCGAGTAACTAACTATGTACAGTGAGGTTTGACGTCTGCAATGCCATTGAATGCCTTCTTCCTGGGTAGCTAACTAGTCTACTCCGTACTGTTAATCTCGGGGATTTTTCTCTTCTGAGGGATTCAGGAGACCGTCCGCGCAATCTGCGCAGTACTACACAGGCCCTACTCCGTACTGACCAACTACTCCGTATGTACACTGACGCCAGTTTCAGCCGGAAGGGGCCGCTTGAGCGCCCCCAATCACGAGCATCCCGCGTGTCTCCAGCCGGGACTATCGCAATAACTGGATAACCCCGGGGAGGCGTTGCCTAGAGCCCACCGCGCACGGAAGACGCACCAGTGTTTCACCTTTGCGCCTGCGCGTTTCTCCGGCAACAAACTCTCTCTCGATCATGGAAGATGGAATACTGGAGCGAATACTCCACTGGAATGCCTCGCTTCCTACTGGAATACCCGACTGGGAGTGGATGGTACAGTTGTTCTCACATTTCACGTAGAAGCGCTCTCCGACTGGAGAACCATCGTCGCGTCTAGGTACTCACATGGGTCCTCGCTCGCGACATAGCGCAAGAGCTCTCTGGTTAGGTAGTAGATGGTCTTGCCTCCAAGCAGGTTCTAATGCAGGTCTTCTCGTCCAGGCTGTTCGCCCCTTCAGCCCGTTGACGTCTTCCCAGCACAGTCTTTCCAGCCCGCTCATCGTCAATAGTATTGGTATAGATCGTAAGAATGCAGGGTTTCGCTCGTCAAAGACATTATAGTGGTCTAGGGGCGTCACACGTCAGCGATGTACATCCATCTGATACGGCAGGGTCAACAGCAGGGGGACTCGACATACCCTAGATAATCTTCCTTGATTGTTCCAATCGCATTGATCGCAGCAACATCCGGCTTCACACCAAGGATCTTCAGCCGTAAACTGGTGCCTTTTTCAATGACCTGGTCGGCATGATCGGTGTATTGTGGTGGTACAGTGTTGGGTTCCCATTTGATATCAGAAGGAATGTTCTGTTCCCCAGGTCAGCACAATACCCAACACGCCTGCACTATGCCACCACCAGTCCACAACCTACCTTCCGCGCAATGAAGACCGCCAGGGGGCCAGCCAGTGTGAAAATCCCAGTGGGCTTCACCGAGGTCACAATCGCATCGACCTGCGCCAAAGTTCACTGTCAGCTTCCCGGGTCCAGGGACCTGCCGCACGCCGTCGCCTCTAGAACATACAGTCTCCCCACGGAACGGCTTCCAGATGATCGCTCGGTACTTAATCGTATATTCGGCGTGTCCACTGGATGGCAGAACGCGCCCCTCGCCGATATCAACCATGTCCATCACGCAGATCACGAAATGGTCTCCCGTACACCGCCCCTCCTCTTCCTCATTCAGCCGGTTGATGAGATATTCCCGCACATTCGGGCCGAAGTAGGACGGGTGCAAGGAGATGACCTTGGTCTCTTCCTTCAAGAAAAACATGTCGCGCGATTGGTCCGTCCGACGGGATGGAGGGGTATCTTAGAGGAAATCGAGCGAGCGCGAAAGTTGGCGACTGTGGAGGGGGTGCGACGGTAGGACAATTAGACAGCCGAATTGGAGACCACACCTTCGAGGAACGGAGCAAAGAACGTGACCTGGCGACTGCGATGGCGAGAGAATAAGCGGAAGGCGGTATAATAAACGCCTCGTTGCGGGGTATAGCCGTTCCAACCCAGTCCAGAACAAAGAATGCACCTGAGCTGCCCGGACGAGAGAAAGTGTGAGGTTGTCTGATCCGCGGTCTCCCAAGCTCAGGTACTGAAGCACTTTTCGTACGAGCAGCAGATAATGTAATTCAATCTCTGTCGCAATCCACACATCGAAAGCCCGGTTAGCTCAATGGCAGAGCGTGAGGCTTTTAGAAGGATAATAATCCTACTAGAGGTACCTCAAGGCTGTGGGTTCGACCCCCACATCGGGCGTTCAATTTTTTTTCCCGTCCCCTTCGAAAGGGACAGAGAGTAGTTGATAACCAACATCTTTCTTTTTGCGCACACGGAGTAGATCTGTCGTTGTACGGTCTTTCGGGTCAGGGTCCTATCGGTGCCTTAGGTGATGGGCACACCACCGATACAGTTGGGCCCCATTTTTGAACAATTCTAAGTCGCTTGTACCAGCTCCATCTAGGTCGGGCACGGTCTTGGCCGTCCTCCCCGATTTGGGGACAATGAAGTAATATAGGACAGGGTTCTGGAAGCATACTCTGGAGGATATACTCCAGTTGGACCTATGCCTGATTTGTCCGTGGCAATTGAAACGGTGTGGGATGGCAGGGTTCGTTTATATGATCCAGCATTGCTTGGTTCTCGTTGAAATTGGACATATGGGGATCCCACTGTCCTGTTGGAATATATATATATGCTCTGTAGGAATAGGTGAAGGTCACATACCAGCACGCAGATAGAACGTAGAAAAAAAGTATACGGAAGGATGGTAACGCACATGCACCCAAAACAGTGTTCAAGCAGTTACCTCTCCTTGGCAAAGGACAAATAAAAGGCCTCTCGTATACTCCGTAGAACCATCTGGATTGATTCCTGGTGGACATCAACAGGATGCGTGAATGTTGCATGCCAAGTGTGGGAGAACACAACCAAAACGTTATATAACAATCATTACAGGAACTAACACAAAAAGCCCGCAAGAATTTGGTAACAAAAATACCGCCTTGTGACAGACTGTTAGCCTCGGTCGCTGTCCGTGGCATGTCCGTTATGTCAGAGAGGTGGGCAGATCTGGGGCTATGATATTGTCATTCTACACCACCTGTTCTCACCTACTCTTATTTCCTTGCCAAGTGGGCTTCTCCTACCCTGTACTCCTGGCTGCCATACCGATCCTTCACAATCATGGCGTTGAACCTTGAAAAACAGCTCCTCTTCGTGAGTCGATCCAGACTATGAGGTCTAACCTCTCGACACCTGCTGACTGTCCATAGTATGGAGCCTATCACAACAATCCTGTATATTCCCACCACCCTACTTGAGGCGAACGTACACCGCTCACCCATATCAGGTCAACGTGGGAATTCACATTACATGCGTACCGATCCTCCTGTTCACAGGTATCGCTTTGGTACGAGTTTCCTTGTCGCGAAAGACCCCCCCGGGCTCTACTCACACTCCGACTATAGGCATCGAATTCCCCCGTCCTATTCAACCTTCCTGATGCCCTGACCTTCGAAAACCTCCCTGCCAACATGGGTACCATCGGGGCCTTGGTCTATGCGACGTTCTATATCCTTCTCGAGCCGGTCGCCGGGGCTCTGATCGCGCCGCTGCTGATCGCGGGCGCAGCCTACGCAAACCACCTCCTCGCTGTCTACGGCACGGACGTGAACTACTGGTTCGGGGGCATCCATGTGGTCTCCTGGCTGGCGCAGTTCGTGGGACACGGCGCGTTCGAGGGGCGCGCACCGGCGCTGCTGGATAACCTGGTGCAGGCGTTACTCCTCGCGCCTCTGTTTGTCTGGATGGAGATACTGTTCTTCTTCGGGTACCGGCCGGAGTTGAAGAAGCGGTTTGACGAGAGTGTGAAAAGGGAGATTGCTGCGTTCCGCGCGCAGAAGGAGAAGAAGGCTGCGAAGTAGCGGTCTTGTGTTCCGGGGAGGTCCGAGAGTCGGATGATTCGAATGGGTCGTCGGAAATCTTGATGGAGGAGTGTAACTTGCGGATTTTGATGTTGTGCAATTGATTTAGCGAATGTGTCTATTATTGAATGAAGTGCGAATTCCTGCGGTTTACAATTCTTATTGGGAGTGCCCTTTTCGGACTCATAGAATGGATCGGTACAGTTGGTACGGATACGGTAATTAGACAGGTTCCCTGGTTGAATTCGGGTCACCGGTATTGTCGGAATGGAATGGAGGATGGAGAACAGTGGATGATGGGAATGGCGACACCATGAACACTGCATCGACAGAGATAGTTGTATAAATACCCAGGTGATAATAATAAAAATAACATGAGATATACAGGTACGATCGTTGTAGTACTCCGTATGCTGTGTCCGAGGTCAACCAGAATGGGTCGGATGGTTGCTGTGACGAAGAGGCATTACCTAAGCGACGAGATCCGCCGATCCGAAAAAGCACCCAAATTGTTTTCTTTCTCCTCTTGCCAGGGTGGAAGAAGGAAAAAGACGGGACAGCCGGAGCCCCGGCTACGCACAACCCCCTCTTTTAATTCCCTCTTTAAAAGGTCACCACAATGGGATGGGATGTTTTTTTCCCCTCAAGAAGAAAGAAGTATATAACAGTAAATTATATAATTTTACAAAAAAATATATAGAGAGAATAAAACATCCGAATTCTCCCATCGTGAAGAAAAAGTGGACACCAGGGCGTCTTCGGAGGTTTGGTGAGGCTCGGCAAACTAGGCTTAGTGCCAGCCAGTCCTTGCCTGCCTCCCAACCCCGAACAAAGCTCTCCCTTCCCATCCATCCACAACTCTCTTCTCCTCCTTCTCCCTTCTCCTCTCCTCCCAATTACATCTCTCCTTCAGAGAAACCACTCTCCCACCCTCTGAACCCCCATCACCATGTTCAGAAACGCTCTGCGGCAGTCTGGCCGCGCCGTCGCGGCTGCCTCTGCCACCGGCCGCATTGCTACGGTGAGTCTCTCGCTTTTTCCCCTGGGTTCCGGCTTCAACCTCGTCGTCCTGTCGTCGTCCATTTCCATCCACCCCGACCAAAACCCATCTCGATCCGGGTCGGACCCGTCTCTCGATATATCGCTCGACCTCCTTCGCCCGTTAAATCGCGTCTGAATGTCCCTGTTCTGATGTTAACAAATTTTTGCGTCCCCGTAGGCCCGCGCCGCCGTTCCCGGCCCCCTCGCTGGTGCTTCCAAGCAGGTCCGTTCCTACGCTGCTGAGGCTAAGGCTTCCCCCACCGAGGTCTCTTCCATCCTCGAGCAGAGAATCCGTGGTGTTCAGGAGGAGTCTGGTCTCGCTGAGACTGGCCGTGTCCTCTCCGTCGGGTACGTGGTGTTCAACTTCCCTGCCGTTCTCGTTTTCCGCGGATGGAGAAAATTTCGATCCGTCGACACGATCACCACAAATCATCGAAAAACATCACCAATTCGCTTCCACTTGACTGAACCTATGACGTGCGATCGACTAACGTGAATTTTTGTCGCACAGTGACGGTATCGCCCGTGTCCATGGCATGACCAACGTCCAGGCTGAGGAGCTGGTCGAGTACGTAATCCCTTTATATGGCATGTCACCGGCCTCATTTCACTAACGACCGATCAACAGGTTCGCCTCTGGTGTCAAGGGTATGTGCATGAACCTCGAAGCCGGCCAGGTCGGTGTCGTGCTTTTCGGTTCCGACCGTCTCGTCAAGGAGGGTGAGACCGTCAAGCGTACCGGAGAGATTGTACGTGGTGATATCCAACTCCCCGTCCAACCCACCGCAGAACGTCATCCGCTAACACCCTTCCTAGGTCGATGTCCCCGTCGGCCCTGAGCTTCTCGGCCGTGTCGTCGACGCTCTGGGTAACCCCATTGACGGCAAGGGCCCCATCAACGCCAAGGCCAAGAGCCGTGCTCAGCTCAAGGCTCCTGGTATCCTTCCCCGTCGCTCCGTCAACCAGCCCGTGCAGACTGGTATGAAGTGTGTCGACTCCATGGTCCCCATCGGCCGTGGTCAGCGTGAGTTGATTATCGGTGACCGTCAGACCGGTAAGACCGCTGTCGCTCTGGACGCCATGCTGAACCAGAAGCGTTGGAACAACTCCTCCGACGAGTCCAAGAAGCTCTACTGTATCTACGTTGCCGTCGGTCAGAAGCGTTCCACCGTCGCTCAGCTCGTCAAGACCCTTGAGGAGAACGACGCCATGAAGTACTCCATCATCGTCGCTGCCACCGCCTCCGAGGCTGCTCCTCTGCAGTACCTCGCTCCCTTCACTGGCTGTGCCATGGGTGAGTGGTTCCGTGACAACGGTCGTCACGCCGTCATCGTCTACGACGATCTGTCCAAGCAGGCTGTCGCCTACCGTCAGATGTCTCTGCTGCTCCGTCGTCCCCCCGGACGTGAGGCCTACCCCGGTGACGTCTTCTACCTCCACTCCCGTCTTCTGGAGCGTGCCGCCAAGATGAACGAAAAGCACGGTGGTGGTTCCCTCACTGCCCTCCCCGTCATTGAGACCCAGGGTGGTGATGTGTCTGCCTACATTCCCACCAACGTCATTTCCATTACCGACGGCCAGATCTTCCTGGAGTCCGAACTCTTCTACAAGGGTATCCGTCCCGCCATTAACGTCGGTCTGTCCGTGTCTCGTGTCGGTTCCGCTGCCCAGGTCAAGGCCATGAAGCAGGTCGCTGGTTCCCTGAAGCTCTTCTTGGCCCAGTACCGTGAGGTCGCTGCCTTCGCCCAGTTCGGTTCCGATCTGGATGCCGCCACCAAGCAGACCCTCAACCGTGGTGAGCGTCTGACTGAGCTCCTGAAGCAGAAGCAGTACTCCCCCATGGCCGTTTCCGACATGGTTCCCCTGATCTTCGCTGGTGTCAACGGTTACCTTGACTCCATCCCCGTCGCCAAGATCCTCCAGTGGGAGTCTGACTTCCTTGCCCACCTCAAGTCCAACCACCCCGAGATCCAGGAGACCATTGAGAAGGAGGGCCAGGTCAGCAAGGACCTCGAGGCCCAGCTCAAGGAGGTCATTGGTGCCTTCAACAAGTCTTTCAACGCATAGGTGAGCAAAAGGCACTTGGGTGACTAGTCCACCATGTACTGTTTTTTTCCTGACTCTATGTGTATAGACAAGATAGCTTGTACAATTTGAGACCACTGTTTTCTTTGTTTACTACTGGAAGATGGGATCGGTCGGAAACTTCGCAGATGTAATTGTGGCATCTCGATGTGAGTACGGCCTGATCTGTCTGTAGGTTTAACGGGGAACCAACTAGTGGATCGACTCAGAAAGGCAAAGATACGAATAATATCCTGTACGTTTAGATCCTTTTGCGGCACCGGGACGGTTGAAGAACAGTGGATGCGTTGATCTTCCTTGGGAGGGACGATGTACTACTATCCAGTAATTTTCGGCTGAGATTCCTGGTTTCCTCATATGCAGCCTTGAATATGATTTCTTTTGTTGTGTAGTGTTTGATGTACGCCTGGCGTAAATATCTCGTTCCGTGTACACCCGGAAAGAGTAAAGTACTTGTGCATGTAGGTTTCTATTATTGTACTATGGTAAGTCTTTGTTAGAAGTAGAGGGGTTGTCTACTCTACCTACACTTCCTGTATGGTCTTACTTCTACCCCAGGTGACCAACTACTATGAGAAGGTAAATATAACATCAATGCATTTCATGGAACAATGGGCAACGGATCATGAATTGTGATACAGTAGATATCTATAGGAGTAAAGTCTCTCTGACTATGCATTTATCCTAGCATTTATCCGCCATGGCTGACTGCGACGCTGGCAGTGGGCCGAAAGCGGCATCTGTTCCTATCGATAAGCGAGAATCTTTTCCCGCCAAATTTTTATCCATGACTCCCCCGCCAAAGCTGGTCAACAGTGCCTTGATTTGACCGAACCGGCTGTCAATTTCTCAGGTTTTCACCATTGAATCGCCCCTCATGGCTTCTGCGTCGGAATCTACGCCCGCCTCCTGCAAGGTGGTGCTCTCCAAGAACGTTGCGAACGGCCTGCTCGCGGAGGTCAAGCAGGGCCTGCAGACCTTGGACAAAGCCCCTCACCTCGTCGGGTTCCTCGCCAACAATGACCCTGCCGCGCGCATGTATGCTGAGTGGACGGAGAAGACCTGTCAAGAAAAGTGAGTAGTCTATCAGACCTGCTTCACTGGTCTCAATGGCTCTTCCTGATCTCTGGGACTGCGTCAAGGCGCAATCCAAGTGCGATCTCGGAGAGCCACGGAGGACCGCCATATCCCGTGCACGGCTTTCCCTACTGCACCCTCGTCTCGTAGCTAATGTAGTTGCTCCTTCTCACAGTGGATTCCGTTACTCTCTCCGTGAAGTCAACCGCGATGACCTCGAAGAAGCCATCCTCGCCGCCAACGTCGACTCGGACGTTGACGGTATCATCGTATACTACCCCATCTTCAACAACCGCCAAGACCAGTACCTCCAGCAGATTGTCGACGTATCCAAGGATGTCGAGGGCCTGAGCCATCGCTACATCTTCAACATGTACCAGAACATTCGGTTCCTGGACCCCGAGACGAAGCGCCAGAAGTGTATCCTGCCCTGCACGCCACTCGCCATTATCAAGATCCTCGAATACCTCAACATCTACAACACGATATTGCCGTATGGAAACCGTCTCTTCGGCCGCACCATCTGTGTCGTCAACCGCTCCGAGGTCGTCGGACGCCCGCTCGCCGCCCTGCTGGCCAACGACGGTGCCTGCGTCTACAGTGTCGACGTCACCGGCATCCAGCGATTCACTCGCGGTGAGGGTCTGAAGAAGGGCCGGCATGAGATTCACGACCTGGAGGGCAAGACGCTGAAGGATGTGGCTCCTCTGTGCGACACGGTCATCTGTGGTGTTCCCGGTGACTCCTACAAGTTCGATACCAGCCTTCTCCGTGAGGGTGCCGTGTGTGTCAACTTCTCTAGCGAGAAGGTAGTCCTCCCTGATATCCAACCGCCGCAGTCTGTAGCTAATTCGCTTATAGAACTTCGGACCCGAAGTCAAGCAGAAGGCCTCTATCTTTGTGCCTTCCATTGGCAAGGTGACCATCGTTGTCTTGCTTCGTAACCTCCTGGTGAGTCTTGCATTCATCTTAGTTTTGACACCCGCTAACGACCCATCTAGCGCCTGATCCAAAACCGGAGACTGGATGATGTGAAGCCCGCGGAAGCCACCGAGCGCCCGGGCACCCTTGAGGCGCAGGCTCAATAATTCGCACGCGGGAGATGAAGCTCAAAAGCCTCAGATGTATAGATGGGTTCTCTTCTGCTATTGATGTGTTAGTCGGTATTTAGACGATGTGTTACGATTTCGCGAACTGAAACTATTGTCCCGAATCATTCTTCGTAAATAATGCAGAGTAAATGCTAGCAGCTGTTTTTTGCCTCTTCAAGTAATCCATGTCCACAATGCGTTTCGGCTCAACCAAGTCGTCCAATGCACTCCCCCACATCTAACCGCGTCGTCGCGCTTTGCTGTCATCGTCTGGAACCCCAACAAGATTCCCTGCCCCGCCGGTCTTCTTCTCGGTCTCCTTCGCCGCGAGGCGCAGCACCTCAATCTCACTCGCGAGCCACGCGCGCAACGGCGCGGGATGGAATACGCCGTCGGCCGAGAACCACCGAGTAAACGGAGCCTCGATTTCTTTCTCCTGCAACACCTTGTCCGCCGCAGACCGGTATTGTACGCGCACCTTATACAACGGCGAGTGTTTCTTCACCGACGACCGAAGGGAGATCTGTCCACGCAACCAGCACGTTAGCTTCTGCCACAAACCGCATACAATCTCACTTCATCGGACGGTTGGAGAAAGAGAGAAAGAAGAGAAAGGAAGAGATACCGTTTCGCCAGACTTGCGCTTCCCGCGGTAGACCTCGCCTGCCTCGACCGCCCAAATCCAGTAGGTGAGAAGGCTGTTCAGGACGAAGTAGGAACCCACGGCGGCGAAGATCCATGGGGAGCGGGTGGCTTCCCAACCGAGTTTGCGGTCGGCGTAGAAGGTGAAGGCGGCAATGGCGACGGCGCTGTAGCCCAGGAGGAAGCGCACGTTGGTCTTTGCGTGGTCCTGGGCGAAGGTATAGGGTTGCGGCAGGGTTCCCAGGTAGGGGGCTAGGGCGTCGTCGGTGGTGGATTTGAGGTCTGGACTGGTTAGTTTGTGTGTCTGTATTGATCCTGCGTTGGTCGGGTGTGCGGTGTGTATGACGGAGCCTGAATAGAGCAGACAGGTGTCGCAAAGAGCTAGGATGTATACTGACCATTGACCGAGTAGACGGGCACTTTGGGTGCCTCGGTGGACGCCATGGGAGCGGTGCTCAGTTATAAACAGAATATAAAAGCTAAATAACACGACGGTTTGAAAGGGGATGCAGATTGAGCGTGGTGTTAGTACAGAGAGGTTTGTTTATGGATGGGCGGCGAGGAGTTGCGGCGAGCTGTCCTGTCCGAGGGCGGAGCTAAAGCGGCAGTACTTTCGTGACATCGATCGACCGTCCGTCCACTCCCGCATTTCCTCTTCTTCTCTCTGCCTGCATCTCCCCTCGCCATCGCCCGCAACCACCTCCATCATGGCATTGCAAGGGGTCGAGCAGACGATCCTGCGGGATCCCGCTCTCTTGTACGTTCCTACGGATTGCAGACGAACCCAAGCTCCCCGCGCTGACCTGATCACTGCAGTTACTGGATCCTCTTCCCCATCTCCATTGTCATGGTATGCTGCATCCAATCCCTGCTGATAACCTACAGGCAACGGTGAACTCACACCAATGAACAGATCTTAACTGGTATCCTCCGCCACTATGCCACTGTCCTGATGAACAACCCGCCCAAGCCCCCGTCGACCGCCGCAGAGTCCCGCGAACGCCTCGGACTCATACGCGGCGTGAACCTCCGCAACAACGGCTTCGTCCTGACCAAAGAAGCCTTCGAGCAGCGCAAGAACTACCTTGTGTCCGCGTACCACAATGGCGAGTTCCTCAAGGACCCGGCCAACCGCGGCCAGCCCCCCGCGAACCCGATGACCGACCCGGCGGGCATGGAGGCCATGATGGGCATGATGAAGGGAAACATGATGATGATGATCCCCCAGACGTTGATCATGAGCTGGATCAACGCTTTCTTTTCGGGATTCGTTATTTGTATGCTTGCTGTGAAGCTTTAACGGCTATGGAGCACCGTGACTAACGATCTGCAGTGAAATTGCCCTTCCCCCTGACTATCCGGTTCAAGTCGATGCTGCAGTCCGGTGTCATGACCCGTGACCTGGATGTGCGGTGGGTGTCGAGTCTGTCGTGGTATTTCTTGAACTTGTTTGGCCTGCAGTCGGTGTTTGGGTTCATTCTGGGTAGTGATAATGGTGAGTTCATGATGTTCGGGTTGAAGCTTATGCTACACATTGGTACTAACGAGTCTCAGCTGCAAACCACATGTCCCAGCAGATGGCGAACATGAACCCGGCGGCCAGCGTCAATCCCTTCCAGCCCGGCCAGGACCCGGATAAGCTGTACCAGAATGAGGCCGAGAACCTGGAGGTCGTGGAGCACTTTTGCATTCTGGACGGAATTGAGGACCGGATCCTGCATAACATTGCTTCGAAGAAGGCTTACTAGACGTGGCTGTCTGTATACCTACAGGTGGATGAAATGTTAGAGCAGAAATACTAATCTACGTTACGTTGAAACTTCGCGATCAAATCAAACATGTTAGATTAACAACCAAAGGAATTTCTTATATTCATGATCATACCCAAAACAAAACGTCGCATCGTAAATCATCATCCGGTCCTAGCGGTAATTGATCACACCATTAAGCACCCACACCTCCCCATTCGATACCTTCTCCGCAACACTATCAACCTCAATATTGCCGGGTTGGATCTAGTCAGTCAGTCAGCACACGGTAAAATAGATGAACGGAGTCAAACCAAACACTTACATAGATCTTCTCCCCATCCTTCGTCCACCGCAATGTGTCTCCGCCGAGGGTCTCAGCCTCTTCGCCCTCCGCCCACGGGCTCGTAGTAACAATATGTGCATCAACAAAGCGCTTCAAGTTCCGCTTCGCGCGGTCCTGTCCATCTTGCCCTTCGTACGCTGCCGCCTCTCCAAACTGCGCATAGTCATCCGGGTTCTCCCACGGCTTCCGCGGGAGGCCCTGGATGGCGCTGTTCCGCGGCGCCAGCACCGTGATGTTGTGTTTCGCATCGTTGAGCCGCGACTCGACGGACTCAAAGTCCCGCGTTAGTCCGGCGAAGATGTTGATGCCGCGCGTGCGAGGCAGCACATCCGCGATGACCGGGTTGTCATCGTTGGTGCCATGCCCGGCGCCATCGTTTCCATCGTTCGTTCCGGGCATGACAACCTGCGGTACAAAGTTGCCTGTCGGTGGTTGTTGGGTTTGCAGCCACTGCTGTAGCTTTTTGTTCTCTTCGATCTGGATATGATCTCGGAGGTGAGGGGTGTCGACGAGGGCCCGGGGGAGACGTTTGCGGAGGGTGTTGAGGGAGGGGACGTCCCAAGCGACGGCGGCGGATGCAGCGCAGAGGAATGATAAGCCGAGAGTGATTGTATTAAGGATGGGTCGCATCTTGGTGAGTTGATGGCAGGGTCAAGGTAGATGATGGATGGGCCCATGACGCAAGTACTGGCGATTTCCCGTTCGGTATCAGACATACACGTGACCCAGCGGCTATCGATAAGAGCGGCACAAAAACCGTCCAGCGGGATGGGGGCCAGTACTCCGACGAGCCAGCGCTGCAGCAGACCGAGACACATCCCAATTGTCTCGCCCCGAACGTCACCATGTCGGCCCTGCAGACCTTTCTGTTGGTCGTCGACCATGACAAGCAGGAGGCCAAGCAGATTGCCGAACGAGTCGCCCAAGGTCGATCATCCCCTCGCTATCTCGCATTACCCCTCTCCCACTTGGACGGAGTGCTAACGGAGTGAACAGACGTGGAGAGCAAGAAGGCCTCCCTGATCGATGTCGTCCAGTCACTGGGCGAATATATCAACGACGAAGACCCCATACTGCGAGGAAAAGCCGTCTCCTATCTCACCGCTGTGATCAAGGCCCTGCCTCCGAAATTCCTCTCGAGACAACAGATTCAGGTCCTCACGACCTTCTTTTGTGATCGGATTGAAGATGGAGGCGCTATTTCCGGACTGGATACGCTCCAGAGATTGGATCGGTTCAACAAAGAGCTGGCGGAGGACGTCGCACGAGCGTGAGTTGCGAATGCCTGCGTTCTCCGGCTGGTGACTCCGCGGAGATAAGCCATTGTACGCAGAATGATGCTAACAATTGGGTAGTATGTTCGAGCGCCTCCAAGATCATCAGTCTCGGTCACAGTCGCAAAGGTTCCAGGTCTACCAGCTGCTGAATGAACTGATGTCGAACCACCGGGCCGGTATGTTGTGGAACCCTGCGTTGATCTTTGCGTTCCGCTGACAACTTCTAGCTCTCCATGAGATGGGAGATGACTCACTTGTCGGAATTGTGGACCTCATGACGGGTGAGAAGGACCCGCGCAATCTGATGCTTGTGTTTTCCATTCTGAAGGTGGTCATGGTGGAATGGGATATCACGAACCATACCGAGGTGTGCACGGACAGCCCGTATGCCAGTTCTGCTGACTGACAGAGTATAGCTTCTGTTTGAATCTGTATACAACTACTTCCCGATCACATTCAGGCCACCACCGAATGATCCATACGGGATCACCGCTCAGGATCTGAAAGATCGTCTTCAGGATTGCATTGCTTCAACCGGCCTGTTCGCTCCGCATGCCATCCCAGCCTTGCTAGACAAACTTGATTCAACGTCTCCGAATGTGAAAGTATGTGTCTTCGCCTCGATCCGTCCCCATATTCTAACAACCCGCACAGAAAGACGCGCTGAATGCACTGATTGCCTGCATCTCTTCATACGACCCGAACACGGTCTCGACGCATTCGATCACTATTTGGGATGCCCTCAAGTTTGAGATTCTCAACGCCCAGGAGGAGTTTCTCTCGGAGCTCTCCCTGCAGGCCCTGCAGGGCATCGCCAAACGCCTATCAGAGGGTGTGAACGAAGTTTCTGACCAGCTGCCTCTCGCCCATTACCTGCGACCCATCACGAGGGAATGCAATGAACAACTGCGGGAACCCCAGCAGAAACAGGCCAAGCCCGCTCAGCAAATTCTGAGTGCCATATCCTCAGCATCAGCCGTTGCATTCGTTCTGGTGGTGAAGGCAGTCGTGGCGCCCCTGTTAACCATCTATCAAGAGGCCGACGGAATTGCCAAACAAAGGGCTCTTCTGGAGACCCTATCGGTTCTCTTCGAGTCTGCCGTGAAGGTCTATGGGGAATGGACGACACGCGACTCTGAGCCTACCGTCGAGAACCCGCTGCTCGAGTTCAAGGACCAGTTTTCAGACATCTTGGGCCAGGCGCTTATGGGCGTCATTAAAGAAGAAGTCTCCTTCCGCACTTCAGCCCTCAAAGGTTTCCTCCGCCTGTCAACCCTGCGTGACTACTTCCAAGACAACGAGATCGGCCTGTTTGTCCAGTATCTTGACGAGATTCTCTTGAAGGAGGAGTCCGTTGGCCGTGGCGACCTCAAGAAGGAAGCTATCTCCGCCCTGGCGGAGATCTCCAAGCACAAGCCCCGGCTGATCATGGACATCACTTTTCCAGCATTTGTGGCGACGCTGCCTGATGCCGATGACGGCACCAACACCGACTACATGACGACCCTCGAGACCCTCGCGCAGATCAGCATCGAAAGGGACATCTTTGAAACGCTCGTTCGCCGGCTCCTCAGCAAGCTGACCATCCTACTCCAAAAGGACCAGCCCGGCTCCGCTGCCTACCCCCGCGCCATCTTGATGGCCATTCTCTACGTGATGAACCAGCGCAAGATGGACGAGGACCCAAACATCGACCTCTACCACGACAAGATCGTTGTGGCCCTCTGCCGCAGCTCCGCGGCCTCCGCCTGCGGCCTCGCCAAAAACACGATCCTCAACGACGCCGCCGTCCTCGACATCCTTGGCCGTCTGTGCAATCTCATCGTGCGCTCCCTCTCGCGACCCAAGCAAGACGAGGTCGCAAAGAACGTCTACACCCTGTTCTCAGACGACGCTTTCTCCACCGTCCCCTTCGCGGAGTCCACCACCGCCGACCACCAGCGCACCATGATCCTCTCAACCTACCTGCTGGCGGCGCTCCCCGCCGACAGCACCACCACTATCCCCTACACCTCCGACAGCACCAGCATGGCCGCGCTGCTCTCCGACCTGACCAAGCGCTGCACTGCCCCCAGCGAGCCGGCCACACACCTCTCTTTCCTCCGCCACATTGCCCTCCTAACCAATAAATTCCTCCCCAAGTCGGACCTTGCCCTGGCAACCGACCAACTCGACACTCTCCTCCCGCCCGACACCTCAGCAACGAGCAACAACAGCATCGCCCTCACCACCGAGCAAATCCAAACCATCTTCTGGCTCTCCAAGGCCCTCATCCTCCGCCTCGCCCCCAAAACCACCCAAATCCTCACCACCTTGCTCCAACTGCTCTCCTCCACAGACGAGCCCACCAGCACAACCGCAGCCCGAAGCTTCGGCATCCTCCTCGGCGACGACCCGGTGCTCTCGCCCGCCAACGGCGCCACAATCCGCCTGCTCAGCAAACAACGCGTCTTCACCACCCTGGTCCCGCTCATCGCCTCCAAGATCCGCGAAGTCAACGTCGCCGATTCCGCCTCGGCCAACGCCCCCGCAGACCACATCAAGCCCGCCCATCTGACCGCCCTGTCCGGCATCCTCCGCACCATCTCCCCGTCCCTGGTCCTCCCCGAGCTGCCCACCCTCCTTCCCCTCCTCCTGCAGAGTCTGGATCTCGCCACCGCCGCCGAAGACTCGCAGGCCGTGCGCGCCGCTACCCTCGACACCCTCGCCGTCTTGATCCGCGATAACGGCGGTGTGCGCATCATCGACGAGTGCGGCCATGTCCAGAGCTTGGTGACCCGTTTGCTCCGGACGACGGAATACACTCGGTCTACCGACGGGGGTGTAGTCAATGGGACGCGCCTGCGTGTCAATGCACTCAAGTGCTTGTACCTTCTGGCGCAGACGCCCCAGTCTGATGCACCGGCCATCGCCAAGGCAGGGAAGCTGTCCCCGTTGTTGCCGGTGAAGAACCAGGTGCTGCGCGCGTTGCGTATGGTCCTGGATGATCCCAAGAGAGATGTGCGGAAGGCCGCAGTTGATGCCCGAGCCGCTTGGTTGCGAGGCGTGGATGATGCCCCGGAAGATGATGAGTAGAGGTTTAAGAATATATACAAGAAGGCGGAAGAAGCATAAAGTTGCTGTACAGTGTTGGTGTCCAACGGACGTATATAGATTTGGGTTGAGATCTATGTTAGAGAAGAGATTCATGAATGAAATCAGTGGCATGTTAACTGCGATACCTGCGAGGTTCCACAAGGCATCTCCATAAAATATAAAACACATGAAAAGGATATTGATCTTCTAGAAATACCAGTGCCTGCACCATTTCCTGACCGGTCCTCCTTCGTCAGCCGAGAGTGCCGCCATCCTGCCATGCGGACTCACATGGCTTTCAGCCTGCGATGTATCTAGGAAACGGCTCCAAACCCACAGGAATCTGCTCTGATTGTCCGACGCAGTCACCAGTAGCCCACGTCAGCGTCAGTATCCTTGATAGACTCTTCAACGCAAAACTGCTTGCTCTTCGAATCGCCAACAATGCTCCCAACTTCCTTGACGCTCTCTAGCTCATCGAAACTGAGGCTTTTAGGCTCGACAACACGGTCGGCGGAAACTCCAGCCTTGAGGAGAGGACGAGATGGCACATTGCCTACGGCTTCGACTGCCAATCCCGAATTCCAATACCCAATACCGTCCATCTTCTCAACGACTGTCTTCGTGAGCCGAAAAAGCTCGCCAAGGCCAGCATTGCCGATAGCAGTAGCGACAGGACTCATGGTCGAGGGATCGTCACCAACGAAAGCCGCGTCGTTTCCAAAGAGGTCAATGCTCCTCCAGTCATCCGTCCGCTCGCCGACTTCCAGGGTGGTATTCGCTCTCAGAATAGCTTCAATTGCGGGACTCACCAGCGACACTTCGTACCACATCCTTCCACTTTTACCCATGTCTCTCACTGCATCGCACCGGGCTCTTACCGCTTGACGGTCGTGTAGTGTTGTTCCGATAATCAAGTCCTGGGTCTCCGTGATTTGCAAGAAAATGTCTTGACCATCACTTGTAGAGCTCAGACTTGACGTACTGCCCCAATCTGAAGCTGAGCTCGTCCGTCGTGGGGCCATGGCGGTGGACACTCCCTTCGACGTGCTTTCGTCTGGACGGATATACCGGTGACGCGTCCACCTTTTCATGAGTACCTTCTCAATCGTAATCTGTTTCTCCGCCGGCAATTTCGTGAAGATATGGAGCACAGATCTCTCCGGTTGGACCCATATGTGGTCAACGAGGTACTGAGCGGACTCTTCGACCTCAGGCGGGACATCCGCGGTTGATTCAATACTACCGCTCAGTGCCACCCTGGCGTCCCAAACTTGTCCAGGAAAATGTAAATGAACCGCACCTAGAGTGGGTGAGTCCTTTTTGATAGAGTGCTTCCCATCTTCTTCCACGACGATAACCAGGGGTTTACAAGCCTTCGTCGAGCAATGGAACTCGTAGGTGACATTGTACTCGCTGTAATTCTGCTCAAAGAGGCGACGCTTCTCTTGGTCACGCGACGTCTTCAAATCCACGATGTGATCCACATCTGAGCCAGTCGCAGTGACCCTGTTGATGAACTTCGTTGTTGGGGCACTCACGCCTCCGCGGGGCCGGAAGATCTTAGTCCATGCATCCATGAGGATGACGTCTTGCGGACAGGTCTTGGGAAGGACTGGAATCAAGAGTAGCCCAATTTGGACCTCCAATGATAGAGTCCCTGGGAAACACTCGGCAATTTCCAAAACTGGTCTGATGGTTTCGAAGAGCTCTTTGATATCTGCATGACTCGCCTCCGCTTGTGTATCCTGGGCGGCCTGACCATTTGGCTTTGCCTTCTTGGATGTAGCAGATTCGCTCTGCTCCGCTGGAAGAGAGGATTTGGGAGTATCACCGGTTGGTTTCTTTGAGATGTTCTTTGATGCCCCCCAGGCTTCTTCAAGAGTTTTTTGTCTTTTTGCGGCGATAGCTTTCTTGGCCTTAGTCTTCCCCGCCTGCTGGCTCATCGTCGTATGAAATGTGCGGGTCGCGATTTCGTCCACCTCTTGACGATGGTCATGAGTGCGCTGCCTTTCAAAATCCTCGATCCTCTGCTGCGCAAACACCTGATTCGCAAGGCCTCGGGTATGTGGCAAAGCTCGGGTAGTTACGGACGTATCCCTGAGGACCTCATGTTCTCTTCTCGCATATGCTTCTCTCAGACAGGCGAGCTTTCGACCCTGTTCGCTGCCGGAAGTAGATTTCTGTTCCGAAGCCAACGTAGCTTCTGGACTGCTTGACATAGCATGCTCAGGATCGTCCCCCAAAATGAGGCCGAGAAGGTCGTTCAACGCTGAGCTCCCACTCCCTTGCGGCATCCCTTCAGACGCTAGAGCCGCTGGATTCTCTTGTGGTATCTCTTTCTCAGACGCCGAAGCGGCTGGATCTGGAGTGTATGTCATCCGCCATATTTGACGACCATTTCGATCTGAGACTTGATTGTCAAGCGGCACGACACGTCTCTCTGGAGCAGTCTTATTTGGAGCCTCTTGACCCGATGGCACAGGCCTCCGTGCCTTGATACCTGCCGGACGGGACCTCTCCACAGGAGGCCGGGGATCCACGGGAGTAGGCTCAGGGTTCGAGATAGTGGGAGTATCGGCATCTTGACTGGCGGACGCTGAATCAGCCCGCGCCACCCATTGACTGACTTCCTCGACCTTATCCGCGGACAGATAAGGGTGCCGGTGGGAATCATTCTCAACAATTGATTCGAGAGCGACGTAGTCGTCACCGTTACCAATTTCCTGGAACCTAAAGTCATTCCAGATCCGAGATGCCTTCGGCTGCTCCGTCACCTTGGAGGGATAGAGCAGGTTGTCGGGCAATCCGAGCACCTGGCCTTTCTGGTCAAAGAAAAGTGACACAGTGACGCACACCTGACCGAAATCTGAAATAGCGCTCAGGTTTTGACCAGGTAATATACGACGGAGTGCCCCTTTGCACAGACTGGCATAACTCTGGAGGCGTAGCCCGTGGTCGCAATTGGCGATGACCATGTTCACCACTGTGGGTTTTATAATGCACGACTGAGGTGGGTGTCAATCAGAGAAGGGATGAATCCCAGGTGACATGAGCCTACTCACCAATGGTCTCTCAACTTGAGTAAGCTTCGCCAAAGCGTCATTAACATCCGCTTCACTGCCTCCCGAGACTTTGATCCCGACAATGTCATCAACGACTGAGATCTTGGTCCCCGTGAAGGACTCGATAGCAGCGAGGATATCCTGAAAATCCGTCGCAAAACAGCCTAACCCCCCAGTAGGGCACGCCCAAGTCTTCGTCACGACATCAAGCGGAAGTGAGATAACGTTCGCATCGATCCCGTCGTCTAGAGATACGAGCTCCTCCTGCTGCTCTTCAGGGCCCATGAGTGCTTGATTGGCATCGCCAACGACAGCGACGGGGACCTCGATCTGACGGATACGCGGGACCTAGGGTTCCTAGGTTAGGAGATGATGGTTCTCTCCGGCTGGGAAGGGAGGCAGGCTTACTTCCAGAAGATCTTTATGGCTCTGTTCTTCAATGTAGTCAGCGATCACGCTCACCACAGACGCCGGACTGTCGGCGTTTCCGCTGATTACAAGCACCTAGAACCACCCGAGAGGGTCAGTGAGGAGGAGAGAGTAGAGAGATCTGGGTATGAGCTTACGTCTCCTCGCTTCTCGTATTCACAGACGAGATCAGCGTGAAGGGAGGTGTCTTTCAATCTGGTTTGGATCTCCTTTACGCCGAGGTCCTCAAACGCCCATACTGAGGCGAAGGTTAGGCGTTGTCGTGCCATACGGAGTTTGCACGAGAGCGATGGTTCGATCGGTGGAGCTGGGGAACGAAGAAGAGAGACAGACAGAGAGAGAGAGAGAGTTGAAGGGGAAGTGAGAGAGAAAGAGAGATGGGAGAAGGAGAAGGTGAGGGTGGATGGAACAACAGAAGGGAAGGCGCAGAGGAGGCCCCAAGACAACAGCAGTCGGAGCCCTGCAGCAGGCTCAGTGAAGAGGAGCGAATTCACACCAGACAAAAACAAACGGACGCTGCAATACGGAACTGGTTGTGTTTCCCTGACCATAACAAAACGATAAAATGCACCAGAATATTCCAAATGTCTCCAATTATATCCATCCACAGATCCCTCCTTGTAATATTTCCATGGTGATGCATGCTATAAACAAATCTATCATGCTCTAGACATTGTAGCCATCATTGCAGTTTCAAAAAGATCCAACGAGACGAGCCGGGACATGGCAATCTATTTCTCCCAGGGTATCAAGCAATCCCAAACTCCAGAACATCAGATGATCCCGGTCAACGCCGGGATGACAGAATCGAACAAGGTATTAAAACAGAGGTCAGGTAGAGGGAGGATTGATTGTGAAGTGGAGGGTGAAGTCAAGCCGTACCGGAGACGAGATGATACTGCATGTCCGACGTGGACTATTCCGAGGAGAAAATTCCCGGCCCCCACAAGATGATATTGCGGCCAGCGCTCAAGGGGTTCCTAGGGCAATAAGCACGCGGCCTATGCGGACGCTTTCTTCTCGCCTTCGAGCCGCATCACCCACTTCATCTCCACCTCGGTCTCCTTCAAGGAGGCAAGGGCTGTGTCGATGCGGTTCTCAGCCTGATGGCCCTTCTCGACGAGCGACCGCACGTCGTCGTCATGCGCCTGCTTATACGCCGAATAGGCGGCGAACAGCTTCTCAAAGTTCTCCCGGCCCGCCTGGATCTCGCGATCCTTCTCGGCCATGATTTCATCCAGTCGTTCCACCTGCGAGCCCTTCTCGAGATGTTTCCGTTTCAGCCCCTCGAACTCGTCCCGAAGGGAGGCGAGTTTGCGCTGGGTGTCGGTGCGCTCCCGCTGACAATGGGCGGCAAGTACATCGTACTGCGTGCGCGCGTGGTTCGCAATCTCTTGCAGCTCGGCGCATTTGCGATTGAAGTCGTCGCGGGCCTCGTCCATCAGCTGGTTGATCTTGACCTTCTCGTCGTCGGCCTGGACACGGCGGGCCCGTTCGCTTTTGAGCTCGGCGCGCAGCTCGTCGAGCTTCTTGTCCTTTCGGGCGATCGAATGCAGGTTCGTCTCGTTGGCCTGCTCCAGGTTGCGCAGGCGTTCGGTCATGTTCTGGATCTGGATCTTGAACGCCTCGTTCATGCGTTGCGTTTCCTCCGCCCGGGACCGATACACCCCGCATTCCCGCGTCAGTCGTGCGATGTCCTCCTGCAGATTGTGAATTACCCGGCCGGATTTTCCGGTGGCGGCGTGGCCGACGGCGGAGGACCATTCGGAGGTGGATTTGTGGAGGGCGGAGTCGCCGTTGGGGGGGCTTGTCGAGCCATTGGTGTAAGTTGTGTCGGAGGCGATGGTAGTTTCTGCAGCAGGTGCAAAGTAAGGCCATTAGACTGGGTCTGACGAAGGTTTTGAGGGGAGGATGAGTTCACCCACCGGGTGACGGATCGGAATGTCGCCCGGGCGAGTCGGCCTCGAACAAGCCATTGTGCTGGTGCATATTTAGATGCGGTTCGACATGCGACAGCGTGATCCGAGGCGGTTCGGAAGAGGGATCTGGAGGTGTTGAGACGAGCTTTGCGGCGTTAGCATGGGGATTGTCAACCTCTGGCTTGGGAGGCTTTTTGGCCCGACCGAATCGGGCCATGCTCGGCATGGTGGGGACGGAGAGGATGGAATGCTGGAGAGAATGGACGGCCGTTGCCGTCGAACGAGGCGCTGAAGAACGAGGATGCAGGATTGACAAGAAGCATGGGGAAGGGAGATAGCACTAGTGTAAGGAGGCTGCAAGGAGGCAATAATCTGATATCGACACCCTTTGCTTGTTCCCACAACCGGTCTCTCTCCTCACCAGCTTCAAAGATGGGATTGATGAGGAGGAACAAGGTGATGTCCATGTAATGGAATGCTCAATGAAAAGAGGGGACATACTCAGGAGTAGACCAGCGCTGGAGTGCAGGAGATCTGCCGAAACTATTTCTGATCAACTGTTGGGTTCAAGTGACGACAATGCTTATTCATCGCCGAGACATGATGACGGTGGATGAATTATTATTTACCTTCCGTAGTCCAGGATCAGTAGGATAAGAATAGACAGCAGACGGTGGGTGAAGGTGAAACGGGCGAAATGAGAAGTGGACTGGAGTTCTCTACACGCCGTCTGTCCAGTCCAATCATCAGCTGACTCAGGGCTTAGTTAATGGACAGTAGACTCAACAGATGAAGTCGGAAATTAATATCCACAGAACCAGAAGAAGAAATTTGAGCTGAAAATCAGATGAAGAGAATAGATGACTCCGTCGGCTGAAGGAATGTGAGCTGTCAATGAACCACCACTATCACGGAGACTACTCTACTATGTACTAAGGTAGTTACTTCGTAACAGATACCCCTACGACGATCCTGAATATATCCGAAATCCCATGCATTACTATCACATCGGCCAGGTCATCCCCTGTCAAGTGGCACGCCACGGCAAACATGAACCATGGACCATCCCAATCGGTGCCTGTATGGTCCCGACAGATTATGAAACAAACCAGGTCTCCGGGCCTTTGCGTGATTAAAGGGTCAACGGCCAATATCAATACGCCGCTGGTGATATATACAACGAACGAGAGTGGGAGGTACAGAAGAGCCAAAGCAGACCAAGAATATCACAGACAAAGAAGGGAAAAAGAGTCTCCCCATGACCCCACCGCTCACACAAAGAGAGGGACCAAAACCGCAACCGCCCCTAGGGCCAGTTCGACGGGCAAATCTCGGACGGCTGCACGGTTCATCTGCGCCTGGGCGATGTTCTTCTCTGATGATATATCCACCACCGTCGGTGTCTGGCGCACACTGGTCATCGTCACCGACTCCGCATCATTTCCCTGAATAACATGAGTCCCAAAGGCATCCTTGGGCGATGTATCGAATTGCGGAGAGTGAGGGTCGAATCGAGCGGGAGCCGGTCCCACCGAAGCAGGCATCTGGTTACGACTATGTGCCAAAGTGAAGTAGCCGGAGTAGTTGACCTCGTCGTTTTGTTTGACCTCAAAGGCGTAGTCATTGCCTTCTTCTAGGCTCTCGTCTGGCGTCCAGCTGAACGTACCTCCGGTCGCAGCAGTCGCCAGAACTTTGATTTCGTGCAGATTGGCGGATTCGCCTTTGCGGAGCGTGAGGGTGGTCGGCTTGATGGAAGTCAGTGTCCTGCTGTACTTAGGGATCGGTCATATCTGGTAGTCTTACAGCGGCAGGATCACCCCCGGCCCAGGCGATGGTGACGGGCTCTCCGCTGATCACCAAGGCCGGCCAATTTGTGAAGGCTAGAGCGTTGATTAGGCTGGCATAAGCCAAGCAGGCCCCGATAGTGAAAAGCGTTCGAAGGCAATGCATGATTGCGGTAGTTGATAATCGGCCCGTAGACGATGCTGAGTATTGAATATCCCTGTGGAAGGAGGTAAGCAGTGTGTATGAGTAAGGACGATTGATGGATGGGTTGCGCAGGGGGGGAGAGGGAACTCGGAGACACTCATCCTATTGAACCAAGAGGTAGAGCCCCTTGTGGGGTAACAATGGAAAGAGCACCTGAGATTGATTCCTGCAGTGTTGGAGGGAGAAACAGTACCTGAGAGATCTTGGACTTATCGCCGTCTGCTTCCTGTTTTGGAGTGCTGTACTAGGTATCTAGTATGGTCTTCAGATCACTAGACGAGAACAGTCCAAGAGTCTATCAACGGACGGATCGGATGGAATGGCGAGACCTGCTCGGATTTAAAGCCAGGGCGGTTCTTCAAACTTGTTTCGAGTTTGCATCCATGGGGAGGAGGAGCAGACATGTCGCGTCGATGGCGCGTGTAGAGGAGGGTGTACGGAATGTGCCCATGACTGTGATGGATGGTGAGACCAATGGAAGAATCATCCTCGAGGAGAATGTGTAGCAATGGTCTCACCGAGGGGTCTGTTGAAGTATGAGGCTGGAGGAAGGGGGCGCTGGTCTGGATGGATTGTTTGGAACGAAGAATGTCTAGCACAGGGACAACATCTCAAGCGTCTATAGGTATGGACTCCCGGTATGGGTGACTGAATGGATTTATGATTCGATCATCTATCAACGAGACAGAAGAATTGAAGAATCCCCAAGATCTACTGGCAGCAAATTGTCCCTATTCCCTGGGACCCATCCAGATGAGCATGTACTAGGATGTCTGCTGGGACTGTTCAATGTGCCTGGAGCATACCAGACATGGGTTGCTTGGTTTGCCAGTATGTTGACATTCTCCATATAGAACGACCATTCTGCGCGTGCCAGTCCAATCGATAAACATGCCGGGAGCTGCAAGGGATGGATGGACTATTGTGGCAAAATCTAGCCGAGTCGATGTGAAACATGGCCGTTCAAGAGCTTCAACAGAGGATGAAGTTAGTATGAGGAATTTGTAAATTTTGTTTACATGTTGATGCCCCAGTTGATGGGTTCTGTGGTCATACAGAAGTCCTGGGTACACAGTCCTGATGCCACCAGACAGACGGCAGATATTGAAACGGACGAAACGCTTCGTTGCGATGTCTGCTGTGGCGCTGGCATGTATCAGTCAGGATTGAGCCCAAGTTTCTTGCTGTGTGTTCTTCTATCCAGGTTTTGATCAATTAAATCAGGTTACTTCAGGTCATGGATTGTTGAAGTCCAGCATACTGCTTGGTATTCTGCATTGCAACTGTATAAAAATAGTCGCTCCCAACTTCGTTAGCGAGGTGACAGCTCAGGGTATCTCCACATATAAAGACATCACTCGGTTTCGATACATCCAGAGACCTAAGCGTGGCGAGGGCTCTAAGCCTGCACGAGGTGATGGTGTTGACCGTCTACCTACTATACCGAGTATAAAGGTAATCTTAGAGATGATGCTAAAGAACTACCCCGGAATTGTTGCGAAGGTTTTTTAATAAACTTACTCAGCAACGTGGGTTGAGCTAATCCATCCTTGTGTGTCGCTACATGCTGGCAACAGAACAGAAGCTATCCGTATATTGCAGAACATGACTCTCATCTCAGCATTCCCTGCGATAATGAATGTACAAATACAAGAGCCCGAAGCTCCAGATTCGACATATTTCTAACCTACCTACTTCCGACATAAGACCGGGCAGACCCCGTCGGTGCTCAAATCGGCCGCCAGCGCGATCGGGATACCGAAAGCGGAAATCTCATCGACTTCAACTATACGAAGTGCGGAGGCCGACCACATTCTGTCCGTGGGTCGAGCCATGCTCTTCAGTTGCATTCTGCCCGAATGGAGTTACACTACTTTCGAATCGCACCCTCGACCCGACGTTCCTTCCGTTGCGGTCGGTCTACGAGAACGATGCTCCTCCTGCTCCTACTAAAGCACCATGCGCACCCCTCCACTTGAATCCTTTCTTCTCTCTTTCTCTCTCTTTCGCACCCTCTCACTCATCATCAGTTAAACAGCGTCAATTGTTATTCCTATCCATGGCATAGTTTCCGTCGCTCGTTACCAACCTTCGTTTAACCTTGACCTTCGTTATACACCCAAACCAATCCATTCGTTACACTCTAGACCTCCAAATCCATTCCCACCAGTACCTCACTGGAATGTTGCAAACCAGTACGTCGTCTGCGCGCAAATACAGCGAATCCTCGTCTGTCCGCGAAGAAACCGCAGGCGCGCCATCAACCGCCTCAGCATCGCACCAAGCACCCCCGGTCGACCGACCCCCGCGATTCTACCGCTCAGTCCCGCACCGCGTGAGCCGAAGGGACTCGCCCAGCCCGACGCGACCCTGGCTCAGCCGCCGACGGGGACAGCGCAAGCGGACGGTCGTCGCAAGAACAGTCGTCGCTGGAACGCACGCAGCACGGCGCGCTGCAGACACTAGCCCTCTGCCGCAGCGTAATCACGGTGCTCGAGCTAACACGGCTACGCAAGTCGCGTACGGGACAGCTCTACTGGCTCGCATTCTGGGACCGGCTGTACGAGCGCTCGCTCTCGCGCGTGCTCGCGGCACGGCTCACCCGGGCCCTCGCCAGGATCGATGCGCTGTTCCGCGCGGTGGCCCGCGACCTGCACCAGCTCACGCAGCAGGCGGAGCTTGCGGTGCGGCAGGCGACGTCCGAGAAGGAGGTGGTGTGGATCCTCGAGCTGCTGGAGGACGACGTCGGCGTGTGGCGGCGGCGGCGCCGGAAAAAGGCGCAGGCGATCCTCAACAGAATGCGTGCGAGCATCGAGGCCATCCCCATCGTTGTCAGCGACGAGCTTTTCGACGATATGAAGCGCGGTGTGTTCGCTTTGGACGTTTTTTGCGATTACCACCCCGGGGATCCGGATGCAGAGGACCAGGAGGCTGCCTGGGCGGACTATTTTACCGAACGTCCCGGAAACCTCGTTGCGGTCTCGCCGTATCTCTATCGCCAGTGGCAGCATTCAGCGGAGTGGGGGCCGTATCTGCCATTAACGGTGCGCACGGGGAACCAGTGCGAGGAATGGGTCAATGAGGTCGAGCCTTGAACGGCTCCGTTCGCCGACGTATTGGCTGTAAGGACTTTATCTGGTGGACCGTTTTAGGTAGCATCCATGGTGTTGGCGGTATGTACTATGTAGATAATTTCGAGTAGCTGCGTTGGGCAGCCAATGAACTGAATAGAGTATTCCGACTCAATTATGTACGCTGGAAACAAATCTATCTGCATAGTCACGTAGCACATCACCGTCACGAGAAATCCCACAGACCTCGCAATAAGCTGCCCGGAGCCGTATCCTGGCCCCCATCCTCCTCCAACAACCGATCGGTAAAGATTCGCTTGGGGATCTGATATTCCACGACCGGAATGCGCTTGAGCGGCTTCGCCTCCGACCCCAGCTCCGCCTGCACCATGCCCTGGTACGTGTAGTCGAGGAAGTCCTCGAGGCTGTACATCTGCTTGGTGAACTGCTCGGAGATGATGCGGCAGATGGCGGCAACGTTGGGGTGGTAGTGGGACTGGAGGGACACGATCTCCCAGAGACTGCTCTCGAGGGCGTCGGTGCGGGTGGGGTCAGGCTCGTCGGGGTCGAAGGGGTCGTCCATGCCAGCGGCGTCGAGCTCGGCCTTGCGGGCGTCGTCGCGGACGACGCGGTGGAGCATGAAGGTGCAGGTGGGGTGGCTCTTGAAGAGGTTGTAGATGAAGGGGACGATGGCGACGATGGCGGTGGGGGGCGCGTTGAGGGCGAGGCGGGCGAGACGCTTGATGAAGCTGGCGACGAGGGTGGCGGGCAGATGGGTGGAGGCGAGGAAGGTGTTGAGCAGGCGGAAAAAGCGGGAGCGGTGTTTGGAGTGCAGCAGGTCGGCGTCCAGCAGCGAGTACAGCTTGTGGTAGAACTGCGGGTAGTCGAGGTTCTTCTCCTGGATGAGGTAGAAGAGGCCGGAGAGGGCGAGGAGCGAGGTGGCGCCGCCGACGTTGTACGAGTCCGTGAGGAAGTCCATGAGCAGCTCGGGGCGGCTGAACCACGGCTCGATGGAGTGCACCATGATGCGCAGCATGGATTTGCGCTGCGACTGCGAGAGGTTGTTGCGGAGGACGGCGAGCCAGGCGTCCTGCGCGCGCTTCTTGTGCGTGTTGACGGAGAGGAGCTTCTTGTTGTTCGCGCTCGACTTGGTGTAGAAGTTTTTGAACTTGTGCTGCGGGCCGGGGACGGAGTCGCATGCGGAGAGGATGGCGATGAGGGTGTCGAGGGCTTCGGGGGATTGTTGTGATGCGGCGTAGTCCCTGGGAATGGTTAGCTTGGGACGAGTGGGTGTTTGGAGGGATGCTCGTACGAGATCTGGACAAAGGTGTAGAATTGTACGTCTTCGTATGCTTTGGCAAACTTCGTGATGAACTCGGACCGTAGGAGCTCGCCGTCTCTGGCCTCCACCACCGCCTCGACAATGTTCTTGAAGAAACCGGAGGTCCACACTTGGGTGTCGTCGCCGGGCAGGTGGGTGGCACGCTCGTTGACGAGTCGCATCGCGAGAGTCAAGGCCGTCACCTGCAGCCGTTAGTATGTGCACTGCACTGGACATGGTCGAGAAAACGAACCTGAGACGACGGATCGCTCTCGCGGAGAATGGCGACGAGCGCCTTCTGGTATTCCCGACAACGCTCCTTCAGCCATGCGACGATAATTTTCTCGTTCTCTGCGGCCCGCTCGGTCTCGGTCAGATTCCCACCGGCGATCAACCGGCTGAAAACCCTGCAGAGCGAGACGGCGACGGTCAAGTTCGGTTGGGCTGCATTGTCTTCGGCGTTGAGCATCGACAACAGGGTCGCAATGTTGTTGTAGTACTTGCGCGACTCGGAGATCTGCTCTTCGAGTTCGAGCACCTTGGCCATGGCATCGTCGCTGTGGGATTCGGCAACGACACGGCGTTTGGAGGAGGGATTGGCGCTGTCCTTGGGGTTCTTTCGCTTCTTGGAAGCGGCCGCGGCCGAGACGAGACCAGCCATGACGGTGGATGAGGAGTAGAGAGACGAGCAGCACTGTATTCTCCAACAGGGTCTAACAAGAAAAAAGTAGAGATGACGGGAGGAGGTTTTTCCGAGGACGGGCCCAAAACGGCTAGCGTCTTAGCCGCGATCCCGAAAGAACCTCCAGTCAGTCTCCTCAGTTCCGTTCACCCTCTCTCTCCATCTTGTCAAGGTCCTCTTCTACTGCAACCACAATGGCTTCGCGTCTGGCTAAGAGCGCCATTGGTATGTTTCCTCCGTCTCTCCCGCCCGCCGCCATCTTTTTTATCTCTCTCCCCCGTCTCCCGCCGCTAACCCGACCCAGGTGCTACCCGGCTTCGGCCGACCCTCCCCTCGCGCAACGTCGCTCCTATCACGGCCACCCTGACCGCGTCTCGTGCGGCCTCCAACGTCCCCACGGAGGACCCCAAGAAGAAGGCTCAGTCGATCCTCGACTCTCTCCCCGGCAACTCCCTCGTTTCCAAGACCGCCGTCCTCTCCGCCGCCGCCGGTCTCTCCATTGCGGCCATCAGCAATGAGCTCTATGTCATGAACGAGGAAACCGTGGCCGCCTTCTGTCTGCTCAGCGTCTTCACTGCCGTTGCCAAGTACGGTGGTCCGGCCTACAAGGAGTGGGCTGAGGGTCAGGTCCAGAAGCACAAGGATATCCTGAACGCCGCCCGTGCCGACCACACCAACGCTGTCAAGCAGCGCATGGACAACGTGCAGGAGCTCTCTGGTGTTGTTGACATCACCAAGCAGCTCTTTGCTGTTTCCAAGGTATTGCCTGGCACAATTGTATTGCGGATTTGCATTGTGATGCTAATGTGGCGTAGGAAACCGCCCAGCTCGAGGCTCAGGCCTACGAGCTCGAGCAGCGCACTGCTCTGGCCGCTGAGGCCAAGCAGGTTCTCGAGTCGTGGGTGCGCTATGAGGGTCAGGTCAAGCAGCGCCAGCAGCGTGAGCTTGCCGAGACTGTCATTGGCAAGATCCAGAAGGAGCTTGAGAGCCCCAAGGTTCTGCAGCAGATCCTCCAGCAGAGCGTTGCTGATGTCGAGCGTAAGTTCTGTTCTTGAGAATGGGATTGAATTTGATTGAGATGATTGATACTAATTGGTGCAGGCATCATGTCTACCAAGGCCCAGTAAATGGTCGCATGAGAGCTTGGCTTAATCATGTACAAATTAGGAACCGTTTCTGCTTAGACAATACCATGCACTGTGCATTTACTATAGAAGGCTCTAAGATTGTAATATTGAGTGTGGCTATTCCATTCTTCTAGGCATGCAGTTCACTACTAGGTAGCCATTATGAATAATTAATGTGCGCCCCCGCTTCCATCCATGGAATCAACCGGGACAGGCAATCCTCAAACAAAACACAGCCTCCCCAGCCTCGCTACAAATAGAACACAATGGACTTATATATAAACTCGCTTCCCCGCGATTTCCACTATACGTCTACGCATTCACGCATAGGGCTGACATACCCACCCACCTACATACATACGTACATACTTGCATGCGAATAACTACACCACTACAGCTACACAC